GGGGGGGGGGGGGGGGGGTTTCGGTTTCGGTTTCGGTTTCGAAAGAAATGTTATGTCAATTTCTGCTTGATGAAGAATGAGCGAAGATGAGACAATTGCCACGCGCAGGTGACGGCCAAGACAGTGAGTTGGATCAAGGTCCATCGAACAATCTTGCTGTTGGTACTTTCGCTCTGGTCGCGGAATTCGGCTTCTCGTTCCTAGAACAGAAAGGGTATTAGTTAGTTGAAGTGCCTTGAAAGATGTCGGTGTGATGGAATTTTCCTTCTTCTTTCCCTTGTTCTTCTTTCAGTGGGCGGGGAGCTTGGAAGACATACTCTCTGGAAAACCTGCTCTCGTCTAATATCATTCAACCGTCCATTCAACTCGCGAACTTTGGCCACGATACTATCGATCTTGCTCTTGTCCTCGCTTTCAATCTTGCTGGTCTCGCCAATGGCCAAGTCGACCGTCAATTTCACTCCTCCGCCCGTGACGCCTGCGGCGGAAAACCAACCACCCAATGACACGGCCGCGGGGCCAGACGGAGTGAAGCATAATCGATGCAGACCTGCGTCGGCGGCGGAAAAGGTGAATTTTGATGGTGTGTTGGATGAAGGGGACGTTTGAGTCACGACGCGGTGGTCATTGTCGAAGGTTTCGTCCACCGTCACTTGAATGGACAGATCTGATGTCACAATATAGGACTGGGTTTGTGTGTTGTAGGCTTCGGCCTGGTATGTTCCTATGGCGCGGGAGGAAATGTGTTAGGAGTTTGTGATGTTTGTGATATTTGCGATGCGCTGAGTGTCGATTGTCACTTACCAACAACAAGAGTGTCCTTGGGGAGATCTTCGTAGAAACATTTGGGCGCTGTGCCGTCTAGGTAAAAGTACAGGGCTTGTGTCGAAGAAAGGAGGGAGGACAGAGCCAACGTCGCCGCTAGGAAGGACTTCATTGTGTGTCCAATGTCCTCTCCAGGACGAGGGGAGGAAGAGGAGGAGGGCGGCGGGTTTGGATGAAGGGGGGCTGTTCAATTGGTAGGTGCAGTCCAGTTGTTCCCAAAATTCTTGTATAGACAGACACACGAGAGGAATCGCATTCAACATTCAACGCAGTCTGTCCAGATGTTGGATCAAGGGGCGGATGTTGAAGAGGCAGGTTTGCCGGAGTTTATTTACGGTGGAGTGAAGAGAAAGGGGTAGCAGATTTCGTGATGGCCATTTGAAGAGCTGCGATGCTGGTGTTGAAGATGTGGTTAGCTTTTTGTCTCATTGTCTATTATTTCCTGTCTCATCATCTTGTTAAATCCATTTGAGCTGTAAAGAAGCTGGAGGCAAGTAACTCCTCCTGCTAAGGCAAATGGCAACGATCCATGTTAAAGTCAACTCTCCTTATTCTATTTCATAGAGAGGAGAGAAACTAGCTAGACATACTAAATCGTCGACTAGCAGGTCTCTGGGTCCAGGCCTCTGGCTCTCCTTAACTGGGCCGAGCGACAGGTATATATACTCCCTGTCATACTAGCTTCAGATTTCCCCCACATTTGGACTTGGGCCCTAGCGAGGTACTTCGTATAGAAAGTGATTATGGATCCGCAAACAGTTCTGCTGTGTCCAACTAAGCTTGTATAGGGTACTCTTTCAGGCAAAAGTTGGCCTCTGCCTAACATCAGGATGAATGAAATTTTCTTTCACAGAACTACAGTCTCGCCCTTTGGTCGGCTGTGGCCTCATTTGCGCCTCTTTTCGCCCATTCACGCAGAACCTTCCTGTGGATCTTACCGCTGGCCAGCTTGGGGATTTCACTGACAAAACGAACCCCACCAACCAGTCGCTTATGTTTGGCAGCACGATCCGCGATCCACCGCTCGACATCTGCGGAGGTTATTGCAGCCGTACCGTCTTTCATGACATCCGACTCCTGCTTGAGCACGACATACGCCCGAGGCCATTCTTGCCCGTCAAGGGTTATGCCGACGACCGCTGCATCAGCGATCTGATCCATTTCCAAAAGAATAGCTTCCAGTTCTGCTGGGGCGACTTGCAGGGCGTTCACCTTGATCAGTTCCTTCTTGCGGTCGACAATCCAGAAGCGGCCACCGTTATCGGTGACGGCGATGTCTCCAGTCCTCAACCATCCTTCCTGATCAATGCTTTCGCGTGTGGCAGCCTCATTCTTCCAGTAGCCGAGGCACACCTGCGGCCCCTTGATGAGCATCTCTCCAGGCTGGCCCGGACCCACGTTATTTCCATCGTCATCCAGTAATCTACATTCAGAATTCGGATCTAATTGACCGACACTACCCGAGTCATCATTCCATCCTCCTGGAACATGGATAGCTCCACACGTCACCTCGGTCATCCCCCAGCCTTGCTGAATTGTGAGACTAAACTTTCTAGAAACCGAGTTCTGGAGCTCTTTTGAGAGCGGCGCGCCCCCGCAGAGGACTCCTTCGAGACTTCCAAGGTTATACCGCGATGTTTCGGGTCTTTTATCGAGCATGACGAGTATAGGCGGAGCCACCTGAAGATGTGTGATCTGCCACCGCTGGATAGACTGGAGGAAGTCGTCGTATGTAAATGTTCGCATAATGTAGACTGGAAGGAGGAGTTTTGGTGCCATGACGCATGCGTAGAGTTGACCTTTAGCGGAACGAATTAGCCGAGGACAAACATTCTGATGGAAGAATTTGTGGAGGTTGAAAAACGGAATTGCGCTTTAGCACATCTCACCATATGCATGATATAAGGGAAGGAATCCCAGCCATCGCTCATTGGCTTTCCGCGAAGCTCCAAGGTAACGCATGAAGATGGTCTGTTCCGCGTTGGCCACTATGTTATAGTGGGATACGCAGACCCCTTTGGGTAAACCCGTAGTGCCCGAGGAGTAGTTGACGGTAGCTATTGTGGTCCTGGAGGCTTCCTTCAGAGGATCCCATGCGTAATCCACATTATCTTCAACGGGCACGTCTCTCCAGTCACGTAGACCATGACATGGCTGGCAGGGATAATCGGAAAACAGGAGGATCCTGTCCGTGGATAAACCGGCGAGACGACCAGCCTCTATGGCTTTGAACGCTAAGGAAGGATGCGTGAGTACAAGTCGAGTCTCGGTGTTTCGAATCTGGTATTCGACTTCTGCGACGGTATATGCTGGGTTGGCGCCACTGAAGATCAGGCCTGCGCCTGTAATCCCCAAATATGCCACAGGAACAAAGATGTGGTTGGGCGTGAAGATCATAACGGCTTCGCCCCGGGACATGCCGAGCTCCTGGAGCACCAAGCCCAGCCGCTTGATCCATTTTAAGGCCTGGCGGGGAGAGAGATTGTGATTGGCATTTTGCGCGTCTATCCAGATCGGCTTGTCCGACGGTGTCTGCTCTGGCGGGTAAATATACGATAGGATGTTGGTTTCGGGAATATCTAGAGACGGATATGGTGACTTGAGGAACATATTCCACTGTGAGGGTAGAAGTGATCGCTGACTTGCACTCTTATTGCGCCCTCATCGCTATCTAGGCTATGGACGCCGCCTTATACGAGTATTCGTACATCCTCCCAATCGAGCGGCTGATTTTACCTCGGGAGTGGACGGCTCGGCACCCAATAGAGTTCGCACACGCTTTCCGCAACCGAGGAAATCACCCATCGTCCAATGTTCAGTTTGTGCCTCCTTGCATCTAAAAGTAATTGCAGTGTGGGCTCCCGCAGACCGAAGGGCAGAGTGTTGATGAATGTAAAACTCGTCAGGGCGTGCGAAAGAGTACATATGCACCGCGATTACCTCGCGATCTGCTTTTCCGCGCATTAATCATTGTCCACACGGACGTTGAATATTGTTATTATTTGAGTGTGACAACAGAAGATTTCGTTGACGGCCCAAAGAATTGCAGCAATGTAGGTCCTACAGAGTTGAGCAGCAAGTCTTTCCTGTCCGTTGAGAGTATATCTAAGTTGAAAACAACAACATCGAATGCTCTTTCGATGGCTATTCAATCTCTGACAGCGAGTCTACGGCATTATTGACGATGAGCCAGACAGCACTCTGATCAAGTTGCTGCATATGGAAGGTTAATACCCAGCTCTATAAGGGCCAGCTATGAAGCGACGAACAACGCGAGACAAGTGCTCGACGGGCTTGCTCTGTGGAGCATGTTCATGTGGCTTATCGGCTTTGGCTGGAATCAGAACGCCTTTGGCTACACATATACGCCGGAAATAATCGTATGGAATCTTCGCACTTTGTGCTTACATTCAACACTGATCTTTTGACAAGCCAAAGAGAAGTGAACCGAAAGACAGGAGCAGACAAGTTGGAAGTCGTCGTTACACCCAGGACAAAACTACATTTTTGTGGAGACAGAGCGAAACAGCACTGATCTCCCCACGCTCCAAAGTGTCTTTTTTGTCAGTTTTCCTACGTGGAACCACAGCACGTGGATATACGATGCAGAAACACTTTTCAGGACGGCCAGATAGAAGTAGGATACAAGTGAAAGAGAATCCTATCATCCGGAAGCATTCATCGTCCATGCGCTAAAACTATGAAATAAAGCTTACAGCGTATCGAAACCCAGTACAAATACGTGGTCTTTTTTTACTACTAAAGCCTCTCACTCTGAATTACTAGTCTAAGTACCTAGTCAAGGCAAGCCACAAATATCAACATACAAGTGAGGAGTGGGTCCATCAAAGACATCTACCTAACTAGGATTAGCACGAGTACGGGTATGGAGTATATACAACATGGCCATCTGTGATAGGTCATGTCCGGGGGACACAAGCACCCATAACCGCGGCTCCTCGGGCTCCTCGGGCTCGAAACTTGCCATACCAAGACATCTACCGTATCTGACTCCGCCTAAGAAGCTCTCCTCACTTTCCTGGCTTGGGTATCGGGCTTCTTGAAATCCGTACTGTCCCATCACACTCGAGGCCTTGTGCTCACCAAATTGAGCGCGCTGCACTTATCATTTCAATGCGCCTCATGAGAGTTTATCCAGGACCTTGCCAGCAGGCATGTCTACTCCCAGCGCCGGTACTGATGGTCCGTCGCCGATCGTGCCCTTGCGCGCCTTCATGACCCCGACTGCTGACCCCAGCTTGGACCCTGCCAGGCTAATTAACAACACAGCACAGTCTTCTTCCCCGCCAACTGGTCTGGCCGCACGGAGGAAGCGTGCCTCGAGGGCCTGTCTACGATGTCGCACTCGAAAAGTCCGCTGTGATGTTGCCCAACATGGACCGCCTTGCACCAACTGCAGGCTCGACTCACAAACCTGCCTTCTTTCTCAGAGATCGCGACCACATCCAGTTCGCCAATCTTCGGGACATCTGGACATACGACTTTTCAGTCAAAGTGGCAATTCTCCCACATACGGCCTGTCGCTTGCGCAGCCGCGCGGGGAGTTACCAACTTCAGTGGCTCCGACCAGGCCTACTGCAGAGGTGTCAATCAGTGGTGCTCAGCGGGATGATCACACGCAAGAGCGACAACCTCAGCGTGAGGCACCATTGACTCGAAGAGAGACGCACTCAGAGCCCCTCATGCAACAAGCTGCCACCGAACGAGACCGTCCTGGAGATGCCGACATTTTTGCTTCGTCAGACTTCCTCGACGACGGTGAGATTCATGGCTCCGAGCCATCGGTACCGCACTCAAATACTATGAATAACGATGCTGCTCCAAACAATCACGTCCCTGTCACCTCCTACGCCTTCCTGGACCTCGACTTCATGCACGACCTACAATCTGACGACTTCAACTACCTCCGCCAATGTGGCTGCTTTCATCTGCCCGACAGACAGTATTTGAAGGACCTTGTGGAGGCCTACTTCCTCTATGTCCATCACGGACTTCCACTGCTTGATGAAGAAGAATTCTGGACAACCTACTCGATGGCTGAGTTTGGTGGTCGTAGCACTTCTCACATCTCGTTGATTTTGCTACAGGCAATGTTACTGGTGGCCAGCAGTGTGAGTCTTCTCCACCAACCCCTGTCAATCATATCGTTCGTCCACTTGGGCATCCAGGGCCTACCAGATCGGAATTGGGTACCCCTGAGTGCTAACATGGCCCAAGCTGGTACATTCATCGGTGATCCATGACCTGGGCTTCAACAGTGTCCGCACCGCAAGGGCATTATACTTCCGCCGTACCAAGGTAACTAAAATACCATGTCCTGCCTTGTGGCCAAGGCTAACCTGCTGAAGGCTTTGTATGACTTTGATCGTGGAGGAAGCAGCATGGCAAAAGCTCAAGCCGCTGTCTTGATGACATATCACGTACCGGCGGACGCGCCATTGATGAATGCGTACTGGCATGGTATTGCCATTCACCATGCCAAAGCCTTGGGTGCAGATCGATTCACAATACTCGCGTTGAAAGATCCTGCGAAGCACAATCGCCTGAAAAGGCTCTGGTGGTGCTGCATAATTCGTGATAGGACAATGGCCTTGTCCCTCCGCAGACCTATCTCAATATTCTCGCCTTCTTTCGACCACATCTGGCCACAACTCACCAATGACGACTTGAAGAATGAAATCAGTCATTCATACGTGCATAGCGAAACTGTCAAAGTCAACTTGTTGCAGTTTTCAACCGCATTGTGCAGATTCTGCTCTCTGCTCACCGACATGCTTCCGCTCTTGTATCCCTCGGATGGTCATCATTCTTTCAGGGACCGCCTGGATCTGATGACCCGTGTCTATCGATGTACCGAGAGTCTTGATGACTGGCACGAAACAGTGTTGGAAACGGTCGCTGCACGTGCAAACAGTGACTCTACTTTCAACATTGTCGTCTTGTTCGATAATCTTCTCAACATTTATTTTCAGTATGTTCATCCACTCTGTATCAGCACGATGGCAACACCTAACATCTGGCTCAGGTCAGCGAGGGCTGCACTTTGTAACTATCGAATCATGCTTACCCTGAACGAGCTTGAGAACCACAATTTTGAAAGGCTGCAGACGAAGACTGTACTTCGATCTATCCTTCGTAGTATCGCACAGAGCCTTCACGCAATCATCGATGCAGATATGATATTCTATCTGCCTATTGGCATGTAGGTCGTGGTCTGTCCCGTCAGTTTCATAGCTAACGATGGTCAAGGGTAGCTATACTGGCGTTGCCGGCAGTCTGCTACAACCTAGATCCAGCCATACGAGCCTCCAGTCAAACTGTTACTCGCCGCTCGACTTCAAACATATACCAAGATTCCTTGAGGGTTCTTCAGTTGAAATACGAAGGGTCTGATAGAGCACTTGGCAATGTGTCAAAATTACTGAAGAGCATAAACGTGAAAGACACGACGTCACCTGCGACATATCTCTCTGGCTCGGATCAATTTATGATGGAGGAACAGCATGCTTTACAGCTTTCCAAAACATCCCACACAGTCGAAGGGATTGCTGGATTAGACATGGTTGTTTCTGAACCTCAAAAGTATATTCAGATCATTTTCACACTGGACTTCTTTCTCGCTCATGGCCGGTCTCCCGCCAGAGGTGAGATTACAGCTTTCCTTCATTCTGTAATGGACGAAAAAAGTGCAAAAGTGGCTGCACAAAGCTTTGAAGGAGATCTATCTGCTACGGTAACGAGCCCAACCCCTGCCGAGGTCGGAAACCAAGAGAATCTCAGACAACAAGCCGAGGGAAGATCAAGCCAACAAGCAGCGTCTACCGCCTCCAACAATGCGTCAAATCCGCCTGCTCTTCAAGCATGCAGCCAAGAGCCATCCATTACGCTCACAGATGACCCTTTACCTCAGCTCGGCATGAATCCGGACAACTTCTCCTTCGAAACCTTCATGACAGATGGGCCTTTCGCCGGAATAGAGCAGCTGCAGAATTTACTTGAGACCTATCCTAGTTGGCCCAGACAGCCGTGAGCATAGGCGCCAACCATATACGCAGGATCCATACTATGCACGATTTTGGACGAGATTCTGCCTCTTGCACAATACGGTTACTCAATTATGTTCCTCTCCATGCCTGATCAGCATTTTCATTCCTCATTCTACTTCATACTCTCCCCTTTTTTTCTTCGCAATCCTTTGCCACACTCCTCAGACAACCACATTCTTCAGTGCCTATTGTCCATGTTGATAGGCAGCGACCTTATTAGCGGGTAAATAGGCTCCGCTAGTCTGCTACTTACCTGCGACATCAATATGTGTAAAACCAGCCTTCTATTTCCTCGTTTGTCCTCTTCCCTTGTCGAACTGCACTGTTGCATCGATAGAAATGAAATGACATGATGGCAATCAAGACTACACTCGTGAGTGACAACCCAAGAGTGGTCCATACACCTGTCTGGGTCCATCATCAGTGCATCCTCAACAAGACGATTCTGTGAAGCCAATAACATACCTGGTACGTCGGACTTTCGCTGGATTTGAAGGCAACCCCAGAAACAATTCCACCCATGCCGCCACCAATGATGCAAATTGCTGTTGCGACCGACCGTTTAGATTGACGAGTGATGTTATTGGCCTGGTACGTGAGGACACCAGGGACACAGTACTGCAGGAACCCGATCCCTACAACATCAGGCTTAGTGAAAAGGTTTGCTTCAACTGAAGGCATGACAACATACCTAGAAATGCGCCAAAATATCTCGCACCATTTCCTTTGGCAAAGACTGTTATCAGCATTCCAGTAGCAGTCAGAATCTGATGCGCTGCAATGATTGGGCCTCGGATCCGGTACTTGTCGCCCAGCCAGCCTGAGCAGTATGCTATAACAGCAGCCAGTACATAGGGTGGAGCACTCAGGAGCTGACTTTCGGTTGATGAGAAGCCCATGCCTCTTCTCAAAATGATCGGCAAGAAGTATGAATAGGCGTAGCCTGGCATGGTCGATGCCATCAGATTAAACGCCCAAAAGTACAGCTTCCAATCCTTCAGATGGTGTAAGATGACAGCAAGCGTAATGGGATCCTCTTCACCATCTCCTCGGTCAGCATTAATCCGCTGAATAACGAATTCCTTCTCGTCTGGGGAAAGAAACTTGTCGGCTTTGGTCGGAAAATCGATGATGATGAACCAGCCAACAGTGCAAACAACCACCGTGACCAAGCCCTCGATGATAAAGATCCCTGCACTCCAGGTTAGCCAGCTTCCGAGCAGTTGAATTGCAAGTCGCGTACAAGACCATCCGTTGAGACCGCCGATCCCTTTCATCAATGAAAGAGCATATGCAAAAATGGCGGCAAATCCGGTGGTGAGACATGACAAGATCCAGAAAGCTGACAGACGTTTTCCGACCTCGTATCGTTTGTACCAGCAAGTAATGAGGTAAGTACAGCCTATGTCTGTCAGAAATTCGAATCCTCTACCTGTTGGTCTCAATCTGTCTCACCTGGTAGGAACCCAGCTTCTGCCATACCCAGTAAAGCTCTGCAGACGGCCATTGTTTGCCAGCTTTTGGTGAAGCCCATTCCGATAAGGATGCATCCAAATGAGACTCCTAGAAAGGCTAGCCAGTTTGCAGCTCCGGCTTTGGGGAGCACTAGGTTCTGTGGTCACCTTCATTAGCTGGACGTCCAAGGCTATAGAATTTGTACTAACACTTGGGATCTCGAAGATGATGTATGTTACAAAGAAAATCATGACGATAATTGTGTATCGGTTCCCAATCGTGAGCCCAAGATCCTCTGACATACCAGCAACCATGGCGAGACCAAGGTTGGTTCGGTCAACCAGGGATATTGAGTACATGATGCCTAGGATCGGGAGGAGCCTGTAATCTATGCGACGTCTGTGACCAGTTGCAGAAACGTCGTTAGCCAAGAGCATATATATCAAAGACACAAAAAAGAAAGGTGTTGTTCAGGATGTGCGCTTTACATGATCCGCTTCTGCTGTGCTTCCGTTAGAGGCCCTTGGTAGCCGACATCTTCGACCCGGGCCTCAAGATGTGCGGCTTTCTCATCAGCAATGTCTGGTTCGACGTTTTGGTTCGACATTTTGAAAAAGGCCAAATGCAGTGCTTCGAGTACGAAGATAGCAGATGATTGGAATTTTTCCTGGTCTGGAGACAGACTTGGTGAATGACAATAGGAGGCGGAGTGACCCGCGTTATATACCCAGGGAGACCGACAGTATTTCTAACTGGGGAAACCCCAGGTGATCGTGGAGAGACCCAGATGTGAAGTCCTCGACCCGAAGATAACCTGGGGGCCCGCCCTTTGACGGTCTCGTGGTTGTGATACCCAATCACGGTACACCATTTCCCGAGGTATACATAAACTCTAAATGCCCCGTCCTCGTCGGCAACAACTTCAATACGCTTGGCAAGCACACTGGGGCACAATGGACAGGACCATCCAGGAAAGAATTGCCGTAGCTCTGGCCCATATTATTCAGTGACCATCGTACGATACGGAGAAACAAGTCATTAGTGGGACATAGAGTGGCAAAGACTATTCGAGAATTCGTACAACATCTGCGAGCCGTGTTGAATCGCAACATAGAGCTGCCGCAAGTCATGACGAACTCGCTGGGATACTTGAGAATTGGCACAACGGATTAAAAAGAATTCAAAGACTGCGCTCAGACCAGGACTCATCTGGTGATATCAGATCTGACCAGCAAAAACAGCCCTCCCAAACTGAAATGCAATCACAACTTTCCCTCATCTCTGGATTTTGCTGGGAGTCGTCTTAACTTCTTGTATTCTCAAATGGAGGAGGTCAGCCAGTCTTACCGCGTAATTTTGCACTCTGCTGCAGGAATCTATCCCGGGGAGCGTTGATCACAAACCGCTCAGCCAATGCATCGGCTGCTTCGTAGACAGCCAGCAGTCGCTCAGCCCGTAGAGGCTCGTTTTGAAGTCTCTTGGCCTCGATCATGCTTCTGCCATCGTTGACGTCAAGTTTATCCTTGAGGAACGCCAACACGGCCTTGTCGAATCCCTTCACTGGCAAAATCGTGCTCACAATCCCCCAGTCGACCATCTCTTGGTTGGAGATCTTCCTACCAAACATCAAAAAGTCGTTGGCTCGATGTGGGCCAATTAGTTGTCTGAAGTGAACGGCGCATCCATATTCAGGTACCAAGCCCAGCTGACTGAATGGAACTTGCAAGTACGACGTCTCTGATGCTACTGTGATATCAGCAACCGCTGGGAACCAAGCTGCCCCACCACCAACTGCAGGCCCATTCAATGCAACAACCAGGATCTTTGTATGAGTTATCAACGATCTCAGAGTCTCCATCGCTGGAAACGGGGTCAGCGGCAGCTCCCAAATTCACAAAGTACAAGCCTCAGGCAAGCTCACCGCTGGCAAACATGGACATGTAAAAAACTTTCTTCTCGGCCGCACTCCCAAACACTCGCTCCTCGCGGCTTGCTTCAGCTTTCACATCAGCTCCACTAGAGAAAAAACGTCCTTCCCCAGTCAAGACGGTGAAGACAGTTGTGGGATGTTCATCGAGTACTCTTAATGCCGTCAAGACCTCAATCTGCATGTTACCGCCGAAAGAGTTGAGGGCCCTAGGCCGATTCAGCTAAAAGGCGCCGGTGTTAGCATCAAGCCCGGGCAATGGGAACAGGTGGTGGACCTTTATGACACCAATCTGCCCTTGGATGTCTAAGACAACATCGTGATACGTGTAGCTTTCGTCGGTCGACATCTCTTCGACAACGAGCATGTATTATGTTTCGACGGTTTTGAGAAGGATTCCAGTGGCAGATCACAATTCATCATTTGAACAGTCATGGTAGTCTCTTCATCATCCCTGAGTTAGTGCCCTCTCTAGAGCAAATAGTGACGGGGTTGGTGCACAAATCGACCCGAAGTCCTTAATCGGCATAGTTAGTCCTCGGTCTGGATATTCCCTGATTGAGCTTAAATAATTTCGTTATATATTTAACAAGGATTGTTCCTCGGGCTTGGCTCCCGAGGCTCGCTTAATCGAATGCTTATTCGTGCTCCACAGAAGCCAATAACAATGCAATGCCCTTTCATTACTTTTCTTCCGCGTCAAATGATGTTTGGCGAGAAGTGCTGTAGGTGGTCTGAGAATTGTCGCCGAAGGACGGCAGCGTGGATCATGGCTTTCTTGACCCGACCGCACTCCCGAATTCGGGGCCAGGAATCGGGACGAAGCAAGGTAGAACGCAGAAATGTTGGAACAGAATTCCATCACCTCTGGCGACACCAATGCCATCGAGTTTCGTTCGTGCGCACATCGAAGCAGATGGAGACAGTCGAAACAGAGGTTAGTCAGCCATGACTGTCGATGATCTGGAGCTCTTCCATCATTTTATCACGGACATGCCTGCCGACATGGGCAATCGCCTCGCTCGGTGCGAACAAGTCCCGCAGCGTTCCCTCAAGCACGAGCCGTGCCGAGCGCATTTCGGTGTCGTTTCAGGCGGCAAAAGAACCGACTCGAATATAGAAATTGACGACGGTCAGCCTTAGGGACATTCCACCCCAGTAGATAAGACATCAAGTTATTCTGAACTCCATCTGTCAAAAAGCAGGTCAAGTATTCATGCCATGAACGCCACAGGCATCGTCATCAATCAGATAAGCTGGAGAGAGTACGCCCCGGCTTTATCGATATAGTAGATAGTGTCGAGCAGGACGAGCACAAGACGACCCTCTTGTCGTTCACCTGCTCTGCTCGTCACGAGTGTAACCACGTGACTACTACGATGTCAGTATATCTATTGAACCACTCAAGTCGACTCGTGAATAGTCACGAGAGTCTAGTCTTTTTGTGGCGATCCCACAAGGATCAAGATGGTTTCCTGACAAGTAAATTGAATCGTCGGTGTGCCTGCCATACTTAGTAGGGTGGAGGTACTTGCCGTAACACATCTGCTCCTTCCTGATGTTAAATCTGCATGAAAGTTCCACCCTACAAATAATCAAATGTCGCGTCATTTGAACCAACCCCGTCCGCCGCTTCGCCGCGTCGACTTTTTGAAATTCTGCCATTTCCATCCTCGATTCGAGATTCATTCCCCATCAACCTCATCGACAACACGTATTCGTACACCCAAAAAGCAATAAGGACGGTCGACACTCTCGTGGCCGCCGTGGCCTCCCCTCCAACCTCGCTGCATCCCTCTTCCTCCTCCCTCCCATCCACCCCACCTCCATTCCATCATGGCTTCCAGCAGCGATATCCGCGACATCATGAATCTAGGTCAGGCTGGCCCCCGTCAGCCTGCACCCAAGAAGAAAAAACACCATGAGCCTCAAGTTAGAATGACTGGCATCAACCGCGAGATCCAGGCTCTCATGGGCGACTCGGTTCCTCCCATCGCCATTGTCGACCATCCTCAATACAAGTCGCGACCCTCCCTGGCCCGGTCCTTTGTTCCTCGACACTGGGATGAGAGAAGTTTCAAGCATGGCGGACGAAATGATGGCTTAGTTTTGAAGCACTGGAAACGCGCCATTGCCGGTTCAAATCGTCCTCCTGTTGCTGCTCCCGATGTCGATGTGCAAATGACCGACGATGAAACTTCCAAACAACTTCCAGTTCCACCTGAATATCAGTACGAAGACGAGTACCCTTCCCACAAGTGGAACGTTGCGGTCGCAATTCCTTCCTACAACGACGATCAATACGATTCTCTCTTGAAGTCCGACGATTGGTCTAGACGGGAAACTGACTATTTGATGGACCTCTGCCGTAATTATGACCTTCGTTGGCTACTCATCGCCGATCGCTATGATGAAAAGGCAATCAATCAGCCCTCTGCCTCTTCTCAGGAAGGAGACCAGCCACCTCCCGAGATCATCGCGCAGCCTGTCTATCCTCCGAGAACTATGGAAGCATTGAAATCAAGATATTACGGCATCGCTGCTAAACTGATGGAAGTTCAAACCCCGGCCAGCAATATGACACAAGCCGAGTTCCAGTTGTGGGAGAAGATGAGGAATTTCGATGTCAAGACAGAAACTCTTCGAAAGTCCATGGCCGAGAAGCTGTTTGAGCGGACAAAGGATGAAGCCGATGAAGAGCGTATTCTGCTGGAGGAGTTATATCGCATCACCAAGAACGAAGACGACTTTATCAAGGCACGAAAAGAGCTCTATTCCAGGCTGGAACCTGTTCTCCCCATTCGTCGCACTGAGCGTGGTGAGGAGCAATCCACCGCCATGTATCAAACCTCTGCCGGTCTTTCCATGCTTTTACAATCCCTTCTCGCAAAGGAGAAGAGAATGAAGCGCCCCGCCGTACCTGGATCCGCTGAGTCTACCGCCGCCGCCGCTACCTCCACCCCAACCGAACAGAAGCAGGAGAAGAACAAACATGCCAATCACAGCTCACGACGAGACACAACCGATACTCAGGCCGAAGACGCTACCCCCGTTCCTCAGAAGAAAGGTTCAACTGCAGCTGCGCCGCCTAATATTCGGATCCTCACTCCTCAAGAAGAAACCCGCTTTGGTGTGTCCCGCCCTCAAGAACGTCTCACCAGTGGTGTTCAATTCCGACATGAAAAGATTAATCGCCTTACCATGGCCAAGAGCCAAACTCAAACAACCAAGATCCAAGCCGCCTTGACCGAGCTAGGCATTCCTCCTAGGCTTTTGATGCCAACAGAACGGGTCTGCCGCGAATTTGAAAGACTGACTACGGAAATCAATATCCTTCTCGATGCAAGGAAGGTGAATGAGAAACTAAGTAGCGAGATCAAGGTCCTTGAGGAAGCTCGACGGATCAGGCTGGGTCTACCAAAAGAAGGAGAACAACAAGCTGCGACCACCGCTACCACCACCGTAACCCCTGCTGCCCCCGCCGCGGCGTCAGGCCCTGAACCGAAGACCGAGCCAATGGAAGTGGATTCTTCCAAGGTCAAAGAGGAGCCGGCGAAGGCTACCACTGAAAATGCCCCAACTGCTGATTCCAATCAAGATGCAAAGGCCCCAAGTCGCGAACTTCGAAAGAAGACAAAAACCCCAGAGGTTGGGGAACGGCAAGCTAGTAGCACCAAGGATCGACAGCCCACGCCCCAGGCAGATTCAAGCAAGATGGAAGTCGACAATGATGAAGATGCTGATGCAGCTGGCGACGCAGCTGGCGAAGATGATGCTGATGCAGATGCTTCCAGCACTCGGAAAAAGGCCGATGCTGACAGCGACAACGACGATGAAGAGGACGAAGAGGAACAAGAATCCGGAGTCGCAAATGATTCAGACAACAACCAAGATGATGATGACGAGGATGAAGAAGATGAGCAAGAGGATTCACAAGCCCAGGTTGAAGAAGACGATGACGATGAGGAGGATGACACGAACCAATTAGGTGTAGATGAGGATGAAGATGAAGAGGAAGAGGAGGAGGATGAAGACGCCGAAAGTGATCCTGTAGCCGTGGCCGAAACTCCAGACGAGGAGGACGAAGATCAAGACGAAGAGGATGCCGAGGCCGAAGCTGAGAATGACGAGGACGAAGACGAAGATGCTGAAGAGGACGAAGAAGAGGAAGAAGACGAAGAGGAGGAGGCAGATGGTACTGCAACTCCCGCCTCTGGAAATGTCGAACAAGAGGACGATGATGAAGAGGAAGAGGAAGCAGAAGAGGATGTCGCAGAGCCACCACCCCCAACATCGTCCACTCATCTCAGTGCCACATCTGGAAGAGGCCACAAACGTAGTGCCAGTGTCCTTTCCGAGGCAAGCAAGGCTGGGAGCAATCGCAGTGGTTTAGGAAGAAAGAAACGCCGCTGATGGAGCATGGATACAAAGGGGAATGGGGAATGGGGAATGGGGAATGGGACATGAGGAGTACAGTGGCTACGTGCTGCGAGCTTGTCTGTAAGAGTGTATATGACTTGTCAGCGAGATAAATGCAGGCAGTGTTGTCTGCCTCCAATGCCACGGGAAGAAAAATCAAAACAGAAACCCATCTGGGTTGAAGCATAGTTACTTTAAATATCATTGTACTTGTATTCACATTGCGCGCTAATCGCGAATGACCATCTGAGTGAGCCTATGCCTAACTTGCTAGAATTGTCTTATTGACGCAGGGTATCGAGTGGCGCGATCTTAAGGGCAGGCATGAGGTATGATGACGTCGTGGTTGTTATCATCGTGTTAGTTGTCGATGCCATCAAAACCCATTAGCTTGTAGATATCGATTTCGCCGAAGAGATCGTCCATAAGTTCGTTCAGTCGTCGTCGTCGTTGGTGCTGTTGGTGCTGTTGTCGTCGTGGTCGCCGCCGTTTTAACAGTCAACCATGTCCATGTCGATGATGCCTTCGAAGAGGTCGTCCAGCAGATCGTCGTTATGGTCATCGCTGTTGCTAGTCATATGACAATCTTCGGAACCGTCGTCACAAACATCGATACCGCTGTCATCACACACGTTACAAACGTCGATATCGCTGACATCACACATTATCACCTCTCCCTCGTAGATATCATATTGACACAAGACGTCATTGTTGTCGTCGCCATCCACCAATAGTGATTGCTCTTGGATTTCTGGCCTTTCGCCCATGCTGACATCGTTAGACGAAGTGTCGCCCATGCTGACATCGCTAGACGAAGTGTCGCCTATTTGCTCATCGAGCATCTCTTCATCAAGGGGGTTGTATTGCCATGCAGAAGATGTTGTAGGCTGGCGTAACATAGCTGCAACCTCGTTGGGGGTCAAGGTGATGACGTCGTCATCGGGCACATATCGAAGCAACTCTTGTTCGCGTATGTGCGAAAGCGTCGTTTTCATCCAGTAGATAACAGAGGCTATGGCTCTGGGAGTCATGTCCGTGGCATGAGGAGTAGGAGGGGGGGCAGCGCCATCTCCTGACTTTTGAGCCATTGCAAGGACCGCGACTTAGGGGGGAAAGCCTTAGCTCTATCTTCACTTTTGGTGACCGTAAAAGGATGTTTGACGAGGCTAGACTGAGCGTTTTGGCTTGTAAAGGGCTTGAAAGGTTGCTGGAGGGTTGATTTCGGTCGTAACTTTGATGCTGGAGGGATGAACACTGGCAAAGAAGGGATAAGAAAAGAAGAGAGCGATTTTATATTGCATGGTTTCGAGGTCAAAGACACAAAGAGGGAGCCTGGAATCAGCGACGGAGTGGGTAGTCAAGATGAGCTATCGGAAATGAAATAGAGTTAACTCACAACCTCGACTGGTTGACGAGTAGCGTAGGTGCAAAGACTGTGGGTGGGCTAAGAGTTGTAGAGAAGAGAGGAACACTGTCCTCGGTGAGAGATCTCGAGTTATACGGCCCACTGCAGTCATTCGAGGATGGCACTCCTGTGGCTTCGCAGCGATTTGACTTTTTTTGATCCAGTTCTGTTGCAACTCGTTGAACAAATAGCTCGTCCGCAAGTGTGGCTGCAAAAGTACAAGGCCAAAGCATATCACCTACCTGGCCAGTGACAGCATCTTCCTGTCCCCATCTCCGCCACACCCACCGATTCAAAGCCTCGTGATGCGGACATGCGGGTTGGTTAGAAGTGTCAAATCGAGGCTAAGTGCAATCCTGTGAGGACCATCCGACCACCAACAGCGTCTGGGGTATGGTCTCGAGATCGAATCATTTTGACTGACCGCCTGATCTGACAATTGTTTATTTCCCTCTGTGATACCATGAAGGTTGCCTAGGTGGAATGGTGGACTTTGGGCATATCTTCCAACAGAGTTATTCGATTCGAGGTAAAAGTCCCTTCAAGTTGGCCCATTTCTCTGAAGATTTCACGAAGGTCAAAAGCACTTCTGGCGATTCCTGTGGATCCTATGGTTTTGTTGCTCAAATTGCCAAAAATAGATGAAGTTGACACACAGTCAGGGAGGGGTCTGAGGTGGGAGATCTGGACGTGGTTTTGTTTAAATCTGTGATTTTCTCTACTCAGATAAAACCAATATATTCATCACAGGTAGGACTGCTGCTCCGTAGAACAAAATTGCGTCATATTGATGTCTACTCCTCCGCTGTAAGTGCGTGAGGTTTCGCCGACGTTTACCCAGACTAACGACTTCAACTTCCCGCAGTTGGCAAGAGATGAACATCTCACCAAGGCGACATGACCAAAACCGTAAAAGGTTCTTGAATTCAAGTCGAGAATTGCAGAACTTGGTTGTCATCACAGATACCACTTCAATGTTGTGAGCCTGTGACATTGTGATCGAGGCAGTATGAGTGTGATTCTCTGCACAGGTACAGTCGTTCCCGTCTCCACTGCCAAACCACTTCCTCATCATTACTCATACTGACATGCGAGTCCAGCGGGTTACGACCATACCATTCGGTAATCACCTCTGTTTTGATGCGATTAGTATCAGCCTTGTACTTACGTCTCCTCCTGCCTAGATTCTGGGAGGCCCTCTCTGGCATCTGCTCCCGCACCATCCAACACCCCGAATCACAAGTCAACCGACTATGTATTACTCCCGACAAGAAGTATCTTGCAGCTGCAGGGCGGCATATGGTTCGGCTTTATGATATCAAATCCAGCAATCCCAATCCGATTCAACAATTCGAAGGACACACCAACAATGTCACAGGTGTGGCATTTCATTGTGAGGGGAAATGGATGGTTACCAGTTCTGAAGACATGACTGTTCGAGTGTGGGACACAAGGTCAGGATTGGTACAAAGGAACTACCAGCATACCCATCCGGTCAATGATGTGGTCATCCACCCAAATCAAGGCGAACTAGTCAGTGCCGATCGTGGCGGCAACATTCGCATCTGGGACCTCGGTGAGAGCAAATGCACTCATCAACTCATTCCGGACGAGGACGTGTCGGTTTCGAGCGTCAGTGTTGCCAGTGATGGCTCGTTGTTGGCCGCAGGAAACAACAAGGTAGCCTCCACCCGCGTCATGCTTTGGCATTCCGCCACACCACCCACTAACATATCTACCAGGGCGACGTGTACATCTGGCGCATGTATCAGAACCACGACTCCACCACCCTCCTCCCATGCCGTGTATTCAAAGCTCATAAAGACTACCTCACCCGTCTGCTGTTATCTCCCGACATCAAACTCCTCGCCACCTGTTCTGCCGACCATACCGTACGGGTTTGGAAGATTGACATGACAGAAGAAAACCTGGAAGCGGTGACCGACCAACCTTCTACAGGTGTGGATGGACACAGTGACCCCAGTACACCCAATCAGGCACTTGTTACCTCGCAAACCCTGAACGGCAGCGCCATGAACCCACGATCCAATGGAAACGGGCGCTCATCCGCGTCTCTCTCCTCGACATCATCGAATGCCACATCACCGACTGACGCAGTCTCGTCCTCGAAACACTCTCAGTCTGGTTCGCAGCCAGCACACACGTTCCGAGCGATCAGCAAGATCATTGAGACACGGAAACCACTACCCTGCGATGTTGTGCTGGATAACCATCAGAGATGGGTGTGGGACTGTGCATTCAGTGCCGACTCGGCATACCTGGTGACGGTTTGTTCAGACCATTATGCCAGGTTGTGGGAGCTGGGCACGGCGAGCATCATTCGGCAGTACAATGGTCATCATCGAGGTGCGGTTTGTGTGGCACTCAATGACTACAGTAACCCGCCATGATAGGTTCGCTGGTCTCGATCAAGCTCGCACATGTTGATGAGATCGTCGCTGGTCATGATTTCCTGTGCATGATCTCGGCTTGCTGGTGAGGACGTGTTTGATTTCAATCGCATGGCACTCAGATGATTACATGATCGGAGGAGATTACTCCAATCACGGCGTTGGTCAGAAGACCAGTCTTGGTTGAGCCCGGAGTCAAGGGTACTCTGGCGGGGTTGGAGGATCCATTCGTCGTTCGGTTTGATTGCAATTTGGGCTCGGGGCATCAAAGTGCGCATGGCTGCGTTCAGGGGGCGGGAAGATGACGATCCATCCAGACCTCATCGAGAATGAGTTTTACTGGTTGCATTTCACTTTGCTACATGTTGGACAAGGCATTTATATGCCAAGTCTTGGTGGCTAGAATCTCGCCACGCATTACCGCCGACAAACTCCCTGTACAAGTCCTCCGACATTCCATATCATGTCACTCTACCAGGTAGAACCACGATGCTCTTTTAGTGGAGACAAGTCCTAAAGAATAGCATCATCCACCAGCGACCTTAAACCCCCGTATATAGCACCACGATTTCATGCGTCAACGACTCTCAAGACAAAGTTGACCACGACGGCTCCGAGCAAAGCCAGGGCAAGGACCGTAGGCCCAATCCGATCATCGAACCCACCCTGGCCTCTTTGCCTGATACTCTTGGCTCGCCAGTGAAACGTGAACAAGGCGTAGATCATGGCAGCCATGGCGACGATGGTGAACAGGCCTGCGGATATGCGGCCGACCGAGTCTCCAAAATTCAACAAACCGACAGCCAGGCCACCCAGGATGACGGTAAAATTGAGCCATGATAGAAATGTACGTTCATTGGCGAAGAAAACTTTGGGTTCAACGCGGGTAGGAAGGGCGATACGCTTGCCTAGATGTAATGGTCAGTTCAGGTGGTGGTGTCTCGGGTTTGGGGTCTGTGATGTCGTCGTACCTGGGGCGCTTTGAAGTAGAGGCTGTTCAGACATATTGGTATCAACGGAGTCGGATGGCTGGGGCCGGATTGTTTTGGTAGAGTTGGTCGAGGACAGAACAGATGCCAGGCAAGCGTGCGCCGGAGCGTTCTAAGCAGGGACTAAATCTGCAGGGGCGGGAGCGATGTCTGGGTTAGTGAAGGGGTCGTAAGGATATAAGGGCTCGAGCACGAGCTTTCCGTTGGCGAGCTGGGTCTCGTTGATTGATTGGGTAGATCTTGCAGTATTGAAAGACCGGAGCGACTTTGTACTTTTCCTTCGCAAAAAAGGGGCTTCTTCGTCGTCGCTGGAAGAAAGAGGAATGGGGTCGGACAAGGTTAATTTCTGTCCACGACGAGGACTGGTACCGGAAGAAGGAGAAGACCTTATGGGAGACTCCAATCACAGGTGCGTTCTGAGGACTTTCTGGGGAGAAACCAGGAGGTGTTTTCAATTCGACCGCTGTCTCGAAGCGGGAGGATAGCAGCAACGGGAGGACGCAGCGACGAGCGGGGGGAGGAGATGTTGATGGGAGGTATTGGTGTATCTTGGACCACTAAGCTCCTGGTTACTGCCCCTTGTTGGCTAAGTGAGAGGAGTGAAGACGGGCGAAGCAAACAAGCCCGACTTAGCGGAGGATTGATAACAAGAGAGGATGAGAGCAAATATTGCTCAGATAGATATGCAGAGGGTAGCAGTGCCGAAAGTGAAAAATTGAAAAGAAAATTGAGCTATCTCAATCTTTTCCAGAAGTTTACAGCTGTTGCTGATGTTGGTGCTGTTGCTCGTGAGTTCAGCAGCTGCGCAGTTGCGGGGAGTTCCTTCCCATGCATCGTACTCAGAAAAGGTCTTTGAGCAGTTGCCATTGTATCATTGGTCGTTATCGATCGACTTTGGCAGGTGCTCGAGTTACAGGCTCTGATTCGCTCTACAAAATCCTGGCCTTTCTCACCGCCTAACCATCCTGTCATTGGAAATCCGGTATTATCACAGACACACAGAGCCTCTTGACCGCCTCCATTCAGGGACTAGACTGTGAACGTCGAGGGGCCAAGGAGTCGCTCGAGTTGCCTCAGCCCACCAGCGTCATGTCGACCCTCCACGCCCTCTCTTTGCTACGGAAAGCCAGATCCACCATAGCAACGCGATCCACAAAGGCTGAGGCTCCTCCACCACTCGAATCTCATGCTGACCACTCTCATCAGTCCCACGCCCACAATAATCACAAGACTATCACCACACCCTTACCCACCACACCAAAAGACGAGTTTGCTTTGTCGCAATCAAACTCGACCAATTCACCTACAACCACCACCTCCAGCCTTTTTGATCAAGCTACCAGAAAGTGGTCAAAGCCAGGCTCCAAACCTCGCAATCCCAGTCCTACTCCCATCCAGCCAACCCTCGCGCCTAGTGGATCGCCTGTCGGTGGTCTCCGACGTCGCTTGACACGAAAAGCTTCTACATTTACCTTGCGCCGCCGCCGTCATAAAGTCGACTTGAAACCTCACACCGAGCCTCGTCAAGACTCACAAGATCTACTCCACTATCGAGATCCTCTTTCTCACAGCCTCACCCTCGACCCTCTCCAAGCGCAGACCACCAAGGCTGTGGTAGACTCGGGCTTCAAATCAATTCACCCAAGAGCTTCCACGAGCACCTCATCCCTGTCGACCGTACGTCCAACCTGCATCTCTGCTGGTACGGTTATCGACTGCGAGCCCCAAGAACAGAAAGATATCCCTGCTGAAGTGCAGGCAGTCACCTCGCCTTCTAGGATCACAGGTTTACGAGGTGGTGCTGTCGACCATCTTGACCAAGAAAGATATACTTGGGTCAAAGTCATGGCTTCTGATCACGCATCACCACCAGTTCCATACACCCGTTTGAAGGATATCACTGAAAGTGTAAGCAGTCATTGTTTCTGCGAAGGGGTAGTTTCACTAACCAACTGCACAAACAACAGGCATGCGAAGCAGCTCTCTCTGGGGTGACCTCTTATTCACACGCCGACACAGAACGGTGGAACACCACCATCATCAACTCAATCCTCGGGGCTCTGGTTCAAGAGACAACTCAGCAGCCGTCAGCATCTACCAGCAACTCAACCAGCCCTCCACCTCCCGCGCAACCTAACTTCAAATATGTCGTCAACAGCACCATTATCCAGCACGCAAGCTCGTCGTCCACCACAGGCACGGAAACTGAGGTGAAAAAGTTGAGTGGGAGACGTGGGATGCATGCCGCGTCTGGGGCTTACTGGAATAACGAAAAGGATGGTATGTGGAGTTTCAAGTATCCCGGTGCCGATAGCAAGGGCTTGGATGTTGTTGTCGGCATCATCTGGGTCTGGGTCGGTTAAAGCCTTGGGTCTCGTGAACGCACATGTCTACCGACTCGGATTCGTGAAATTGCATACGAGCTTGGCACAAGAGGTTTGAGGATGCTGAAAGAGTTGAAGTTATGTCGACGGACTGCCAGGAAGGTTTGCTCGCATCGGCTCGCATCACTTGCAAGCGTTGACGGTGACAAAGGAGGATGTGCAATACACGGTCGGACGCATGGTAAAGATGTCTTAAAAGATGAAGCAGAGTGGTTTGGTTTGACATGTCGCGGTTGCTAGACTACGGGGCTCGTTTGACATGGAGATGCGTAAAAAAACATGAGGCTACATCAAGTGAGATGAGCTAAAAGAACTAACAAATATTTTCTTTTGAACCATCGGGACGTCTCTCCGTCAAGACAGATTTCAAGGACGATTCTGGGCTCCACTGGGCCGGACAGTGTTGCTATGAAGGGCATCCTTGGGGTCTTTTGTGGTTGTCCCTCGACCGGACAGGAGCGGGTCCAGGTACGGGGACTATGCAGAATGGCGAATAAAATGAAAATGATTGCATTGTCAACTACAGATCTGCTGCTCCATCGAGTGCAAAGGGGTGCGGGGATGGTCGTAGTTAGGGCTGGGGGAAGGATGGATCGACGACATTGAGTTTCGAGCGACCCAACAGCACACATGGCGGTCGATTCTAGAACAGACTCTATGAGTTGCTTGCAGTACTTCTCTTCCGGGTTGGTGAACGGGATCGACCGAGGCCGAACGGAAGACACGGGGGACCAGGAAGGGTGCGACTTCTGGAACCCGTCTTCTCGTTGACATGTTGGAAAAGGTAAGAAGACCGACGTGATGAGATGAAACAAGAAGCTGTACGTGAAGACGGGGTTGATGCAGGCCAGTGGTTGGACCGGATTTGACGAGAAGGAGGATTTGCCCAGACCAAACGACAACCTACCAATGCGCAAGACCACGGGTGGTCGTCGTTGGCCGCTTCTGTGTCAATATTTACCAGAGACTTACAGAATCACAGACCAAGACTACCTAATCAGGATCAAGTCTAAGGCAGGTAAGCGTCGAGGATCAGGTGACCGTCGTCGCAGATCGTTCATGCCAGTGCGGCTCCTCACCGAGTTCAAGCATGATGATCTGTACGTCAGGATGCTCACGAACAAGCATTTTCTCCCCCGTACCCCCTTTGCAAGCGAGAATGATGGCTGAAGGTGGTTTATACGGCCAGAAAGTGGCTGTAGCGTTTCGGATGGATTGATTCTTTACCAAGGGGTTAATTCAAGGTCCACGTGGAAGGTGTCGAAGATGAAGCATCACAATTAGCCTGTAATCAATAGCATGGGCGGAGATCACTGGGTTGTTATTTTCTACGACAACCGGAGGGTACGGAGTACCTGAAGTTGGGAGGGAAGGGTTTTTCCGAGTTGGCTGGTCTGTTCGCTCGACAAGTACTTTCCTCCACGGTGTCCGTCACGAGTCGGCACGAAGCGAGCAATCAAGCACGGAGGGAGAACGACACAGGAGAAGGAAAGAAGAGGATGGAAAGCTGAAGTTAAGTCAAGTCAAGTCGCCCGATAAAAGAAGGAAACCGCATGGCCTGGTCGACGGGCGTGGTGCCATGTCATGGGCATGTCAAGCGGTCAAAACAAAGATGTCTAGGTGGCATGACGAGGCATGTACAGTAGGTATCCTCAGCCCATGCATGCCAGAGGTTGCTTTTCCTGAGCTTCTTTTCCTTGAGCAAATCAGGTGTGCGGTGGATGAATTACCTGCGAGATAGATGACATCTCATGGTCATGTCGTCGACGTCTTAAGGTTCAAATTTTGTGACACTGACTACCGAGGTTCTTGGTGGCTGAAATCTGGACGCCGTTGGGAGAATGATCAGGAACCAGGATTGAAATGAATCAAGATTGCGGATCATGGTTTGTCCGTGTGGTATGAGCCTGCGGAGGATTGCATGGATCGGGCCAAGTTTATGAAGAAAAAACCAAAAAGGGACCAGCCATGTCTTGATTTCTTTACTCGGCTCGGTAGTCAAATGCTGAATGCTTTGTCTCGGAACTCACAGATTTAATTATGATGGTTAGGCGAATTAGGCAGACCAACTTCGGACCAAGTCCAGGAGGAATATCCCTAGATAGACAAGTAGGTGGCGACGCTGACTAGGTACGGTGTTGATGGTGTCTACGGAGTACGCGCTGCAACGGGCCCTACACATGTACTCCGTAGTTACCTAGGTAGATGAGTAAGGTATGTGTTTATGCCGCATGGGCATAGTGTACGCCCTAGACGCTAGGCGCTACTGAGGACCTACCTAGGTATTTTGTTTCAGGATGCAAACGAGCCCTGAGGCTCGCCTATAGTTTAGCCTTAGGCAGAGTGGAGCCTGATGGGTCCCCAGTGCATGCGTGTTGGAGTCTTGGAGATCGGTGTTAGCCGGACTCGATCGTCCAGCTCTACAGGGATCATTCGCGATCTCTTGCCAATCTACAGGTTAAATTGGCCTAAATGGTTAAGCGAGGGTCCAATCGAGCTGAATGGAGGAGATGCCCCCGGCTGGTTGTGGCTCTTGTGGCTCCAACTTCGAGGCCTCAGGTCCAAGTGACCACCCAACGCAGCTGCTTGCCCTGGTGCCTGCACACCCGAGGACCCTGCCACTGCCACTGCCATTGCCACTGCCATTGCCACTGCCACCTGGGCGTCATCCCCGTCCCCATACCAATACCCACACCCATCTGATCTGGATATGCATCCTCACCTAAAGTCTATCGTTTACCTACGGTTTTATTTACGCATACTGTCTTTGGTCTTTCTCGCTTTGCAAATTCTTAGCCTTGGTAGCGTCACACGCGCACGCGCGCACACTCTCTCCAGACAGGCCCACCAGTCTGTCTTTGTGATGCTCTGATGGCTGGAGCGCACAAAAACATTCTCTTGTGGTTGTCATGACCTATCAACTTTTTTATCCTCATCAATACGTTCTTTTTCCGAGGATCGACGTCTACCACTAGCATAGACCCGTCCCCTATGTAGTCACAGTGCATAGTGCACAATGACGTTGCATACTTGACAAGGCACGAGGTGAATTTACCGGTCTTTTTGATTAGAGTTGGCCGTCGGCCACTGGACAAGGTTTGTGACTTTTGATTTTTCTGACTACCACAAAAACATCAGCAAACCAGACTTACCTAATAACATAACTAAACTATAAGCAGCCACGCGCAGTCTGGCAGCGCGGAGGAGGGACCGAGGAAAACCCTCAAGACGCTTGGCCGTGGCTGGCCCACACTGCCTTCCGCCCACACGCCCCATCCACTGAAAACTACAGAGTACCTAAGGTAGTAGTCCACCCAGCCTGGTGGAAATATACTCCGTAAGCCCTCATCTCAATTGAGTTGGCCGTGACACCGTTGCCCTACCGAGTTCCGTACTCCGTACGTGCGCATATGCTTAAACTTCGTATGCGTACAGAATACGCAACACTCTCGGCACGCATCTGCGTATGCCCTGCTCCTTGTCGTCAAGGATCTCCGTCTCCACCATGCCATCATCCTCTGACGGCACCAGCTGGAAGAAAAGCAAAAAAATTGAATCAATTCGTGAACCACTCCAGTGACGTGTCAGCCAATCAATATTTCTACATTAGCCAAAGTTCGTAGGTTCGTCAACAAACCGACGGGCACAGGTCTAGGCATGCCATCACCGATTGGATTCTTTTAATTTGTTGCTGCATGCTGACCAATTGTAAGCTTGACCGTCGCTAACTTAGATGGATGTATTGAAACGGGTATCTTGCAGCCGTTGAAGACGAGTTATTTTAGCGATCTACCCTCGTGGTAGCAGATTCAGCCACCGTGTGAGGTCAACAGCCTTGCTAAGCCTCCTGGGATTCGTGATCATAGGACAATGAAAATAACGGAGAAAAAAAATATCATCATCGTCCTAATTGATCGTACGATGCAAACATGCCTTCGTCTACACACACCTGATCAGGCCAAGGGTGTCGGCTACCATCCGTGACAGCAGCCAATTGATCCCCCTTGCCGCTTGCCGAAACGGCGGCTCCGGCCTGTGGACAGCGGCGATCTTGCATCAGACACTTGCTGAGAGGACCCATGATTGACCAGTCATCCTCCAAGACAGGTACAAGGCTCGAATGGCAGGTAACCAGGGTGCCTGGAGAATGGATCCGAGGATCCTCCAGGGATCATGGTTCCGCCAACAGATGAGTAGCTGCGGGCCTGCCTGAGGCTGCCGTGGGTGCCACTATGCCCAGGTGCCAGGTGCCAGGTGTCCTATGCTATGCTTAAGGTAGGTATGGTATGCGTACCCTGCCTGACACTCCTGGCAATATGGGGAATCGTAGGGCCTGAACGGGGGGACCCATCATGCCCATCACGCCCATCGTGCCTATCCATCCATCCCTTCAACCCTCCGATGCAGCCCATCAATCCTTGTCCACCTGGTCACTTCCCTGCTTCCTTGGTGCCATGGCCTGTGGTCCAACTCTCTTTTTTCATTTGCCCTCTCCGAATTGGGACGTTTTGTCCATGGCTCAATGCCCTCAATCGCCCTTTCAACGCTTCATCGCTCCGTCGCTTACCCGTCTTGGTCCTTGGTTCTGATGGCTTGACTGGACCTGCAGGCATACGGGCCCTCGTCCTGCAGGTGCAGCATGCAGTGCCTGTTTCCGGACTGCCGAACCCACATGTTGGGTGCTGCTGCTGCTCGAGTTCTCAAACTGTCACTCTGTCACTTCACTCGCTCCCTATCCACATCCTAAGCTCGAGCCCTTCTGCCTCAGCCTCCACCCCTGATGTGCCTGAAGTCCCTAGAGCCAACCTCTAGGGACGGCTGTCTGGGATGCCGTCCAGCTTTGATAGGTACCACTGCCAAATTGGAGTTTTCCTACTGCTTCCTCTATCCAGTCACCGGCTTTTACCACCAACGTCCAATACCACCACCATCACCACTACTACCACAACGTCCACAACACAGCCTCTCCCAACCTGACGACACCTCATCCTCCTCTTCCTGCTGAGTCGGTCCTCCCCTCTTGCCACGAGTCCACTGGTCAGCACGACACGATCATCATCCTCCAGTCAATATCCAGCCTCCTCTCAGAAGACTTCTCCTCCCGTCAGACAGTGCCCACTCTTGAATCTCCAGCCTTGCACCCGCGGCTCTTCTTGGACCAGGTTCGCTCGCCTCTGAGATGGACCCTAGTCACTCGCCAGCTCCACTTAATTAACCTTGGCTTGAGCTTCACTTCCTCCCGCGCGTGCGCAATAAGGCCCCAGGGCCCATCGTCAAGGCGCCAGTGAGAGACCAAGAACGAAGACGAGCACAAAAAAACGAAGATGAGCGTCGAGCGTGTTCGGTCGGCTCGTCAAACCAGTGGGTCTTGTGCAAATGCTTCTCCATGACCTTGTGCCGATCACTTGGTACCCATCCTCCACAGATATAGCCTTGTCCCGCCCTCGCCCTCGCCTGAACCATTCGTCCAAGCCGGTCTCACCTACTCAGGTCATAGTCCATTCTTGCCGACCTTTGTCTAGCCTGATTTTCTGTCCAACCGTTGCGCTATCGTACTTGGACAATCCCCGGGGACCCATCCAATCATCCCCACTTCCAGCTGTCCGCTGCTTTCAATACTCTTCCAACATCCTCTGATCAATATTCAATGCTTGTCCGCCCGTGCACTCACCTGCTTGTCCATCCTGCTCGCTCAGCTCCGTACCCTGACCCATATTACGAAGGTGTCCCCCCCATATCACTCCTATGCTGTACGGCTACTTCCCCTGACAGCCGAAACTTTACGTGCCACCATACGTCAACCCTCCAAGCCTCCCAGGGTACTTGAACCATATCGGTCGCCACAGAGGTCTACCATCAAACCAACCGTCAATTCATCCAGACCTTCAACATGTCAGAATCTGGCAGTGAGGCAACCAAAGCCGACAAGAAGAGGTACATTCTCCTCCGCTTCCTCTCCACCTCCTCTCCGCTCCATCTGTCCCATACTGACGATCCAACAGAGAATACAACCGAAATGCTCAACGAGTCTTCCGTAAGTACCCGCCGTCGCGAGTCCATTGCCACTTCCATTGCCACCTCTAGCACCTTGTCCAGTACTAATTCAATCTACAGGTCAAAGGCGGAAAGAACATCTTAGCAAACTTGAAGCCGCCCAACGCGAAGCAAGTACCTCTCAGAACGACGAAGTCGAACGATTGCGCCGGGAGAACTTTGCTCTCGCTCAAGAGAATGAATCGTTAAAAGCAGCCTACGGCTCTCAGTCAAGTTCGCCAGGACCTTCGATCAGTCCTACAGAAGTCCGAGGATCGCCAGCTGGGTATATAACCTATGCAACTGCTCAAACCCCCTTTGCTCCGACTGTGGGCACTCCATTCATGCCAACTACCATGTCAATGGCACTTTCATCTTCCATCCCCACCCCTTTATCCTCGACGCCACTCTCCAGCACCACTACAGACCCATCTAGTCTCGTGGTAGTGGTCCCGAACAACATCCGTGAGATTCGTCGTTCTCTCCATAACATGTTTGCTCCACTCCTCGACATTCCCGTCATCTCAAACCCTCAGACTCACCTCGCAACTCTGGCCGCTTTGGCGCCGACTTTACCAAACGTCCTGAAGCCAACACACGTCCAGTTGACTACTCCTCACCATGCCTACATCGACATGATCCCATCGCCCCTCCTCAGAGACCGTTTGATCGCCGTGGGACCAGAACACGCGAACTCCTTTTTAACAGAAGTGTGCACCATCGCATGCGACATTGAAGACACAGGACAAATGACAATCTGGGGAGAGGACTGGCTCAACGAATTTTCTTGGGAATTTTCTGCCCCAGTTCTTGAGAGATGGCGAGGTTGGCTCCTGACCCTCGAATGGGGTCAAAGAGCAAACTTCTGGCGACGTCAACGAGGAGCAGCTATTTTACACGGCTATGATTAAATACACGACTTGAACGTGCCGACCAATAAACCTGCATCACGACGCATCTCTGTACATTCTGTCGTGGAAATGGACAGGTGCTCAGCATGCTACAACGAGAAACGGACAATATGAAACACCAGAGAAGGACGATTTAATATTTCTTTTCCACAAAGTGCGTGTGTCGAACTCGCCATTCAGCGGAAACTGGGCATGGACGGAGTTGTGTGGCCTGAAAACGGGTCACAAAGTTACATCTCCTATGGAATCTGTGCAGCATTTGGCCAGATCAGATGCTAGAGCTTGAGACAAGGCGCTGGCAGCCATGTTTAAGTCGTTTTATTATATATCTTTTGGGCCATTTCCTGGCCGTGTCATAATACACCTTTGTTCAAAATATGTTCATCACCTACACTATGCGTTTTTCTAAGCCTCTCAGCGACTTGACAGAGAGAGTCAACTTGACATTCATAGCCTTGTGCGACCTCGTGTTTGTTGAGGGTGCCTCATCACGCCTTGTCAAGTCAATTCAAATTCGCTCGAGCAAGCTGCGCATTCTACTGAAGACACTGCCAACCCCTTGACCAAAACAACAACGCCTTGGGCACTCATTGTCGGCGCACAATGTTGAGAGTAATCATTTTGCGATATTTTTTGACTCAAAGCCTATCGTGACTTGGTGAACAAGATAGCTAATTGAAGCGTACATTTTGAAATTGCTGAAACCTGTTTTCGAAACACGAGGTTCTCGGACCGGGTCAGTAGCGACAATGGCGCAATGATGGATTCGCCAGGGACGGACGGTACGAGCGCGCGCTTGCACATGGCTACCATTGCCGGTGATTCACCGCTGGACAGGACTGGACGAAAGAAATCGATGAATTTCCTAACCCCCGAGGGGTTTGACGTACATTTCTGCCCTGTGGGAAAAAACCCAATTTACCCTGGGCAACTTTCCGCAGCAATAGACCATGGTCTATGGTCCATAGTCCCTTTTCCCATGGCCAGGGCCTCCCACACACGCCACCTAGTAGCACCTAGCCCTTGGTTCCTCCAGTAGCACTTGGTACTTCTTCGTCCTTTGAGCATCTTGGCCGTGAAAAGCTCCGACCAACCTTGCGTGCAAATAGAAACACACGAAACCCTAAAAAAAGAATCACCCGAGGTCGATCCCGTGGGACCCTGACCTAAAAACCTGCAAGCTACAAGCTGCAAGCGAACTGCCCGGCGAACTGCCCGGTGTACAGCCAAGAAAAGATGATATCTGTATACTTTTGCTTCTGAGTAGAATGATTGGTCCACCCCCCCTGAAGGTGAGGTGACTGAGTGAGATGGACAGAGAGATTCGGAAGACATGGTTTTTGTTTCATCCTATCTCTTCCCATCCCTGGACCTTGCTTTCTACTGTACCGTGGAAGTCTATCCTTATCTATACTTTGGCTGACGGTATTGCCACCTGTCGCGTGGTGTGGACGTGGACGTGGACGTGGACGTGGACGTGGACGTGGACGTGGACGTGGACGTGGTCGTGGTCGTGGTTGTGGTCTAGTAGTGGCTGTGGGTGCATGACGGTACTACCTACATTTAGTGCCTTTTGTGATTTGTATACCAAACAATCAATCAAACCACCCTAACGACTCGGTAATCTCATGATTGATGAATGAATCAATTCGAATAACTTGACTGGGCTTTAGCTCGAGCTACATCAAACTCGAACCCCTTGGATAGATAGATGTACAGTAATTGTGTTGCAGTGTTTGACTGGGAGCAGGGAACGGAGTGTCTTGTCTTTCTGTCTTTGTTTGACAATTCACCAAAAGTTGACCAGAGTTGACTTGATTGATGAGTAGGTTACCTACCTAATTTACTAAGTTCAGATACCTGTTGAATTGATGAAATCAAAACAGTAGTCAGCCCCTAATCTGATTCTTTCGTATCTATCTGTCTTCCCCGTACTCTCCTTTCCGCCAAGCCTCGTCTCGCCTTGACAATAACATGACCAAACTCATGCTTCTATGATCATCCATTCCATCCCATTCATGCCACTTTTGACATGTCTATTATTAGTGAGGAGAGCTTTTGTATGTTGATCACAAGGGCACACAGACACATAGACATGGTAGAACATAATGCTATGTGTGAATGTACATACATAGGTAATCATGTATTTACATAATGCATGTCACAACGTGGTCGACGTCGACGATCATTCACACGAGCCTGAGCCTGCGCCTGAGCCCGAGCCCATGCAGGGTCGATCAGGTACAGACAGGTAGACAAGACAGTCTTTACGAGGGGGACAGGCGAAGGGACAGTGCGCTCGGTAAATGGAAAGTGGGAAAATGGCAAAATTGACAGCTACAAAAGTGACAGTGGCTATGAAGCAACTGACAAGTGACAAGTCGTGTTTAGTGGGGGTGGGTTCGTATGTACTTACTTTGTACGGAGTTAACAGCACAGGGTCCAAGGCTTTTACTGGTGGTCTGTGAGTCTGTGTTCAATGGTCAGTAGTGTGGTCTGTGAGAGGCTCAGTAGTCAGTAGATAAGTCAGTGGTCTATGGGTCCTGTGGTCAGTAGTCATTACGTAGGTCAGTACTATATACGAATCGCTAATGCAATAGCTAACGAAACCGCCTCCTTACCTCCTTACTTACCTCTAGTACTTACCTAGAGTTGTTTCAACAAAGCAAGCAACAAGGTGGCTCGCTTACTCGTTCTATCTGTGCACTTTTTTATTTTCGCTTTTGCCATCCATCAATGCGCGCCGGGTATGTCTACGACTTCCTTGCCTGTAATAGTCTGGAAGGCTGAGCAAGAGTGAGCGTTCGAAAAAGAAGCAGTGAATATCGCTACGGAGATATGTGATATCACGTGTTGCCCACGAGGCGACATTTCATCCTTATTTACTGGGCCGAGGGTGCCTCTTGCGCAGGTTCCGTTTTAATCATGTCACGGATTCTAAGCAGAGAAATTTTCTCTTTCATTTTTTCACATACCAAGCCAGGTCATTGCCCTTCTGTAACTCATATTGCAGGAATCCATTCCCCAGAAATCGAAACCGGTTCTTGTTTCTCGGCTCAATGTCGAAGTCCTCCGGGCGCAGATCTTGAATGAGCCGCTTGAAAAGCAACGCACTCCCTGCAAACGTCGCTGTCACTCGCCCATCGATCGTGTTGTTCTTGTACCAGCTTCGACACGCCCCAGTCCAGGTCAGTGTTAGGTGGATCTGATCGGAGTAGACGATGAAATCATCCACGACGCTCTGCTTTGGGACGACCGCTTTAATATCTTCCGAGGCAATTTTCCTTATCCATTTGATCATGTAGTCGGCACTCCAGCCTAAACTTTCCATTAAGGAGCCGTGGCCGATCAGTGCGTTCGGACCGGTGAACATGAAGTAGTTAGGCATGTCGGGCGAGGCAAGCGAGAAGTATGATGAGGGTTCCTTAGCCCATTTGTCCACAAGATTCACATTGGCACGGCCAACGATAGGGTATTGAGGACGATAGGAGACATCGAACCCGGTGGCGCAAACGACTTTTTCCCCGTTTGATTAGCTTGCTGCTGACTCGGGGGTTGAACGCTTCAGGCAACCCTGCTGAAAGGAAACTTACCGACATCGACCTTGTAAACCTGACCATCAGTTGTGTGAACGCTATCGGCATCAATCTTGGTGATGGGACTTTGAGTGAGTCCAACATTCTCGCGCAAGAAAGCTTCAAGATATCCCTCTCCGGGAGTAATTCTTCGACACCCCAGTTCCCATTTTGGAATGAGCTTTTCGCACAGTTCGGGGTTGTTCTTTAACTTGGCCGTCATTTGTCGCTGGGCAAGATCAAAAATCTGCTTGTTGAGTTCCGAATTCTTGACAAACTGTGTATTGTTTGTTAGTCCGTCGTCGGGTATCCTGGATGTTGTTGAACACGTACCATCTTAAAGCTGTCGTTAATGCCGTGAATGATCTTCTTACGGTATTGATGATGCTTCTGAGGTTCCTGGAGAAAAGCTTGCTTTCCCTCCTCCGTGTATTCCGGGTTATACGCCGGGTCATCCTTTCCAAGGAGTGATGCAGGGCTCATGGTGCTGACCACCCAGGTTGGACCCCGTTGAAAACTCGTCACTTTCGTCCCCGGTAGCTTGGCCAACTGAGGCAGAATTTGGATCCCAGATGAACCATTACCAATCACCGCGATGGTCTTGTTGCTATAGTCGTAATCGTGGTCCCAGCTCGCCGAATGGACCTTTTTACCTTGAAAGTTTTCCAATCCGGGAATCGATGGCCAATTCCAGGTGCTGTGAGAATCTAGTCAGCCTTGTCTTTCAACTTTCCAGATGACCGGGAACCAAGTTTGACAGATCAATCAATGGTAGCTTACTTTAAAAACCCCTGGGCTGAGATCAAGATGTCCGCATAGTCTTCGAAGATCATGTTGTTATGTTCGACTATTATCCGCCACTGACCACGATCTTCTTGCCAGTACGCGCCTGTCACACGATGATTGTATTTGATATCACGCTCAAGGTTCCACTTCTGAGCCGTTTTCTTCATATATGCCCAGATTTCAGGGCCAGTAGAGAAGAAGCGACTCCAGCCAGGATTGGGGTCGAACGGAAAAGCCTTTTGCTTGTTAGCGTCTGATATATGCACCCTTTCAGCTCCTTTGGTTTTGAGGACCTTACATATATGTGTGAAGGGACATCGCAGACCACTCCTGGGTAGGTATTCACCAGCCAAGTTCCTCCTAGTTCGGACCTCACTTCATAAATGGTGTGATCAATCACATCGCTCAAGTCGCTGTGCTCATGCTGGAACTTGTGGGCCAGAGTGAGCCCCGAATAACCAGCGCCAATTGTAACCACCCGAAGCTTTCTGGACGTGTATGCTGGTAAATCGTTCAAACCGGTGCTCACATCTTCTAAATGGTGGGCATCGCCGGCATGTGCACTTGGGTCGGGTGTTGTGTCGGTTGCGATATCGACGCCATTGGCAACACCATTGGTAGCGCCATTGGCAGCGCCATTGGTAAAGTGATCGACGATGCGTGCCATAGCTATTTGATGGCGTTTTTGAAAACCAGTGAGATTATATCACGACAAAGATAGCACGATGGCACTGATTGAGAAAGTGGCATCGGCTGCAGAGATAAACCCTCCGCCAAACTTGTCCCATGTCATTTTCACACAGCCTTGCCATCGGATGGGCTAATGAATGCGATATGGAGGTCAGCCCTTTAGTCCTGCCTCGGAGTCGAGTCTCCAACTCGCAAACGGTTAAATCTAGTGTTTTGCTCTAGAGTGGAGTGGCGTTTTTCAACTCAGTACGCTCGCAACTTTATTTCGGCGAAATCGGGTAATCACTTACTCAACGCTTATTTGCCCTGTATGAGAGAGTGCTAGGGTAGAAGCCATCTTGATGTTGGTTTTGAGCTGATGGTCTTCATCGCCGAAATTCGAATGTCCAGAATTTGGTGCGGACACTTCCCTAGCACATTCTACACTCTGTAGAGTGTTCATGACCCCATGGGGTGCAAATTAGAGATAACGGTCTCGGACACTTCTCTTGGAAGTGGGAAACTCTTGTCAATTCGTTCCGCAAATACTATACAGAAGCTGCATTTGTTCCGTTGAGGTTAGATCTCTGCATTTGAAAAGCTGACCACCGTCGGCGTATACCCCTAACAGGCAATGGGTTCCATCAGCGAAAATCTCGAGTGCGATGCCGTCCTCATTGGCGCCGGTTTTGGAGGCTATACTATGCTTCACAAGCTGCGTAACTTGGGGCTTCGCGCAAAGATTTTCGAGCGAGGTTCGGGATCTGGAGGTGTCTGGTCAGTATGCCAAGGAGATGAAAACGAAGGTCCGTTTGACTGACACGTATTGCAGGCATTGGAATCAGTGTAAGTAGACAGATAGTGTATCAGATCTAACGGCGAGTTGATCATGGATCTAGACCCTGGTGCTCGCGTTGATAGCGACTCGCCAGCTTATCAGTTCTTCGACAAAGAGATTTGGGAAGATTGGACCTTCTCTGAACGCTTCCCTGGATTCCGCGAGCTGCAAAAATACTTCCAACACGTCGAGAACAAGTGGGACCTACGAAAGGACATCGAGTATCACAAAAATGTCTTATATGCGTCCTGGGACTCAGGCAGTCGACGCTGGAGGGTGGGTTGTTCAGACGGAACCGAAACGAAATGTAAATGGTTGTTCGCAAACGTGGGCTTTGCGGCCAAAGAGTAAGTCACCGACTCTGAATCTCCTCTTCACTCTGCGGCACGACTAAGTAAGAGACAGGTATATACCTTATCTCCAAGGCTCTGCTAATTTTCAGGGCGAGATGTACCACACGGCACACTGGCCGCATCACGAAGTTAGTCTTCGAGACAAAAGAATTGCCGTCATTGGAACAGGGGCAAGTGGCATTCAGGTGATTCAAGAGGCGGGAAAGGTCTGCAAGCATCTCACTGTGTACCAACGCACGCCGAATTTCTGGTGAGTGCTGTCTATGTCTTTTAGTATACAGTCTGACCGATTGATTAGCCTCCCAATGCAACAGCGTAGCTTAGATGCCAGAGAAGAGCAGGAAAAGAAAGATAACGGGATTTACGAAGCAGCTTTCAAAGCGTGCGAGAAGACCGATGCCGGTGTTCCATACCAAAACAACGGACGCAAGACCTTTGATGACACGAGTGAACAGCGTGAAGCTTTGTGGAACTCTCTCATACAAGACGGCGGCTTCAAATTCTGGGTCGCCGGTTATGCGGACATGAATTTTGACCAGAAAGCCAACGAGGCCGCCTACGACTTTTGGCGGCGCATGGTACTTAAACGCATCAAAGATCCAGAGAAAGCCAGGCTATTAGCACCGGAGGTCCCACCGCATCCTTTCGGTGCAAAACGTCCATCGCTGGAACAGAATTATTTCGAGGTCGTCAGCCAGGAAAACGTTGACATCATCAACTTGAACGAATTCCCCGTAGAAGAGATCAACGCCACGGGCATTCGTACCGCGGCAGGGCAGGTTGATGTCGACTTAATCGTTCTTGCTACGGGTTTTGATGGTCTCACGGGCGGGTTTATGGATATCGACTTTCGGGGCGTTGACGGACGGACTCTGAAGCAGTACTGGAGCGACGGAGTCAAGACTTCCATGGGGGTGGCCGTGCCCGGTTTCCCCAACATGTTCTTTCTCTTCGGACCGCAAGCGCCGTCGACCTTTTCGTAAGGGGGTCCCACTGTCGTTACTCCATCGTCAGCTAACATTTGATCTCCAGCAACGGTCCATCCTGTATCCAATTCCAAGGTCAATGGTTCGAAAAGCTGATCGAGAGAATGCTGGCCGAGGGCATAGAAACCATGGAGGCCACAGAAGAAGCGGCCAATGACTGGGTGGAAAAGATTCGCGAGAAGTGGGAGGCAACGCTTCTCCCTAGGGGCAAGATAAGTCTACTCTACTCCCTTGCGATTTTTCTGTTGCTGACGTCTCTCCACAGCTGGTGGACCGGTGCCAATATTCCAGGCAAAAAGGTACAACCTCTAAGTTGGGCGGGGGGTCTGCCCTCATACTTGCAAATGCTGAGCAAGACGTTGGACAACAATTACCAGGGCTGGATCGTAGGACCCGGAGTATCTAAGCACGGCAGTGTGTCATAGAGATAGGGTATGCTTTATTTTCATGGCCGATTTTTGATTCGGACAAACCTGCCTTATCGCCAGTGCGTTCTTTGGTCTATTGTAAAGCTCCAGTCTCAGGTAGAGGGATATGCTCAATGGAGCTCACACTTTAGAGATCAAACGAGTCAGACAGAGTTTCAGTCTCAATTGCAACGCATGCGCGAAGGAAAATGAGACAGTGCAGATGGAATACTTAATTCTCTCCGATACTTAAAGACACTACTCCCTCATGTGTTGCACGCTCGGACCCAAGCACCGTCCACTGGCAGTTCTACACCACTAACATAGCTTGCCCGTTCACTTACCAACCACACCGCCGCCTCCGCTAATTCTTCTGCGGTACCCATCCGTCTAAAAGGGATGAGACTGACGAGTTTTTGGTAATCTGCACCGGCTGCCTTGGCCTGTTCCACTAGAGGTGTGTTGATGAAACCGGGGCAGATGGCGTTGACTCTGATACCATCGATCGCATAAGCCACCGCATCCGTCCTTGTTAGCCCCAAGACCCCGGCTTTCGAGGCGGGATAAGCTCCAGCCGTTGCGTGAGCCGTGATGCCGAAGATACTGCTGATGTTCACAATTGCCCCTCTCTGAGTAGGTATTGCTTCTGGATGATTGCGAGTTTTGAGCGTCGCGGGTTGCTTGAGGAACTGGCGGATCTGCGCTCGTTCGCACAACCACAATCCTCGAAGGTTGATGTTGATGACTCGATCGAATGCTTCCGTCTCTAGTTCGTGCGTCCGTAGCCGGGGTTTACTCGTCACGCCCGCACTGTTGATACAATAGTGAATGGCTCCGAATTTAGAAACCCCTGCTTCGACCATCTGCTCGACATCGGCTTCTTTGCTCATATCACCGCTGAAGAGAACAGTTTCCACCGTCGTGTCGATGATTTTCAGTTCCTGCGAAACCTGCTCAAGGCCATCTCGAGTCAAGTCCGAGAGTATGAGCCTCGTACATCCTTCTGCAACGAGAATTTTAGCACAGGCTCGCCCGATTCCCGAAGCAGCTCCTGTGACAAGGCCGACGCTTTGGTTCCGGTCAGTACAAATGTTTTGTTTCGTGGATGCCGCGTCCTTACCCTGTCATCAAAACGGGTGCCATTATTGCGAGAAGACGTGTTGAACAAGGCAGTGATCAACGGAGACAGACACACGGCAGTCACTGTATGATAATTTTCACTTCTTAACCGCAATTTGTCCGGACCAACAATCCTGAGGTCGTACATTAACTTTCAATCAGCTTCACGGTGACCTTTGACATTGAAATCCAGCCCTATAGTACTGTCGGTTCCATGAATCCGACTTTTCGTAGCTGGGAGGTGTCGAATCCGAGTAGAGAGTTTCACAAGGCCCCGGCCGGAGTGAAATGGGGGTGGATTATTTCGCCGAATTTGGCTCGACACAATCAGGTGGGCCAAAAAATGCCGGATCCGCACTTGGACGACCGTGAAATCGAGGGATTATATGTGTCCATTTTCACATGGTTGTGTTCAGGAGACCCTTGGGGCTCGCCTTGCATGTTTCCCCGTGGGGGCCCCGGACTTGTTCATTCGGAAAAGCCCTTTAAGTGTCAATACTTTCGCCGGAGACCCCAGATTAGCCACGAATTTGGACCGGACATTACTTTGAGAAGACCAGAGCTCTTTGATCGTCTCTTGACCGTCGACGCAGAGACCTCGGCGAACGTCACTGACCATCCAGTCAGGATGCTGATCAGTTCTTGTCGTTGCATACGGTGTATGTGTTCAAGGCACGATCTTGTCGCTCATCACTCAAGCTAGCACATAAAATTCCGATAGAGCCTTTGACAGCAGTTAACCAAGACCTTGCGCTGTTCTACACGCAAATATGGATTAGTGATAGTAGTGGCAGCCGGATTTTCAACTTGAGACGCTCTTTTGTCAGCCTTGCCTCCAAGCCTTCTGAAGGCCAGTCCATATTGCAACAAAACATTTGCCTTGAACTTGCATTGCTCTGTTACCACTTGGAATGATGACAGGACGCTTTCGCGATAAAGTGGTTTTCGTCACTGGGGGGACTTCTGGTCTCGGAGCACAAACATGCGAGCTGTTCTTAAAAGAAGGCGCGATTGTCTTTGTCACGGATCTACAGGTAATAGTGTATTCAGATATTCAGGATCAATTTGGATCAGGCTTTAACCAGAACTGTTCCAGTTCGCACCCAGATAGCAGTTGATGGCAAGCTGCTGACGAGACTTGTTCGAACAGGAACGGAACGCCTCACAACGCTTTGGTCGAAATGGTCATTTCCACCAGTGCGATGTCTCGGGTAGGTAAACCTCCTATTCTTACCATTCTCGATACTCTTCTGGGCTCTTGGTCGGGTCTTTACACCAACCCTTCTATGTGTAAATCATCGAACTGCCCATTGACATACGAAATACCATCAGATCCAGTGTCTTGCTTCGCAGCAGTTGATGCATGCATTAAAAAGCTTGGAAGGATCGATATCCTGTTCCACAATGGCGCCATGCTGAGTCCCATAGTTCCAGTGGTCGACCACGACATTGACGTTTTCAACAAAGTCATCATGACCAATCTTTGTGGCGCATTTTACCTGGCCAAAGCCGTGATCCCCCACATGAAATTGGTTGGAAAGGGGGTGATCGTAAATACTGCAAGTATTTCCGGCATCGGAGGAGATTATGGTCTTTCTTCATACAATGCTGCTAAAGGAGGATTGATCAATCTCACGCGGACAATTGCCATGGACCATGCAAGAGACGGAATTCGGGCAGTGACTGTCTGTCCTGGGTTCATGGACACTCCTATGTCCGAAGGAGTACTGCAAAACGAGAAGCTCAGGGAAGAATTGTTCGAGAGCATACCGATGAATCGCGGAAGGCATCCAATGGAGGTGGCTCAGTTGGTTCTGTTCCTTGCTTCTGATGAAGCATCTTATATCACTGGACATCGTAAGGAACCCACCCAGAATTTGTCTCATTCCGCTGTTTGCTGACCACATGCAGCTTTCGTTGTAGATGGAGGATGGATTGCTCGCAACCCCAGTCCAAATTGGTATAAGTACATTGGAGGAACTTAGGAATGATCTCTCGTGTATTACTACGGCTTTAGGGGTGGATAGCAATTTGGATCACACTGTTGCTTATGCTTAGGAACCCAATATCATTGCACATGCTATCCCCCAGCTTTTTGAACTGGATTGTAAACGTTAGATGAATTGCATTCGACCATGAAGTGAATCGAACCTGCAGCTGTCGAATGGAACACGCTGATAGATGGCTTATCCTGCGCATCGAGGCACAGTGCCTCGAAAGACGTTTCTTGCAAAGTTCGTGCTTTGACTTGCGATCGGAGCGGAATTAAAGTACGATGACATATCTTACCAATTCGCCGAATGGCAATCAATGCACTAGTCTTGCTGCAGAAGGGTTCCGCGGGCCCCTCTTCATCTCCATATTTCCAAATCTCGTGCGATCACTATTGAGGCTAGCAAAGCCTGACCTTGATGGAGATCAGAATTCTGCAAGTTCTCTTTCTTATATCCGTGGGGTCGTGATTCCATCTACAAATCGATTTTTCTGCAAGTTTCTCTTTATTGTATCCGTGAGATTATCCGTGAGATCGTGATTTCATCGACAAATCGATTTTTCTCAGGAATCATGTCGGGCGCAATGAGCAAGACGGACCAAGTACGCTCAGAAGGAATTTTCCGCGGATTGCCTGTTCTAGATGCTTCTTTGAAGGGCCTGAGAGCCATAGTCGTTGGCGCAAGCGGTCAATCTGGCCAACCCGTGGTTGACGTGCTAAGTGCCAATACGAATAGATGGGAGAAAGTCTACGCGTTATCAAGGAGGCCGCCAACAACAGGTGCAAAGAGTGTCGAACATATACCGGTAGATTTGCTGTGGGAGCCTGAGCAGGTCGCCAGTATCTTACTCAAGCACGAAGTCCAAGCGTACGTTGCTCCAAGTTGGAGATCACCAGACCAGACAATGACTGTTTCTGACATTTTCTCTTCTGCAGGGATTATATTTTCTACTTTGGCTATGTACAAGTTGCAAGGCCAGATACTGATTCGGAAGTATTTGGGAATCCCGACCATTTGGCCGAAATTAACGGTAAGACAATCGAACTGGATGGTAGATAATTCGGCTCACTGATCGCACGAATTTAGGACGGCTCTTCGAGAATTTCCTTCTCGCCTTGGATCTAGCCAAAATTCAACCCAAACGTATCATACTCCAGACTGGAGGCAAGAATTATGGTGTTCACCAAGGTCACGTCAATGTACCACTTACAGAGGGCGCAGCGAGGGTGGAATTGGAACCCAACTTTTACTACACTCAGGAGGATTTACTGAAAAAGTACATTATGACACACCCTGGAGCGAGCTATAATGTCACCATGCCGCAATGGATCTTGGCAGCCGTCGCTGGGACAGACATGACTATTTTCTATCCGCTGGCAGTTTACGCTTCCATTCAACGAAAGCTCCTCCAACCTCTTGAATATCCCGGTGACCTGACATCCTGGGACAACAACCATCCCATTTCCACAGGATTCATCCTCGGTACATTTTATGAGTGGTTAGTCGTGACCGAAGGCACTGCAGGGGAGTCTTTCAACATCACTGACGGGTCGGAATTTACTTTTGGGAACTTTTGGCCCATTCTGGCCTCGTGGTTCGGCTTGGAGTGGAAGCCTCCTCAGGAAAACGACAGCTACCACGAGGTAGAGCTGCCATTCGTGCCACGGGGGTACATCTATCTATCATCTCCTGCGTTCTCCGATTGTGCTGATACTGAATGCTACTACAGATACGGCCCCAAAGGCAAGCTTCGGTCCACCTTCAACTTCATCGAGTGGGCAAAGAAGCCGGCAACTCGACAGGCTTGGGTCGAAATGAAAGAAGAACACAAGCTAAACACCGACCCATTGCAGAACCCTGAGAAAACATTTGCTTTCCTGCAGTTTGCGCTCGAGCTAACATGGTCCTGGCAGACTAGGTAACAACCATCTTCGATTACTTCCCCCATACGAAGAGGCAATGCTAACCGATGCTGATAGTATGAACAAAGCTCGCAAGTTCGGCTGGCACGGACATGTGGATTCGATCGAGTCTATACACTCGGTATTCCAAAAATTCACGGACATGAAAATGATCCCACCATTCTAAAGTAGAGGATTGTGGCAGTGGGCATTGCGGTCAGTCGATCATTTCGCCTCTTATGTGCAGGAATTGACGGGATGGGTTCCTATTGAGAGTTTGGATTTACATCAGTTCTTGTAAAGTACATGGCCACTGATCTCAGGCAAATGCTTCAACCAGTGGCATGCAATCCTGCACAAATTCATCAAATAACGTGAGTAGCTGTGCCTGGATTAGACAATTTTGAAATCGAGTAGAACCGGCTTCTGTCTCTGCACCAGCTTAAAGTCATTATTATTTGTCAATGCCATGGGATATCATCCCCAGGGAGGCCTTGGGTGAGTCGTCCATTTTCGCCGGGACAATCAAGCTTCGCCGAATCGTGTGTCGGCACGACTGAGGACCTCCACTAGGCTTTGCACGTCAGAAACATCAGATGTATCTGGTGATATAAAGAAATCTCACAATGGAAGCGGTCCATTCACACCGTTCCTTAGAACCGATATTGGATCGTACTGACATTATTTCGATACCTCCCGCGAGCCACGCATTTTGACGGACGACTACGACGAAGCCGTAAACGTACGAGAACAAAAAATCGATCAAAATGAGACGCATTCTTTTAACTGGTGGCTCTGGCTTCATCGCTGCACATGTACTGGACTATCTCATCCAAAGAGGCTACAGTGTGGTGACGACTGTGCGTTCCACGTCAAAGGCTGAGAAGATCAGAGCAGCATACCCGAAGATCGGTAAGGACCGACTGGACTTCGCGATTGTGGAAGATATCGCACAAGACAATGCCTTTGACGACGCCGTCGTGTCCAATCCGCCCTTCGAAGCGGTCATTCATACGGCCAGCCCATTTCACTTCAACGTGACCGACGTTCAACGAGATCTCCTGGATCCTGCAATCAAAGGCACAACGGGCATTCTCAAATCCATAATCAAAAACGCACCCACTGTCAAGCAAGTTGTCATTACTTCGTCCTTTGCCTCAGTCGTGAACCCTTTCAAAGGCTCGTGGCCGGAACACACATACACCGAACAAGATTGGAATCCCATCACTCTCGAGCAGGCCTCTGAAAACGCCGCCAACGGTTACCGGGCTAGCAAGACATTCGCAGAGAAAGCTGCGTGGGAATTCATGCAGCAAGAAAACCCATCCTTCTCGTTGACCACTCTCTGTCCACCGCAAGTATTGGGACCCGTGATCAGCCATCTTAGCGGCCTGGACAGTCTCAACACCAGCAACCAAATCATCCGCGATTTGATCCAGGGGAAATTTAAAGACAAGATCCCACCAAACGCCACGTTTACGTGGGTCGATGTGCGCGACCTCGCCCTTTGCCACGTCCTGGCACTGGAGAAGGCCCTCGCAGCAAATGAGCGCTTTCTGGTTACTGCGGGCTACTTCTGCAACGCGGAGCTAGTGGACATCGTTCGAAAGCACTACGATCAATCGCATGATCAACTGCCTGCCGAGGGTAGTAATGGTGGTGGGTATCCAGAAGGTGGGCTCTACAAGGTCGATAATTCCAAAGTCGTCAAGATCATGGGAGTATCGTGGAGGAAGTTGTCAGACACGGTGATGGACACGATCAAGTCACTGGAAAATTTCCAAACATAACGGACGTAGGCAGGTCATCTGAGAGAGATGTACATTCCCCCTGGGAACGGAGGTTGAAATAGCCGAACATTGCAGCCTGGCTTCTGAAGTAGTATTGCAATTGATTGACCAAGTCCCCTGGACCGATTCAATAGTATGTCCCATTAGATCTTGCTTGCTTGCGTGATATTCTCCAAACCAGTGACGTAGTCTCACGAAGTCTGCTATGGTGCAACTGCTTTACAGACTGGCTCACGAGAAGGCAAGAAGACGGCCAGAAGAAACCCCCTCGTAGTATTCACGCAAGAAACAAACCTCGTTCGATCAACCTCCACTTGTCAGGCGCAATACTAGGTAGCAATTTGTCGTCTCACCTCGAACAGCAGCATCGAAAGCTATCACAAGGCTACATCGTTTCCTCCACAGCCCCGATTGTGGCCCGATACTCGCAACACAAATTGGCCGGGAACCAAGCCAGGAATAATGTTCGCCGAGCACGGTTCCGATCGTCAAAGGATGGGGGGGTCTTCGCAGCATACAGAAGTCCACATGGTAAAAAGGTAGGGAGGAACCTACTGATGCTCCACATTTGTTCTCGACACCCGCACGTTCCTTCATCAGATTGTTTTCAATGCCACATGATCCACTGTTGAGCAATTGATGACAAGTCTACAAACTGATAGCAACATCCGGCTACCGGAATCTGGAACAAGAAGGCCTCCAGCCATTCCTCTTAGCCTAAGCAATTTCGGCGAATATTGTGCATTGCCTTGGCAGAGCATTCATACTCTACAAGTCTGTAAACGTCCGCTACTGGCGGAGGACGGAACCTGGTCGGGGAATCTTCTCTTTCTCCATCTTACGCCCCCGTGTTACCCCAGGCTTTCCCCAGGATTTACGCTATCCAGGTGCCCGTCCCGTCAAATCAGATATACTTAAATCCAGCACTCTTTGGTCTACCACGACTTCTTATTGACCTATATTGACGGTATAGTATTTGCTGTCTTATTCATCATATCTCAAATCTGACATCATGGCTGACGAGAAGTTCGAAGTTGAGAATGTGGAAGTCCAGCCCAACGTCACGGTCACCGAGCAATTCTTCCAGTGTAAGGTGCTACAGATACTCTCGTTGCCATCCTAATGTTTCCTGACTAACGTTTACCATGACTATCAGCTGAGCCTGCCTGGGCAAAATACATACCCGGTGGCTATTCACGGTCAAGATGCTTGAAACTCTCCGGTATGCCCATGGTGGTATGCATTCTGACCCTCGCCGGGACATGTATTCTCTTCTTCGGCTATGACGCTGCTGTGATGAGTCTGGTCAATATCAATCAAGACTATCTGGAGCACATGGACTCTGCTGGAGGGACCTCAAGTGATGCTGCACGAATCGGTGGGATTGTGAGCTTCTGGTTTCTCGGCTTCCTCGTCGGTAGGACAACCTCTAACATTCAACACTCACCGGAGTGAAATCAGTCAAACACAAGGATGAAATGTACTGACAATTGTCACTGCATAGGTGCTATCATGGCTGGTAGCTACGCCGACAAGATTGGGCGACTCAAATCCATTCAACTCGGATGCGTTTGGGGAATTTTTGGCGCCTGTCTGCTGGCCTCCGCTAAGAATTTCTCCTGGATGGTCTGTGGACGCATCATCAGCGGAATAGGGTGCGGCCACCTCAATACCATCGCACCAATCTGGACGTCAGAGCTCGCAGACTACAACTTGCGAGGCGCGTACGTATCTGTGCAGTTTACTATGTGTGTCGCGGGCGCAACGATGTAAGCCCGGAAATCTCTTTTTCTGACTCTACGATTATACTTATATTGATCAGGACATACTGGATGGAATATGCCGCCCTTAAAACCCGGTCTCTTCAATTTGCCTGGCGGTTCCCACAGGGTTTCCAAATGGTATTTTTACTCTTCATCATTGTTATCGCCAATTTCCTTCCTGAGACGCCCCGCTATTTGGCCAAATTAGGCCGATTGGAAGAGGCTCGAGAGATCCTTGGTCGTTGCCGCCTTCGGCCTTCCGAACAGGCGATTGAGCAAGAGTTGGCTGAGATCCAGGATGCCATCCGGGTCGAGGCAACATCCTCAGCTCATGGATTCATTTCAATGATATGGAAAAAGGATGCTCTGCATACCCGTCGCCGCGTCGCTCTCGCCATGGGAATTCAAGCGATGGAGAAGCTCTGTGGCCCTGATGCCATCGCAGCCTACGGACCTATCATCTTCGGTCTCAGTGGATGTAAGTACTTTATCCCACGTCGTTCGATACTGGTATATATGACCAAGTGACTGATCTGATTGTTACTACCTGCTTTTAGTTACTGGCAATTTGCCGGCCATGCTGGCTGGTTTTAACTTCATCTCCTATACTTGTAGCGTGCCAGTCGGCATGTACTTCGTGGAGAGAGCCGGACGAAGGAAGCTCATGTTGATTGGTTTGTTGGTCATGGGCACCTCTCTGCTCATTGCAGGCCCTCTGGCCAGAGAGGCCATCAATACGCCAGAAACCGAGTTGACCAAGAAAAGGGCATATGGTGCCGCGGTGGTGGCCTTTGTCTTTCTGTACACTTGTGGCTTCGGCAGTACATGGATTACTTGCTGGTAAGTCCTCTACTCTCTTCGCTCCAGGACTACGGCTCTGCGCCCTGGCCCCCTCCCTTCGACTTACAGTACGTCGATTTTGCTGACATATTTAATCAATAGCTGGGTCTACCCTACGGAGGTGTTTCCACTGGCCACACGAGCTAAGGGTGTCTCGTTGTCCATGGTGTCATTTGCCGTCTTCGGCGCCGTCATAAATGAGGTAATCCCCTATGTCATCAGCGCCGTGGGATGGTGGGTCTTTATTATGTTCGCCGTCATCAACTTCATCCAAATCATCCCGGTGTGGCTGTTCTACGTCGAAACGGCGCATCGTCACCTCGAGGATCTGGACATTCTCTTTGCAAGCGACAGTCCCTTGGCCTATAAGATGGAACGTGAATTCAACGAAAAGAAGCGTGCCCTTGGTTTCCATACAGATGCACCGGAGCTTGTGCACACCGCTTGAGATGCTGTTGCCAGCCAGTAGTACGACCTCACTTCTCGGCAAGACACCCGAATTCAAGGGACTAAGGTCTTCTATAATGACTGGGCATCAGTGAACTATGGTATTGGGACATAGGACAGGGGTGCAAATCGAACACTCAATCTATAGTACTGGTGCCATTGCCAGGCGTGGAAAGGCAGCAGACGCATCCAAAGGCATGGCCACTATCTCAGAATCTGAGACCCGCGGCATGTATGTACTTTCTGGAAGCTGAATTATAATAACAATGATTTGCCCTGAAAGTAAAAAATTGCTGATTGTGCCCTCGAGGACGCGTGATGTCGGCTCAAGAAGCGTTCACCTACTGCTCACTGTCGAATGCAAAATGACGTCTAGAGGCTCGGTCCAGCACAGAGGCATCCGAGTCTGTTGTCTTTGATGTCTAAGAAAGGGCTAGGGTTGGTCCAATTCGGCGAAAAAGGAGAAAAGTAGTTGTAATACACTTGCATGAGAATTACGAACCTACTGAGGGAGTCATGATTGTTCATGGAACAAGCTTAGTTGCTTCGGCGCTCCAATCGATTTGACTGATACCTTCCTGGACTTTTCTATCCACGATTGTCGTGGTGTTTTAGATCCATCCTAGTGGTAAGTCAGTCGTATTCTTCTTGCCTATGAATGCTTTTTACCGCTGCCTTGATATCACAGAGTTCTGATCAGGTAGAGTGCCAGGTGCTGCGACAGGACGACCAAGACATGGAGATCCCAACGGAGGGATGGGCAGGTGTTGTAGTATGTGGAATTGAGACATTCTTTTAGGTGTACAACCAGAGGAACTTACAATGACTGTGTGTGTGACAGAAAAATGAAGGTCCCGATTTCTTTGTTTCCGTGGAGAAGGTTCCAATTCCCAGCATCGGTCGGTATAATTACTGAGTACACACTATTTTTGCTGTCTTCAATGACTGATAGCGATATTTGCCAGGGCCTTTCGAAGTTCTCATCAAGCTCAATGTCACAGGCCTATGTCTTACCGATGTACACTTCATGATGAACGACTGGGAATTCCCAAAAATGTCCGAGATGGGTGTGTCATGTGCCGGACACGAAGGTGCTGGAATCATTATGAAGATCGGCGAGAGTGTGAAGAACTTCAAAGTCGGACAACGTGCAGCATATGGACCTATCCACAGTACATGCGGTCTCTGCGACTCTTGCAAATCGGGGAAAGAGACCTACTGTCAGCAAGCAGTCTTTACAGGTGGGACTGTGGACGGTATGTGGACATGGTCCCCAAATCGGGAGAAGCAGCACATTGATGCCGGATAGGTACTTACAAGCAATACTGTGCCGTTCCGGAGAGCTTCGTTCATGTGAGTTGGGAAGTGCGCTTTTGGGTATTTGACTAGACAGATACTAACAGACTCGCCATGACCACAGCCGATCCCCGAGGTACCTTGTCAACCTGACTTATGGCGACTTCCGGGTTACTAAGTATCGACACATAGGGAGTTTCAGATAACGTGGCCGGGCCTGCGATGTGCTCTGCAGCCACGATGTGTTCTTCGCTCAAAGAGTCGGAGCTCAAAGCTGGTGACTGGGCTATTTTCCCAGGAGGAGGTGGTGGTACAGGAATTCAAGGTGTACAACTGGCATGTGCCATGGGTATAAGACCTGTGGTAGTGGATACAGGAGAAGATCGCCAAACGCTGGCATTCAGTCTTGGTGCTGAGGAGTTTGTTGACTTTCGGAAGGAGCTAGACCCGGTCAAGAGGGTCTTGGAAATCACAGACGGAGGTGCTCATGGGGTGTTTGTCACTGGTATGTATTGGGAGAGAATCTGCAACTCATTCACCATGCAATTGACTTTGGCAGCCGTACAATCCTATCCAGTCTCGCTTGATTATCTTGGATCACGTCGCGGCGGCGTGGTCATGTGGTACGTAAGACGTTGCACAACTCTCACCTCTCGAGAAAAACCGAAGCATATTGACTGGGACAGTGTTGGGCTCCCCCCGAAGGGCAGATACCACATCGACGCAGCCCCCACCCGGCTTTGTTTGAGAAATCAGTCCATCAAGGGGACGTTATCGGGCGGTCACGTTGCTATAGCTGAGACATTCGAGTTTGCGAGACGAGGTGAGGCAAGAAAGAGGCACGGGCGAAACAATTGTGCTGATTCTTAGTCACAGGAAAGCTCCAACTTGAGCCGACTGTGGTTGGGAGGAGCAAGTTCAATGAAGCGGTTCAAAAGCTAAAGAATGGACAAGTAGTAGGGTAAGTACCGTGATCCGACATGCGCAGAAGTGTGTTATCGCCACTGGTGTTGATGTGTATAGGCGAATGGTTGTAGACTTCAACCTGTCCTGAACGAAGATCATCTCATCCGCAATTGAGGGATTGATGTAGGGTCGGGTCCTCAGGAAAACAATTGTCGTAGTTATGTTTGAAGCATAGTAACAGATACAAGGAGGGGAGCCCATGAAGCTACCTCAGTCTTGCTGCAGCCATAAACCCTCTGCGCTCCCTTTGGGCAAGTGTAGTTGGTTCATGGACTGGAAGTGACTCTTTTCCCTGCCTATCTCCTATCTCTCCAATCTTGCCACGCAATTTCGCCGGATGCTCTTCCACGGATTAGAATTTCTAAGCTATTTCTCAATTGCGGATGCAAGGCAAGTCAAATCTAGGTACTTGAAGCCCTTCTATCCTTCATCGTTCAGCGCGACGCTCTTAGTCCCCATCCTCCTAATCCTTTTCTTTTAAACGTCAAGCTATGGACCTCCGCACAATATGTTCCAGCTACGCACTCTGCATCAGCGAGCAGAAATTTGAACAGCTGCCCAATTACGTTCACAATGACGTTCTTTACGACTCGAAGCCACCAATGACCGCCAACGAATTTGGCCAAATGCTTGAAGGTCTGACCTGTGACTGGGTCGATTTCCGTCTCGACGTGGAGATGTTGGTTGTGGAGCCTGCCGGCACCTTGTCGGATCTAAATGGCATGGTTTCTGCAAGATTCAGGTTGAGCTATGAGAGCTCAGGTGAAGTATCGGCAGAGGGCCGTGTGGTCTTCTACGAGCACGTATTCTTCTCCTTCAAGGAGGGCAAGATCGCCCAGATATGGCCAATGATTGCATGGCCGGGAAAATGAGGCTGACGTTCGGATGGCTCCGTGATTATAACTTTATACGATATATTGACCTTTGATGGCTTGAATAGTGAGAGACTACAGGGCGGACTGCTCTATCTCATTGGTACGGACTTTAGTGACAGTACCACTCTGCTTCCTGTATTGATCTTCAGCTTCTGGCTCCAAGATTTCTTAGGGAACTAATGCTCCATTGCTGAATTAAGGCTGACATGGTCACAGCAGTAAATCTCGTGACTCGTGACAATGATGGGAAATCGTAAGACATTCGCCGAAATGGGTGATGTCGACAGATTTCGCCGAAATCGTCGGGCATTGTCCAATGGGCAAATATACCAGTCATCAAACATGTTGAACTTGGTGATCAATCAGGATTTGCCCCAACCTTACCTTCATTCTTGTTCTGTCCGACAGTTACCAAGGTCTGGACGCCCTGCACGTCCTTGGTTTGCGCGGCAGCTTTTCCCTGGCTCGAGGAAGCCAACTACAACTGCATTCGGCGGATGGATGCGAAGTTGTTACAAGAGTCTATCGGATTGGAATGAATGACTGATTGTGCAATCTCTTATAGATGCTCAAGACCAGGCAATCCTACAAAAATCAAAGCATTCCAATATGTCTAAGGTATTTAAATGTCTAAGGTATTTAAAAAGAGCCATCGATCCTTTCAGCTGCAGATAAATCTAAGACAGGACGAATGACCTCGACTGGAATTCTGTGATCAACTCCAACCACGACAAGAAAGACTTGGTGACAGCTGAATTGTCTCCTCTCAATTAGCTAGAATGACAACAACAGTTGACCTCATCATGAACCGTTGCCATTTGCCATAGCAATTGCGAGGTGATCAGTGCAGTAAAATGCCATGCCCAAAGTCTCGAGCATGCCTAACGAAAAGCATGATGCCCACCAAGCCTGAAATTGCGGGGGTTGGTCCAAGAATCGCGTCCCCATATCTGCACTCTGTAAGTAGATCTAACTTACTACGAATAAATTCGGGACAACGCCCGTGACGGGGCAGCCTAAACCGCCTCTAGCAGGGGGCCGAGGGGGCCGAGGGGCCCTCGGGCCAAGCTCTGTCCCCCAAGCACGCCAGAGCCCTGGAGTAACCTCGACCCCAGATATTAATAAGGCCGTCGCCACCTTAGGCCTGGAGTTGGCCTTTGCTCTTGTATTTGATGACGGTTGCGGTGTTGGGCCCTCGGGCCTGCTACTTCAGTTCCTCTATCAGACCTATCCTCTTATTTAGTTACAATAGACACCTATTGCCAGGGTTTCATCAGTGGCTTGATCGAATTTCCTGCACGTCTTAACTAATCGTCCTACAGTTCAGAGAATTTAGTGAACACCTGGACGTTAAATCAAGACCTCATTGCCGCAATAATGGAGCAGAGCTCACAAAGCTCAAGTCGTACGTACCGTCGACAAAAGCGCAAGTTGGCATGCAGGTATTGTAATACTCGCCACATACGATGCAAGACCCCCGAGGGCGCCGACCCGTATGACAAGGCCGCTGGCCGCACCCGCCAGCGTCGATGTCAAGCTTGCTTAGATGCCAACGAGGAGTGCGAGCTCGAAAAGCCCACAAATACAAAGTAGGAATATTTCTTGCCCAACCGCCGTCGTCAAACAATGCGCAAGTGCTAAAGAGCTTGGTATTTCAGTAGTTCTTCCAGATCACTCAAAGCACGTCAGGCAGAGACGCGCAAAACAATCCTACAACAGTCTTCCTCTTCCGCGATTCCGGAACTGTTGCCCACACGACCAACAGATCAGCAAACCGACACCAGTCCGCAGAACAATGCTGCCAGGCTGCCAACGTTAGCATTGGACTCTGCTTATGCGCCCTCCACCAGCAGGAACTCGGCTCAGGAAGGCTCGGAGATGCTTCTGGTCCGGCTAACGGATATACGAGACAACGATGAAGTTGAACCTCGTACCAAATTGACTAATAAGGTCGTTTATTTCGGGGACGAGTCCGTTTGGTTCTATAGCCTTCGAAATGCTCGGAACGGCAAGTCCAGGTATTCTACAAGTCCTCAGTCGATCACCGCACAATCGGTGGACAGTAACATCCACTATAAAGTGCCTCAGACACTAGATGATCAGCCTCGAGATGTGCCACAGGACGATCTCGACCTCAAGCAAGAAGAAATTCATTTACTCCAGCAAAAAGGGGCATTTTCTCTGCCACCTCCGGACATCCAGCGTGAACTTCTTGACGCGTACTTTTCATGGCTTCATCCTCTTCAGCCGATCATAGACAAACAACAATTTCTTTGCGCTTTTGAATCAGGTCAGGCACCCATGATTCTCCTCCAAGCACTGTTGTTTGCCGGCACAACCTGCTGTGACGAGATTGTTATCTTGAAATATTGGCCAAGTCGCCGATCTGCTCAAGCTGATCAATACAAGCGGACCAGGGCTCTCTATGACGCCGACCAGGAACAGAATCGTGTCACCATTGTTCAAGTCCTTTTCTTGATGTGTTTCTGGTGGGGCAGTCCCACGGATGACAAAGACTTCAGTCACTGGCTGGCGGCATCTATCCATCTGGCGCAAGTGATGGGCATGCATCGATCGTATGAGCACATCCACACACAGTATGATGAATTCGAAACTAAATGTTCAACAGAACAAAACACTCTCAATTATCCATCAAAGATCGAAAACTCTGGAAACGGATCTGGTGGACCTTATATGTAGGCACAAGCCAAGCGCCGCAACTTCGTGCATGACACCTAATCTGTTGACTTACCTAGGTTCGGGATCATTTCGATGCTGCATCCGTTGGCCGTCCTATGATGATCAACGACGACGATTGTGATATTGAACCGTTGCGCGAGACTGATTTCGAATACGGAGAAGACGATAAGCCACCAGTCGGTGCTGGTCACTGCATTGAAATGACGAAATTAGCCACTCTGAGTATGCGTTTCAACTCTCCTGCTAAGAGCGAATTTCAGCTGATCTCAATATTTAGTCGGTCGAGCAGTTCGAGCCGTGCGCTCCGGGCAAAAGAACAAAGACCTGGCCGACTCTTGGAAAACGATTGACAACGATCTTTCAGGGTGGGAAAAGCAGCTACCGGAGCAGTTCAGATATCACGAGGAAGAGCACAGTCCACAATTGAAGTTGTTTGCATCCATGCTCACATTGGGCCTGCAGTATGTGGGAGTCCGAATCTGCCACATGATATGAAAATCGCCTCGGTTATCACTAACGAATGTACTATACCAGTTTTTGCAGGATCGTGCTGCACCGCAAAATCTTCTTGGACTCGAAACCCAAAGCCGATTCAATCTCGATGGCCCCAGCATCTGCGAACGCTGTGACGCGAGTCGTCGAGGAGCTAGTCACCGAAGGTCTACTGCCGCGTGCACAAGTACATTTGTATGTTAAAGACGCCACGCCTTGGGCACAGTGCTTGTGTATACTGTATCTCTTTACACCCGCTGACTTTTTTGATCGTTCTAGAATCGCAGTGATTTTCGCGTCTTTTACAATCCACGTTATTTCCATGGAACAGAGTCTGGGCGCACGAAGGCGAGTGCTACAACACAAAGCCGAGATCTGTCTCTTGGGACTGGGCGAATTTCGTGACTATTGGCCTTTTGTGGATTGGATGTACCGTCTGTTCAGTAATCTGTTGCACAGGCTGGGGCTTGAAGACGGCTCATCTCAGGCAGCATTCGATAACAAGGAGCTGTCAGGCCCCAACCAACTTCGCCCGGAAAATACTATGATTCTGCAAGATGACATAACGGATAGCACCCCAGACGTTACGCATGATAATCAGACGACCATATCTCTACCAATCTTCGACCAGCAAAATGCAAACTCGACCGCCGATGTACAGACAGAACCTTTTGGCGCACGGCAGCAGTTCATGTCCGCCATGTTTACGTCGGATAACTTGTCGGAGAACTTTTTGGACCCTTTTATGCCTCTTGATAATCTCGAATGGTATGATTCGAATACGGCTGGTCTAGCCTACCTGGGCGGAAACACCATGCAATGATAGACCGGCGGTCCACCATCGTCATCATCGGCGGAACAGACATGAGCTGGACTACCTCCTATCAGAAGAGAGAAACAAAGGGGGCAGCTCCATTGTTTTGATTCTCACAATGCTGATTCCAGGTAGCTATCTACAACAGAAGATAGACGAGAGCGAGAGCTGTAGAAACAACAACCCCAGCTGGGCAGCTCTTGTGATCCCAGCAGCTTCTTCCTTCCTGCATGACCCCTTAGTAGCCAGTTGCCTAAACATTAGACCATGTGCATAGATGGACTACTCGAAGGACTCCCCTCCCTTTTCACTCGGGTTAGAGCTACCACTACATAGGTAGACAACGAAAAGAGAAGAACAAGAATAGTTAGATACATCTATCTTGTTCTCCGTACCCGTACAGCAAAAAGACGGCTGGAAATAGAAGAAAAGCTGATTGATCGGTCTTCGGTCTTGAAGCTGAACGATGAGGATGTTTCTACAGATTGGAATTGAGATTGTTCGATCATTCATTCATTTGTTGTACAAGCAACAGGAGATTCCCATATCTATTTGGTACAAAAGTGGTGGGTATCTTTTTTCATCTTGTGCTTTTGTGAGCCATTAATCAATCAACTTGATGAGATCAATGTCAAAAATAGTTCAGAACATGCCAATTAACACCAATCAATGCATACCATGTTGAGTTGAATGTTGCTTAACGCATATTGTACAATCCAGTGTAGAGATTCGATGATGCCAATGCAGTGGCGGAGTTCATTGTAGGGTCAATGACAATGTTTACGACCAGACTGTAACTGTAACTCTCAGAGTGGAGAGCACATCGTCACACCCAAGATCAACGGTCCAAACCCTTCGGTCGCCCCGTCTCAAAGACTACTGGGATGCCATCGGGCAACATCTCTTGGATGGATCCACGGAGCCCTAAGGGCCCAAGCTACCCCATCGGCTAACTCATCGTACGATGAGTAACAATGACCGCATGGTCTTCGAGCAAGCGGGCCCAAGATGCAAAAATTTTCTTCCGGTTCCGAAGGACGTGTACTAAAGTGTGGGCCATGGTGGAAATGCCTAACAAAATCACCACTCACGAGGACTTCGTATTTTTTGAGGCTAATGGGCAAATCCACCTGTGCTGGCCCATCCACCCAAGCTCTGAAGGTCAAGAACAAGGTTTCGCTTGCCTCATTCGGCTACGCATGTACTCCGTATGCAAGAAGGATCGCCGATGTCGTTGTGGATGGGTTCTCATGATTAGAGTTTGTCGGAAGCTAGTGGTGGGCCTGAACGGCGAACAGCGTAAATGTGGAGACATGAAATTCTCGCCTGATGTTGCTTTTTCGCTCACTCCGAAGCCCAAAGCTTGTCCTTCCACGAGGCACGTTGCAACGCCACGAACGCCATCGCCCGGCTCACCCGCAGGACAGACACCAAGAGGACCGTGCGTTGGCGTGGATTCCATGTGTGTCACGATGGATGGTTGCGGATTTCATATTTCCGCTAGCATGTCGAGCATTGGAAGGCTGCGTGTGTGTGTCTGTGAGAGAGGAGAATGATGGATGTGTGATGATACAGCATGGTCAAAACTTCTTGACATGTCATGCAGATGCTGCATTACTGACCTTGAGGTCCAGCGTGTCAGATGCCGGATCTAGGATCACTTCTGCAGACTCTCCTCCCTTCAGTTCTCCTCGAATGATCCTGTCGGCCAGTTTGCGACCAATCTCATGTTGAATCAGCCGATTGAGTGGTCGGGCTCCGTATCTTGGATCGTAACCCTTTTCACACAGCCAGTCCTTGACTTCGTTTGAAACCAGCAGCTTCATTCTCCGGTCGTCCAGACGACCCTGAAGTTCCTTTATGCGGATGTCAACAATGTCCCTCAGGGCAGTCTTGGAAAGCTTGTTGAAGATGATGAACTCGTCGATACGATTCAAGAATTCAGGGGGGTAGCTCGCTTGCACTACTTCCATCACGCCTCGTTTTTGCTCTGGGGTGACATTTTCAGCGTTGGCGCCGCTGCCCATGAGAATCTCCGCCCCGAGATTGCTGGTGAGGACGATCATGGTGTTTCGGAAATCGACCTTGTGCCCTTGGCTATCAGTCAAAAATCCCTCGTCCAAGACTTGCAGCAGTAAACTCGAAATGTCGCGATGTGCCTTTTCGAATTCGTCAAAGAGAATGACAGCATACGGCTTTCTCCGGACAGCTTCGGTCAATTGTCCAGCGTCTTCGTAACCGATGTACCCGGCTGTTGCACCAATGAGCCTGGAAACGGTGTGCTTCTCCTGAAATTCAGACATGTCGAATCGCACGACTGCCGACTCGGAGCTGAAGAGGAAATTGGCAATCTGTTTGCATAACTCGGTCTTGCCAACACCAGTGGGACCCAAGAACATAAAACTGCCTAGAGGGCGATTTTCGCCGTTGAGGCCTGCACGTTGCATTCGGACGGCGTTGGCAACGGCAGTGAGAGCTTCATCTTGGCCGCGGACGTGCTCCCGTAGTTTGTCTTCCATCTTGACCAATTTTTCCACCTCGCCAGCCATAAGCTTGGTGACGGGAATACCGGTGGTTCGGCTGACGACATTGGCAATGTCGTCGGCTGTGACCGAATCGTGAATCAAGGTCTCTCCTTTTTCGGTGGTGGTCTGGACTTCCTCGCCTTCTTGGGGTAGTTGAGACTCGAGCTTGGGAATGACAGCATATTGGAGTTCTCCAGCACGACCAAAGTTGCCCTGTCGTCTTGCTTCGTCGAGCTCGTAACGAGCCTTCTCAAGGTCTTCCTTGATCTTTTTGATGTTTTCTATTTCGGCCTTCTCTCGATCCCAGATCTCGGTCAAACGAGCCACCTCTTTATTCTTCTCAGCCAGGGTTTCCTCCAGCTTCTGTCGCCGTTCTTTGGATGCGATATCAGTTTCCTTGCGGAGAGACTCGAGTTCAATTTGAATCGTCATGATTTCTCGATCGAGGCGTTGGATAGAATCTGGTTTTGACTCTTGCTGTAGACGAAGTGCCGACGCAGCCTCGTCTACTAGGTCAATGGCTTTATCTGGTAGAAAGCGGTCCGTAATATATCGGTTGCTGTAGGTGGCAGCGGCGACGAGCGCGCCGTCGGTGATCCGAACACCATGATGAACTTCATAACGATCCTTGATACCTCGCAAGATCGAGATGGAGTCTTGGACAGACGGCTCGCCAACCTGGATGGGTTGAAATCTTCGAGCCAATGCAACATCCTTTTCAATCTGACGGTACTCGTTCAAGGTTGTCGCACCACAGCACTGCAGCTCGCCTCTCGACAATGCAGGTTTCAGCAGGTTGCTAGCATCGATCGAACCCTCGGCCTTTCCGAGCCCTAGTAAAGTATGAAGTTCATCGACGAACAAAATGACTCCTCCTTGAGCTTCTTCGACTTCTTTTAGCACCTTTTTCAGTCGTTCTTCGAAGTCGCCTCGAAATTTGGCTCCTGCTATGAGCTGCCCAAGGTCTAGTGATATCACTCTCTTGTTCTTGATACTTTCGGGCACATCTCCCCGGACTATTCTCTGGGCCAGACCTTCCAAGATGGCAGTCTTTCCAGTTCCGGCAGCGCCAATGAGGACAGGATTATTTTTTGTTCTGCGAGACAGAATCTGGATAGTTCGATGTATTTCTCCATCTCTTCCAATGACAGGATCGAGTTTTCCATCTCGAGCGCGTTGGGTCAAGTCAACTCCGTATTCCTCGAGAGCAGACTTCTCCGGCTCTCCGCCGAGGTTCATCCGGTGAGTGCCACCAGGCGGATGGGGCCGGCCGTTTGCGTATGTGCGGACAGCATAGATTGCAGGTGTGAAGGATCGGGGTATGACTGAGGATCTTTGCAGAGGGATAAGTGACGGGCGAGCTGAACGCCAAAGTAGAGGAGAGCTAAAGTTTTTGGAGTTAATGGCTCGCCGCACCAACATTGACTTTGTGGAATTCATTGTGAGGGGTTTGCAGCGCCGAGCGCTCTCAGCATATGTTATCGGTAATCTAGTGCAGTTTCAAGCATACTCACAAACCAACAGGTTGGGGACAGTGGTGGTAGAAATACGACAATTGTAGGAAGAAATGCGAGTGAATTCTGGAAGGCTCTGGATTCAAAGTTACAAGGATGATGGGGTGATGCTGGAAACGATGATCTCACTATCCTGTTATGTACTAGTCTGCCAAGAACAAAAAGCCCCATGCATTATCACAAGGCTGGCATTGAGCCTCGTGGTGCGGATGGTATTCCTTGTTGAATGGCGTGGGAGAATGATTCGAAGAGCATGCCAGATGAGGAAAACATATATTCTAGGAGATGTACTGAAAAGCAATCCGCATAAACCAGCTGGACCTTTGTGGTGAAATTGATACACTGGAGCTCGAGGCAACGGTGGAGAGACAACGAGTGCTGGTAGTTGAGCTTTGCAGGTAGGGATTTTGTGCTCCGCTGGACCATCCCACCACCTTTCAACACTACTCACCCCTCTGCTCCGCTGGTATATGTGGCATCAAAGTTCTTGGCGAGAAGTTGGATCTTTTTTCGATTTTGGATTCGGGTCTGAACATTTTGACTGCGCCTCTTGTACCCGATTCAACACCACTCTCAATCATTCTCCGACCTAAAACTATACTCAATTGAACTTGCACACTATCACAATGGGTTTCACTGATCTGGTTTCCGATGGTGGCCTTCAGCGTATGTGTTGCAGACTACTTGTCCTCGATCCACAGTCCACTAACGAGTCATAGTCCTGAACAGCTGGCTCACCACCCGATCTTATATCTCTGGGTAAGTTACCGTCACTGTCCTATTATCCCCTTGTTGTTCCTTGATCGCTTTCCTCTGATGAAAATATTTTGGTCCGTGTTGATGATGCGGCTTAAGACACCGCTACATGACTACTTCCAATCGCATGAATTTGCATTTCTGAGTTGTTTGAGCGCATTGACTCATACTTGCACATTTATTGTACTCGTTTGGGCATAACTGACAAGGCCCCAATAGCTACACTCCCTCTCAAGCCGATGTTGTTACATTCAAGGCTATCAAGGAGACCCCCGCAGTCGAGAAATACCCTCATGCCTACCGCTGGTATAACCATGTCAAGTCCTACGAGGCTGACTTTTCCACTCTTCCCGGCGACCCGTCCAAGCCATTCACCACCTATGGCCCTGAAGCCGTCGCTGTGACACAAAACCCCAAGGATGCCCCCGAAGCTGATGATGACGACGAGGTCGATCTATTCGGCTCGGAGGAAGAGGAAGAAGACCCAGAGGTTGTTGCTGAGCGTGAGAAGAGATTGGCAGACTACAAGAAGAAGAAGGAAGGCAAGGCGAAGCCAGCAGCCAAGTCTATTGTCACACTGGATGTCAAGCCTTGGGATGATGAGACCGATATGGACCAGCTGACTAAAAATGTGTTGGCCATCGAGATGGAGGGTCTTGTTTGGGGTGGCCACAAGTTGGTGGCAGTCGGTTTCGGTATCAAGAAGCTGCAGATCAACTTGGTGGTCGAGGACGAGAAGGTGTCTTTGGAAGATCTAGCACAGCAGATTGAGGAGGATGAGGACCACGTCCAGTCCACCGATGTGGTTGCCATGCAGAAGCTGTAGACGGCTTAAAAACCATTCGACGCAGTGCAGTGGAACATGACTGTCGTGCAGGGACCAGACCTGTTATCTGGCGTGTGGATGCAGCCTTGCATGTCAGGCTGGCTGGTGTCCATGTGTTGGTAGAGCATGTCTTGACTGCACAATGAGCAATTTCACGATAGACGAGATGAAATGATAAAAGTCGCACAGCTTGCAGATGACCTCGCTACGAAGGTTACAGTAGTTCAGTTGGGCCCTTGTACTCGCAAGTGATTGGCAAGTCACAGCATTTTGACCTCTTGGATATGTGTAGCTGTCCATTTATAGATTGTTGCTTGAGCTCCACCTCTTAGCTATTTAGGTGAATCCTACCTAAGTCCAAACTTGAGCAGTTTACAGCTACTAGGACATATCGTCACATAGTTATTAGGTACGTAGTAGTCTATACCGAGCGGTCAGCCATAACATGCCAGGCCAACGCACAGATCTAGACTATCATTATTGTTGCAAATCCCTTATCATGTCAAGGGCCATCTCCATCTGAGACATGCTTTTTGCAGTCGGACTAGTTCGTTAGATCCGGACTTGACCAGCCAACCGCCATGCCCGTACATCGATTGATTGTTAGTAATGATGTGAACATTGATGGATCATGTCATTAATAGTGTCACGATAATCCTGATACGCCCATCGAGTTTCTCGCATCACAGATATATGGACATGATTGATGTGAAAGACACAGATTAAAGAACTTTAGAGACGCTGTCTGATGGTTCCCCATTCTCCCCGTTCTCTCTACTAATAAGTCGTTTTCTAGGCGCTACTTCTGGGCATCATTATTTGTCATTTGCACCTAAAGATCGCCTGTTGGAGATTCTCTTCCAGACATCAAGGCTAAATACTCAAGCCTCAGGCACCAAATCCTACTCCCCACACACAATTCAATCCAACATTTCGCAAGCAAGGGTTCATACGTGGATAAGAGTATTTCATTGATCGAGTCCACGAGACAGACACCTTTCAAGTTCACTCTGTCTTCTCCCTTTCTTTTCAACCGATTAACCTGGGCTGGATTGGGTTATCTAGCTGGCACGAGCGCCAATCAACCTGGGCGAAACTCGATTAATAAACCAGTAATAATAACAACCTTGTCTCGACCTCGAATGACACAACAGATCTACATTACCCATCACCACTCCTAGACCCAGTCACGACCTACTACGATATAATCCAGAATAGCAAACAATTCGTTCAGATGAGAGTTCAACTATAATTCCAGCATAGTCAACGCAACACCTCACCACCAGTAAACCCACAACAACAACAACGACGACTACTTACAACCTTATCTCAGCACCCAACCAGACAAACCCCCTCGCAAAAATGCCTAGCAAAATCAACATTGACCCTCCTCTTCTCAACGCGGCCTGCCCATGGTCCACCACACTCGAGGACATCAAAGCCTTGTACGACAGTCCCTATACCGGGGCTGTGACCATCCGCACCAGTCTACTCGAGGGATTCAGCCACGATGATTCCATCCACCAATTCATTTTCTTCGAACCCGGCAAGACAATCCCACAAGGAACCCCCGTGGGAGATGTATCTGCCCGAGTGCCCACGACTACCACATCGACATCGAGTCCTGAAAACTCCAGTACTACCACCACACCAATCTCGTCCGTCAACACGCTGGGATACTCACCCTTGACTTTATCCGAGTATTTGGGCATCATCAATGAAATTGTCGGTCAGAGACATCTAGGTACCGATACTCCCACCAAGAAGCCTTTTATTCTCAGTGTCACTGGCACTCCCGACGAGATTGCCATGGCGTATGCATTGGTGGCTAATGCGGCTGAGATGGGTAAGTCATCCATTGCTTAAGCCAGTATCATTCATTAGCCCCTGTTGCTTCTATAATTCTCAACCACCGGCTAACTCACATACCCATCATCCATATAGACGAAGACCTGCGACTAAATCTTGAAATCAACCTATCATGCCCCAACATCCACGGCGCCCCACCACCAGCCTACGACCCCGTGCAACTGACACAATATCTGGAAGCCATCTCCGATTCCAAATCGACGTATCGAGGCCGAATGGCCTCCCCAGATTCAGTTCCTCGCGTCGGTATCAAGTTACCGCCATATACCTACACGACGCAATTCACAGTCCTGGCGAATTTATTGGTGGCAGCTAAATCGAGCGAACCAGGCGAGGGATGTGTGGTCGATTTCATTACCGCCACAAACACCCTGGGCGGGAACTTGTTGCTCGATAGTGATAATAAGCCCGTCCTGAATAGTGAGGCCGGTAATGGGATTGGTGGTCTGGCTGGTGCTGCCTTGCATCCTCTCGCAGTTGGCAATGTCGCGCAGCTGCGCCGTGTCCTGGAGTTGCATCCTGATACTAGGGATATTGCCATCATTGGTGTCGGTGGTGTAAGCGACAAGGCTGCTGCCGATCGCTTCAAGGCCGTGGGCGCACATGCCGTTGGTGTTGCTACCGCTCTTGGGAGGTATGGCCTCGATGTCTTTGAGAAAATCACAAAAGGCACCTAGACCTGCTCACTCACAAGTCACGCTGCCTCTCAAACCAATCGGCCGATCTCCCTGTCATACGAAGCGAGTCATGCAATACACCTCTGCTCAATCAAGGAAATAGAACTTTTGAGCCAGTACTGCGCTAAATGAGACTGGATTATAGCCCCGACTGTGCTATCTCTTTCTTTTCTCTCCCCCCTGCCCCTGTCTTCGCTTACTTGATCTGCTCCCTCCCTCCAGCTGAGTACTTGTGATGCCTTTGCCCATGCTTTGCCACTCGTACATATCTTAGGATACTCTCTACCCACCATTTGGCTCCAATCTTTCTCCATGCCAAAAGCCCGCTACTGTTAGCCACACATGAGAGTCCACTGCTTGCTGCTCAACTTGTTGCCCTGTTGACAGCATAGACATACAAGAATACCCATCACTAGCTGGGTGACACGTGTGCCAGTCATGATTCAACCCTTCACAACGCATACGGGTTCATCGATCGGATCGTCAGACAACTAGAATAAAGCGTCAGCATGTTGAACGTCAACAGCACAGGCGAAAGCAACTTACGGAGGACTCTTGCTAAGGTCCGTCTTCAAGATGACAGGGACTCGCGTCATTTCAGTCACGTCCTGGATGTATTCTCCCCCTTCTTCTCGGAGCTTGAAGTAGCTGATGTACTTCTCCTTATCCGTCAACTTGTGTTCTGGAACATCTCCAGCCGACTTTGCGATTCTCGAATCAGATTGCGTCCGGGTGGGTCCGTTCGATGTCAATCCATTGCGAGTGGGAGACGGCGGCATGCTTTGGGTGGACCGATCGGCCGGTGAAAGAGACACGCCAGCAGCCATCTCGGTGATTTCCGATGCACTGTCCTCGTCATCGTAGAGTGCATCGACATCGTCGGTTGAAATTGTGTTGCTGTCAACATTCTTTCGTTGAGCTTCATATCGCTCTTTCGCCCGATCCTTGGCTGAAGTGGTGTTGATCACGGAACCAGTATTACGTGTGCTCGCCGAGTTGCGAGGACGCTCATCCTCAGGCACAAACGCCGAAGATGGAACGCCCTTTTCCCAGTACAACTCGAGAACTCTCTCTTCTTTGCGGAATTCGGCTTTCTTCAGTGGAAGCTGATCACAATGAACCCGCTTCTCAAACCCGTACTCAGGAATGAGCACATCGAATGCAGATTCATACACACAAATGACAATGCCTTCACTAATCAGATCGCCGCCCATTTCCTTGGCTTTCTTGTCCATAAGTCGGCATGACTCAATGTGCACGCTCTGCTCCTGGGCGGCATGGGCCGAGTCCTTCTTATTGTTGCATTGCTCAGCAGTCTTGGCCAAGTTCTCGAGATCCTCAGTGAACTCGATTGCGCCGTTGGAAAGGGCAGCTTCAAGCTGACGATGAACAACAATGTCGGCGTATCGACGGGTAGGGTTGGTAAAGTGCGTATAGATCGGCAAGTTCAGAGCGTAATGTTGGCGTTGTTCCTCTGAAATTTGATCACCAATGTAATACTTGGCACGTTGCAGTGTCTTGATCAGTAAGGTCTCCATGCCCTTTCTCAGTTCGGGATCTTGGACACTGAACACGCTGTTCTGGAGGCTGCCACTGCTGGTAGTATCGACATCATAACCGGCCCTCGTCATGCGGTCTGCAAATGTCAACAGACGTCGAGGATTAGGTGGTGCCTGGCGGCGGAGGAAGGCCTTTTCAGGGAGAGCCGCAAAGATCTTTTGAGCCACAAGATAGTTGGCTTTGTGGCTGATTTCCTCGATAATCTCGTGAGCAGCAGATGTATTAAAGATGTTATGCTCCACGGGAACATTTTCGTCATCAAGCTGGTACATCAAGCGGAGGGGCGCAATGTTGGCCGAACGGTGTCCAAACCGAGCCTCTCGGAACTTATTGGCAACGGTGTTCAAAGTCTTGATGTCTTGGATGGTAGCTCCGTGCAGTTCGACGTTTGAGCCTCCTTTAATGACTGAGTCGACTTCATCATAAGCCAGCTTGCCTGTACTCTGGATGATGGTCTGGCCGATCCAAGGCTCTCCCTCGATCTTGCCGGTCTTGGTATCGACCTTGAGGATGACACTGACGGTCAAGCGCCCTTCACCTGGGACGAGAGAGCAGATGCCGGATGACAGGCGGGCAGGAAGCATGTTCACAGCGCGGGTCATGAGATAAACTCCGGTGCCTCGCTTCTTGGCCTCGCGATCGACCAAGGAGTTTGCTTTCACGAAATGAGCAATATCAGTGACGTGAACTCCAAGCTCGACGAGGCCGTTGCCGAGGTCCTTGACGTGCAAAGCATCATCAAGCTCGTTGGTACCATTGGGGTCAATGGTGAAAGTTCGTTCACCTCGGAGGTCACGACGCAGGGCCAGGGCCTCCTGGGACTCGCTTTCGAGAGCCCAGTCGTCCCAGCCCACACTTTTCATGACGGCGTCCGAAAACTCGTCGGAACCAAAGTTGTTGTCACGGAGGAGAGCATCAGTCTCGACGCGAAGATCGCCCATCTCACCCAGTTGCTCGACGAGAGTGCCGAAGGGATGGAGAGACGTAATAGGCCATCTCTTGATGCATGCCACGAAGATTCTGTTGGCATAGTCTTGGTGCTTGTCGACAAAGTCTCGCGGTGCTTGCTCAGTGGGAATGGCAATGAGAGGAACACGCTTGTCTGTCGGCTTGAACCAGACAATCTTTGGTTTGTCTTGCTGACGTGACTCTGATCTCCCATGTCCACTGCCATCGCGGGCACTTCTCTCGGCATCCTGCTTGTCTTTGGTCGCTTGACTGCTGGGTCGCAGAAGGCCCAGAGTACCGGAAAACATTTGTCCGGCTACTCGCTCGATGACAGCAACGACATGACCTGCGTACAGCGGCTTTTGCTCGTCGCTGATCTCCTCCTCTTCCATCAAGAGCAGGCTCTGGCCCTCCACTTCCACGTCGTCATTCTTCTTTTGAGTTGGACGTTGCCGCAGACTGCCCCGTCGGCGGATGCTTCCATCTGGGGCAATGGATTGCGAATCAGTGCTGCCAGTGTCACTCTTGCCTTGATTATTACCAGAGGAACGAGTATCCGTTATATCCTTGCGCTTCTTCTTTTCCTCTTTCTCACGCTTCTGGCCCCAAACCTCGTCAACGTCGAGAAGTTCGATGGCGACCAGGTCACCCTCTAGGGCACGGTTGCGATCCTTGCTTCCACAGATGAAGATGTCAGCATCGAGGTCACTGGTGGTGACATAGGCGTCGGAGCGGTTTTTCTTGTTGACACGTAGAATACCTGCCACGAGTTGGCCGTCATTCAATAATGCAGGCAAGCTGGCCTGCGGCAAGTAGGGAGTAAAGAGCGTCTTTCGCTGCTGCTGTTGCTGCTGCTGCAGACCCATGGGAGGAGCATGTTGGCTGCCCTGAAGACCGACCATTTGACCACCTTGCATGGCTTGTAACTGAGCCATCTGGAGCGCATTGAGTTGCTGGCCGGGAAACATTTGTGGGGAAAGGAATTGGCCTTGAGGCAATTGCATCAATTGTGGTTGACCAGAGTATTGGAAGCCGCTCATGGAGCTGACAGATTGGTTAATGGAACCACGACCAGCTCTGTGGCCCGGCTGAAAACCAGCTTGAGGTTGGCTGAATTGACCCATCTGCTGAGGCTGGTCATTGAGCTGTTGGTTGTTCTGCTGGCGCCAGTTACCTTCGAAATTCCGGGAGTTTTGTCTGCCATGGCCGCTCTGGCTGCCACGCCGCTGAAGGTCAGACTGGCCAGCATCATTGGTAGCATTTGGTGGAGGGAACTGGAAAGAGCCGCGACCAGCACCTCCGCCGCCTCTGGTGCCACCAGCCGCCAGACTTTGACTGCGGCTGTGACCAACACCCCTGGCGTTACCAGCACGCTGCAGACCGAGGCCTTGGTTCTGAGAGGTGACGGAAGGGGAGGCCTTGTCATCGCCAGGGGTGGCGGCGACGGGGCTTTCAGCAATTCCTCCAGCACCGGGAATTGGAAATTGGAAGCCAGTGGTGGTTCGTTTCTTCTCGGCAAGTTCAGCAGCCTTTTTGGCTTCTGGAAGGGCGAGAGAGTGTCTTCGGGCATGGCCACCTTGAGCACCACCGCCCCTTCCGCGGGAGCTTGTGTTTTCCCGATTCTGATTCAAGGATTGTTGGTTGAAGTCACCGAAACCTGCTCCGGCAGAACCAGCTGATGGAGCAGGAGGCGGTCCCATTGAGCCGCCAGGAAGTGCAGATTGGTTTCTTCTGTGTGCGGCAGGCTGGGTAGGGGGGTTGCCTTGCTGTCCCAGCTGCTGTTGAACCTGAGGAAACTGGTAGTTTGCATTGTTGGGCGGCATGCCGGCAAGGGTGGGTTGGCCCTGTATGGGCGAGTAGCCAGGCATGCCCTGGAGTGGCTGTTGAATCATACCCATGTTGACATATTGCTGATGAGTGGCAGCAATGTGTTGTTGTTGCTGTTGAAGAAGTTCGATTTGTTGCTGCAGAGCGAGTTGTTCCATCATCAAGGGAGTGAGCTCCGAAGGGCTGCGTCTATGGGCAATGTGAAATCTGCCGCCAGCCCGGCCCGGGATGCCAGCAGATCCTTGTTGAGCCATGTCGACGGCAGTCAAGTGCGTAGAGTTTTGACAATGGACAGATTACTTTTGACTTGGCTGGGTTTCCAGGAGCGGAGGAAAGGAGGGGGTGACTCTTTGGTCAAGGTTCAAAGGCTATCGAAGGAAGGTCCGAAACGCTCAAGACTAGAAAGAAGACAGGAAGATATTAGCAACTGTTGTACGAGACAAGAACGACAAGGTGGAAGAAGGGTTGATAAGATCTGATGATCTAAAGCGAAATATCCAGCCTGGGTTGGCGGAGATGGAAGGCAGAGGGGAGAGGGTTGACGTTGAGGTTCCCCCAGGAAAGAAAGGTTGAGGTTTGCAACATACCAAGGATAGTGGATTTGAGGAGGAATAGAATGAAGCAATGCTTGCAGAAAAGTGTGACGAGGAAGAGATTTAGAGAGGGTGATTGTGATGGAGGTGGACGAAAGAGGATCGTCCTCGCAGAAGGCCCGACGTTTTAGGCGCAACTGAAGTCACGAGGTGATGAATGAGCGGAGGAGAGAGAGGCTTCCGGCGTGGAGCTGGTGAAAGGAGCAGGAGCAGACGGTGAACAGGTGGTCCGGAGGTTGTCAGGCAACAAGAGTTGATGCTCAAGGGCTGTTCATGAAAGAGCAGTCAGCCAAAGAGGACATTTCGGTAGTTTGGGGGGAAGATGCAGGTGGTACTTTACATATGTGAGGGAAAGACAGGAATTGGAACCAACAGGATGGGGAGCGAGAGGTGAACTGCAACAAGACTTTGACAAGCAGCACCACAGTCAAGGGAGTGACTCTAGGTGTGAGATGCTCTGGATTGAAGCTAGTAAAGGATTGAGGATGCGAAGAGCGAAAGGGTCAGAAGGAGGAGGGGGGAATTGATGGGATGATGAGTTGATGGATGAACCAAAATGCAATGTACAAAAAGTGCGTAACTGGAGTGAACGGACGGGGGATTTTGTGGTTCCGGGAGTCTTGTAGACGTCTACGTAAGGTCATGTAAGTAGGCCGAAGGGGGGGGTCTTGGGTGAGCAGAACACAGGCATGAGTAGATGTGGATAGGCAACCTCGTAGGCATTGGCACAGGCGTGGGTATGAGGTCGGTGGGGCTCTTGATAGTGCAGGCAGCGAGGGGCGACGCTCAGTCTCTCTTATTACTGGATTCGTACTCACGAGGGGGAAAACGGGGAGGTGGCGGATGCGCTAAGAAGATATGGCACAGTGAACACTCGAGTTCGACCAACCAGTTGCCACACGAACCTCTGAGAGGGCCACAAGGCCACAAGCACAAGTCGTGGCAGATATCGACAAATCTTGAATTTTGCCCCTCGAAATCAACCATTCATCATCCAGACATGCATCATGTCTCGAGATGAAGTGAGCGAGGAGTGGCAGTCTCGTAAGTGCTTGGTAGGTTGCCTATCTAAACCGAGTTCCACCATTCATAATTCCAGAGTGAGTAGATCAGGTGTAACAAGCAAGCGAGAGAGTTCGATCTACATACGTGTATGTTCTGTACTCCTATGCGTAGATAACTACACACATCAAAATGCTTGACCTGGAGTTGATGATAACCGATCTCACTCTTTCTCGTGTCAGGATTTGTAGACAGATAGTCTCGTAGTTGCTGCCTACCTACACTGCTTACCATCCTCCCTATCTCTTTCATCATGTCCACTATTCATGGAGCCATCCATTAACAGGGTTGTATCTCTATTAAAAGCCATAACTATGTCAATCTAGATTTAAACGCCTCTCTTTATGCAATTTATGATCCAGACACATTCGGATTATTTTCTCAACGAGTGATACAGCCTTGAAGATGTCGAGGACCTTGGTGCCCAAACTGATGCCAAGCAATAGACCCTTGACCACGGACGGGCGGGCCGTTGGAGAAGCGCGTTAGGGCACGGATCCTGAGGCAAGACCTCGCCACTCTTGCCACCAAGGGACCTGGAAGTACCTAGAAGTGCCCAAAACTGCAGCCCAACACAGGACTGAGTGCCACAACTGCCTAGGCCCTCAAGCCCCTACACATTGTGGAGGAGGGGTTCTCTTCACCTGGGCTTGAGGCGTAGGGCCAACCACCAGTACCTTTCACAGCCTGGAAACAAAGGAACTTGCTACACAGACGCTACCTATTATTGGTAGCCCCTCGCCCCCAAAAAGAGTTCTTCATCCCCTGGAAACTTGGGCAAAACTAGCAACGCACCAAACTGAAACACTCGACGAAGTCTCTGCCGTAGTTGGTAAGTAGTGCGTGTGTGCTTTCATTCTACCCACGCATCCACATCCACATTCACTCTGTTTCTTCAACAAGAAACACAAAGCCCGTGAAACAGCGCCAAACTTCGCTCGTTCTACGCCACAGGTCGCACTCTGTCACTCACTCCTGGAGTCTTGGACGTCAAAATCTCTCGCTCGCTTGTACTGGTTACATCTTCCCCATACTTTGCTCGTCAAAACTTGTCCATTTTTGCTCGTCAAAACACCCCTTCTTCGCCCTTGCCTATTCCGGCATCTCGATTCTCGACACTCCAGAACACACGCGTTTTGTCCGATCAGCACCCGACCACGACCCCCGACTCTTCTGTCCTTCACACCCTCGCAATCGTAGCTTGGGGCTTATCTGATATCAGCCCTATCCTCTTTGAACCACATTGTTAGTGTCGATAAACTCGACACCGCACGAATTTCGTGGAGTCGACCGCTTTCGCAAGTTCCGTCTTGTACCTTTGACTGATAGGCAGCACGACTCAGTCGCTCTAGACCATGGCTTAGACAAAGACCAAACTTCCCCACCATTCGTCAAGTGCACGCACTTTCATTGTGTCTCAAGGAAACCTCCCAGCCCACCAACAATTGAAAATTTGTTTCAACACCAGGCCACCCTCAACAGCCTCTGATCACGTGACAAGCAACAACCATGGCTCCGGTCAAAGCCATCTACTCTTCCCCATACCAGACCAAGGAAAGCCCTCGCCAGCTTCGCGATACTCCTCGGACCCGTCGAAATGATGACAGCCCATCAAGACGAACCGAGTATGACCTGGATCAAGCCTTTCGACAAATGCACCTTCACCATTCCGAATGGCAGAAAGTGCACGCCTTTCAACGAAAACAACAACAAGAAGATCTAGACGCGAAGGAATCTGCCCAGGCCAGGATCCATCGGGAGTCACTCGACAGCGCAAGTGCCCAACATGAACTCGTGAGACAGCAAGCCGAGGCAGTTTTGCACGCTTATCTTGAAGAGGAGGAGCAAGAACGACGAAGGCAGGAGGAGGAGCGGAGAAGAAAGGAGGATGAGGCTCGAAGGCTGCGGGAGGAAGAAGAACGACAGAGAGTGGCAGCGGAAGAGCGACGTCGGCAGGAAGCAGAAAAGGCGCGTCGCCAGGCTGAAGAGGAACGATTAGCAAGGGAAGCGCAGAGGCGGCGAGAGCAGGAGGAGCAGGAGCAAAGGGAGAAGCAGCGACAAGCTGATGAGCAACGTCGAGTCGAAGCCGACGCCCAAGCACGCAAGGAGCGCGAAGCGACCGAGCAAGCTCAACAAGTAGCGATGGCGAAAGCAGAGCAAGAAGCAGCCAAAGCGACCGCGATCGCAGCCAAATCTAGCACCACTGTTGCAGCAGGTTCTAATTGTGAGGCTGAGCATCAAGAATACCGGGCGATACATCGAAAGCTTAAAGCCTTCCGAAAAGACCTGTGGACATCGTCGCGGAGCGACCCTAACCTGAAGCCGCACATCGGAGACATGCGACGAGCGATTCGGACAGTAGTTGGGCAGCTGACCGGCGACAGAGAGACGGACAGAATTGCTGTAAGTACAGGATGGGGTATCTTTGATGCAAACACAGACTAACAGTATTGGTGGACAGCAAGAAAAGATCTCAAACCTTCTGCGGCGAGCCCGCACTGAGGTTCCTTCAGCCCCAATCAGTGTAAACGAGTTCCTCCCATCGTGGCAGTCGCTCCATGACGACAACAGCACGCAGATTCCGGCATTAGTGTTGTACCTATTGTCCATCTTCAGCAAGGCTGTGGTGAGCGCTTATGCCAATGAATGCAGTACCAACACCAAAGCGGCCGAGCCGATCGGGATCATGGTAGCCAAAGTCTTCTCGCTGCCAGACCTCCAGTTCCGCCGCAACTTGCCGGCGGACAGTGGCGAGGGAGAAACGGTGTCATTGATTTCTGTGCTAGTGAGCAAGTTCCACGCATCAGCGCCGGTGTTGTTTGGAATCTACGGGCCTGAAACGACCAAGGACGGCAAGCTGCGGCTGGGATGGCGGTTGACGGACACAGATGCGGGGGACGGCAAAGTGTTTGTGTCGGCCAACATGCACTGGGATCGAATGATGGGACTCGGGGCGGGATATGCATCTATTACGCTGCGCAACTTCTCCCGGGCCAAAAACACCAAACACCCGTGGCCACCGACGAATTACTGGAGGAGTATAGCACATATCCTGAACACACCGCCGTCGGAGGTGACAACGAGTCACTTGACAGTGCTCAAGTCAATGGTGGAGAACAACGCAGTAGATCGGTTTGTGCTGTTCTTTGGGGCGGCGGCTGTGGCCGTGCTGAAGCAAGCGACCATGACGTTCCCACGGACTCTGAGCAAGACGCTACAAGATGGGCAAGAAGGGAAGACACTGACATATTTGGTGGAGACTTGGAAGGAGAAGAACCATTTCACCCTGGAGTAGCATGATGGTGATTGTGAAAAGGAAATCTCGACCTTGCCAACCGTCCGAGCTACGAGTCGTTTAGAGGCCAGAGTTGGAGCGGTGGTAAAAGGATCACATTGGAAAAAAGCCTGGGGCAAAGGCCATCGGAGCATAATCAGGGTGCGATGAAGGAGTTTTCTGGACGACGTCGAATTCACGTGATGCGATATGTGAGATAGGTTTGGGGTCACGTGGATCTGTTATCGGTCTTGGTGAGGTTGAAGTTGAAGTTGAGTCCTTCAAGCACCTGCCAATTATGAGGAAAGCATGATCAAATCACGTCATCTCGACTTCGTTCCTGCCTTTGCATGCATAATAAGGCGACCAAGGCAAGAAGGCCCTCCTCCAACAGGCAGGAACATCAGAGTCCCTCCGTACCTATTCATCTAGAGTATCTTCAGGCAGACACAACTGGTTGACTCTGTAGCCAACCAATAACGTCAGATCTGCACATCAGCCACCCACGCTGACAGAGAATCAAGATCGTAGCTAGATAGAGATATTCCACATTCTTCTGCCTTGCGCATACCTTACTTCCGATTACAGGACAATGTATGTAGGAAGATATGTTATGAAGACAACTGGCCATGTTTTCCCCGCGGGGTTCAAGCAAGATGTGTACGAAGTACGCGCAACAATGAGATGACCCACTCGATTCTCAACCTCGGCAGTATCATTCAGCAGTTACAACTTACATCCTTATTCCTTACTGGATTTGACCAGCAAAGAGCTGGGGTCCCCGCTCAGGCACCCCGGATATCAGTGTAAAAGAATGTGTTCGGTATAGCACAGTCCTACATGCCGATGCCGTCCTCTTCTCTCTTCTTCTCTGCATACTGTACCTGATCGACTCGATACTATCGACTCCAGAGTCCGACGTCGTATATGCATAGATGACTCCTTCCCTTCCTATTTCCACGGATGTTTAAACACAATCCTTCCTATTGTGGATGAGTGTTCCATCCTGTTCCTTCCTTGTTAACTAAACTCTGCCCCCTCCACCCCTCCGCTCCTTCCTCAGGTACTTGTTGCAATTTCGCACTTCATCTACTCTTCCTCGTCTTTCTTCGAGTTCTCTCCCTCTCCCTCCTCCTTCGATCCGACACTGCCCAGCCATGGTTGTTTCTACAAGATCTCAATTCCTCCTCAATGGAGACACCAACAAACCCGTGTCCTATCTCCAAGCCGGTCCTGACACCAATACTCTCATTGTCCTGGTCCATGGCTGGCCTGAGGTCGCCGCAGTTTGGAAGTCCCAGATCGACACTTTGTCCAATCTGGGTTTCTATGTCGTAGCCCTCGACCTCCCGGGCTGTGGTGATTCCTTCCGAACCCGGAATCCACGCGACTATAGCCTCGAGGCCACAAATGCCACCTTTCTGGCCCTCTTGAAACATCTCGGTCGTTCAGAAGCCGTTTGGATCGGCCATGACTGGGGCGCGACCTTGGTCTGGTCCTTTGTGGCCCACTACCCTCAAAATTGCATCGGTGCCTCCTCCATGTGTGTTCCATACCGGACCCTCGAGTTTGGCATCGAGGAGGGCTTGGTCAAGTATTCAAACCGTGATATCTACCCGGAAGACGAATTCCCATATGCCCAGTGGGATTATCAGGCCTTTTATGAGAATCCAGACACCTGGCCCAAGGCTATTCAGGACTACGAGGCTGATATCCCCAATTTTCTGCGCCTCATCTACCGCAAGGGCAGTGCCGAAGGCAAGGGCAAACCGAGTTTTACTGCCTCCATCACCAAAAACAACGGATGGTTCGGTGGCCAGGACAAACCGCCAGCCCTCCCTCTGGATACCGACGTCCTCGACCAAGAAACCTTCGACCAAATGTCCAATGCCTATCAAAAATCCGGCTTCTGGGATATCAGCGCCTATTATCTCAACCACGATGTAAATGCTCGCTACACCCATGACTGGTCTGTCAACGACGGTGTCATCTCCGTCCCCACCCTCTTTGTCGAGGCCCTCTGGGATTATACCTGTGATTGTCAAGATTCTAGACTTGCCGAGCCCATGAGGAGCTATTGCAGAAACCTCACCGAGGTCGCCATCGAAGCAGGCCACTGGGTCGCTCAAGAAAAAGCCCAAGAGGTCAATGCTGCCCTCACCAAGTGGATCGCCACCGCCCTACCGGCTTCCATCTGGCCATATAACAGCACATCTCCACTGAAGACCTCCAAATAGACACTTTGATCCTTCACTTTTCCTCGCCTCCAACGGCCCGACTATTCCTCTAGATCAAGTCTCTCGCCAGATACAAGTCTCAGTGCATCAGCCCGCCCTGTCAGGTGTTGCATCTCGTGACTTTTTACCTTTGATGAGCTTCCGAAATCGGGACTCGCTCCGTGCGTCGCCAGACGGAGTTATCCCTCCTATCCGAGCCTTGAGAGACGTCCTGGTCCCAACAACCACACTCTGCACTGCTGTGGCCGGCAAAGTCACCACCGGAGGAATCTCAATCGCCGCCGCCGCCACCTCCTCAGCCACCTCCAGCTGCGGAGTCTGTAGTTTGCCATATTTCAATTGAGTCTTCCTAAGCGTCTTTTGATGTGTCGCAAACCATTCATCCGTCTTCATACCCTCTCGGCCGACTTGTCCCGAGTCCAGCCGCCGCTGTGCCTCATCGTAGACCGCACGCTCTTCAGCGTCACAAACCAGTCTCTTCTCCAGCTCCCCGTGAATACTCTCTGCCCGTTGAACCTCAGCCAGGTGCGCGCTACGCACCATCTTAGCTTCATCCACTCGACCCTGCCGAGCCACTGCCAACATCAGGTTATAATACACCACATCATACATTGGATTATCCGTGGGCCCTCCCTGGATGCTTTTGATCAAGTCGCCCAGTCCTCTCAGCACCTTCTCCGACTCGCTGAAACGACCCGTCTGCTGCAGGTAGACTGCATAAGTGTTTCGATTGTCAAGGTCGGTCATGCGCAAGGCAGATTCTTGGATAACGTCCTCCCAAGGCGACAGCACCACTTCGAGGTATTCGTACATGGCTTCGGCCTCTTCCGAGTCTTCAAACGTCAGCTCTCTCAAGATGTTTGCAGCTGCGTGATATGTGTGCTTGAATGTCTCCAAGATCCTTCCCTGCAAGAAAATCGGGTTCTTGATCGCCGCACTCAAAAGTGGCTGTACGATGGCGAACCGTTGATAGCAACTGAATTGCAAGGTGAACATTCTCGTGAGCACATTGTTGCACGCTTTCCAAAGGTCGATGCTCCAGATGTTGGCATCCTCAAGGTATCGACGGTACACCTCTGCATAGATATTGAGAATCTCATCTTCTTGACCGGGTGCCAGAGTCCTCTCAGTCACTGTCAGGCCTTGCTCTCGTGCTTCCTTCCTCTCTGCATCCTCCTTCTTACTCAAGAGATGCCCTCGTAAAGTCATGGCGCTCATGTGTGCCTGCAGGGCAATCTCCTCCGGGTCTTCCGCTATCACGGCTGCCATCTCTTCGAGCACTTGTTGATTGAGTTGGATGGCTCCGTCCACATCTCCCGCAGATCGCATGTAGTGAGACAGATCATGTCGTGCTGTGAGGGTTGCTGCTCGAGTGGTTTCTGTTGGAAAATCTTCTGCATGCTTCAGCACCGACCGTGCAAACTCTACCGTCTCTGCAAATCGTCCCGTGCTAGAATAGGCGGACATGGCATGTCCATAGATGTCCAATTCCAGCTGTCGAGCATACGCCTTGTCAATATCGGCCATCGGCAGCATGGCAAGAACCTGCTCACATTCTTCCACCGCCAAGGCGTACTCAGCGTCGGCGGATAGACTTCGGACCAATCCAGCTCGAGCTTCGAGTTTTTCAATAGAGAGAGGTCCCGGAAGCTCTTCCGTCGCCTCGAAAGCCTTGCGTGACAGTCGCACCGACTCTCGAGTCAAACCCATCAGTCTAAAGTACGTTGCCAATCCCAACACAAGCGTCACCACACATGGTGCTTTGACTGTAAAATCCTCGCAGAATTGGACTTGTATCGTGCTATGCGATTGCAACAATGTACAAAGCCCCAGTTGTACTGCCGTGTATCCATTTGAGTAGATTGGAAACAGCCGCGCAAGCAAAGTCACACTGTTCACCAGGCATGTCTCTGCCAGCTTTGGCGCTATCCGTTCTGATATCCGACTGTGAACGAGGGGGTGTAATGATATCTGAGGCCATTCACCACCTTCTTCGCTCGTCATCTCTACCAAAGATAGGTGGAGCAGCTTCCTCAGGACGCCCCTGAAACGCAGAGGTGCCATGTCCTGGAATTCCGGCAGTCTTCGCAGCACCTCCGTAGGGATGTCTTGCCAGTGCCAAAAGCCCAGATAGTTGAGGCAGAGGGCAGAAAGAGGGTGCTTTTCCTCCAAATATTGCATGGAGAGATCCCAGGTCACTTTGACAGATTGAAGCATGTTTCGGGGGTCGGCTGACTGATGGTCGCGAGTACCTTTCTCCAACAAATGCAGGCGCTCCCTCCTGTTGCGATAAGCTTTGACATATTCGAGGAGGGTGAGTTGTTGGTCACTAATGTTGGCGGCTGCCTGGGCAATGGCCAAGGGGAGATATCCAAGCTCGGTCAATAGTTCACGAGCATATTCCGAGTCATTGGTCTTGGTTGGTAATAGGTGCTGAGGAATGCATTTCAGGAGTAGTTGTTCGGCTTCACCTACGTCCATGGGTAGTACACGTCGTCCATTCTCCGCTGGGACGAAACCTCCAAGGAATCTGGGGTCTCGAGAGGTAATGAGAAATCTGCCAGTGGAAGGCAGAAAAGATGCGATGCTGCTGGTGGTTGACTCGGCTCCAGTGAAGTCATCAAAGTCGTCGGCGTTATCGAGAACGATGATCCAGCGAAGATCCTGAGATTCCAATTGCCCACGCACCTTGCGCATGACTTCCATCTGATCTCGCACCACTCCTGCGTCTGGAGCATCGTCCGTGAGATGGGACTGGATGGCAGAAAAATCGTGAGCAAAATTATTGAACGAGTCTGCGCGGACCCAGAAGACGGAATAACGATTCTTGACCCAGTGGGCGAAGTGAAGTGCAATCTGAGTTTTGCTGGGGTACCGTCAGATGCGTTGAGATTTGGCTAGACGAGCTACTTACCCAGTACCACCAAGGCCCCAGAGAACAAAGGCATGATGGGTGGCATCTTTGCTCCGAAAAAAATTCTGCAGGTCGGTGAAGTACGTGGAGCGGGTGATAAAAGAGACGCAGGTCTTATGCGGTATGATAGAAGGCAGTGCGTGGACATCAGCCTGTACTGGCGATGGCCTTAGTTGACATACCAATCAAGGATGGTTGCCGGCTACGTACAGTTCTTGTCAGGGTCAAAAAGGGATGTGGCACAGCGTTCAATTTCCCTTCCGCTGCCATACTTGCGTAGGTAATCGGTGGTCAAGCTTTTCATCTTCTCGGTCGACTTCCAGTCGTCCAAATGGAGGTCTGAAACCCCTTGAGGCACACTGAACCGAAAATAGCGATTTGATCGAGCCAACTCGGAGCCGTGAGAGGACTGGGCAAAGACTTCAGCAGTCTCCTCAGCATCAGTCATGATGGAGACGGAGCCTTTGAGGAAACTAGGTAGATCTTTGGCCGTCTCCCTGAGTTTTGGGACGCCTGTCCCAATGCTCACCACACAACCAATCTCCTTGTCTTTCCACTGACGCTCTCGAGCAACTTCGGCCAGGGCCTCATTGATGGGATTGTTCCTGCGGAGTCCCCCATCGCACCAGGTCTCCCCCCCATGCTGAAATTTGACGTGATCAAAATACATTGGAGCGGCTGCAGTGGCGCTAGCGGCTTCCCAGACCTTGCACTTGTAATTCTCCTGAGTTGGGTGGTTGGCGATGTAATTCCTAAGCACATCGGCTTTGCTAATCGATTGACGAGTGACACAAAGCATTCTAAGGGGTCAGTATAGTTGGTCACGAGTGGCGAATGGGGAAGAAGGATATACATTCTGCAGTACGCGGGATGTGGCTCCTCAAGCAGGTCTGATTCCTCATTCATCTCTTTGTCAGAGAGCGTCTTTCGCACCACTTGTTGTAAATTTTGAATCTTGTAAAAGGAAGATCCAACGACGCCGCGCATCAGGCGGCCAAACTTGCCGCCTGAGGGCTCATTGCCAAAGACTTGGCTACCCATGACCTCGTAGCAGCGTATGGCCTCATCGGTGGTCATGCCCATCTTTCCCAGCATGACGGCAATCAGGCCGCCGGTGGAGGTGCCAGTGATGAGATCAAATATTTCGCAGGCACGGGGTTCTTGTGTCAGGCCGCCTAGGTCCTGGACGGTGCGCAGTATGCGCTTCAGGATGATCAAGGAGGTGTATCCCTTGATACCACCGCCGTCGAGGCATAGGAGACGCACACTGTCGGCGCGAGGGAGGGACTCCATGGTAGCAGCCTTGTGAAGGAAGGTTGGGAGGGCGTCGACATTGGTGCTCAACTTCTGGACATACTTCTGAGGGGATAGAGGGAGTTAAAAGCACAGTTCAAGTGAGGCTGAACGGGATCCAGGCTGCACCTAGAATCTGCCTCGAGGCCATGTGAGGGGCAGGAGACATGGCGTCTGGGTTGATTGGTGAAGACAGAAGATGGCGGCGTCTGGCTCAAGATATGGTTTTATGGTTTTGGTGGTGGCTGTGAAAAGGGCAACTGGCAAGTGCAGTCGAGATCCATACGCCATGGCTGGGAAATGGCTTGTTCTTTCCTGAGGTGCTGATTGAACCGAACTCACCTGCCCGTGCCTTCCCAAAGTGATGGTGATGGAGGGAAGCCGCGACCGGAGACCCGGAGGGGCAGGAACTAGCCCGAAATCGTACAGGGGTGCCTTCCTCTGATAAGTGGCATCGTATTGTCGGAAGGGAAACAGGGAAACAGGGAAACAGGGAAGGTGGGATAAGGATCAGCCTTGAGGTCTTGGGGCAACCTCCCCTCCCCATCCCCTCCCCACATATCACATGCCTGGGTGTTTCAAGCTCTGTGTCAAGCCTTTGGCCAATATAAAAGGCGATCGACAGCAGTTTTGACCCGAATGGTACAATTGCTCTAGACAATTGTTCAATGTTGCTCCTTGTTTGCTCTCTGGTCGACGCAAGAGGGATATTGTCCTGCTTCAGCAACATGCCAGAAAGCGCTGACACGATTAGAAACAAGATGCTTTGCACCTAGTAGCAACAGCCTCAGGCTGGTGCCATCTCGGCCCCATCTAGATGCACAAGCCCTAGGCCTCGGCCCGAAGCTTCCTCTAGGTGCCTTTTCTCAGTTTTTTGGTGGTAAAGAATAGGCTCAGAGGACTTTCTCCCTAAGGACCTAGCGAGTGGGGAAACCAGACGAAGAACCACATATGTATATTATTGTAACATTAGAGTCGCATCCAGCCCTCGCATATCTCATCTCCCCTTCCTGACTGTCTCTCAGGGTTAAATGACATTGGACCGAGATCGGTCCTGAGTAGGGGAGCGTGACTTGTCGTTGTTGGAGTCACGTATATGTCACGTGCGCGATCCCCACCTGTCCGTAATCGGATCCTCTTCAACTCCACCATCTTCAATGTCGTCAATACAATAACGACATAGACAGACGGAACAGGCACCACAGATAAGCATAGTCGGCCTTATATTTGCAGAAAATACTCTGCTGGTCAATTGACTCATCTTAGCAAGCGATCAGCCACGGTAGGTCCATCGACCTGGCCATTTCACCTTCAACGGATATAAGCAGATCCACAGGAGCGGATCAACATCTCAGTGTCATTGTCATCATGGGCTACAGCTTGAATCGAGCTTTCTTTCTCCTCCTCCTGAGTACTTTGTCTTTGGTCAATGCCACCTGCCATGTGCATACTCCGGCATATCCGTCCCCAAATTATACCAACCCAAGTGCGGACTTCCGGAAGGCTCTTGACTCCATCACTGATGCCATACGAGCTGTGGCCAATGACCAAACCTTCAACACATCATCCTTCTCAATTGAAATTACATCCGAGAGTTCAACGCTCTACACGGCGTATCATACTGCACAGGTCAAAGACTCTTCTCGGCCGGGGGCAGAGGTAATCAACGGCGACAGTGCATACCGCATTGCCAGCATATCCAAGACATTCACCGTCCTGGGTTTGCTCTATCAGCATGCAGCTGGGAACCTCAGCCTTGATGAATCAGTTGCCACCTACCTCCCAGACTTGGTCAGTTCTCATCAACATGTTCTTCCTTGGGAAGACATTACTCTTCGTACTCTAGCAAGTCAACTCAGTGGACTTCCTCGCGATTTCTCTCAAGGTGATCTCGTACAGGGACTTCCAAACCCCCTCGAATATGGATTTCCACCAGTCAATCTCTCGGGACTTCCACATTGCAACGCCTTTGGCAATTACACTCCTTGTAAGCCCATCGATCTTTATACCTGGCTCAGCTCAAGCACACCCGTCTTTGCCCCAAAATACAAGTCTACTTACTCGAATATTGCATTTGACCTTCTCGGTCTCGTCCTCGCCAACGTTACAAGTTCATCCTTTGAGGACTATATTCACACTGCAATCCTTGACCCACTGAACATGACCCTTTCTTCCTTCACGCCGCCGCCTGACTCCTTTGCCGTTCTCCCAAAAGACAACCGGGGCTTCTGGGATGTGGACCTCGGAGTTGATAACCCTACTGGCGGGTTATACGTTTCCGCCTCAGATATGTCCAAATACCTCCGTTATATTCTCACCCATTACAATGGTATTACAAACGCCCTCAACTGGTTCCAACCCGTCTCTTTCACCCAAGGTATCTCATCGTATTACGGCATTCCCTGGGAAACTTTCCGCACTGACAAAATCCTTCCCGACTCACGTCGCCCTGTGACATTCTACACCAAAGGTGGGGGCCTCCCAGGATATTCGACCTTGATCCTGTTGGTTCCAGAGTATGCACTCGGCATCACGATCCTCACCGCCGGCAATCCAGGTTTCGTCCCTCCACTAAACAACATTGTGACAACCAAACTCATCCCCGCGGCCGACAAGCTGGCACAAGAACAAGCCCAGCATAGATACACTGGCACTTATCATTCCCATAACATCAATACCACCCTGGCCATCTCGCACGACTCCGCCCGCGGCCTTATGGTATCGAACTTTATCTCCAACGGCACCGACACACTCTCTTTTGTCATAAACAGCCCTTTGGTCGGCACAGCAAACGTCTCGCTGCAACTCATCCCGACTGGTCTCTACCATGATGAAAAGACCAAACACGGCGAGATATTTACAGCCGTTTTTGATGTTATTACACCCAACTCGGAGACCAGCGGTAATATCTGGGACGACTTTTGTATCAATGATGTTAGCCCAGCCATGTACGCTGGTAAACGCCTGGGGGAAGTCATATTTTGGGATTTGGATCCAGAGACTGGCAAGTACTCAGGTGTGCAGATGCCAGCATTTAGGGTCTGGCTCCATCGTCAGGGTGATAAGGAATCGGACTCGGAAACGATGCTTGTACAGGATTTGTAATGCATGCGGGAACAAGACATTCATATGCATCGATAAAAGCTTGTTACGAATGCTCGCGAGCTTGAACCTGCCGATACAAGTCATTGGCACAAAGGTTCAGTATCTTACATTGATGCATATCAACGAGGGTTAACCACGAATCCGAAGCCCGCCACTAGAAAGAGAGTATTGAACTGATCTTCTGCAAAGGAGTGGTATCAGAAATACAAGACTATGCCGCGAAGCAAACACTGCTTTCCTGGCCTGCCAAAGAATCCACCGCATGTACTTACAACTTGGCTTTGGACTGGGATTTCTTCTGCTTAGCCCTCTCCTTTTCTTGATCTCTCAACACTCTTCTCAGAACCTTGCCACTTGCGCTCTTGGGGACGATGTCGACAAACTCAATGCCACCAGCCAGCCACTTGGGGCGCGACTTGCGCTGCTTGACAAAGTCTAACAGATCCTTGAGAGTGGCTGCATCGGGTTTGGCGGATGGTGCGAGGACAACAAACGCCTTTGGTACTTCACCGGCATAGTCATCTGGAATACCGATAACCGCGGCGTCGGTGACTAGGCGGTGGCCGAGCAAGAGATCTTCTAGCTCCGCTGGGGCGACGCCAACTCCCTTGACCTAAAACATCAAAAAAGTGGTCAGTCAGTTGAATCTTTGAAATCAGACCAGATGGGACTTCTGTTAAACTACCACCCGTCCTTCTCTGCGTCGACAGTTTCAAAACATACCTTGATCATTTCCTTGAGTCGGTCGTGAATGGTCAACATTCCGTCCTTATCCATGAATCCAATATCTCCCGTATGTAGATACCCTTCCTTGTCATACGACTCCACGGTAGCTTCTGGTCGATTGTAATATCCCATCGTGATCTGTGGGCCTTTGGCGAGGACCTATACCATGGGCAACCACATGTTAGCAAACTCCTGTATCCACACACACAACCATAGATTTCTACTCGCAAGTTTTGGCTAAACATACCTCACCACTCTCTCCAACCCCCAAGATCCTCTCACCCGGACCCTCATACTCAGGATCGATGATCTTGACGATCGTTTCAGGCACGACCTTTCCGACCCTGTCGGCGTTTTCATATGTCTGCTCAGAAGGGGGTGTGAGGGTAATGGCCGATGTACTCTCGGTCATTCCCCATGCTTGACGGATGCGCACGTGAGGAAAGCGTTTGGCCAACTTGTCGATGATCTCCTTAGCCAGAGGGGCTGCTCCTGTGTTGAATTGTGCAACATCGGGCAAGGTGTAGCTGGCGGCAATTGGGTCGTTGACAAGTCGGATCAATAGCGCTGTAGGAGCATCACATCATATGTCAGCGTGCTTCAATATGAAATGGTCAGAACTTGGCATGAGAGACTCACGAGGTACCATCCATAGCTCGTCGCACTTAAAGTTGACAATCACATCGAGCATTTCTTGCATGTTGAACTTGGACATCATGACGACTTCTTGATTCAACGTGAGGGGGAGTTGAAGGATCTGGACAATTCCCGTGACTAGGACGATTTTAGCAATCATAACGACCGGCGTGACCTGAATTCCGAGATAGGACCTAACTCACTATGATAGAGTGGCAGGACAGCTAGCATAACCTTCGGGCAGTTCTTCGCCGTCAGCGACCTCATCTGCATGATCTGGGCAATAATATTATGATGGGATATCATGACTCCTTTTGGCAAGCTGGTGGTACCGCTGGTGAAGCTCAAGAAAGCTGGGAATTCTTTGTTTGTCTTTCCAGGTGGGAGAGTCCATGGCTTGACTTGTCCGTATTCTCCTTTAGACCGGCCTTGTTGGAGTAGATCGTGAATCGAGACTTTATCTGACTGGCCGCGAACCTCGTCCTCACTTCCGAGAAGCACCAACTTGTTAGAACCCAAGGCGACTTTCTGCGCGGCCTGTTTGACGACATCCCAGGACCCGTTGTCGGCAAACACCAGCTCACTCTCGCTGGCCTCGAGAATATACTTCATCTCATCGACGCCATACTCTGGAGAGCTGCCCGTGACAATGGCGCCAAGCCGAATCACTGCAAAAACCACGACGGGATACCAGACAGATCCACTGCAGAAGATGGTGATGTGGCTACCCGCTTTGATGCCATACTGCTGTGCGAGAATGGTGGACAGATACGTGGCGAGGACCTTCAAGGTGGTGAAGGGGATCTTCTCCTTGGTCTTGGCATCGATAAAGGCACCAGTCTGGCCTGGATTGAACTTGCTAGTGGGTAGAGCATGATCAAAGAGCCACGGAAAGATGCTTGTGTCGGTCGGAACCGCTGATGGGAGAATGTTAGTGACCTGGTGTGTGCCATGTCTGAATTCCGAAACCGCCGGAAGAGGCACTCACGAGTGTCAAGCTTGCCGCCCTTGAAAAGCATGTCGTCTAGTAGAACCTAAGACAGATTGCAGAGCTGTGGAATGGTTGCTACAACCCTCTAATAATAATAGGGGACGCTGCGAGAACCAACTGACGTTGGGGTAGAAACCAGATTTCAATCCACATAACAGATGGATGTACAACCACCTAGAAAGGAGAAATGAAGATCGCAAAGGATGGCCAACAGAGCATTCCGTTCCCGCTCATTCATTCCGTGAAGTAGCCAATGTTAGGCCGTGAGGATAGTTGGGTTCTCCGAGGGCAATATCAACACGCACAGATCTCCGGTATGGGCGAACCGGGGACCGACATCCGAGGTCGTGGGGAGACTCTGGGGGGTTTCTGTGGCCATGGCTGGTGGTAACCGGAGAAGCTGGGTGGGAATGAAGCGATGATGCTCTACGCTCAATAGTCAGGAAATCCTGACTCGCGGAACTGGAGGGATTGGCAACAGATATATGATTTTGTCAGACATAGGCTTGTCAAGAAAATCGAGGACTAATTTCGGACGTTATTCATGGTTTGGCATTATTAAAGTTTTCGTCAGACATGATCTATTCCTTTGCACTTCCGAAATTCCAAGTCCGTTAGGTCAGTCATGAACAGTCATGAGGGTGTCGATGACAGAGCTATGAGTTACTCAGCACTCTTTTCTGCATATGTATAACACTTCTGTCCTAAGTATGCAATTCAAGTCAAACTACTCCAGAGCCAGTTCCCTCCTGTGCCGGCCATATCGCCTGACCCAGTGAAATCCATGTTGGAGAAGAACAAGGCATCATCAGCGTCAGCATTTAGCTGGTCGGCCACGAACAACATATGCTCCTGGGACAGCTCAAAATGCTCTGCGAGATCTGGAGATATCAAATCGAGAGGCGTAGCACCATGTGTCTGCGTCGGTGAGGAGAATCCAAGTGGTTGAGAAGGTACTCCACCGATACTTCCACTTTGATCTTGTAACGAGTTCTCGAGCCGAGGGTCGAATGCACTCGCGGTTCCGCTGTTTGAATCAAGAGGATACTGTAGGTCCTGTACGGCGCCACCACTAACAGTTTGAGGGCGGTCATTGCTTCCAAATCGAGGTCTCCCTCCTGTAGAGATATTAGAAAGTCGTCGTTCGGAGAGCCGTCTGGCAAGACGATTCAACCGATCCAGCTCTTTCTGTCGTAATTGGGCCGGAACGCTGCCTCGCTGTTTCATGTCCGACAGTATACGACTTCCTCTCCGTTTCACGCTCGGTCCTACAGCCACGAGTCTCAAGACGTCGTCGAGAATAATCAGGACTGAAGCGGCCGAGGATGCAAACTCGAGGTCAAATGGGAGAAAGTTATCCAACATGTTGTTCTCCGTCAATGCTGAAAGGATGGCCAATGTCTTAGTCGCAGAATCTGCACATGTCTGGAGTAGGTCTCTAATCGATGCTGTTAAGCTCTGGGTCTCATTGCCTTCGCTCGAGGATTTCAAGCGCTCCTGTAGCAGGCACAATAGGAGTGGTCGAATTGCAAGGATAATGCACTGTGAAATGTCAGGCTACCCAGTTCTCAGGCGAGACTGGGGACGTGGTTCAAACTCACTTGATGATATAATAGGCGAAGGTGGGTGGCCCCTTTGGATAATGTTTCGAGGGAGCTTTTGAACTTGAAGTTGATCGTCCCTTCGAGTTCCTCGGCGATGCTTGCTAATCTTCGTAGGACTGATCGGATCTTGGACAGGTACGATGCCTCGAGACTACCATCCGCACTGTAGAGTTCTGGGTGTCGTGTCAGTACTCGCACTGAATCATGCTTGTTGTTGTAGAACATTTCTCCTCACCATTCAAAATTTGTGAAATCAGGCGGGACAGCTTGACATGGAGGATTAATGTCGCAGACCGTTGAGATGATTGCTGAGGAGGAGCCAATTTGCTCTTGATGTCGTCGTCGTGGACAGAAATGGGCGCGCCCACAGCTGAGGATAGTGTGCGATCCAAGATATAAACTGTCCACCAGACGTTGCTGCAACGTTCAGTGAGCTTCTCCCCTAGCAAAGCTACTGGGATATTGGTATGCATTCCGTCCACCAGTGCTATGCGAAGAGCTTGGCCGATCTATCCCTTCGTCAATTATCCCTTTCCTCCAGTGATGGATGAGCACTTACATATGAGTAGGCCGTTTGTCTCATGTCGAGACAGTAAAAGTATAACGCAATCAGTGCGAGAACCTCGACTGCCAACACGGGCTCTTCATGCAATTCCGAGGTGTTGGGGAGCACAGACATGGCTCTGGTGAAGAATTCGGAGCCCGACAAGGCTCCGAGAGTCTTGTTGCTATTCAGAAAGCCCTTGCCAAATGCGAGAACGAGCAAATACTGAGTATACCACAGACGAGAACTGCCGACCTTTTCCGGTGCTTCAGCATAGAACTCGTGGAGTTGCTTCAAAAAGTCTTCTTCGTCAAAGAGTCGTAGAAGACCTCCCAGGTGGAACTTGACTGTGTTGGTCAAGTAGATGGCAAAGTCCAACGACGGGAGACGACTGAGGTCAGGCTTCTCCTCTGGGCCTACATGCTTCCATGAAAAGTTATAGGCATCACCGTCCAGACTAAACGCGTTGTCTTCGTCGGTACCAACACCTGGCAAATGTTCCTGGATGATTGAGACAGCGCGTATGTTAAACGACCATGTTGAGGAGGTCCCCAGATATACTGAGAATAGTCAGCTAAGTAGGCACAGACAACGCCGTGCGGGGATAGTGTACGCACACCACCTCCTTCGTTTGTTTGGCCGATTTCGTAAGAAAAATGAAGGTGCTTCTCTTTGTGTGACTGGATCAACAGATTCTGCGGTATCGAGGTTTCTCTCAGACACAGGCGCTTCCACCATGTTAGGTCCAAGGCCCGCATCTGATGCCATCATTGACTCGTGCAGGTCTGTCTCCTCAACGGCCTGGGCGGCCCGGCGTAGTGTGTCAAGATAGCTATATGCATTAATGAAGGGTGAAGCTATTCACGGGGCCACTACTTACCTCTCAGTCACTACCACTCGTTTCTCCTTGTCATCGAATATACATTCCTTGTTTCTCCTTCGACAACGATCGCACGGTTGACTCCCCGAACATTTTAGTTTGCTGTGTCGGCATCGTTGGCAGCTGGATCAATATTAAATCAGTGGGAAGGATCAAAGTGACAATTCTAGACGAAGGAAGACGATCAAGGCGTGAAATCATGATATTGTGTGCTATTCGTTCTAGGGTCGTGTCATTGGAAGGAAAGTCAAGGCAATTGTCTTGCGGCGCGTGAGCTTCCCCATGAACTCTTTGGCCGTGCCTATTGCAAAACACAGAGTGATGTGCCACTTACGCGTTGGCTGCTCGTTTCGGCTCATTGTCTGAGCGTCTATTCGGCGTCGACATGAGTGGGTGAGGGGAGTTATTCTGAAAGTGTGCTGCTGGTTCGGGAGTGCCATGAAGAGGTCGGTTGATATTAGATTTTGCCGACTATGACGGCAACTGGAACCCGACGCCCATGACGCTCATGTCCGCCCAGACGGACGCCACGGGCATTCAGCGGAGATAAACCGATCAGCTCTCTAAGTAATTACACCTTGCCTTCATAGTCCCATTTCAAACCCCTAGTCCTATCGCCATGGACACATGGCTCATGGCTCGTGTCTCATGACTCATGAGGACATGGTCTTCGTGTGCTGTGTACCGTTGATGATGGCCTGTGCCGCTGTTCCTCTGATGGCCCCTTTCTCAGCAGTAATCAATGCCTGGATCGTGACACCACGGGGTGAACTGATCTTCTCCCGCAGCGAGGAAGGCGACTCGTCTTCGTGTTCTAGAAGGAGTTTGCCGGTCGCCAGTAAGCACTGTGCCGCAATCTCTCGCGCGTCCGACCTCTTCATGCCTTCGGCCACGCAGCCATCAAGCATGCCGTCGAGGAGAACTGTTGTTACGGCGATCGAGGCACCCAATAGCGTAGTGGCAATATCGAAAGACGGCTGTGTTAGAACCTTGACCCGTCCAATCTGACTGAACATCCACTTGGTCAACTCGATGCCCTCTTGTGGCACTGTCTCCCTGGGCAATTGAATCACAGTCATGGATTCCTTGACTGTGGCACCAAGAGTCGGCATAACTCTAATGATATGAGGCAACTTGTCTCTCTGGGAAGAATCATTGGAGCTCCCGATCAGATAGCGTTCAATCACCTCAACGGGCACGCCAGCGATAAGAGATATGACTAGCTTTCCGCGTAATGCATCGAGGACGCCAGGCTGTTCAAGGACTTCCTGCACCATGTATGGTTTGAAGCCAAGAACGACAACTTCCGCTTTGTCCATTGCTTCAGCGCATGATGTCCTTAAGACCGTCAATTTGGCCGCGTGGTCTGCAAAGGCCGACTTTAGATTTTTGGCCGAGGAGTCGCTGTTCACTCGTGCATAGATTTTGCCTATCGAATATTTCGGCTGGACTTCGTCTGTCCTTGAGCCTGACGCCGCTGAGAGTAGGCCAGACGCCACCGCGCTGCCCATGTTCCCTGTCACCAATAAGTCAGTTGCCAATCTCAAAGTTATATGGTTGGCTACCAACCGCATCCAATGAAAGACAAAGAAATGCCCTCGTCTTGTGTTATCGAACCCATGGTGAGAGTTGTCTAGTCAGTCTGTTCAGCTGATGTCTCAGTCAGGACCTTCAAGACTGGTCGAGATATAAAGCCTGAAGTTGATTATTTTCTGTGGTTTCGATAGATCAAAAATCTACACATGTCTGCATCCACTGGCTCGGACTTATGCGACAACGAGAGTGCGAGGATCATTCCAGCCTCGTCATGAACCAGGCTTCTACTTGTACCGCTGCAAACCTAACAAAGTCCTCAGCGGACTTCAATTACTCCCTTCTAGCCACTCCTTGACTTTCATGCTCGATGATCGTCCTCAAACACAAGAGGATGCGTGAATCTACGAAACTCTACGCCCTATCGCAACCGTCGGAACAACGAGCCGATGGTTGAGGTCAACCACCCCAAAGGCTAATCCTATAATCTACCAACCAATATTGTCTGTCGCCCTCTTACTTTATGTAACACCAGCGAGGCTAGAGTAGTGAAGGTCTTTCCATGTTTTGGTAAGCCCCCTTTCAGCTCGATGATGCGACTATCGTGTTCTAGAAGAATTCGGAGGATGGCAAAGATTGAACAGACGCTGTATCACGTGACATCGACGAAGCGACAGTCAAGCAGCATCTCAAATCCCAGTCCATTCGTATTGAAATCTAACTATGCCGACTTCAAACAAGTGGAGGCCAGTCGGCCAGCATTCGATCCAAGGCTCCCAACAATCACCACACAATCACCGGATCCCACTTGGAAGTACGGCCAAGGAGTCAGCATCAGCTCGTCAGAGATCCAGCAAGACCAACGACACTCGCACAGAGAGATTGACCCTTATGTCGAGCCACGCAGCATGATCCAGAACTACAAATTGTTAATCTCAGGTGTTCCAAGACCAATTTCGTTCATCAGTACAGTCTCGTCAGAGGGGACCAGAAACCTCAGTCCGTTCAGCTATTTTCAAGTGGTGGACCATGATCCGCCCATATTCGTCGTCGGCTTCTCTGCTCGAGCATCTCGACCAAAGGACACAAGGACGAACCTGGAACAAACCGGGGAATGCGTAATCAACATCGTCAGCGAGCATATGATCGAGGGTGTCAATGCTACCTCTCTCGATGTGCCCTTTGGCGTCTCAGAGTGGGAATTGTCGGGCTTCCAGGGAGCACCGTCAAGCACGGTCAAGGCTGAGAGGGTCAGAGATGCCATTTTTAGCGTCGAAGGCCGCCTGCTCGAAATGAAAAGTCTAGATTATGGCGGTTATCATGCCAAACAAGGCAAACCTAGTGGGGCTCTGGCCATCATTCAAGCAACCAGGTTCTGGATCCGCGAAGACGCCATCAACGAGGATGGTAGTGAGATCAGTCTGGACGTATTACGTCCTCTGGCTCAGCTAGGAGGCATTTCGTATGGTCGAATCAACGGAACGTTTGAGCTGCCTCGGCCGAGGCTCGCCGAAGAATTGCGCGACGAGTCCAAGGGTCTACACCGGTTATTGCCAGACACTGTAGATAGACCTCAGACATAGACCCTGGGAGAGATGTTCGTCCTGAAAGTAAGCCAGGTATTCCAATGCGGGCAGATTCCTGGGTTCGAAGTGATGGTGAGTACGTGGTATTCGAGGTCCTGCCTACCAGGATAATCACGGGCGAATGACAGTCCGTCGCGTATTCGCATACTGTCAATAAGTCAAGGTACATGGCGCGACCTAAAATTAGATACATGCCTCGCTTGCAAACCACGTCACAGGGCTTGACCAGAATAAATCTCGTCGACCAACCTGCAAAGTCGTTGATGGTGCTGGTATTTGCCAGAACGTATTTCATTCTGACAATAGACATGGCAGCATCGAGAGATCAACATGCGACCAAGGACCTGGAAGTTTTCCGACCTCTCTTGGAGACGCCGATAGAACAAGATATTGACCCAAATGCCCTTCACATTGCCACGAACACCCTACCGTTCATTTCCATCCCAGGGGTCTTTAACTTCCGGGATCTGGGCCATCATCCTCGTCTCAAACAAGGCTTGTTGTACCGGTCCGGGACGTTGTTCACGGTGGAACCTGCAGGTATCAATATGTTGATCAATGACCTCAATGTCCGAACGGTGTTTGACTTTCGGTCGAGCGGGGAGCGAAAAGCCTTTGCATTTCCTGAGCTCGAGAACGACAAGGGCTCCATCGCCGTGCACTGGGAACCTTCGGACACACCGGCAGAGACCAACATCAGCGACTTCGTCGACTTGGAAACCGAGTCTCATCTCTGGCATGGAGGAGCCAGAGGGTTCAGCAAGATGTATCTTGACACCCTCGAGGTTCACAAGGCATCTTTCAGGGCAGTGTTGCAACATGTACTCCTCCGGCCCCATGAGCCGATTGTCTTCAACTGCACCGCCGGAAAGGACCGTACTGGGGTCATGGCAGCTCTCGTTTTAACGCTGGCTGACGTGCCTGACCACGAGATCGCTGCTGACTACGCCCTCTCAAGAATCGGGATCGAGTCTCGCAAGGAGTTCCTCACCGGTATAATCAGGATGTGGAAGCCAGATTGGACTTCGGAAACGGCGGGAATGAGAGGCTTTTCCAACGTGAGGCCCGAGTATATGGCTCAGTTCCTGCATGATGCTAGGATCAAGTATGCAGACATACGCGGGGAAGGGAACTGGGCTGCCCAGTATGCGCACCATGATTTAGGATTTGAGCTGCATGATGTTGATACCATTCGCGCCAATATGCAGCCCAGTCAGGTCGAGTAATGGGCAAGGGGGTAGTTGTTCATGGCATTCGTGCATGCATGGCCTTGATTGATATGCACCGTCGACTCGTGGCATTTTCGCTTGCAAAGTGATTCGCACTAATTGATGGAAGCATCGCGGGTAGCCAACAGGACTGTCCCTATGTCTGGGGTCGTTTTGCTCCATATGGTAAAGGAGGCGGCTGGTTTATCAAAGTCCGACCGGGGTCTGGTGTTGGTAACCCGGAAATCGACTTCTAGACCCGATATAGCTCGCTGAGTCCCCAATACACGTTAGGCAACTGGTGCTGCTTTGGGCAAGGTCTAATCTTTCGGGTTCCATTTCAAAAGGCGGTTGCCGCTCCCGGGGCCAGGCGACCTAGACATACGTGCGCAGTACCAGGTTAGGAGATAATCAGCGTGATGGTGTGTCACAGTCGGTTATTCATCTCGACGTCTTTCGGGACTCAGGAGATAGTCAGACAACAAGGGGTGCGGATCAACTCTCCACGATACGACATATCCCGCAGATTCCCAGCGGCAGATTCCCAGCGTGTTATCTCGGCATCACCATCCGAACATGGCCAGTGTACCAGTACCGACGGCTTCGTGTCGCGATCTTCTTACAGGCGGGCTTCGCGACTTGGCATAAGTAGAAGTCATGTCGAGAAGAAACCTGATTCACGATGGTACATAGGTCGCGCTGTTCAAGGTTTGGGTGTTCTCGGATTTCTTCACCTTATTCGACGAATGTCAGGATCCAGGCGTTGGTCAAGAGCGCTTTCTCACCGGTACCTGTTCTCTATCTCATCATGGATCTGGCTGGTGATACAGGTCTGTATAACTCGTGTGATCGCTCCCACGCACGAGTTCGCTTCAAGGTACACATACATGCCAACCTTCCCATAGGTCGACGCGGTTACGTCTCCCGAGAGTCATGTGCAGGTCGGTGACTTGTCGTCCGGGGAATTTGGGCGGAAAGCCAAGCCGTGCAGGTCAGCTCGCAAAGGTCAGCCATGCTGCTCAAAGGTGAGATCGGCACCAGCGGCCGGGCAAGATTAATTCCAAAGAGTTGTCAACTCGATGGGGAAGCCTTGGAGCTTTCCCGCCTAAGAGTTGACTCTCCAAACGATTGGTCGGCATTTATACTTCGCATAAAACAGACATGCTTGATCTAGCGTCTCTGGGCATTTTGCGAGGTGTTGACATGATTCACCAATGCATGATTATAGGTATTTGCCAGGCTTTTGCCTCTGCAATGTGGACTCGGTCTTTGCCTCTGTTTCTTACAGAGTACATACTGGCAATTGTACCCCCCGCCTTTTCGGACCGTCCGGACCGTTTGAACCGTCCGGACCGTCTCTTGAATCCTGCCATACTCCAAGAGGTTACGTAAATAGGCTTTGCGGAGTATAGGTGATTAAAGTTCCCCCGCAAAGGTTGTTGCCATCATCTCCGTATTTCCTGAGTTGATGCCCCATCTACCACGCGTTGTTGATTTGCCCGTGGACTCGTGGGGGCAATCATGGGCACAGATTAATGTATACGGAGTAGTAGTGTCCGAAAATGGGGCGCTAGCTTGCGTGTGAACGAGCTAGGCAAGCAAGGTATAGAGTAATTGTAATAACTTGTAATTAATCGTGGCGCGAGGGAACTTGTGTCGTCTTGCCACATCCAGACCAACTCCCATAGCTGCAAAGAAGAGTTTCAGTATTACCTCCACGTGTACGGAGTATGCGTACGTAGAGGAAGAATCAAAGACCAGGACCCGCAACCAGGGGTGCTGCCCAATGAGCAGTGATTCTAGAAACACTTCTCGGAGATCTTGCACAACACGTTCAACTCGCCCGTGGCAGAGTGTGGTGATGTCCCTCTCGAGTGAGCACCATTTCTCTCCATATCTCGGTTGATAGCAAGTTTTGGACAAGTACAGCTAAGATATCCCACACTATCTTATGCCCCCATGCAGCATTATGCACGCGGCCGTGTCATCTAGACGGCCAAGATGGCTCTAAGAACCTAGGCACGCCAGCCTCGGCAGTCTAGAAAACAGAATCGTTCAGCATCTCTAGACGGGGTCAGGTCCACCCACCCAGCACATCGCCCCTCCACAGAAGCCCTGCCCAGGAAGCTAATCATCACTCAAGCCCAGCTGCTTCCCTTGGCCATGCCTATGTTTGTTTCAGAGCACATTGCTTGCGATATCTGCCTGCTTATTCAAGATGGTCTGGGGACTGCGATTTTTGAGGCGGTAAGCATCTTCTTCGCGGAAGCGGATTGAACATTTTCGGTGGCAATGACGGCCCGTGCTGGAAAATCAGCGTCATCCTTCGAGGCGGGAGACTGTACGGAGTAGTCGCATCCTTAGTGTGTGGATGTGTGGATGTGGCGCCGCCGAGGCCTTACCGAGCGCTACGCAGGCCCGCCGCCCGACTACGCATGGTCCTGGTCTCTACGGAGTAGTGTCAGGAGCCTCGAGATTTGTCTTTCTGGATACGTGTTTCATTATTAGCAATTCTGCAAGGCAAGGCCCATGTTACCTTGTGGGGTACCAGCCATACCAAATCGCCTTGTTCCTATTCCGTATTTGATCAAGGTGATAGTGGAGCTGGAGCTTACAACTGACCCGAAGCGTCTGCAAAAGGCCGTCGTCCTCTTCGAATGCTATTGGAAGGATATCTGAGCACTGTCGCGTGGTGTCTTGTCAATGACCTGATCCCTTAGTGTGGAAAGATCTTCCTCTCAACACTATCCCGCTCGATGGATATATAGACCTCGAGGATCCTCTTCAAGTTCCCCTCGACTTCTCCTCTCCTCGCCCGTCTCTGTACCATTCATCCCTCTGGCCTGGTATCCATAGCACCTATTCGATTCTCCAACGTGACACAGCCCATCGCAGTCATGGACACCAAAGAACAGAAATACTCGGATGAGGGCCTCCACTCATCCGATAGCAACGGCCAAGATATCCAGCTGGAGGAGGCCATCGGTTCAGACAATGTTGACCAGCTTCAACGTCGCCTGGGTAACCGTCAGATTCAACTCATCGCCATCGGTGGCTCTATCGGCACTGCCCTCTTCGTCAGTATCGGTAGTGGTCTTGCTCGTGGTGGCCCCGGCAGTCTGTTCCTTGCCTACACCCTCTACAGCTGTCTGCTCGGTCTCGTAAACAACGGCATGGCTGAAATGGCCACTCTTCACCCTGTTTCTGGAGGTTTCGTCCGTATGGCCGGAAAATGGGTCGACGACGCCTTCGGCTTCATGGCTGGCTGGAACTTTTTCTTCTACGAGGCTCTCTTGATTCCCTTCGAAATCGTGGCTCTCAACCTGGTCTTGTCGTTCTGGACCGATGCAATCCCAACGGCGGCAGTCTGTGCTATCTGTATTGTGCTCTATGCGTGAGAAACCCCCCGCCCCCATCCGTCGCCTCTTGTCCGTATTTGTCCAAGAAACTAAACCTCGTCCAGTCTTCTAAACGTCCTGGCCGTCAAGGCTTATGGAGAAGCCGAATTTTGGCTTTCAGGAGGCAAGGTCATCTTGATCTTCATGCTTTTCTCCTTCACCTTTGTCACCATGGTTGGTGGGAACCCACAGCATGATGCCTACGGCTTCCGTTACTGGAAGAATCCTGGTGCATTTGCTGAGCACCACACTACTGGCTCTCTCGGCCGGTTTGAAGGATTCTTGGCCGCTCTGTGGTCTGCATCGTTCACAGTCGTAGGCCCCGAATACGTCGCCATGGTCGCAGCTGAAGCCAAGAGACCGAGAATCTACATCAAGAACGCCTTTAAGACCATCTACTGGCGATTCGGTATTTTCTTCATTCTTGGATCTCTCTGCGTTGGCCTTGTTGTTCCCTACAACGACCCCGTACTGGTAGGTGTCGTGACCGGCACCACCGCTGGTGGTGGAACAGCTGCAGCGTCTCCCTATGTCATTGCCATGGAAAATATGGGAGTTTCGGTTCTACCGCATATTACCAACGCGTTGATGCTTACCAGTATCTTCTCCGCTGGCAACACCTACACCTATTGCTCCACTCGCACATTGTACGGACTGGCCTTGGAAGGAAGAGCACCACGGTTCCTGAGAAAGTGCACCAAGAACGGTGTGCCCATCTTCTGCTTCATTGTCGTCATGCTCTTCCCTCTCTTGTCTTTCCTCCAGGTGTCAAACAGTTCGGCCAAGGTTTTGACCTGGTTGATCAACTTGATCACCGCGGGTGGAATCATCGACTTTATCGTCATGTGCGTCACCTACATCTTTTTCTATCGCGCATGCAAGGCCCAAGGAATCGACCGCAACAGCTTTCCCTATACTGGATGGTTCCAACCATACTGCGCCTATATTGGCCTCGCAGGCATGACTATCGTCGTCACTTTCTTCGGCTACTCGAGCTTCACCCCCTGGAATGTTGAGACCTTCTTCTCCTACTACACCATGGTCATTGTGGCTCCAGTCTTGTATGTTGGATGGAAGCTCATCAAGCGCACAAAGTTTATCAGCGCCCACGAGGCTGATCTCATTTGGGATCGTCCTGTCATCGATGCCTACGAGGCTTCATTTGTCAGCCCTCCTGTTGGCTTCTGGACTGAAATGCTGCAATTGATCGGTATCAAGCGAGGTGTCAAGGACCAACGAGCCCCTGTCAACGGCGAGGTAGTGTTCCAACCGTAAGAGAACCAAAGTTGACTTTGGTTGGAATTTGATATCACGGTCCTTTCTCTGATGGGAAGGGCATGAGAATGCCTCAAAATCCTCATGTATTCTCTAGCCTCGTCATGGCCACTCAACCTCACGAGAAGTTCTTTTGGCGTAGATGGAAACCAAAATGGTCGCCATCAAAATATTGATACCCCCACACCCAGAACCTTTCATTCTTGCGTCCGATCGATCCTGCATTTAGAGAAGTGATAAAGTAGCCGAGTCTAATGGCAACGAAAGTGCGATCGACTATGTCAGACGATCCAATATCTTTGTATCTGTCGTCGCATGACCATGCCGTCCACACGCTCCAAACATGTCGTCACCAAGGTCGATCTATCATAATGGCCTGCCGAAACATTGTCTTGGCCACTTGGTAGAGGTTCGAGATCCCGAATTTGATAAGCCATGGGTCCGGTTATCTTTGCTTCATTTTAAGCACTGTGCCACGTTAGTCCAATCTTGTCGATCAATTGCCCGTGGAATGATGAATCACATGTCACCGGCTTTCCAAGAAGTCGAGGCTTGATGTTCCTGTCATTGTAATCAGACGGGCATGCATGATCCGCGCGATAAACTTCACAAACTATCGGCTGCTCTTTGCGTTCATCGTGCAGTATCGATGCCCAGAGAAGGATACGGCGATGCTATAGTCATGCTGGCCACCTCATGGAAGCAGCCCCCGGTCGATAGTGTGGTTTACAGCGCTAGCATCAGAGCCACGGAAGCTAGGGACAAATCCACTCCAAAGTGGGTGTCGACGCGCATACGCCTCGGCAGAGGCTGCCGATGACAGTCGGGATTTCCGGACTAGACGGGCGAACGTCCACGTTGTTAGAGATCAAAGCAAAGACACAATGCTGAGACTGCGTGCGTTCATCAAGAGACTGCCAGGTAGGTGCTTTTCATGGTGGTCCTGAGTTGTTTGTAGCTCGGGAGATATCCTTCCCCGTCATCCAGGTGTACAGTACGACTGAATGGCTCAGTTCGTTCTCCTCATCTTGGCTGGCGCGGAATCCACCCGCTACAAATGCTGCTAGCACCATATCTTTGGGAGTTTTGTCAAGTCCGAGGTCCCTGGTACAAGGAAAATAGCGACGACCAATGTCATCCAATGTCATTCAAGTAGAATTTGCCGAGGTCTGAGGAGAAATCTCACGCCAACATTGTATGGATCCTCATAATAGCATAAATGGATATCAAAACTCAGAATCAGGCAATTGGGTTCATTATACGACGGATTTACGGTTACATCAAACGTAAACATGGCTACTAAACCCAAGATCTACAGCCAGGATAATCAGTCCCCCCCGGGAGTAGCCTTTGCTCTCCACATCGAAGATCCCCTGAAACGGATACAAGCATGCCTGGATTCATACAAGGCTAGCGATGACACCGAGGTGATTCTGCCTCTTGACTACACATGGGCTGGCGTGTTGATCCGGGGCCCTTTCTAGGTATTTGAGTATAGTCTCATGGCCAATGATTTGCAGTTGATCAGCGCAACTGGTCTGCCGCATGTGGGAGCCGTGTTCGAAATGGATGTCAGCAAAAAGTACACAAATACCATGTTTAATATGCAGGGAGGGGCGGTATCGCTGGCATTTGACATGGCCACGACGATTGCTACTGCTCCTTGCGCGACCAGGGACTTTTGGCGATTTCCGGGCGTTTCGAGAACCCTCAGTGTGACTTTCCTGCGTCCAATTAAGCTCGGTATGCGAGTGGTCATAGACTGCGAAGTGGTTCAGATCGGCCAAAGATTAGGTAGGTTTAGGCGACCACGTCGTGTCTGTACTAACTGGACAATAGCAACCACACGAGCAACTATGAGAGAAAAGGCGACTGGCAATATCCTCGCCATATGTGAGCACAACAAGGCGAGCGTGGTGTTTAAAGAACCAAAGCTGTAAAAACATTATCTATTATTTGTCTAGGCACGAGACGGTGTTGCCTGCAGGGAGTCCCAAATACCAGTTGTGCTCAAATCGACAGCACGAAATTCAACAATCATGTTGACACTTCCAACAACTATTCCGATCCGACGTAACAGTATAGGGTTTTCGCTTGCTCATCGTTCCTTCAGCCACAACAGCCAGTAACATCAGGAGGCTGTCGATTACGCCTAGAGGCCGTATTGTCAATGTTTGGCTTCGCAGACGATATTGTCAGACTTACTTGAATTCTTCCAGCAGCTGGTCCCAGGTGAAGATGAAAGAGCCGAGAAACGCGCCAATGAAAATACAGATGATGATGTAGCCTTCGACTATCAGTCAGTATATACAAAAGAATGGAAGGCACCCAAGATTACATACCATTATAATACATTGCCAGCAACATGACAAAGTACGCCACCCCAAACTGAAACATATGGATGAGAGCCCGGATAAGTTGCCGTTGGACGAGAATAATAGGATTGATGTGAGGGCGCTGAGTAGCATCTCCAAGGATAGCACGTGTAACAGGTGACGCGGTCTTGCTTTTCTCATTCTCGGTTTCAGAGGAAGGAGGGCTAGACTGCACGGGACCGGTAGCCCTTCGATCGACGCGGCGAAGGTATGCGTCGTATTCTCGCTGTACACGGCGCAAGAATTCGAGAGAAATAACCAGGAGAATAACGCCGATGCAGGATCCTGCAAACATGCCCGCCGACGTGATATGCCAGGACCTGCTGATGAAGCCTGAAGAGAGCGTCAGCCCAAGTCGGGGCCTAGATGGTATGATGAAGACTTACACGCATCGATGGTAGTCCAGTTCCACGTCATTGAGATCTTGCACCCTCCTCCCATGCTCATTCCTCCGCCCGCCGCAGAAGAAGATCCTGTGGGCATGGCCATAGTCCCCGTGCTTGTGACCTCAGAGGTCATTGTCATCGAAGACATGTCCATGGCTCGAATGTCGCTGATCTGTGTGAATAATGCAGGGAATCGTGGCTAGTAACGCTACATCTGTAACGTTGTGAAATGGTGAGCCCGAGGGCTCTACTTTATATCAACCCTCTTCTTCGCAGTCCACGATGGCTTGCCAACGTTGAAAAGATCTTTCAATTAGCTGCATCTTCATCATGTCTCTCCACCACTTGGTCATGTCAAGTGCCCCTTTCAAGATCAACGCCATGGTAAATGCGCAAGTTTTCTTCTCATATCATTGGATGCTTTGCACCAGGCTGAGAGGTTCCACAGTGGTGCGAGCAACGATTGGACAAGAGCACTGGCGAGACTCACACCACGCCTGTTGACTCTGGAAGTTAAGGCTGTCGTCCCGAGTTTGAGCAAGTTTTATTATCTGGCTTGTAAAGTTGCCACTGACGGGTTAAGTAAGCCTTCGTTGTTGCAGCAGCTGGACGTGGTAGTAGCGATCCCTCATGTCTCCCTCATGTCGGCCACATGGGCATCAAAGTTGTTTGCTTTCGCATTGAAGACGCCTGTTGACTTCACGGACACAGGAACTCCATGCAGCAAAAGGGAAGAAGCCCTCCGTGCTGCCCTGCATTGCGATTTCGGAGGTTTGAGAGCTTATTTAATAGATTCGGACGATCCCGCGGGGAAGGGACTTAAATTTGGGCTTAATCATGTCTTGGGGCTCGAATATGCTCACCCTCAGTTCGCTTTGACATACCTTTGATCTTTTACTTGTAACTTCAATATAGAAGTGAGATAGGTAGTTTGATGTTGTCTGTTGGCTATCGTACTAGAGCTCAAGGTCATCGAGTGGTCTGAGAGGCCGGTGTTTGCCCGTAACGTTCCCTGTCCCGTCTTTGAACATAAGAATGATACACATGCTGAATGTCAGTCTACACAAAGAATGATAGTGTCAAGAGTCAACCTAGGGGATTGTACAAGACATCACAAGATTCTTGTCGAGGTTACGAGGAAAGGAGATACGCCGTCCTTGATAGAGTATTTGGAGACGTCACCTCATATCGTCGAGTTTCTAGTGCTGCTAATCGGCCACAACCATACAGTGGGGTAAACATTGCACCTTGTTCAGTCCACAGTCCTTTCCCAAGACGAAAATGACGACGACTGGTGCAGGGTCCTGGCAAGGAGTACGAAAAGCCCCTTACCCTCCGGAATTGCGTAACGTCGGTGTGTAGCCCGGGATGATTACGTTGTCTCTTGAGCCACTGTCGACTTCTCATGCACGGGGTAAAGATAGATTGTGACATGTCGGACCTTTTGGGAAGATGATGGTTTTAGTTGCAGAAAGTGTGCCGGATAGGACTCTTTCCCTGAAAGCCCCATGAAGCAAGTCAACTGGTCAGGGCTCGTGCTGCGAGAAATGGCAGATAATTATATCGCTTATATGGCGTTAGAGCGAGGCAAGGCCTGGATCTACTTATCAACCTAGATGCCATTAATTGTGCTCAAAGTTCGCAAAATTGCGCAAGATTGTTGTCCTTCCTACGCAACACAAGCGTTTCGATGAAACGTACGTACATACATTGCGCAAGGAGCGCCCAGACATCTGCTTATGCGCACTTAAGTTAGGGCTAAGCGGCGCCCATAAGGCTCGGGAAGTCCCACATCCTCGCAGGACAACTTCCTTGGTCTCTTTTTTTCGAGCTTTTGGGTTCTAAAGATGCATGAAATAGTCACACAGAGACCACGGTGAGCCATGCGCCAGACTACGAGGCGTCCAGCACATCGCAGCAGCAATGATACCTGAGCAGCGCTGAAGAGTACATGATACCAACAAAGGACTATAGGGATGGTTATGGTGAAGCCGGGGGCACTAACAGCCTGAGGAGGGACTAGACTTCCCGCTGTCTGTACTCCGTAGGCTTGTTTATAATGAACTTCCCGTTTGGGTAGCTCGGCAACACACCTAACCAGCCAAGAGAGCACATTCGCGGCTCGACGACTCAGGGACCCGAGAAGCCCGAGCGCAGTTGACAGGGGTCAGCTTGGGGGTCAAACGTGTCCTGACCAACCTGCTCTGAGCATGTTTACGCCAGCACCGCCAGACACATTGAGTCGCCCGCACAACGGACCCAGTCGATTGCGCACATTCCAGATGTCGAGACTGCCATCTCCCATTGGTGTTTCAGGATAGGAAACTTGCTCCAGTTGTTACGACAAGAGCACTTTTATCATGTCGCCATGCAGACTTAAGTCCGCCGGTTTCCCCATGGCTGACGAGGGGCTATATCGGCCTCGATCAGTAACTTCCCTTGGCTGTCGCACAAGGTCGGCTCGGTCTTAGTTGATATCCGCTAGATACAACAACGAGGCAGCAAAATGGTGTCTACGACATTTCCTCGTGTCTGCGAGGATAGATCTCATTCCACATGGTCATGGTCACCGCCATATCGCAAACTCCAGCACCTGAGCTCCCAAGCTGATCTTAAAGGCGTCGATCCTCGAGATCGTTGCTCTTATCGTGGCGCTAATCACACCACTGTATCTGGCTTCCCCAGAATGACGACAGGGCCCAAGCCCCAGGATGCGAGGCACTGGGGCCAACATGCTTTGTGGGTGGGAAACATTGCTGCAGAAGTCACCATTTTGACTCTGCGAGACTACTTCTCTGCTGCGTGTCCGAGAACCGTCATCAGTATCGCCTACAATTCAGACGCCAGGTATGCATTTGTCAACTTTAGCTCCGAAGAATCTCGAGCCGCTGCCATTCGGCATGCAGCGAGCACTTTATTCCAGGGTCGACGCCTCGACTGTCGGATTCGACAAGGCTCCATGTCGAGGTCAACCAAGGTCCATTATGCCGTGGGGAAACCAGGAAACACGTCCTTCACTGTCTCTCATCAAGGCGAGAACAGTCTAGAACAGCGTGCTGTTGAATTGCTACACTATCCGGAAACCGTCGAGGCACAATGGGGCAGGGATAAGTTCTTCATCTTGAAGAGTTTCTCACTCGAGGCACTTGCCAAAAGCATCGAGACTGCTCGGTGGTATGTCCCCAAGCGACACTGCTCGCGGCTAAATTTTGCCCACCAGGTGAGTCTTGCCGCAGGCTGCAGCAATTTGATCGTTTTATGCTCAATGCTAACGAGGCCATTTGGCCGTAATCCACAGACATCACGAAATGTATACTTTATCTTTTCGATCAACGGGTCGGGGTCCTTCTGTGGTCTTGCAAAGATGAAGTCTGAGACACAACCAGAAGCGTCGGCCACGAATCAACAAAACGACATCCACCGGACAAGCTCGACGCGGAGCGATTCATCGTCACTACTTCGCCATTCCCTCTCTAGAGTCTCAGGGGCGGGGTCTGGCTTACGGACGCCAACGACTGCCTCATCAATATCAGTGGCAGGCACCATACACTACGAACCCCAGCGGCGGAGAATAGTGTGGGAAGCTTTACCAGCGGAGCAAGCTGACGAACAAGAGGCGGACGACGATCTCGCATGGTCGGAATCGTCTTCGTCTTCGTCTACAGTGTCAAATTATGAAGCAGGATTAGTGGCGGGCGAGGACAATTACCGCCTCCGAAGACACACGGTTCCTTCACGGGCCGACATTTCCTTAGATTCACCTGAGGTGAAAGCGCTCTGGGACAAGGATTTGGCTGGCACGAAGACCGAGCCCAAGTCGGACACAGGGCTGATGGAGATGCTCGAGCAGTTTGGCAACCCATGCGACATTGAATGGATTTCCACGAAGGCCATTTCTTTCGACGAGATCCGGGGCATCAAGAACGCTTGGAACAATAACAAGGAGATTCAAGTTGCTAGAAACGTTACCGCCGTGGAACCACGTGCTGCAACGGAGCTGCTGAAGGTTTGGACAGGTGTTGAAAGCAGACGTGTGTCGTGAAGTTAACCCGAGACTGCCTTGTATGAGGCTTAGAGATCGTCACATCATCACCAAGACACGGTCTATCGCCGATAAGCAAGATCCAAATCACCGCCTCCAGAAACAGCTTTGCACCGGGTGTGCTCACATATTTTTACGCTACGATTTGACGACAAACTTCACCAGAACCCGAAAGTTGGTCGACATGTTCGATCAACACACGTGACGTCAATGATGATAAATGATAAACACAGGTGGATGACCTAAACAGTTATTAGGACATATCAGGACAGGACAGGACAGGACTGCAGACACTGGAAATGCAGATTGATGCTACAATACCTTTGAATATGCCATGCTAGCACGGCATAAGGCTACGTTAGAAAGGACAATAGACTCTTCTTCGAGTGAATTGGCCCAGATGGTGTTGAGAAGGCAGAATCACACCAAAATGAAGGGAGAGGGGTGAAGATCCAGCAACAAGTGTGATAATCAGGACAGGGCGTACAGCTGCAGTCGAATTATCTCATGTCCCTGGTCGTCAGCCGTCTCCTGGATTGACTCTGAGCGAGATTCTAAAAGGAACACGCAAGGCATGATAGAGTTCATAGAAACAGAGGAGACGACGGACATATCTGTCTCATTGGACCATTCAGCAATGGATTCGTCAGCCTTTTCATTCCTCGTGAGCAAGTTTGTAGACGAGTCGCCCATCTTATGGCAGACCCAACCCCTCTGTCGAGGTCCATTTCTCGGCGTAAGTATGAGCACATTGTGAGCAGATTACCAACAAACAAAGAGTGCATTTGAGAAACCAGGGCAATAAATGGATAGAAATGTTATTCTCATCTGATAACTATCATGCTCATCTCTAGCATTATTTGTCGTGCCTTAGCTTCGTTGGAGGACGATCACAAATGACTCGAAAGGCCCGTCAACTCTCCGTAAATGGCCTGTACATCACCGAGAAATCTCTTCTCAGCGGTCTTCCAATTGATGATGTCCCAGATGTTGGAAAGATACTGTTTCTTGTTGTTGAAGTATTGGAGATAGTAGGCGTGCTCCCACATGTCGACTCCGATCAAGACCAGTTTCCCTGGCGGTGGTGGAAGTTCTTGGTCCTTGGAGGTGGTGATATCGACGGCGTTGGAATCTTTATCCTTGACAAGCCACACCCAGCCGGAACCCTGGATGGCAAGCGCGGCTGATTCAAAGGCAGTCTTGAATTGGTCCAACGTCTTCCAACGTTGAGTGATGGTCTGATAAAGTTGTGGCGCTGCTTTGGTAATGTCCGAGTTACCGGATGAATGGGGAGATAGATTCTCCCAGAACAGCGTATGATTGACATGGCCGCCGGCATTGAATCGGATGATGGCCTGGAGTTCGAGCTGCTTGAGCAGATTCGATCCGGACAATGCTTCACCCTGGGCCGTGAGTGCATTGTTTAGATTGGTGATGTAAGTCTGATGGTGTTTGTTGTAATGAAGATCCATGATTTGCCTCGAGATGGATGGTTCAAGCTCCTGTTATTAGATTAGAATCGGTACACTGGGACATGCCATGATGACGGATGCGGAATAGTCCTTACATCTAGGCCGTAAGGCAGCTGAGGGAGTTGATATGTGGAAGCCATGTTAGTATTCGGCCTTGTTTGCCAGGCACAATATGAAACAAGATGTCCAAGGTCAAGTTACAACAATGAGGATGGGAGGGAAGAACACGCTCATGGATAGAAGAATCCAGACTAACGACTCAAAGTAACATTGCTGGTTGTCCCTTACTCTTGCAGCTTAAGGTCCTCGATATGGATCTGCTGGGCAATGCTGTTGCATCATCTAGAGCAAATATGCCACGTGACCCTGATCATATCTTGCTCACCTTTTTGCAAATCCCATCCGCCACATCTTGTGGTCCGGAGATTGGTCATGTCGGGCTGTGTACACTGTGATTATCCTTTAGGTGGTGCAAAGGCGCCACGTTCTCGGGGATCGAAGAGTTTAGGCAGGCAGTACCAGAGACATGGCGAACAACAGGAGTTTTGGTGTGGTATTGAGCAATTTCAGTATATTGATAACATCCACAAGGCTCACCTTGAGCATGTTTTGATATAATCATGGCTGTGAAGCATCGACTGATGTATTTGGCTGAGATGAGATGGATATGCAAGGCTGCAGCTTGCACTGCATGTCTGATAATCAGGAACGACGCAACACATGGTTCAAGGCTTCGGGAGATGTGCAAGGCATGAGCATGGTCAACATGGCACTGACGCTCGTCATTCGAAGCTTGTATCAAAGTAGGAGAGTATGATTAGAGGATCATGATGTCGCTGTTGTCGTGGTCCGAAGACAGGTGACCTGTCGCATAAAAACCGGAATAAAGTGCTGTCAGAGACTCGCTGGACCACGAACAGGTCGTACTGGTAGTCTGACTGTGAAACATGCGACTGATTAAGCCGAATGGTCCATCAAGATAGTAAGCATTGAATGACATGAGCCTTTGGAAGCAAATTGAGCTAGCTGTACCGAGTACACAATTCTGGCGTGGGGCTGGGCACCGTTTGCTGTGAATATGCTCATATAGGGGTTGAGGGGCCAGGGAGGCATCCGAGGTTCCTCAAGGGCTCGTCCATACAAAAAAGCACGTCCTTAGAGGCCTGGGCCCTATGCCTCGATTGGTATAGCGAGGGGGATACCGTGGCCAGGGAGCCAAGCTCACGAGCCCATGAACGTCCACGGTCTCAGGCCTGTGACGCCCCCTCTGCCCCCACCAGTGTCCCCTCGTCCCCTATCCCTCTTCCGTGCCCGTCCCAAACAGGACTTGACGTGATGGCTGGTCAAAGGCTATTCATAGACGTGGACAACGTCGACTGCTTCTAGCCTCGCCGTCAACGCGACGCGGTGGTTTGATGTCTCGCAATCACCAATGAGCATGTTTTGGATGGTAAGCCTGGGTCAACGTGAATCCACTGTCGCTCGCACTGGCTGTCGGACACGCCACTCGAGAGGGGCCATCAATGACCGTGTCTTCGACACTTCTGACCGTTCTACCCTTAGCCACTGCATGTATCGAGCAGACCTTGTCGCCCGCGCCTGTCAATGTACGGGGTGGACTGTGGTCGACATCATGGTACCCCAGAATCGGCTTGGATGGTCCGCAGTGGCCTGGGCTGGGAACCTGCTCGTGGCTATGGCTCTGAAAACTCGGACTAAATATATCATGGCCTGCCACTCGTTTGGTCAAAGGAGCCAGTTTCTTGCTCAATCGTCTCTATACATACACTCTCTCAGCAGTTGCGGTGGGATATTTGGTCTGTTGCTCGCAGACTTGTCATTCTTTGAACCCTCACCACTCGCTTCATTTGCTTATTGTCGTTCTCTAGTCCAACCTCAGTACACTCATTCAAAGGTGGATTCACTCTCCTAAAACACTCTCTTTTACTGCTTTTGACAAGATGACCCAAATCTTTATTGGCCTTCTGGCCATCCTCAGTCTAACTCTGACTGTTTTCTCAGCCCCGACGTGGCCTTCATCCTTCGACGAGCTCGAAGATATCAAATATCTCCACGATGGCTACATGTCACGAGGCTTCGCCTATGGTGTAACGCCGTGTTCATTCGCACGGACGCAAGGCAGATCAGTTGCTGCTGGGTTTCTACGAACCGCATTCCACGACATGGCATCTGCTGATGTCGCTGCTGGCACCGGTGGCCTCGATGCTTCGATCGGATTCGAACTGGCTGGACAATTCGCCTCTGCCAACATTGGCCCTGGCTTCAACAACACCATGGTCTACTACTCTCGTTTCTTCAATAGCCAGGCATCAATGTCGGACCTCATCGCGCTTGGCGTCTACACTGCCGTGCGAAGCTGTGGTGGACCCGTGGTTGAGACTCGATCTGGTCGTGTCGATGCTACACAAGCTGGTCCGGTCGGTGTTCCTGATGTGCGAGACTCTGGCCCGGTCCTCGGCGCTGCTTTCCGAAGAATGGGAATTTCTCAAGAAGAGTCAATCCAGCTGGTGGCCTGTGGTCACACTCTAGGAGGTGTTCACAGCACCGAATTCCCCGCTATTGTTCCATCGAACTCGTCAGTGCTCAGAACCGCCGATTTCGACTCGACTAATTCCACCTACGACAACAAGATCGTCACCGAATACCTTTCTGGAACCACCAAGAACCCTCTTGTGATCGGACCAGATGTTGCTGCGAGGTCTGACTTCCATCTGTTCAATTCCGACCGCAATGTGACCGTCACCAAGCTCCAAGACCCTGCCGTCTATCAGACTACTTGTTCGCAGGTGCTTCAGAAGATGCTCGACACTGTGCCACGTGGCGTGGTTCTGACAGACGCTATCTCTCCCTACGATGTCAAGCCGTATGGCCTCCAGCTTAATGTGGTCGATTCTGGTGATGAGTTGTCCTTCACTGGTCAAGTCCGCATCAGGACCAACGATCTTGCAAAGGCCAACATCCAAAAGGTCGAGCTTCAATACAAGACTCGCGATGGTTCCGACGGCGGCCTGATTTCGACCAACGCCACTGGAGATGCCAACGGAATCGACGATTCATTTTCGGTATGTGACAGAACAATCTAGGTTCTAATCAACTCGCTAACGTGCCCAGTTCTATGGTTTCGACACCAAGATCCCCGCCAACTCTGCCATCTCTAGCTTCACGGTTGTGGTGACGTTGAACTCCGGTGGCACCAAGGTCTTTGACAACAACGGCAAAGGATATCCCGTGTCAGACGCTATCTTTGCCCAAACCGCCAATTCAGCCTTGACTGCTGCCAGCGGGACCGGTGTTCAGAAACTCAACATTGTGGCCGCCGTGCGAAATGGCCAGTCTCCCACCGACTTGGCTCTGACGTTGACGACCATCAATCCCATGACATTCAACAACCTCCCCACGGTGGCCAAGCAGACCGTCCAATTGGTTATGTCATGTGAATCCAAATACTACACATTCTACACGGCCAGCTCCGATGTCTTCACCAATCAAGTCAACACAACCAAATACGACGTGAGCTTCAAAGCTACCGACGGATCCATCAAGATCGATGGCTTCAATAGCATCAACACACTTCCACCAACGGCACCAGCAGTGGTCTGCGGAAGTGCAGTATCATCGACAACAACCACATCAACACCAACCTCGACCTCCAGCTCCGGAAGGACGACTTCGTCAGCTTCAGGGTCATCATCATCATCATCACCCACCGGCTCCGGCCCCGTCAACCCCACGAGCTCTGCCAGCGGCAGCATTATAACCATCACAGGACAGATCACTGCCATTGTAACAGGCACAACAGTGACTACCGGGTCAGGAACTGACTCCGGATCAATCATCACCATCACCGGTCCCATGAGCACCATCACCGGACCTGTGACGCTGACAACTGTGGTTGACCCAGGTGCGGGCAGCATGTTGACCATCACAGGAGCAATCACGACTCTCCTTCCCGGATCTGGCACAGAATCAGGGTCGATGATGACCATCACTGGCGTCATCAGCACCATTACCGGACCTATAGTGGAGTCGACATCCGTGGTGGCTCCCGTCGACAACAACCCCAATGGGGCTGATGACAACGGTTTCATCTACCCTCCTCCCACCACCACCGTTGACAACCTCGTCCCCATCGCCACCTTCACCGGCGCCGCCCCAGCCACCTACAGACCAGCGGCAGCGCAGGGACTGCTAGGCCAAGTGTTCACACTAATGGCCCCCGCTATCCTCGCCCTGGCGCACGTCTGGTAGAAAAAGGGCCCAGCAGCCTGAGCCTGAGTCTAAGCCTGGGGCTGGGGCCGAGTGTAACAAAAGAATGGGTTTTCATGACATGACATGACATGGTTGTTTCCCCCCTCTCTTTACATTGGGGGCAGCGGGTTGGTTCATGGATGGCGCGGCGTCTTTTTTTGGGGCTGGTCATGGTCATGCACGGCTGGGTAACCGTGCGTGGCGCGGGCTGGCGGCGGCCGGGGCTTTGTTTCTGGTCTTTTTCTTGACAGTCTTGTATGTCATCATCTATGCACAGTCTGCTATTTTTTTTAACTCTAGCCTCCTGCGCAGTTCAGGGGTGCTTCAAATAATGGATGGGCCGTCACGTGTCACGCGTCGCTGACGTGTTGGAGGCGGATGTCCGTACTATAATAATGCATATGTACTAGGTACCTACGGAAGTACGGAGTATGTGGTGGGGCGGGTAGGGCCTGGCTGGCCCAGAATAGGTACTTAGGAAGTCTCCTGTATGTCTTTTTTACCTGACATCTCCTGTTGTGTGAACATGGATCGGAGAGAAAAGGAGGATGGGTGGTGTTTGCCCCTCCACTCAACTCACCCTATCCTTCATCCAAGGTAGTCATGAGAAACTTGAGTATACCTCTGAGATCTAAGGTAGACATCTATCTATGAGACATGCTCTTACCTCTATAGATACTTACCTATTAATGATATATCCACCCAATCTATGCGTCGCACGCAACATGAAGCATTAGTCCAAGTATCCATCATCCATTAAGTGTAGGAACGAAATGTGTGCCAAAGAAAGTGCTTGCATGAAGATCTGCTTGATCAGAACCCCGATTCGCAAAGCCCCTCGGCCCCCTTCTCACCCCACCCTGCCTTTCCTGCCTACGGATACGCGATACTTCTTACATTGCTCCATCCTCTGTGCACCGAGGCAGCGGGGCGCGACGCGGCAGAATCCGCTGCTCTGTGCGTCGTTGTTCCAGGCACGCGGGGCGAGGGCGAAACTCTGCCGCACGTGCCACTCCCAGTCACACTATTATTATCCGTAGAATGGTAGCAGGATAGCATCGCGTACAGGACGTGTTGGAAGAAAGGTTAAATACTGTGCGTGTCGGGTTAGGGTTCTGGCCTCGTTGAAGCATCAGGCTGCAAAGTCTTCCTCCAAGGCCTCACTTTAAGTGGTAGGAGTCTCTGGCTTCCGAGAAAAAGGATGAGTCGATGATCCAGGGGGGTAGGGTGGATGTAAGGACGCATAGAGTCCAGTGTATCCTCGTAAAGGATCAGGATTAGGCTACACTATGTCCGGATCACGAAGGGCAACCAAGCCTATAACGCCTTCTGTTCTACTCTAGTGTCAGGAGGCTGAAGTGACAGCAGGACTGAACCCTGACGTAAATTTGACAGGGATCGGGACCAGGTCAGATGGTCAAAAAGGTCCTCGTTCGAGGAAGAAGAATTCTGCGAGGCTGGTCCAATCACTCACTCATTTGCTCGGTCAATTGGTAGGCTGTTGAAGGCGATGGTGGCAATACTCTGGTGGTCAGTCGCTTGATGCTCATGCAATTAGCGATTGCGCTTGTATGCCTGCGAGGATCTTCGTATGCGCACCAACTCGAGCTGTACATTCGCAGAGGTCGCAACTCGGCTATGAGAATTTTGCTGCCCCTCATCTGCCCAAGAAAGGAGGTTGTAGAGTGGCCTGGTTTCCCTCCAATATTTGAGGACTGGAAACCTCGGGCGGTTCATATTCATACATACTTAAACACTAGACTAGCTGATACGCCATGCAGGCAATGATAATAATCAGTCACGGCTGTGGACAATGCTTTGATCATAGCATTAGCCCAATAACAAACGCCAAAGCAAATGCTGGAAATAGACAGATCGACACTTTTGCCGCGTCCGAATGGCCCGTGTTGCTAAACGGACTGCCCCCTCCTCCTGATTCTAATGTGTTGGTGGGAGCAACCCTTGTAGTTTCGGTCGATTGACCGTCTTGTGTACTGGATGATGAGGTCGAGGTCGAGGAGTCGCTCGTTTGCGAACTAGAGGATGTGGAATCAGATGATGATGACGAAGAAGATGAGGATGATGATGATGATGATGACGACGACGACGACGGTGGTGGTGATGAGGATGACGAGGATGAAGAAGGGGTCGCTGACGATGATGTTGTAGATGATGAAGTTCCCCTTGTCCCAAATCCAATTTGACCATGGTCAAAGTCAAAGACGCTGTAAACATTCTTGAGGAATACTGCGCCGAGAATCCATTGATTTGGTCCATATGCCTGATGGCCGATGATGTTACTGTTGCAGATGTTACCATTTCCTCGGCCAACGTAATCTTTGGGTGAGATGGCGTATTTGACTCCCGAGAATGAGATGTACACGGTCTCTGTTGTTGTACAGGGCACGAGGAACACCTCGCCATTGTTGGTAGCACCGGGAATGAGCGCATGGAGACTCTTCGCATCGGCAGGGGGGAGCAATATGTACGAGGTGCCCGTGTCGATGAAGGCCGTCTTTCCTCGGGCGAACCCCACGGCTTTGTCGTCGAAGCCCGCATCGTCGACTGGAATTTCCCATCCCCCATCGTTGACTGTTTTGGTAAAACTCAGATTGTTGTCAAATTTGGAGGTATCGTAGCCGCCAAAGGTGATCTGGCCATCTCTGGTGCCATCAAAGCTTCGTTGAAGATGAACACCAACGAGGTTTTCAGACAAACCTGCTTGCTCGTCCAAGGTCTCCATGATAGTTTGAGTACCCAGTGTGTCTGATGCTGATCGCCCAAGCCCCAAGATACCATCTAATACGTAGTTGAGGAAGTCGTCCGAGGCAGTGTTGGCAAGACCAAAGGATAGTTGGACTGAATAATTGGCAAAACTCAAACGATCGTTCGCGATGAAACCTTGGACTTGACCTGTGCCATAACTCATCGACCAAGGCGCACTGGTGATCTGGAGAGTATTTGAGTCTTCTTGGCCCAGGGTATTGTGTATCCGACATGCGGCAGATTGACACGAATCCCCCATGGCCCATGTGTCGGCAGATCCAGTGTCCAGTAACATGTACATATCTCGCCCAGGCGTTCCAAATCGCATGGTGGAAAAGTATGTAAAGTCGGAGCCGTCTTGGTTGATGGCCATGGCGTTGGGAATGGATGGTGTTGTGGAATTGCTGACGGCGAACTTGTTGTCTCGTTTGACCTATTGAGGGATGAGTACTTATCGTGATATAAACTCAACCTTGAGCTTGCGCTTACCGGAATCTTGGTTAAATCGAATGTCACCACCCCAGAGGTTGGGACAGACGGTTCATCAAGCTGATATGGCACGAATCGTTTTAATTTGGGCTCCGAGCCGTCGCCAGCCTGATAAGGATAAAAGGCTGAGGCACAAGTCGACAGCAACGGCAAGGACAGCCATCTTCGATGCATGATTATATAATGTAGAGCGATATCGTTAGGAAAAGCTGTTGTTGCAAGTCGTCATCAATCATCAAGCAAAGGAACCAGTCCCCAGTCTAGTCTTGTTTAATGTATGGTGATTCTGGTCATCGATGATCCGGCCAACGAGTCGCAGGAAGTCTGAGGGTGAGAGTGAGTAGGAAATAATACAGGGATGCTGAGTGCAACGAGATGACGAGATGCTCAGTGAAGAGATCCCAGTAATATGAGCTTGAAGTTATTCACGGGCGGATATTGATGGCGAAAACTTCAGCGGTGCTCTGGGAAGACATACATATGTTGTCAAGCCTTCCAGGTGAACCCCAGCCATGTGCATCCAGCGCAAACCCACAGTGGACCGCCATCAGGGGCATTGATGACAACCCGGTGTACGCTCAAAAAGGACTAAGTAAATCCCGCCCTCGATTGGCGGTGGAGGACGTGCCTGTCGATCTTGTCCTTTGCAATTGGTGCTTGGAATGCGCCTCCACCACAAGCCTCGACCCTCGGGCCTCTCAGATGGCATGGTTGGGCAGTGAACGGCAGGGGTTCGGCCAAGCACCAGCCGTCAGCGCCGAGTGCTCGCTAGGTGAGTCTTGAGAGTTGAATCGCCTGGACCGGCATCGCCCATATTGCAGGATCATGTCAGACCTGTGGACGTGGCGGCAAACGTCGATGAAAACGTCAACAGCTTCTTCCGTTGAAGAGACACCTGAATAGTGCATGCCTCAAGTCCGACTTTGGTAGAAATGGTTCGTTCAGGGGCAATCCAGACGCCGGTTAAAGGCGAGTGACTGGGAAAGTCAAAGCTACTCGTACCCACGCTCGAGCTTCCCACCGGCCACTGCACACCCTCGCTGGCTTTCCGCATCCAACCAAAAATATCCACACCAAAGCAGGGCCGTCGCGCGTAACTTTGTCCTTACGGAGTAGACGACTCAAGTGTGGCGCTGGCTCCAGGTGCTACGCAGTAGCGTTGCTTTTCCGGTGGAGCACCGCATCGAATACCCTCACATGATTGTCGTGGATAGGAGCGTCTTGTTGGAGCTCGAGATGAAAATCTATGGGTACGCTCGAGACTGGGAAGTGTCATTGTTCAAGCAGTGCACCTGCACCATGCATCATGCACTTGATTCAAAATTCAAGATATATTATAAGTAATATAAACGGGTCTCGTGTCCCAACCACCCCAGGCGCAGTCACACGAAAAGTGCACTGATCGTGATGTGTAGTCTACTACACTGATCAATTACTGGTTCTTTTTCTTGTCGGAAGGACCAAACAGATCGTCGAGGAACCCAGCCCAGACTTTACGGACGGTGGCTTCGTCCTTGTCTTTGACCATTTCGGCAAATTGTCTGGCGCTGTTACCGACGGTCTCGGCGAGCTTGGTGAGGGCGTCGACAGACATTTCCGATGCATGATGACCATCGTGGACATCACTGAAAGGGCTGGCGGGACTATCCTCATCACCGTTGACGGTCGAAATCTGGGCCTTGAGGATAGTATCTTGGCCTGGAGTGTCTTGATAGCCTCCCGCAGCAGCATCAAGCTCAGGATATTTTTCTAATGCGGCCTCTGCAGTGTCCGAGTCGATATCTGGCAGGATGGGAACTCGAATTAGGGCAGGTTCGGGGCCCCAAGAGCTCTCAAAGAGCCTGGGTAGGAAGGCAAAGTCAATGGTGGAAGAATCACCAACGGCTTTAAGCTCGCGTGTGGTGTTGAAGTGCCTTTGAGGAGAAGTATCCGAGGGTCTGTCTGGGGGTCAGTGGACGATGCTCTGAAGGCGATAAGCAGGTGGATCTTCAATTGGCATACCCAGAGACTGGTTTACGAGTTTGCTCAATGGCAATCCGCTTCATGGCGATAGAGAGGGCTCTTGCCTGCAGGTTGTCATGACCCGCCAGGCGATCAATCAGCTCATGCTTTGTTCCTGAGGCAGAGATGGAACGCTTTTGGCATTCCTGGCGGAGGTCTTGCAGGGCCAAGGGCAGGTAGGTGGACTTGTGTGTGGTATCGGCGGCTAGACGAGGGGACGCGTGAGAGCCCGTGAGATGGAGGCTGCGTTTGACCGAAGCCGAGCCGTTGACTCTCTGAAGGTTGCGTAGAGCCTTGAAAGAGGAAGCACGAGGAGCAGCCATGGATGTGGAGATATATTGATGGTACAGATGAAAGGTGGGAGAGGATGATTGAGAAGAGCTAATGGATGGTGTGTACAAGTGAATGGTCTAGATAGTCTTGAGGAGGGTTCATATGTATCAAAGGGGATGGGATTGCGGTGTTGAGATGGAGAAGGGCGGTCAGATGGGATAACACTGTAGAAGAAGTGAGGTGAGATTAGACCAAGTGAGTTGGAGATTAGGTGAACGTGTGTAGCAGAAGTGAAGCGGTCACGGCGGTGTCGAAGATCCCAACTATCCCTTCTTATCCTTGAAGCTGCAACCGAAGATGATTGTCCTCTGACCTACCGTGCATCCTTTAGCACGAGTTAGTCACTTATCTTACAGGCTACAAGACACCGAGGGGCCGAGGGGGCTACAAGCTAGGCCTTTTAGGCTTCTCGCTACTGGCTACAAGCTGCAGCTCCTCCGCAATTTACAGCCCAGAACGAGGGACAAGGACCCGAGGGACCACAAGGACCAACCAGGGGAGTCAATCCTCAGTGCTTGGGAAATGGCAAAATGCTGAGTTGCTGAGTTGCTGAAGCTGATGAGCTGCAGCCCCCCAGTCCAAGCTTCCTAGACTCCGCAGCCACCGGATCCATGGATGTCCCCAACCGGACGATTTAAGGATATTCTGATGTCAGACCACTATTTGGGTCCTCAACATCCTCATTCTAGTCATTACCTACAGTTTGGTCGAAGATATGGTACGCTGAAGTCATCCAATAGAAGGATCAAAATGTTCTGAAGAAACTCCCAAGGCAAAATTGAAAGGTACAAAGTGCTATGTCCACATCATCGCGCCCTTCATGAACAATTCTAGTACTTATGCTTTACTCATGGAAAGTGTTTATTCAACCGCCAGGGATCTGATAGTCAGACGGGCGATTTTGAGCCTCCACCTGAAATTCAATAACAACAACAATAGGCAACGCTCCCCTGGGTGCCCTTGTCGGCTTGGGCTAAAATTATCCTGCTTTTATCTTTTGTCCAGGGGAGTCCGGAGGAGATTCTTTGCTTTAGAGCTCTCTGTATAGGCATCAGACATCCTCCTATTTTCAGTTCTGATTGTATGGAGATACGACTGTGGTCTCACCTTTTACCCTATCAGCATTCCAATGTCTGACATTCAGCCAGAGGTGTGCGCTCAAGACAAAGTGAACACCACATCATGACAACCTGTATAGCTGTGCCCCCAAGCTTCTGTCTGCCTTGTGTTGGGAAGTTACCTTGTTGTGACATGCCACACATCAAGCCAATCATCACACAACACCGTTGAGTACGAGGATCAACATGACCCGAAACTTGCACCACAGACCTGTCAGAGAGTAATTTGTTTAGAGATGTCTCACCACATGGTCACTTTTCTCTTGCATATTTCTGCTGTGTATATCAAACATTACTCTGGTATTTCACTTGTTGCATTGTTAACAGAGTACCTGAAACTGTATGCTCTGTGCGTGCTATGCAATTCTGCGTCGATGTATTCCAGGGAACGAAGCCGTGATTTTGGACTCAGAGCACGGTAAGAGACACCTACCCTGACTGCCTGACTACTACAAGCATGAACAAGGTTGGTTGAGGATGAAGCTCCAGGCTAGTGGGACACATGTCCGACCTTGGTCATCAATCTTCACCCTCAAGTTTGGGCAGACAGCGCCGCGATCAATCTCTAGGAGCCGTTCCAAGCCCACGACGACTCATCGAACCATCATCAGTGACAGGCAGCTTGTTCCTATGTTGACAAAACCAATTATGTCTGCCCATACTATATTACAGGCACAGCAGTCGTCAGTCTTCATTATGCACATCAAGGAATGCTTCTATTCTGTACAGTCAAAGTGCCACAAGGCTCTAGCAGCCCCACGTGACTTGGCTGGCTCTGCAAAAATCTGACATGTGACTGTGCACGTGCACTGTCCCCTGGGTTCTCTCAGCCTGGCCCGCCTCGCATGGTCAGATCAACTTGGGCAATGCAATTGCAATAGAGACCACCCCATGAGCCAGTTTTCACAGCAAGCGACTCAGCCGTGAGTATGAAAATGAACCTCTTCAAAACAAGAGCAAGAGCTGCCCATATCCTGCTTTGTGTCCTCAACCATGGACACTGATAATGGGATGAGACATGCTTATCCCTGAATACTTGCAGACTGTTTGAGGCGTCAAAGTCAAAGTCAACGCTTGCTACAAGAGACTTGACCAGGAAGCAATAGCAAACTCTGTTTGGTTCATTATCTGTCATGGCATAGCGTCAGGCCAACATCACAGCAGCTCTTTCTGTGAGACGGTTGGATTTCAAATTGTCAGGTTGAGGGTTGAAGGCCGAAGTTCTGTATCAACTCTATCCCTTCTCTCATGTCTATCCACCGCTCGACCTTGTTCTTGACCTTGATACTGTCGTTCACACGTTCTACCCTGTCTATCTATCATTCACACGTCTTTCTTATCTTCTGGTCTTCTACCGCGATGCTGGATTGGCTAGTCACAAGGCTCAGATCTGAGTTCCCTGTCTCTCCTTCCTACCACCCCCAGATCAACTTGTCAACCGCACCTGCCTCACACTTGGGATAAAATCACGCACAATGACTGCTAGGCAGGCATCAGCAACGCAGCAACGCAGCAACGCAGCAACGCATTGACGACCTCTTGGTACTTCACACGGTGGCTCCTGCCTTCTTGAGGCCCTTGCCAAGCCTCTCTTCTAATTTCATCATCCCCGGCCTTTCATTTCTTTTCTCCCAGACTGCCATCTTTCCTGCTTTCTCTCCCCTTCTCTCCCTCTCTATCAATCTGTATCTACCCGTCTCTCTTTTATCTCCCTCCTGGGTATCTTTCTTAATTACGCAGTGCCATAACACAGCTCTCCATATCTTTCTTTCCGTCTGAGGGCGTGGTTGCCCTCAGATTTCTCCTGCCCACCGTCATATCTCGACTCCCAAGCGATCTGCACCTTTCCTGATCTCACTGTCTTCTCTCTCGCTAGTCGTCATGCCTGACAACTCAGATCTCCTGGCCTTCGATGATGGAGATGAGCCAGGTAAAGATCTCCCTCTCAAAACCCTGACTCGATCTCGCTCAACGGAAGAAAGATTGAACAAGATCCAAATGGTAAGAATTTGACTTCTTTTACTATTGAACAGTCACTGAGCTGTTGATAGGAAGATCTAGGCAACGCCAATGCAGAGAGAGTGATGGTCGGGGATTCCAGCGAGTATTACCAGTTCAAGGCCCTCATCATTCGCCGTAGCGATATCCCCGGAACCCCAGAATACGAACAAGCGCAAAAGGACAAGGATAAAACTTCTCCATGGACTGGTAAGTGTCTTCTTCGTCTCGCCAAATACACTTTTGACCATGACATAGACTATGTCAAGACAAAGGACGCCATCGAGACAACCGTGGGTGCGAAGAACCCTGTCGGCTCAGAAATTGGACAAGGCCACCGTCCAGGCCTTGAAAAACGCCTGGCTGACGAACGTCGCCACAATAGACCGGAGGACTACCACCCGCAGCGCCCTGGCGGAAAGGCTCGAGGCAACGATCCAAAGTATGGCAAGCTTGCACATTCTCAGCCTTCTCTCCCACCTGGCTCCTTGGATCCCGCCAAAGACCCAGTCAACACACAGACCTACGGCAGACGCGGCGTAGTCCCCGCAAAGCGACGCCTTCCTTCGCTAGTAGCACCTGCAAAAGCACCCCTTCCTCCGCCAGGAGCGCCAACGCGACCGGCTAGACTCACAAAATACCCTGCGAACATGGTAACTGCAAAAGGACCCCTTCCTCAGCCAGCAGCGCGAGCGAGACCAGCCAGGCCCACAAAGTACTCTGAGAACTTGATGAGTGCGCCCCAATTTATGGCTGCTCTGCGTCATTTAGAGGGGGCAGCAGCCGAAGCTCGTGATAACTCAACCAGTCGCAAGAATGCCGAAGATAGTCAAGTTGATGTCAACGCGCCTGATATCAGAAAAGTCAAGCTTGAGGAACTCTCATTCCCAGCACAATGCCACTTGGACCCAAATGACGTCTCCACTCACACTGACGGAGCACCAAGCCCGGTTTCGACCTCCGAGCTGGCGGACTTGATCGATATGGACGATGACTCGATTGATGGTCTGGATGAGCTTACTGAAGGCTTCAAAGGGCTAGGTTTATCCGATCAGGACTGTTCCATGAAGGCTTTGTCTGGCCCTGTGTCAGCGCCAGCCACAACTTGGTGTTGCGCTACTTCTATCTGCGAGAGTATTATGGATTCCCCAAACCCTACTCCTCTCTGCGAGAGTATCATGGACTCACCAGTCCCTACTCAAGCTCTGTACAAGATCGATGAATTCGATGGTCAGGTGCTAGTGCACAATGGACGACGCTACATTCGAGAAGACGAGGTACTTCAACTGAAAGCACAGCTTCTGCTGCTGGCTAACTACGGAGTCAACCGTCCTGATCAAATCCCTGGTAGATCTGTCAGTGATCATGGCAAGGTCGTCATCGAGAGCCAAGATGCTCACAGCTCATCCTCTAATGCTCCAATTTCTCAGAAGGCTATTTCAGATGTCGTTGAAGCATCTGCGAACCTTGAAACTTCTCTGGGATCATCCAAACCTCCAGCAATGAAGGCTTCTAGTTCATCGGCCGGGCTGGCGCAGTCTCCTCTGGCTAGTCTACCTACCTCGACGACTGGATCCCACAGCAAGAAACCTGTTAACGGCCTCATGGAGTCGCGATGGGCTCCCAAAAACTTTCCACCAGCGGCACCGGAGCAGTCTCCTCTGGCTAATCGACCTACCCCGATGACTGGAATCCTCACTGAGAAATCCGTCAATGGTCTCACTCAATGGCGCTGGGCTGCCAAAGACTTTCCGCCAGCTGCTCCGGAGCAGTCTCCTCTGGCAACTCTACCTACCCAGATGAGGGGTCCCAGTCAGAAACCTGTCAAGGGTCTTATGCACTCTCGATGGGCGCCCAAAAATTTCAAGACTCTACAAAACCCTCAAGCAGGGCTCGACGAAGACAAACTCTAACCCCCAAAAGCCATAGATCTTTGGGTCAGATTGTCTTTGGAGGACTGTCTTGGAGCGCGCTTACGGACATATTTTACTTGATCAGGTCCCAGTCGGCGAGAATCAGAATATGTTGCCACATCCACCATGGCATCATCGGGAAGCAGCCAACTAATTGCGGGAAACACAATGTGAAAATGCCAACAATGGAAGAAATGAAGTTGGTAAGGCGCAAGGATGCCAAAGCTCTTGATCGAACGGCGAAGGGCGGATGATGCTTTTTTCCCGATATGATTGTGTTTATTTCTCGAGCTTTTGATGAGTTATTCCATTCAATGGCTCAAAGACAGGTATCTTACCTACCTAGGTGGGTAGGTATCGATTCAGTGCATTTATGTTTTCATGCGGCACGGTTCGAACGCGACCTCTTCTCTGCGACGAGAGAAGGCGACTTGTGATCGGGAGCTCTTCAGGATGATGGCTACTAGCGGATGAAGTTGGATCAATGGATCCATCCCAGCCTTGAGGCCATACATACATATCCTTGGAGAATTTCTGACTCGCATGTCTATTCTTCTATGATGAAGATAGCGTAGGCTAGCAACTATTTCCCACTTCAAGGAGAAGACTTGACTTTCATTCCATCTCGACTTTGCATCTGTCATCCATGATTTTTGCCATTTGTCTCATTTATCACGTTACCAGGCTCTCTACATACCTATGTTACAAGCCTTGTGCAAAGGATACCATGTCATCCTAAGCACGAGCTACTAATGACTAACTACAAGGCTCCTCGAACTCTTTCCTCCATCGCAGCGCCTGCTCGCTGTCGAACCATATTGACAATCCAGTCCTGTTGCGCTTTCCTCAAGCTCCGCAGTCGAGTGACATACGTGTTGAGTGTGCTGGCACTTGAATCGGCTTGAAGCTCTGAAAGACCGGTCGTTAGAAGCCATCGTTGTAGACGTTGTGGATCTGCGAATTGCTCGTTTGCTGCCGCTGCTATCGAAGAAGCTTGAGAAGGCTGTGTACCTGGAGTGGGAACGGAGGTCGGATTCGGTTGGGTCGTGTTGAGTGTAGTATTCGACGGGATGGTGTTTTGTTGTGTGGCTGTGATGGGACGTCTATGGTCTGAATCGAGTGATTCATCCGAGTCGACACGGCGGAGCACGGCGTTGCCCAGAGATATTTGATCTGTTTGTCTCGATTGTGCTGCTGCATTGCTGCGACTGTCATCATTTCCGTCCTCGTCATCCTCATCGTCATCCTCGACCATGGCGGCTCTTGGAAAGCCGATAGGTGGAACAGGTGTATCGGTATCTGGAGTTCTGGGTAGAGATGAATATCCTTCAAGTTCGGGCATACTATCTCCGTCCTCGGCGTCCTCGGCGTCCTCGGCGTCCTCGGCTTCCTCATCCTCCCCCCATGCGCCAGGGACACCCATGCCTAGACCAGCAGGATCGATCTCGTTGTCTTCGCCGTGAGCTTCGTCTAGATGGATCTGTAGCAGTTGTTCAATCATTTCCGGAGGCACATTACCACCTAGCTCTTCCTGGAGTTGACGCAATGCTGCCTGTCCTTCTGATTCGTCCTGTCCGGTGCCAGCAGGCTGGCCGAACCAGTTCATTATCCTTTGCAAGATGGTTCCTGTGGCGCCGGCGGTTGCTCCCGCAGCGTTGAATATGGTTTGCATGGGCGTGTTGAGTAGTGCTGGGTTCTGTCCTGCCGGGGCGCGGCGGACAAAGTCCGATTCTGAATCAGGAGGTGGTAGAACATCTGAGGATGAGGTTGGCATGTTTGTGAAGCGACGGGGGAGGAGGGCGATGAGATGTGGGATTTCGAGAAGCATAATGTGACGGGCTTCTTCGAGTGAGATCTCTAGCTTGGGAGTTGGTGGTGTGGAAGGTGATTGTGGGTAATGTCCAAGGGTTTCGGCCACTTCAACCAGTAAACTCGTGGCTTCGGGAGTGGTCCAAAGATCTTTGGCTCGAGTGAGGTAGAGTTGGGTATACAGCTTTTCGGCGTCGGTGGAAGGGAGCTTGGCCCATAATGATTTGGGTAAGGGGCTGATGTCAAGAGCGGAGGCGAGGCCGGACAATATGTATGGGTAACGGTGGATTGCCGATGCCAATTGCTGTCGTGCCTCGCGAGGCTTTCCATTTCTTAAATGTGCGAGAGCGAGTGAAATTTGGATGTTGGGCAGATGCGACCATGCCGAGCCAAAAGCGTCGTTCGAGCAGAGTTCGATGAATTTCGAGTGCTGTCTGCCTCGCAGGGCTAGCTGGTCGATCATCAACGTCACTCCGAATGGGTCATTAACCGGCTCGAATTGTAAGAGAATCTTGGACCATTCGAATGCCGTTCTCCAAGTTCCTCGCATTTCAAGATTCTTGATGTATCTCCAGATAGCAAGATATAATTCTCGGTTGGCAGGCTTGGAGAAGCCTAGCCTGGCATTGCCAGTCCTCACCGCTGCTGGGAATGAGCTGTGGACGGATTTTCCAAAGGTGTAAAGCGCTCTTTCGAGTAGATCGCCTGAGACTGAATGATCGCCTTGGTGTTTGGCAATCTCCGAGACCTGGAGTAGAGTGGCAATATGATAAGGATACATGGAGAGTAGCCCAATCATTCTCTGAGGGTCCATGGATTCAACCGCCATACGAAAATGCATCTGGGTCTCTCGGTAGAGTTGGTTGTGCATGATATTGTATCTTTTGACTGGAGCCTTCGATTGATCCGACAAATCCATGCTGAGCCCACCACTGGTTGCTAGCGGCCACTCTTCTCTTCCTTGGATGAAAATGTTCCTTCTAGAAGCCAAAGCACCGAGTTCCCTACCCCTCGAGGCATGTGAATATCTTCCCGTCAGTGCCGTCGCCAGATCAACACCACCCCCTTGCTGGTTCAGCTCTCGACGTCGAGGGGTTCGCGTTTGTGTGCGGGGCCCTTCACCTTCAAGCGCAATATTTCCGAAAAGACTCTTCATCTCATTTAATGGGTTCAGATTCTTCTCTTCAATACCAAGGAACTGCGTCGCACTCATATCCCATGTCTGGTCTTCCACCTGTTCTAGCGGTTGTGTAGATCGAGATGGACTCTTTGCATTGAGTTCTCTTAGGGCTCGGTCGATCTCATCGTCGGATTGGTGGTTTTGCGGCTCAGGCTCTGTTGCATTACCTTTGGCCTTTTTCTTTGACTTCTTTTTCTTCTTCTTGGGTTTAGAGCGAGGGGTGGGCTTCGATTCTTCATCTGAAAGAGACTGTTTAGTCGAGGGTTGTGGAGGGAGAGGCTCGGAATCTTCGTGGTCGGAACTGTCATCGTCTTGAACATCGTCTAGCATGTCAAACGCATTTCTAATCTTCGAGGTCTGCACTGCTCGATGATGGGTGTTTTCATCGTCTCCGTCATTTTCGTCTTCTTCGTCGTCATCTTCCTGCTGCTCGTATTCTTTCTTAGCCTGTTCAACCTGCCTTTGTAGTTCTTGCTCTCGCTGCAGTTTGCGAAGCGCCCTGGAAGACATTTTGTGGCGTTTGAACTGAGGAGACTCGTAGTGGCCGAGAGGAAAGGTGGGAAAGAGGGAGAAGGATCTGCTAACTGGTTTATCCCCACAGCCTCTTTTGTGTATGGCGGCGACACCGACCACAAGTCTCGGAGTATGTATGACTCGAAGGCGTGGAGTGACGTCGTCAGCGAGTGGCTTTACCCAAATAATTTTTGTGACTTGGAGCCTGGAGGGGCCCGAGGGGCGGCCGTGGGGGTCACGGTGGCGCCTATTGATATATTCAGCGGACCGTTTCATTCCGTGGTGCTGATACATACGGCTGATCATAAACCTCCCATATCCCAGCCTCACAACCTCCGCCATCGTCCATCATCTCTCCCTGCGTTTCACAACCACCGACGACGACTTCATACTCTTGTCACGCATCCCCCTCTCTCAAAACACGGACGGATCAATGTCCAATCCTCGGTCTTCGACTCGCATCTGACGTCGGTCGTCTCTCCCTCTCCCTTTCTTCAGATTTGTGATCCGATCCTCACACCGTCTCCATGCGTCGAGCCACCGTCTTTGCCCTTCGAACGGCCCGTCGCTCCACCATTCGAAAGTTCCTCGCCAAAGCCTCCCTCTCTGCTTCCAGTTATGGACTAAGCTCTGCACGTCCTGCCTTCCACGTTAGAACCTATAGCTCCTCGCGACAACCCCTTCAGGCTTCTATGCGTTTGCCTAAACTTCCGTTGGCCTTTATTGGGACATTGGGGGCCATTAGTGCATATTACGCCTATAGAGGGGATGGGCCGCAGCATCTTCTAGCTCAAACAAACCCAGCATCGTCACAGTCCGCCAGAGCTCTAACTTCCACGTCGCCTGCCGCTTCTGCCACGGCCCCATCTCCAGCCGCAGCCACCCAAGACCAAAACCGAAAAGCTTTAGTGGTAGATAACGATCAGTTCTTCACCGGTTCCATCGTTGGGGACGGACCGTTAGCTAAGGATACTGACGACTTCGGTCGCAAAGTCCTGGAGATGATGACCCCAGAGCAGGCCACCGAAAGACTGCGGAAGAATGAACAATCTTTTCTCGTCGGTCGCGGACGAGGCGTGGTGAGATATGATGTCGTCCAGCTTCCCAGCAATGATCCCATCGAAGATGATCATGCGGAGAAGATTGTAGAAGTTCCAAACTCGGTTGCAGCCACTCTCGATGGTCAGAACTCGTCGGATTGGATGTTTTGGGGTGTCTTCGACGGCCATTCGGGTTGGACCACTTCAGCCAAGCTCCGCCAGGTCCTCATCTCATTTGCGGCTCGCGAGCTGAACAGCACCTACAAAGCCGCTCTGTCCAATACCAAGTCACCTTTCCCACCTCCTGCCGCAATAGATGCCGCCCTCAAGTCTGCCTTCGTCAAATTGGATAATGAAATTTGTCTGGACAGTGTCAATACCCTCAACAAAAACCCCTCGAAGCGTCTCGCCGCCGAGCTTCTTGCCCCAGCTCTTTCTGGATCCTGTGCGCTCCTTTCATTTTACGATTCACAAAGCAAAACTCTGCGTGTCGCTTGCACGGGTGACTCACGCGCCATTCTTGGCCGTCGGAATCCAGTGACTGGTAAATGGTCCGCAACTCCTTTGTCAGAAGACCAAACGGGTAGCAATCCCAATGAAGAGGCTCGCATGCGTGCCGAGCACCCCGGTGAACCGAATGTCATCCGTGCTGGACGTGTTCTAGGCAATCTCGAACCTACCCGAGCATTTGGTGACGCGTTCTATAAATGGTCACGGGAAACTCAAGACCGAGTAAAGAGACATTGGTTCGGCCGTACGCCACATTCATTACTCAAAACACCACCGTATGTGACTGCAGAGCCTGTTGTCACGAGCACAAAGATTGAGCCTGGCAAAGGTGACTTTGTCGTAATGGCAACTGACGGTCTGTGGGAAATGCTGACTAACGAAGAAGTGGTCGGTCTGGTGGGTCAATGGATTGAACAACAAAATAAAAATGCGCAGGGCAAGGGATCAAACTCAAGCACAGCTTGGCTTACGTCGTGGTTCTCGTCTTCTTCGTCTAATGCCCTCCCAGTGGAAAAGGGCGGCAACATGGACAAGACTGGACGAGTGGACAGTTCCAAACCAGGAGCCGATGGCAGCAAGAATGGTGGCTCTGCTGAGAAGCCTATCCGCCAGCAACAATGGGCTGTGACAGAGAACAACAGTCGGTTCGTTGTCGAGGACAAGAATGCTGCCACTCACCTGATTCGCAATGCCCTTGGCGGCAAAGACCGGGACATGGTCTGCGCCCTACTCACCTTGCCCAGCCCGTATTCAAGACGGTATCGTGACGATCTGACCGTCGAAGTGATTTTCTTCGGTGAGGGAGATGCTGGAAAGAGTAAGGGTGGTGCGGGGCCCGGGGCCGTGGTCATCAATTCCGAGGCCAGTGCCAGTGAACAAGGCGAAATTAAACCGAAACTATAGAACGTCACAAGGAGGAAGTGAAACGACCAACGGTCGAAAGATTTGCTGCTGGCAAGATATATGACTTCTCGGGACAAACCGAAACCCAATGTGGTGACGAAGGACCTCCCTTTCCAGGCTGTCGACGAGCAATGGTCTTCCTGCCATTAGCAATCGACGACATGAGGCCCGCACCCGACTACGAACAACCACAGTCTATATACTGATGTTCAAAAGGAGGCAGGGGGCATAAGTTTGGTATAGACCAAGGGTCAAGTTGGAGGCGTCATGTCAGACCAGACTCTTTTCTTCATCTTTGTGTATTTATATATTTACAGTCTACAATCCGCACCGGTGGAACCGAGCCAACCATCAATACAGCTAGCCACTGAAGGTTGCACAACTGTGGTATTTCGCACTCTGTCCGTCGAGATTTATGTCGCGAGGTCGAAATGGCGATGTAGATGCGATCAGACACATTCCAGAGGCATCGACGGAACGTATTGTATGCCGTGCATAGAAAGTCGGAAAAGGATTTCTGATCCCGCTCAATCCGAGTACTGACGGTGCAGATGAGATGTACTGCGCGCAATGCACAGCTCCTTAGAAGCCCACAAGCCATGAGGCTGGCTCACCACGTCGCGGAATCAAAAGAAAATCCGCATGGATTCGGAAGAGTTCTCCGTGACCATGGCAAGGACTCGAGTAGACCCAGAGGCGAACTGGACTCAGGTGCGAGAAGGAGGACGGCTTCGTGGAGCTTGTGGTCCCTTTTGTGGAACTGCGGTCGAAGGCTGTGCAGGCCTCAGCGTTCGCACTGGCACATGATGGTTAGGGTTGAGCTGAGGAGCTTTCTGGACCATGGGCATCACCGTGAAAGGCTTGGACCCTCGTACTGCCAGCTTGCCCAGCGGCCGAAGCACCAGTTGCGCAGAAGCAGAACCTATCAGATACAACATGAGTGCAGATGAAGGACCGATATATGCCAGGTAGAGTGGAAAAGCACCTGCGGCAAAAGCCATGGCTTGGGCAAGGTTCAGTAGAAGGTATCGAGTGTTGAGATACTTGTGCATCGCAGTCGGAGTGGATCTTTCCACTGTTTCGAAGATTCTGGCTTTCATTTTGGGGTTGAGAAGAGCTTTGGTAGCTCCGTAAGCGTTTGCCAGAGATATAGCGCCAAATGCAAGGGGTAATATATAGTATGGATCCATTGAGACCAGGTCTGTCACCCAAGGGAGCCCTTGATCGACAAACCCAGGCTCTTGAGGGACGATCTCGGCGTTGACTGTTCCCTTGGTAAGCCCGAGCCAGTTCGTAATGGTTCTTTCGTCTCCAGTCATACGCCGTATGACATCTGCATTGAGGATCCATACTGGCAAGAAGGACACAATGAGGAGGAAGGGGACACCCGAAGGAAGTACTTTGTTGTCCTTTTGTAGTAGAGCCTGCCGAATCTTGAGTTGAGACTGGACCCATTTCTCAGCTTCTTCCGCCGCGGCTGGGCTTGTGGGGGGAAATCTTGCTAATGCCTGGCGTCGGTAGATGTGACGCCAGGTTTGGAGAATATTTGACAGAGCCGCGCGGCGATTGGCGTTCTGATCGATCTTGCATTGGATGGGAAACCAAGCGAATCTGGCGAGGGCAGCAGTCAGGGGAATCGAGAATGCCCATGACAGACCTGAGACCGAGTGTACTTCTTGAAAGACCCAATGTGAAGCCTGAAGGAGTTCTGTGACTGCATGATTCCGGCGTGAAGCACAAAAGGTGCGCTGTAGAGAGGGACGCTGGACGGTACGAGGCTGCGGTCTAAGAGAGGAGAAGCACACCGGCCTCAGCCGACAGAGAGGAGTCATTGATGGGACTCATTGGTTAGGGAGAGGCTCCCTTGCCAGTAGTTAGGGAGAAGACATCGAAGGAGGGCCAGGACGGGCAGTGATGTGTCGACGCTGAGCAATGACAGGACCAGAGTATATGAAGTCGTCTTGGATCAGATTCCCAAAATTATAGAGATTCGGATTAACTATTATGAGGTGCCGGATAAACCTCTCATATCAACCTCCGATTGGCGGAGGCGGACTGACGCCTGCGGGCGAGGGTCATGCATCATGATCACAATCGCGGATCACGTTTCGATTTGACTGGAAGTCAACATGCTGCCGCCAATCTCTCGTTGATACCGGCTCGCTTACATTCAATCTGGCTGTGGGACATCATTACTGATGCCAACGCCCTCAAGCCCCATCTCTCTGTCATTTCCTTTAGGAAGCATGTGCATGACTGACCTCAACCTGACGCAACCGCCATGGCTGCCTCTGTTCTACTAGCTCTCGTTGCCGCCATCCCCCTGCTTCCTCCTCTTGGCATCCTTCTAGCACGCTTCATCCTTCGAGTATGGGGTTGGTCTCTGCTATCACAGTCCCGCGGACGGAGAGCCGCCATTGTTGTCAAGGTCGCAAAGGATAGAGCGGCGTTGACAGCGGAGCAAGATCTGCAGCTGGACACTGACGATGGCTGGGAGAAAGTCGAACGAGTTGGGGAGGCCGCTAATGGCGAGTCCCTTCCAGAAGAGTGGCATGGTGTTGTAGGATTCTTCCACCCTTTCTGGTGAGTGACACACGCTGAAGCTATACTTTGTTCTGACCATGCGCAGCAACGCTGGTGGGGGAGGAGAACGAGTTCTTTGGGCAGCAATTGCCGCTACGCAACGAAGATGGCCCCAAGCAACCTGTGTAGTCTACACAGGCGATCATGATATTGACCGCGATGTTGTGGTGGCAACGGTGGAAAACCGCTTTGGGATCAGGCTACAAGAACATTCTCTCGTCTTCATCTATCTCACCAGGCGCCGATTTGTTCTCGCCAGCACGTATCCATTCTTCACTCTTGCCGGCCAGTCCTTTGGCTCATTGATCTTGGCTCATGAAGCTTTTCAACTGCTCGTCCCGGACATTTTTATCGATACAATGGGTTACGCATTCGGGCTGGCCTTTTGCAGATTTCTGTTTCCCAAAATCCCTACAGGAGCATATGTCCATTACCCTACCATTTCCACGGATATGCTTGAAAGCCTTGACGACACTACAGGTGAAAAGGGCATCCATTCAGGTGCAGGGACTGGCTTGAAGGGTCGTGGCAAACGGTTATACTGGCGAGCCTTTGCATGGCTGTACGGCTGGGTTGGAAGCCAAATCGATGTGGTCATGTGCAACTCATCATGGACCTCGGGGCACATTCGACAGCTTTGGAAACCCAAAAGACCTTCCTCAAATTTCGCCTCTGTTGTCTATCCGCCATGCCCGGTAGAGGAGCTAGAAGCGAAGATCCAGTTGACACCAGAGAGCGAGAAGAAGCGGGAAAACATTGTGCTCTACATTGCCCAATTCCGCCCCGAAAAGAACCATTCACTCATTCTGCGTTCATTTGCCAAGTATCGCCGTCAGTCCAAGAAAGATCCCAAGCTCGTTCTAATTGGGTCGGTGCGAAGCAATACTCCGGACGAGAAACACGTTTACAAGTTACGATTGGAAGCAAGAGAATTAAAGATCGACGATGCGACCACCTTTATCTGCGACGCCCCGTTCTCCACGATATTGAAATACCTCCAGAGATCGAGTGTGACCACCAATGGCATGTACTCGGAGCATTTTGGCATCGGCAACGTGGAAGGACTTGCTGCGGGACTGATTCCTGTGGTTCATAATAGCGGCGGACCCAAACTCGACATTGTGGTTCCGTATAAAGGCCAGCCTGTGGGTTACCTTGGAGAATCAGACCAAGACTATGCTGAAGGTTTCCTCAAAGTGGAATCTCTCGACGCCCAGGAACGATACCAGATGAGACAGAGGGGTCGCGCTAGCACCAAACGTTTCACAGAAGCGGCTTTCGCAGACAAGTGGATAAGTGAGATGCAAGTGCTGGTCACGTTGCAATCTTCCAGGTCGGGAGATTGGTTGTGAGGTTCATACGGAGGGTTCATATGGAGGTTTTTTCCAGTGGCACGCCTCTTGGGTGTCACTTTGAATTGGTTGTTCAGGAGAATCTACCCATCTACTCGGCCCTCTGATCCAGCGAGATTCTATTCCATGTGCTATTAAAGCGGCGATAGTACCTAGAAGTTAAGACCAAAAGCAGCCACATGTATGACTAATTGATTGCCAAGATCGGCGAGAACCGCCTGCAAGGCTCTGGCGTGCCTGATCTGCAGTTGTCAAAAGATCAGATCATTAAACCTCGCCTACAAATTGTCATTTGCGTTTCTCTTCTTCAGCCTTGTAACCATCGCAATTCGATTGCCAAGCGCATAGACTGCAAGACACTCTCTATTTGTGACTACACGTATCGTCCAGCCTTTCCTGGAACAAACACCATCTCGTCGTTCATCATGTCTCTCTGCCTCAATCGCTTACAGGAAGAACGGTAAGTTCGCCTCATCCAACTGTCCCCCGTCTGTTCGAGTGTCTGATTGGAGGTCAATAGAAAACAATGGCGCAAGGATCATCCGTTTGGATTCTTCGCTAGACCCGCCAGAGGAGCCGGAGGAGTTGTCGATCTCAAGAATTGGGAAGTGGGCATTCCGGGCCGGGAAAAGACCATCTGGGAAGGCGGTTTGTTCAAATTGAACTTGACATTCCCAGATGAGTATCCTACAAAGCCCCCCAAATGTGAGGGATTTTTGCCAGAGTACAGATTGACGCCATCTTTTGCTGACCGAACCTGTTTACCTCAGGCCGATTCACTCCTCCACTGTTCCACCCAAATGTCTACCCTTCCGGCACAGTCTGTCTTTCGATCCTGAATGAAGAGGAGGGATGGAAACCAGCAATCACCATCAAGCAAATCTTACTGGGCATTCAAGATCTCCTCAACGACCCCAATCCCGAATCTCCGGCTCAAGCGGATGCGTACAACCTATTCAAGAAGGATTTGGCGGCATATGAGAAAAAGGTCAAGAGCATCGTCAAGGAGAACCCCGCACCGTAAGATGGGCTGCGACAAGTGTTGGCGTTGCATGACATTGCATAGCACATGTGTGACAGCGACAGCGAATGAGACATATGATTTTATGGGATTGGGAGCGTCATCAACGTGCATTGGCTGTATTGAGCACGGAGTTTCTGCTGAGGTTCAAGGCTATTGGGCTGGGGCATGACACATCATGGCGGGCGTTTGCGGCCTGACATGGAATTTTTTGAAATTGGCGAGCATGGCGTCCTGAAGGTGGACGGCCACGTGTCGAACCGGGTCGACCACATCAAGAGTCCAATCACCGGCCCCGGAACTGTTTTGTGTCTCCTGGTCGGAATCCTAAAGCTGGAGCTGGAGTTACAGAGAATTAGATGTCCAGAAATCAGCTACTCAGCTACAGAGTCTCCGATCTTTCACAAGCAAACATTGGGCCGGGGACCAGGTTGAACATGCCCGAATGCGAAAGCGTGGGGGAGTTTTTTTACTAGGGCCGCAGGCATGAAGGCTGACCAGCGACCAATGGTCATTACTGAGATCAGAAGCTATTGGTAATGCTGGGAGATACATTAGGTATGTGGATGGATGTGGTTAACCTTCCAACATACATCTGTCGTCGCCACATACCTACTATATCGAGGAAATGATACCCTTGAATCCGGCTGATAGTTGTGTTCAAGTCTGGAGAATCCTTGCCAGCCACGAATCTTGATGCCCAAGTCCTACCTTTAAACCTAAATAGAGGATTCATTCAACCAACCATTCTAGAACGATGGTCGCGTGCCAAAAGGCCAACTGCGTCGAGCCACAGCCAAGGACTCACAACCAATTAAGCCTAATCATAGCCCAGAAAGCTAAGTAGGCGGTCAAGAAAGATTGACGACACCGTCATCCCACCAAGCGTCGGATAGACGTAGGCCTGAGATTATCCTTGTTCCAATGCGCTGAGACTCATGACGGGATGACACGTCTCTTGCTTGCTGTGCTTGCCCAACTGGCGGTGTCCAGGTTCTTCAAGTTCTACGCGAGCAAAAGAGTAATCTTGTCCAGACACCCAGAGCATGTTCCCGAAGTTTTGATATCATGGAGGGGCAAAATATGGAGGGCAAAGGCCCACACTGAGATTTCTTATCCTTATCGTAGCACCCCTGGACACCATCGCTTCTTAACCCTGTTATGTAAGAGTGGAGAGAGATTGAGGTCAGATTCGACGCCGAGGGACCGCAGTTCTCCGCCTTGAACCGGTAACTAGGTGTCTAGGTATTGTGGTAGGGTATGCATGGTAGGCATGCAACGGGCGGATAGACGACACAAAAAGGGATATGTTGGGCAACATCAGATATGCACTCCAGATTTGTGGTGGTTAGAGTACTCTAAGATGACGGCGAAATTGTGGCGATTGTGTAACCACGACTTGGGACAATCAGGAGAGACACGACTACCATGATCAAGTAGGAAGTAATAATGATTGAATTTAAATGGAGCATCCATCCCACTCCTTGCCACCGAACGCTCGATTGATAGAGGAGTAGAAATCTGTCGCCGTGAATCAGACCATTCTAATATTTCAGTTGTTAAGAGCAATTTGGGGGATTCCAGTAAGTTCTCCAGGCCCTACACAATTGAAATTAGGGCACAGTTGGGATCTGGGGCACCCGACATCTTACCTAGACTTGCCTAGAGAGAAGAAGCCTAAGACAGGGGAGCAAAGGGACCTGCGTCATCCCCGTCTCGCCGCTCCGAGTCCACCCACTCAGCAGCCCGAGGAGCCCTAAGCACCCACGCACCCTTAACCCCCCCTCCCCCTCCCCCCTCCCTCTGATTGTCGGTGTGATTCTCTTCTCTGCTTCTTCTGTCCTTCCAAGTTCCGCGTACCTGGAATTTTGACTCATCCCGCTCTGCCCGCTCCAATTTTCTGGCCGGCGTCGAACTTTTTTATTTCCTCCCACGCCCGCGCCGCCACACTTTTCCTCCCTTGCATCTAGACATTTCCCAATATACCAGGCGATCAACCAGGAGCTCGTGGGCAACCATGTGTGGTATTTTCGCATGTCATGGGTATGCTTCCACCTTTTTGGGCCTCAACCCTGTCTCCCTTCCTCGAATTATCGTGTCCTTGGACTGACTAACATACCCTGCATCGCAGCCATCCTTCGGTAGCCGCCTTTAAAACCCAAGCACTCCAGTGTGTCAAATGCTTAAGACATCGTGGACCCGACTGGTCTGGCAACTGGACCGGCAAAAACACCATCCTCTGTCATGAGCGGTTGAGCATTGTCGGCGTCGACACCGGCGCTCAGCCTCTGGTCAACGACGAGGGCACCATTGCCTTGGCCGTCAATGGAGAAATCTACAACCACCGAATTCTGCGCAAGCAGCTCAAGAAGCCCTACAATTTCAGAACCCACAGTGATTGCGAAGTCATCATTCCTCTGTATCAAGAATATGGCATTGACGCTCCCAAACAACTCGATGGCATGTTTTCGTTTGTGCTCTACGACATGGAACAAGACCGCACAATCGCCGCAAGAGATCCGATCGGCATCACTTCCTTTTATATTGGTCGATCCTCTCAAACACCCGGCGCAGTCTTCTTCGCTTCAGAGCTGAAAGCGCTTGCCCCCGTCTGTGACAAGATTGACGTCTTTCCTCCGGGCCATGTTTATGACTCCAAGACCGATTCCCTCACTCGATATTTCGAACCTTCATGGTGGGACCCGGAGCGCATCCCAGACACCCCACTCGATTTGAAGTTGCTCAGAAAGACTTTGGAGAAGTCGGTGCTGAAGCGACTCATGGCCGAAGTACCATATGGAGTTCTTCTGTCGGGAGGCTTGGATTCGAGCTTGACTGCATCCATCGCCCAGCGAGAATCTCTACGTCAACGTGCCCTCGTCGACCGGGCTCAGACCAACGGTGCGGTCAACGGCGCAACCAATGGCGACGTCCAGACCGGGACCAAATTGGTGGGTATCGATGATGAGGATGAATTATCCACCGTCACTTTCCTCCCACAATTGCATTCCTTTTCCATCGGTCTCCCCGGCGCCCCAGACACCAAGGCTGCTCTGGAGGTGGCCAAGTTCTTGGGCACCAAACATTACGACTTTACCTTCACTATTCAAGAAGGATTGGATGCTCTTTCAGACGTCATTTACCATTTGGAGTCGTATGATGTGACCACCATCCGTGCTTCCACTCCCATGTACCTTTTGAGCCGAAAAATCAAAGCCATGGGTGTCAAGATGGTGTTGAGCGGTGAAGGCAGTGACGAAATCTTTGGAGGATACCTGTATTTCCACGGCGCCCCTAACAAGGAGGAGTTCCACAAGGAAACGGTCAAGCGAGTCAAGAACCTGCATTTGTCTGATTGTTTGCGTGCCAACAAATCGACGTCGGCCTGGGGTCTGGAAGCCCGTGTTCCTTTCCTCGACAAACAGTTCCTTGAGGTCGCCATGAACATCGATCCTCAAGAGAAGATGTACACCAAGGATCGAATTGAAAAGTACATTATTCGAAAGGCTTTTGACACCTCGGACGAGCCAGACGTCAAGCCTTATCTCCCGGATAGCATCTTGTGGCGGCAAAAGGAGCAGTTCAGCGATGGCGTAGGCTATGGCTGGATCGACGCGCTCAAGGACAACGCCGAACTCAACGTGACCGACGAAATGATGGCCAACCCCAAGCCAGAATGGGGCAACGATATCCCCACCAGCAAAGAGGCCTACTGGTACCGCACCATGTTTGACGAGCATTTCCCTTCCTACTGTGCATCCACCGTGGCGAGATGGACTCCCACGTGGTCGAAACAGACCGACCCCAGTGGCAGAGCCATTGGAACTCATGTTGCAAGATACGAGGGCGCCACCGATTCAGGATCGTGATTGGAGACTTGGATAGAGCGGCGTGGCATTTTGGTCTTTATGTTGCCTTTGTTTTTTGTCTACGGCGGATTTCTCTGCAGCCAGATTGTGATCAAAGACGAAAAAAAGCCCTGGAGCTCAAACTCGGACAAGATAAAAGCGTGATTGCTGGGAAGGCTGTTTGTGTCTACTAGAATCCTGTCTTGACTGGAAGAGGAGAGCGAGAGCATGCTCACTTGATACCTATGATTGCACGCTCACCTGACATGGGATGGGAAAGAAAGAAATCAGAATCAGAACTGTAATGACTATAGACTATGTAGGGCAAAGATAGGAGCATGGTAGAAACTATATGTGAGAAGAGATCTGATGGACAAGCTGTTGGGTAGGAGTTCAGTGATCTTGACTCGTACAAGGCAGATTTCGATTCTAGTGTTGGATGGCATTTATCATTGGGCATGTTAGAGGGTTATGTATGCAAGTCGCCGCGATAGGCCAAACACATACAGAAGGGACATCAGTATGAGCCCCTAGGTAGAATATACTATACGGTATAAATGATATCTAGGATGCCTGACCTTTCCCATTCCTCCTATTCGATAATGACACTCTAGACACAATCCAGGCCTATTCAACATCCCCCATTCATAACCACCTGACTTGGTCACCAGGCCCCTCGGCCCCAACACATACCTAGAAAGGTCCACTACATCCTCTCACGATGAATAGCCAAGGTCTCTAAAAGAGCTACCCAACTCCCGTGACGGTGCATTCGTGTCTCGTCTCCCCTCCACCGTGTCCCATTATTTGCTTCAGGTTTAGCTTCATGTCAGGAACAAAATTGATCCACATCCACGGTCACACGCCTTGATAACCTCTTGTGATTGGTTACTCGGTTCTGGCACAAAACACTCCGACTTTTCCCTTTGGACAGACACGAACAAAGACAAGACCAACAGATTGGAACTGGATTGGAACCGACTGGAACTGGAACTGCAACTGGAGACCTCAAACTGCGAAGCTGTCCACAAACAACGCCTTTACCTTTGCCTTTGCTCCTTCGCGCCTTCCACCATCCAACATTATCCGTCTTCTTCTCAACCAAGCTACCTTCATTACTCAATCCTTAACCTCCCTCTTCACCCTCCACAATGAGCGGCATCCCAGTTCCCTTCAGCGACATCGCTAAACCAGCGAACGATGTGAGCTTCCATCCCACTCCTACTATATTAATGACCCCTCCGGTCCTCCGGAACTTCAGGGGACATGACCTATACAGAGTTACAAAGACTGATTGAATCAACCTGCGCTGCATAGCTCCTCAACAAGGATTTCTACCATACCACCGCTGCCAACCTTGAGGTCAAGTCCAAGGCACCAAACGGCGTTGTGTAAGTTTTATTCTCCCCCTCATCTCCCCTTTGCGTTTGGTGTTCCCATGGACCGAGTTGCAATTTGTAGCTGGCAGCTAGCAGCTTCGCATCGGCCTTTTACATCCCTTTGCTTGTTCAGCTTAAAACAAAAAGCACTTGGCTAACCCAATCTCATTACAGCTTCAACGTCAAGGGAAAGTCTGCCCATGATGGTCCTATCTCTGGCTCGGTGAGCACCACAATTATTAAAAAGAAATTACGAATATCACATGTTAACGGCAGGGGAAAGATTGAGGGAAAATACAGCGACAAGGCCACTGGTACGTTGTTTTCTCCCCCTTCTCTGATGTCAATCGCACTACTAACGCCTCCTCTTCACTCATAGGCTTGACCCTGACTCAAACCTGGACCACATCCAACAGCCTCGACACAAAACTCGAACTCGAAGACAACCTGACCAAGGGTCTCAAGGCCGAAGTCCTGACAAACTACCTGCCCGCAAAGAAGACATATGGTGGAAAATTCAACCTCTTGTACAAACAACCCAACATCCACACCCGTCTGTTCACCGATCTGTTCAAGGGTCCCACCGCCACCTTTGACGTGACATTGGGCCATGAGGGATTCCTCATCGGTGCCGAGGGTGGTTATGATGTCGGAAAAGCCGCCATCACCAAGTACGCTCTTGCCGCTGGCTACTCACAAGGAAGCTATGCCGCCGCCGTCACTGCCACCAACAATTTGAGCATCTTCTCCGCCAGCTACTACCACAAGGTCAACACCGAGGTCGAGGCCGGTGCCAAGGCCATCTGGGATTCTGCTGCTGGCTCAAACGTCGGTTTGGAGGTTGCCAGCAAGTACAAGCTTGACCCCAGCTCTTTCGCAAAGGTATTTAAATACCAAAGCCCCCCGTCTCCCTCCTCCTTACTTTGTTCTTCTAACCATCTTCTATAGGCCAAGATCAACGACCGTGGTATCGCCGCCCTTGCCTACAACGTCAAGCTCGGCACTGGCGTCACCCTTGGCCTCGGCGCTTCCCTCGACACCCAGAACCTCAACCAAGCTGCCCACAAGGTGGGTGCCAGCTTCACTTTTGAAGGATAGATGGTATCCGTTCTTTCTTGGCGGGGGCGCGGACATGAGAGAGGTTGAACTTTCAACTCAAGACCAGCAATGGTCATGGCCCTGATTAAAGCTCCTGTTCCGTTGTCAGCTCTATTCATCAAATTTTCTGCCAAAGATTCGTTCGAGATCAGAGAGATTCTCTACGTACATAAAAATTAACTTGGCTTTTTGTCAAGTCAGTCGGGGTAGCCTGTGAATGAAATAGGGTTGAAATGGATGTTGTGTTGTGTTGTGTTCTCGTGATTGTGATCGGCCTTTCTTCGTGCATCCTCCGGTCTCTGAACGTCTCCTCTCTACGTACAACGGCAAACTATTTTCAAAAAATCCTTTGATTCTACGAGAAGAACATTCGTCGGTGCATTCCATCTTCTACATATTCTACAATCCAGACCAAGTCGTATAAAGCGGCCCTCACGTCATAGAATCCTCCAGACATAAAAACATGAGAGACCGGACTAGTCACCTCAATCCGATCTCTTTCTACGCGTACCATCCGCCCTTACCAATCCACCCTTTGAGCTCGAATTGACCTTTGAACTGACCAAGGTCGCCAAACTGATGCCCAAGACAATGACACCTGAAACCAGAATGAAGCGACTCCAGAAATTGCTCTGGTCCTCTGCTGCTGCTTCTCTAAGGGCAGCCAATTCCGCCGCTCGACGGTTAGCTCGTCGATAGTCTTCATGTGTTTGTGTTTTGAATACACTGCTGCTGTCGAACGCTGGGTCCCATGACCCAGGCTCCGCGTACGCCGACGCATTGAATGTTCCAGCTTGGGAGCCAGCTTGTTGCTGATGTTGGTGCTGATGTCTTGTGCTATCCGAAGGTTTTCCATGCGCGTAGAAACTCGGCGGTGGGCCTTTGAATATACTGCGTCTCTTGCTCAAACCGCTAGCCGGTCGCGACCCAGCATATGAACTGCCACTCCCTCCGGCGCCGTGGTGTCGATGATGGCCAGAGTGACTTCGCGACATGTGATGATGGCGCATAACATCTCGATCGTATTTTTTGCGTTTCTCGGGGTTCGATAATACGCTATACGACTCGGAAATCTCGGCGAATCTCTTGGAGGCTTCGGGGTCTGATTTGTTCAGGTCAGGATGTGTTTCTTTACTGAGAAAGTAGAATTGTTTCTTCAGCTCGGCCGACGTTGCTGTCGGAGGGACTCGTAGAATGTCATAATGGGTATGAGTTGGTATGCTGTGACGGAGCGGTGTTGAGGAGAACCATCTGGGATGGATATGGATTGTTGAGGGCCATGTTCTGGCGCCTCCAGGGAGGGTGGTGGAGAGATGGCTCCGGCGAAAGAGCATCACTCATGCTTGAAGCCGGAGCACCAGAGGGGAGGAGGATGGATGGCTGGATGGAGGGCGGTCAAATTAGGGCTTTGTGTGGTGAATGACTCGAGTACTCATGTCTCTTGTCCCCTGTCCACTTATCTTCATCTAGAACCCAAAAACAGAAACGTGACGTCTTTCGATTTTGGGCGAACGCCGATGTTCGGTGCAAAGTGGTTGACGAAGGCGTTGAAGCCAGCATTGTGGAACATCGTTTATCCGTTGTATGACCCGATCTAATCTAATCTAATCCGGCCGGCGCAGGCCAGGCATCCAGTGAAAATCCCGCGAAATGAAACGTCTGAGTCGTGACTACGCTCTGTCTTTTCCTCTCCACACATTCAGGTTCACTACCGCCTTTTATCCTGACCTTGTTCACTTGCGCGCCAGCAAGGACCTGGGCTCGACATCATGGCAGCAAAAACAGCAGATGAGCTGTCCAAGCTCGCTCTCAATGGCGCTGCCACTAAACAGCCTAACCCCCAAGTTAGCGGAACAAACGGTGTCAACGGACATTTGTCAGATCAAGACGACTCGGACGATGACAAAGACGACGACCCAACCACTGCAACCGCTAATGGCTCAGGTGCAAATCCAGCCAGCGGAGCCGCTAAGAAGAAGAAAAAGAAGAAGCCAAAGAAGAAGAAGGCAAGCGGGCCTAAAGTTCAAACGGATCCTCCTCGAGTAGCCATCAAAGATTTGTTCCCTGGAGGTGTCTATCCCGTGGGAGAAGAGGTGGAATACAAGAATGAGAACTCTTTCAGAACTACCAGCGAGGAAAAACGACATCTCGACCGCATCAACAACGATTTCTTGCAAGAGTACCGTCAAGGCGCCGAGGCACATCGCCAGGTTAGAAAATGGTGCCATGCTCACATAAAACCTGGAATGTCCTTGACCGAGATCGCCGAGGGTATTGAGGATTCCACTCGCGCCCTGACGGGACACCCTGGTCTCGAAGAAGGCGACAATATCAAGGGAGGTGTGGGCTTCCCAACCGGCCTAAGCATCAACCACATTGCCGCTCATTATACACCCAATGCCGGAAATAAATGGATTCTGGGCGAGAAGGATGTCATGAAGGTCGACTACGGTGTTCACATCAATGGACGCATTGTCGATTCGGCCTTTACTGTGGCATTCGACCCCAAGTACGACAACCTCCTCAATGCGGTCAAGGATGCCACCAACACTGGCATCCGTGAGGCTGGAATTGACGTCAGAGTGTGCGACATTGGAGCTGCGATTCAGGAGACTATGGAGTCATACGAAGTCGAACTCGACGGCAAGACATATCCAGTCAAGGCGATCCGCAACCTCAACGGTCACGACATCATCCAACATAGTATCCACGGTGGTAAATCCGTACCTATCGTCAAAGGTGGTGATCAAACCAAGATGGAAGAAGGAGAAATCTTTGCCATCGAGACCTTTGGCAGCACCGGGCGCGGCTACGTCACCGATGATTTGGAAGTATCACATTATGCACTGCGCGCCGACGCACCCAACGTCGCTCTTCGAGTCGGATCCGCTCGATCTCTCTTGAATGTGATTAAGAAGAATTTTGGAACCATCCCCTTTTGCCGCCGATACCTTGATCGTCTGGGCCAGGAGAAATATCTCCTCGGCTTGAACAATCTTGTCAGTGCAGGTATCGTCGAGGCTTATCCTCCCTTGGTCGACGTAAAGGGCAGTTATACAGCTCAATTTGAGCATACCATCTTGCTGAGACCTAATGTCAAGGAGGTCATTAGCCGTGGTGATGATTACTAAAGAGTCTCATGACTCTTCGGAGTATTGGGATTTCTTTGATCTATAGGACAGAAAAAAAGCCTAGCGATTTGTATAGCCAATGATTATGACTATCTGTATTCACGCCATTTTTTATTTTCTATGAATATAATCCATCAAGTCTTTGATGTGTGAATCAATACTAACCCTCGAGAATGATGGGGGGATATATCACGTGAGGAGCGTAACTCGTTCACAATACCTCACGTGATGGTTCCTGAATTTTTACCCTTTGAGGTCTAGAACCGATATTGCGTTGAACCCGAAAGACCAGAACTTTTAGGATCTTTGAATCATTTTCCAAAACTTGACAAATCCTCCACTGGGCTAGATTCCAAGTCTCCAATCTGTAAAGGACGACCATACCGACGACGAGAGATTGTGGGCCAGGAAATCTTCATCAAAGGATATCTCTTGCACGCACGCCAAGTGATATCTGACTCACCAACACCGCCAGCTACCACAACTACCACCACCAGCCCTCTCGTCCCACAGACACAAACACAGTCACCGGAACATCTAACCATGTCGACCTTCGGAGAATATTTCCGAGTGACGACATATGGAGAGTCGCACTGCCGTAGTGTCGGCTGCATCGTCGATGGTGTACCTCCCGGCATGCAATTGACTGAAGCCGATATTCAACCTCAGATGACAAGACGTCGACCGGGGCAATCAGCACTGACGACACCACGTAACGAAAAGGACCGAGTTGAGATCCAATCCGGCACTGAATTTGGTGTCACTTTGGGAACGCCCATCGGATTGATTGTCAGGAACGAGGATCAGAGACCAAAGGACTATGGAAACAAAACTATGGATCTCTACCCCAGACCGAGTCATGCTGATTTCACTTATTTGGAAAAATATGGTGTCAAGGCAAGTTCAGGAGGTGGTCGAAGTAGTGCGCGGGAAACTATTGGTATGTGTGTTTGGTTTGGGAGTGCGGGTTGAGGAATATGGCAGTGGCTAATTCTTATTCTACAGGCAGAGTAGCAGCAGGTGCAATTGCAGAGAAATACCTGTCGCTGGCGCATGGTGTGGAGATTGTGGCTTTTGTGTCATCGGTCGGATCGGAGCATCTTTTCCCTCCCACGGTAGAGCATCCCACACCTGCGACAAACCCCGAGTTTCTGTCTCTTATTTCAAGCATCACAAGGGAACAAGTCGACTCGTTTGTGCCAGTGCGGTGTCCCAACGCTGAAGCCTCAGCACGAATGACCAAGGTGATTGAGAAATTCCGAGATGCTGAGGACAGCATTGGAGGGACCGTGACTTGTGTGATTCGTAACGTACCAATTGGGCTGGGAGAGCCTTGCTTTGACAAACTTGAAGCAACACTTGCACACGCCATGCTCAGCATTCCCGCCACCAAAGGATTCGAGATTGGGTCAGGATTCGGGGGGTGCGAAGTTCCAGGATCAATACATAATGACCCATTTATCGCCGCTACGGGGGAGAAGGCAGGCCGCTCTAAATTGATGACCAAGACAAACAACTCGGGCGGCATCCAAGGTGGAATCTCGAATGGTCAAGATATTTATTTCCGAATCGCATTCAAGCCACCTGCAACAATTGGCCAGGCTCAGCAAACGGCCACATGGGATGCTGAGGAGGGGACACTGGCAGCCAAGGGAAGACACGACCCATGTGTGGTTCCTAGAGCAGTCCCCATTGTGGAAGCCATGTCAGCACTAGTATTGATCGATGCTCTCATGGCACAACAAGCTCGTGAGACGGCAAGGAGTCTATTACCGCCTCTCAAGACAACATTGCCTACGAAAGAGACTGGGACATCGACTAGTCTGGAAAAAGTCGAGCAACGGTTGAATGGCACTAATTAAGCCTCTCAATGGTGAGGACAGTGGCGCATGAGCTTCCCCTGAGATAAATAAAAGCGTGTAACAGAATAGGTAGACAAAATAAATCATTCCCAGGATGAGTAGCCATGGAACTAATTTCTCCTCCCAGGACGTATCTTATCTCAACTATGAGCCATGATAATCCATCATACGAGGACAAATTTGGTGGCGGTGACGAAGCATTTGAGGGTAGGAGCGATCGAGTCTATCGAATTATGGATTTTGGCAAGAACGCCCCTTCCTTAGTTGTCGGCATTAATAAATCCGGCAAGAGCGAAAGAGGCGAGGGGCGCCCAACACCACTACGCAGGCTCATTTTCTGCAGCTCAAAGACTCAACTACATCAGACAGCCAGCAATTTCTCGACATCTCCATTCTTTCGTACATTCCAAGACGCTTACGACTTTGAGTGCGGCTAATCAGTGCGAAGTCCCCGCATCCCCGTTGCCTGGTCCGCAACGGGCACGCAAAACATGAACATGATGCTCCAAATCCGTGGCCTTGCAGCTTGCCAGTGTCATATTTCAACGTCTACCATCCTAGACGAATCTCAAATGCCTAATAGAGATGATCTGTTTGAGTGAATAACAATGCGAAGACATGGGTCAGGCACATGAAAAACAAGGGTCGCATATCTGGGGCCAAACAAGAGTCGTCAAAGTACGATTGGCGAAGCCGTTGTCGTGGTAACCAGTCCACAAACATCGAGCCGCAGATGGCGCAACATTTGATTCTTCAGGTCGCCGACTTGTTGACCGTCCCACGCGAAAGCGATTGGGTGGCCAGACAGATCCATGTCCAAGTGGCGCCATCCTCCCCTCTCTTCAAACCCTTGAACCAGACTCATCTTCAGTCCACCTGCAGAACTACTCCTAGATTCTATCATAGTCGCAAAGTTTCAACCCGTCGCGCGAAAGCCACCGCCGCGGTTGATTACAGAGATACGGCACTCCTCCAAGTCCTCCCTTAAACAAGTCAAATACCTCGAGAGTGCAACACGACCAGTACACCCCTCATGTGTCTATACAACTCCTGCCATCGCCCTTGACCCACGACGGGACCTTGCAGATGGATTGTTTCCCAGCCAAGCCAGACCGAATCGCAATGTCAAAAATGACATGAACCGTTGAACAATATGGCTTTGAATCACAAATTACTTTCTTCTGGCCTGTTGGCCCTCTTGGTCACACCCGCTTTCGCACAACTGCCATACAATCCCGCTCGCGTCATTCCTGTCTCAGGTGCTCCGGCAGCATACGTGTTTCGGCCTCAGTCCTCCTCTTCTCAATTCTCCCTATCACTACTCGACACATCACAAAGCTTAGGCACCACAACAACCCCACAACTGTTGTTGGATGGTCTGCCTTTCCTTGAAGACGACGCATCCAAGTCCTTCATAACTCTACCAGACAGAGAAGGTATCACAGTTCTCGCAGGAGACTGTCAGGAAAACAGCACGGGGTTGGAGTTGTGGAGATTTACTCGAAATGACAAAGATAATAATGGAACGTGGAACAGCCTGCCGGTCAGCGCAGGAGACTCATCTTTAGGTGCCAAATACCTTTCTGCTTCATTTACATTCTCTCAAACAACGGCGCTGGAAGATGCAAAACTCTACGTTTTCGGGGGTATGTGCCCGAATGGAACATCCAACGAGTCCAATTGGGCTTCACAAGCGACATATTCTAATACCATGTTGACGATCGGTTCTACCTCACCCGCTGCTAACTCTCAGTATCAGATTTCATTGACGGGGTCTCGGGCACCTCCAATCCCTGAAGCTGGTCTAACGATAACACCTTTGTCTCCAACTTTCTCAAACACCTCCGAAGGCAATGTATCCCAGCAGCAGAACTTCATTCTCCTCGGAGGCCATACTCAAGCTGCCTTCATCAACATGTCACAGTTGGCGATTTTCTCCCTGCCTCAGAGCTCTTGGGCCTTTGTTGGGGTCACCCAGCCTTCAGATCCCAATTCTGTGGTTGAACCACGATCAGGGCACACTGCTGTTTTGACGCCGGACGGATCAAAAATCATCGTGCTTGGAGGCTGGGTTGGGGACGTTTCAACGCCGGCGCAACCACAGCTGGCCATTTTGGAGCTCGGACAAGGGTTTGGTGGCCAAGGGGACTGGACGTGGACCATACCATCTGTTAGAGACACTCCTTTTGCATCAGGTCAGGGAGTTTACGGACACGGCGCCGCAATGCTGTCTGGCGATGTCATGGTGGTGACTGGTGGCTATCCCATCGCCTCGTCAGCGTCTAGAGTCAAGAGAGCTGCTTCGTCTGACCTCCTTTTCTTCAATACAACTGCAATGAGTTGGACGAGCTCTTATGAAAATCCTGACCCGTCAGGCACTGCGACCAGCAGCCAAGATGCCCAGTCTACGTCGTCAGGATTGAAAGCCTCGGAAAAGGCAGGTCTTGGGGCAGGACTTGGCCTGGGTATCGCTGCTGCGATCGGAGTCGCGGTCGTCTGGCTCCTATATTCCCGCAAACTTCGGGAAAAGCGTGTCCTACGTGAAAAAGAAATCAGAGAGCTTGCGCTTGGAGCTGAGAGACTTCACACGCCGATGCCACCACCCGAAGGAGATGACAGATATCCATCAATGAGAACGGCAAGTTGGAACGGTGCTCAAGAGCAACAAATCGAAGGATCTGGAAACCCATGGCCATGGGCTCCAGCATCTCAATCAGCACGCGACCAAGGCAGCCAGGGTGACTATTCCAACCGCTTCCATCACAACAACAGTGCTCTGGATGTAGCTGATCCTTCTCGAGGCGTGCAGAGCAACATCAGCCACAGGGGACCATTGGGAGGATCGTCGTATCCACAACTTATCCTACCGGGTGTCCCTGGGGGTGTCTTCCGGATCGACGAAGAGGACGAAGGCAGTCAGGCAGGGTCCATGAGACGTACAGCATCACAGACTCGTACCTTGGATCGACGTTCAGTTGCCAGCGACCCATTCAAAGACCCGCCAAATGGGTCGGATAGCTCTCAGTCTGATCCGGCGGCGCAACAGCGGCAAAAGGAAGTGGATGGGTGGGTGGAGGATTGGCAATCTGCTGCGGAGACCATGAGTGTGTCCAGAACCACCAGCCAAGCGCACAGCAGAACATACTCCAACCTCTCACAATTTCGCGCGGCCGGGCCTAGCAGTTCCGGTCGTGGGTCACCAGAAAAGTCAGACCGTACGGGCAGTAACCTGTCGGACAAGAGCTTGCCGAGTATATCAGAGTACTCGAGATCTGGGCAGACAACGGGGACGTTAACTCGTGATCCGTCACAAAGGAGCGCGAGTACCGGATATGCGCTGTTCGCTGGTGCTGCCGCAGCTATGGGCAGGATGACAGGAAGTCGGCCCGGGGTGAGCAACAGTGACGTCGACAGCAGAGTCGCCCGGGCGCCCTCCAACCGCAGTGTATCATTCAACGTGGAGACACTGTCTCGGGATCGCGACGATACATTTGCGTCATCACGATCGCCATGGGGGGCACCCAAGCCGGGCGAGAGCCAAATGGTTTACAATCGCCATGGGCAGCGGCCTGGCCAGGCTGAGCGAGGATACTACCCTTTAAATACAGGCGGAAGTCCCAGCAAGGACAAGTACTCTGGTGCAGGCAGTCTCTCGGGATCTGGCCGGCGAGCGATGAACCTGTTGGGCAGCGTCAAACGGGTATTCACCGGGACGGGCTCTGTTGATGTGCAGGACCGTATTGGGAACCTTGAACAAGTGAGCGGACACTCGAGTCCGACAAAACATTCCGGGCTCCCAGAGATGATGGAAACTCATCCTCGGCGATCACTGAGTACAGGGGCGTCGTTTTGGCGTGGCCAGCAAGGTCCCAAGGATTGGGGGAGCAGCAACGGCGAGGCATCAACATCATCGCGTGGGAAAGAGGTGCCTGGTGTGGTGCTCAATGACAACCACGGCGAGTTAGGAGATGATGATGGGGATTGGGATGTTGAGACAGCAGTACAACAGCGGGTGGTGCAAGTCATGTTTACGGTGCCAAAGGAGAAGCTGAGGGTGGTCAACGCGGATGCTCTGAGTCTACTGAGCAGCAACAGAAGCGAGGTGGATCACGACGAGGACCGAGAACGGGATCAAATGAAGAGGATGAGTAGTGTGCGGGAGGGAGATGAGGACCATGACGTTGATGAATTTACGGCCACTGAGAAAGGAAAGGGTCGGGCAACGTGAAAAGGCATCGATTGAAAAAGGTATCTTCTGGTCAAGCGAGGCTGGCGTTGGTATGGTCTGGTTTGGTGGGAGGAAGCGAGTGTGTTCCAATATTGTATGAGGGAAGGATACTATACTCGATCACTGTATAACTAAGGTACTTTAGCTACAGAATGATATTAGCCATGACTCTGATTAGGCTCTTTACTGACTAGTTGATACATGAAGTGAAGGATAGATCCGTTGATGTTTAGTGAGAGTATCTCCATATGACGGTTCACGCGTCCATTTGTCAGCCCTGTTTACATGGGAAATCATTCACGTGTCTTCGCGCCTGCCGCGTTTACTAATTAATTAATCTTGGTCCCTAGACTCTCCTTACGTCATGGTCCCCAGAGCTGTAGACTCACAATCTGTATGTATTATTGCAAGGCTCCGATCAAGCTCCTCGATTGTCACTTTCAATGTTTGTCCTCAAGACTCCAGATTACAAGTCTTATGACTGAAAGGGGTTGGCTCTCGACGCAGTCGAACAAATGCCAATGTGAAGGCTGGTGAGTGTGGAAAATGGATGTTGGTGGCAAAAAGGTCGAGAGTCCAGGAGCAACTGGTCCGAGCGGGCGTTTGGCGGGGCCCTCGGGCTGTAGCCTGTGGTTGCTGGGCTTGAGGGGAGGTCGAGGGTCAGTCGGGGCTTAAAAGTTGCCAAAGAGATCGTCCAACAGGCTCAGTGTGACTGCTGCCTCGACGCTTAGAGTTTAGTCTATGGGGGGGCTTGATCTCCGATCTCGCCCTTTCAACCACCGACTCCAGGCACCAACCAGGATCAATTAGTCAGGTGTACTCCGTACTCCGTAGCCAACAGTGAATGCCAACACCAATGCTGCCCTGGAAAGAGAAATTCTGCACTTTAATGGCCTTTTTGACGCGAACGCGTCCCTGGCAACTCCTTCCGTGTCCTCCTAACCACGACAGGCGCGTCGAGCATCACAAATCCACTCTTTCCTCTTATATCTTCCCAATGTTGTGACTCTCCTCCTCCTCTTACCGTTGCTCCTCATTCCTTCACTGCATTTCTCTAACCCTCGTCGACCTCGATCGTTTCGCTGCCTCGTGTGTGCAGTCCCTGTCGTCTTCGACAACGACAAGTCCTCTCGCCACCTGCCATTCCCTCCACAGGTATACGCATACGCATAGCATACGGGACAAGATCCATAGACCACTCACCGAACATCAAGATGTTCGTCTTCAAGCGAGGTAAGTCGTCTTGGTGGCTCTCAGTCTCTGGCTCGAGTCTCTCCTTCCATCCCAGACGCCACCCTCATTGAAAGTGCCTTTCTAACATCTTGCCACAGATGGACGCAAAGAACGCGTGCAATTCGACAAGATCACGGCTCGCGTCTCCAGACTGTGTTATGGACTCGATCCCGAACATGTCGATGCCGCTGCCATTACACAGAAGGTCATCTCAGGTGTCTACCAAGGTGTCACCACCATTGAGCTCGACAACCTCGTAAGTGCCACTGTCAGCTGTCGACAACGACAACTTACTAACCCTCATCACAGGCCGCAGAAACAGCAGCATACATGACCGTCACTCATCCCGACTATGCCATCCTCGCAGCCCGTATTGCTGTATCCAACCTCCACAAACAGACCAAGAAACAATTCTCCTCGGTCATCTCAGACCTCTACCACTACGTCAACCCCAAAACCAGAAAACCCTCCCCCATGATCTCAAAGGAAACATACGAATGTGTCATGACTCATGCCGATGAGCTCAACTCGGCCATTGTCTACGACCGTGACTTCAACTACCAATACTTTGGTTTCAAGACTTTGGAGAGATCCTACCTGCTCAAGATTGGCAACAAAGTTGCAGAGAGACCACAACATCTTCTCATGCGTGTGGCCGTGGGCATTCACGGCAATGACGTCGAGAAGGCCATTGAGACATACAACCTCATGTCCCAGAAGTGCTTCACTCATGCCTCGCCAACCCTTTTCAACGCTGGCACTCCTCAACCCCAGTTGTCATCCTGCTTCTTGATTGACATGAAGTCCGACAGCATTGAAGGCATCTATGATACTCTCAAGACCTGTGCAATGATCTCCAAGACCGCCGGCGGTATTGGTCTCAACGCTCATTGCATTCGTGCCACTGGCTCCTATATCGCCGGAACCAACGGCACATCAAACGGCCTCATCCCCATGCTTAGAGTCTTCAACAACACTGCTCGCTACGTCGACCAGGGAGGCAACAAGCGGCCCGGTGCCTTTGCCATTTACTTGGAGCCATGGCACGCCGATGTCTTCGAGTGGCTGAACCTGAGAAAGAACCATGGCAAGGAAGAAGTTCGTGCTCGTGACCTGTTCTACGCCCTGTGGACACCCGATCTCTTCATGCAGCGTGTTGAGAAGAACCAGGATTGGACCCTTTTCTGCCCCAACGAGGCTCCTGGTCTCGCTGATGTTTATGGCAAGGAGTTCGAAGCCCTTTACGAACAGTACGAGAAAGAAGGCCGCGGTCGCCAGACTGTCAAAGCCCAGAAGCTCTGGTACGCCATTCTCGAGGCACAGACCGAGACCGGTACCCCTTATATGCTGTACAAGGATGCCTGCAACGAGAAGAGCAACCAGAAGAATCTTGGTACCATCAGAAGCTCCAATCTTTGCACCGAGATTGTCGAGTATACTGCTCCCGATGAGGTTGCCGTCTGCAATCTTGCCTCCCTCGCTCTGCCCACCTTTGTTGACCAAGCTCGGGGCGAATACGACTTTGGTCGTCTGCACGAAGTCGTTCAGGTTGTGACCCGCAACTTGAACAAGATCATTGACGTCAACTACTACCCCGTCATTGAAGCACAAAACAGCAACTACAGACACCGCCCCGTTGGCTTGGGCGTTCAAGGTCTCGCGGATGCCTTCCTTGCTCTGCGTCTACCTTTCGACTCTCCCGAAGCACGCCAGCTCAACATCCAGATCTTTGAGACCATCTACCATGCTGCTCTTACTGCATCCTGCCAACTGGCTCAAGAAGAGGGTCCTTACTCTAGCTATCAAGGCAGCCCAGTCTCCCAAGGCATTCTTCAGTATGACATGTGGAACGTCACCCCCACAGATCTCTGGGATTGGGATGCTCTCAAGGCTGAAATCGCCAAGCACGGTGTTCGCAACTCTCTTCTCGTTGCACCCATGCCAACTGCATCGACCTCTCAGATCCTTGGCAACAATGAGTGCTTCGAGCCATACACCTCCAACATCTACTCTCGCCGTGTCTTGGCTGGTGAGTTCCAAGTCGTCAACCCATGGCTTCTGAAGGACCTCGTCGACCTCGGACTTTGGTCGGACAACATGAAGAACCGTATCATTGCCGAAGGTGGCTCCGTTCAAAATATCCCCAACATTCCCGCCGATCTCAAGGCACTCTACAAGACTGTCTGGGAAATCTCCCAGCGCACAGTCCTGCAGATGGCGGCCGACCGAGGTGCCTTCATTGATCAGTCGCAATCATTGAACATCCATCTTAAAGAGCCCACCATGGGCAAGATTACATCCATGCATTTTGCTGGCTGGAAGATGGGTCTCAAGACTGGCATGTACTATCTCCGCACGATGGCTGCTACTGCCCCCATTCAGTTCACCGTCGATCAAGAACAGCTCAAGGTCGCTGACACGAACATTGCACGTGAACGCGCCATGCCCAAGAAGCGTCCCTCAGCTGGATATAGCCAGAGCTACATTGCGTCGTCGCCTCGTCCCATGTACGCCAACAAAACTAGCAACTTTAATGGCGGCGGTGGCGTTGCTACCTCCTTGAATGGCATTCCCACACCAACATCCACCCCTCCCCCTACTTCAGGCGAGGAGAAGCAGCTCGTTGGCAAGTTTGCCAAGACGAGACTGTCAGACGGAGTGTCCAGCGAAGAAGCCAGCCCCAGAGTTCTTCCCACCGACCCTGTTGGCACTCCTGATGTTGACGAGAGCCTCGACAACAAGAAGAGCCAATTGGAAGACCAAGAGAGCGATTCCGAAGAGCGAGAGGGTGACATCTACGCACAGAAGGTGTTGCAATGTAAGTAATCAATCCAAGCCTTTGATGTCCGTCCTGGTTGGCCTACAGAAATTAACATGGTTTTCACACAGGCTCTATCGAGAACAAGGAGGCTTGCATGATGTGCAGTGGTTGAACAAACAAGCCTCTGAACTGCACCATTCTGTCGAGTTGCCGGTTGGCTGATTGGCTGGTACCCTGTTGATGTTTTGGTCTACATAAATCATGTTATGGCGTATAGAGGAAGCGCACTGGGAGAATGTCTTTCAATGCAATGATGTTTTGTATCCATCCGTCCAGGTCTTCCACGGAGGACTGACTGACTGGTGGACGAAGTTTTGAATGGGATTAAAATACATCTTGACACGCAATTGATTACAAACCTCCTTCTGCGACCGCAATGTTAGGCGAAAGGTAGGGAGGGAGAGGAAGGGAACTGACTGAACTCATGGGCCAGGGGTTTGAATGACACTTTTGGGGATCAGGATTCGGGTCCTCGATAGCTTCACGTAATTTGCTAGTCGTTCGCGCGTTCGCGCCTTTTGATGCTGAAAAAGATCGATTGTATATTGTATATTCTAACTACACCGTGTTTGTCTGTGTCTGCATCGTCAGCTAGGATCCAGGATTTTATTCCACGGCCTGTGCAACAATGTGAACACTGCATGAGCTAAGTTTACAAGTCATGCATGAGTTACCGATAGAGATGTTGCTATAATCGAACATTGGATATCTCACAATTCGTTCAGCTGAAAACGAGGCTAATATCGTTGGCGATGGCGATGGCAATGCAAAGCAGTGCTTGAATATCACAACTCGATTCTAAGCAGATGATGCTCATCACTGAGTCTCCTCCCAGAGCAGGCGACTTGCCCTTCTTCATGGCCGTCTACGCCACTCAACGTGAATTCTTTCCACTCCTTTGTCCCTGTCGTGCCTATCGATCGTGCAATCAAGGACAATGCTCCCAAAGCCTGACTGCCTGACATGCATGCTTTCAGTTGCACTCGTCATTTCTGTTCGCGGGAGTCCTGTCTGCCGCCACCCTGACTATCTGCAGGGCTGTCAAAACACTACTTTACAACCACCTGTGACGCGGCCATGGCACTCCAGGGCGTTAGGCCCGGTTGCTGTTCAACATGCATCGTGGTAAGATATGTGCCAAGCTTCTGAGCCGGAAGAGTGCAAGGTGTGCAATTGATATCTGCAATATGCTGCCCCAATCTGGGTAAACAGAAAGATCAGCTTGTACTCAACGCTGTTCCAGCTTCTTGGGCATTATGTATGGTTTTCTGTAACCATTCGTAGGTGAGCATGGTTGTCATGGCTGCCGGGACGGCGCGAATTAGATTAGTTCCGATACCGGCATAGAATGCTCGCCATCCTTCCTCTTGCAGAATGAGTCGGCACATGTGCAGGATTCCCGAGTAGCGAGCTTTGACAGCCAGGCCATCAGAAGTTGACAGGCCTCTTCGTTGCTGTGTCTGCAGCCTTGTTCGAAGTACTTCATGAGGATACGTCGCTGTACTAGCGCAGATTTTGCTCAGGAATGTTGCCGCACTTATCCCCACCCAGTTGGCACCACTGTCCTCGGGTGGGTGATCTCCCATACCATACCCGGTGAATTTCATTTTGAAATACTCATAAAGAGGGAACTGGACAGCCACGTGGGTAAGGCCTAGAAGGGCCGGGGTCAGGCCCGAGTAAAAGGATTTCATCCCCTCATTGTGATACATTTTTCTGGCAGCATCCAGAGTTGATGTGTAATGCCAAGGGGCGCGCATTCCGTCGCTAGCGGACTTTGCTTTGGAGCTCTGCGACATGAGGCGCGTTTTGATTACCCAGATAGGGTTTGTGAGGATAGTCGAGCAAGCACCGGCGGTCAAAGATGAGTAGCATCTTGCTAACCACCAGCTCTCGCACTGATCGTACCAAAAGTCTCGTGAGTTTTCATAGACAGTCAGATAGACGGCCCATGTAGGAAGGTATCCCATCAGCATCGGACCTAGGCCCCGGTACATGCCACGGATTCCTTCTTCTTGCCATATCACGCGACCAGTTCCAATAATGCCCTTGTAGGGCTGTGTCGAAGGTGAATAGGGTCCGTGCCTTGTAGCGAAGCCGCCCTGTGCTTGCAGCTTGGTCTTGATCACATCTAGGGGGCAAGTGACAATGCCGGAAGCAAAACCGGCACCGGCTCCACAGATGGGGGAGATCCACGCCTTCGGAATTTGTGTCGAGTGTATCTGTATGCGGCCGATGATGGAGTCTCTCGAGGAAGACGGGGACATTGTTCTGTGGGGGTCTGAGGTAGGAGTATCGGTCGTGGTAGCATATTGGGGAGACAAAACGGCAGGAGTTTGTTCTGATTCCCTCTCAAAGGACATTCTATTCTCGGTGGAATAAGACGATTGTCAGGGGAGGCCTAATCACCCGTATGGCGAGTGCATGGCGATGAAAGGCAGGCACGAGAAGGTGAGGTAAGACGGACGAGGTGGTTCGAAAGGCAGCTGATGTGAAGGGATGGTGTTGTATGTGATGACGGGGGTCAGGATGAGATAACTCAACCTCTCCGTTGCACCGTCGGCGGCGGGTAGGTTGTGCTGCGGGGTTTGGCCGCAGCCAATGCAGCTGGTCTACCAGCGATTGACCAAGGCCATGAACATGAGACGGTTCCAATAACTGATGTCAAGGCCGAAGATATCTCTGTCCGCCTGTCGAACAGCTCACAGAGGGCTTGATGGGTGGAAAAACGGTGAGTCAAAGCAAGGATGATTGATGGAATGGAAGTAGTCGGGGAGGAGTTGGTAAACGGTGAACAGGAACTTGAGATTAGTCGAGATATGCTGGGGAAAAGCAAGCACGCCCACCCGAACAAATGGCAGTAGGAAAGTGCAACCGTAGGTGCAGCTAAGCTTTCTAAACGGGTTAGGAAGCACACGCTAGCATCTTAATTCCTTAAGATTGTCGGCAAACTTGCTCTTCGAAATCAAAGACCATTAGAGCCCAGAGAGCCAATCACAACATCAGGAATAGCTTGCTTTGCGAAGTCGAATGTGCAATAATACGTCGACCCTGATGCTACAGCTGGGAACATTTCTCTGATCTTCCTAGCAACACCACACGCCACCCTCCAGCTATCCAACATGTCTGCTCCATCCCTCGCTCCTTATATTCTCAAACGTCCGTGGTTGAAGCGGTGGATGCTTCCTCTCGCCAACTGGTACGTTGACGCAGCCGGCTACCGACGACTAGGTATGAAGAATCACCCGACCCGGAAAGGAGCTATTATACAGCCATAAAGAGACAGATGCTGATCTGAACCAGGTCTGCGCCATGATGATTTGATCCCCGAAGAGAACGACACTGTTCAGCTGGCCCTGAAGCGACTGCCTCCCAAAGAAGCCTACGACCGCGTTTTCCGATTGAGAAGAGCTTTCCAAGTATGCAATAATTCGGTGCGTTGGGCGATGATACATAGGAACTGACATGAAGCATTATAGTGCTCTATTTCTCACCAGTTACTCCCCGAGGCGGAGCGGACGAAGCCAGAAGAGGTCAGTGAACCTCTTTTCTAATGTCGCCTACGAACGATTGTACTGACTATCATGAACTCAGGACGTTGCGTACCTGTCCCCTATCATCGCGGAGATTGAAGCCGAAAACAAGGAACGAGCCGACCTAGACTCCGTGGCCATCCGCCGAGCCTAAGTTCGAACAACCGCCAATTTCGAAGGAATGAAATCTAGTTATGCGAGATCCCTTGGGATCCAAAGATGGCGATGCTTCGGGCTGCAATGGGTAGTATTGTACATATATTGAAGACAAGACTATGGATCACACATTTCCACCCGTCACGTTGTGCTCATGACACTAACATCGACGTCTTCTATGCGCCACATATACCACATGAACAAGCTTCGATATGGCGCAAACGGTTCCGACTTTTCCAACATCTCCTGTTCCGACATGTACTTCCACTTGCCACCTCCTTTGGCTTTGAGTTTCTTGACATCTTTCCCGAAGAAGGCGGCCATGCCTCGCTGCACGCCCAGATCTCCCGTGGATAGGATATCCATTCGCTTCAGCCCAAAGCATGCAAACATTTCCACGCTCCACTTACCAAGCCCACGAACAGCGATGAGTTTCTCCATGACCTCCTCGTCAGACGCTTTCATGAGCATTGATGCACTCAACTCTCCGCTATTAAACTTTTCTGCAAGACCTTGAATGTATTCCGCTTTTCTCTGTGACAGCCCTGCTAATCTAAGTCGAGGGATATCCGTAGCTGCAACCTGGGCCGGCGTGGGGAAGTTTGCCTTTTCAGGATCCATTCCTTCGTTGAAAAGCATGATGAACTTGTTCTTGATAGACTTTGCCGCCGCTCCAGACACTTGCTGACCCATGATGCCACTGCTCAAGGACCTGAAAGGATCGATCTGCTCAGCTAGACCTTTGGCGGTAAAGATATGACAGGTGTGCTTCTCAATCACTGGTCGCATTCTAGGATCCACGCTGATCAGATGTTGACAAGCCTGGTCTAGGAGGCTGTTGGTAGTGGCAGTCGGGCGAGGTAGTCCAGTCTTGGACGGCGAGGAATCTGGCCAATCTGAAAATGCTACTAGCTGTGTTCCCCCAGGGGTGACAAGAGTAGCATTTGTCACGTGCGGCTCGACGGGACGGTCGGGAGGCGGTGTCGCATCATCAATGTCGCCAGAGCTATATGGTGCTCGGATGACATTGATCAGACTCGGTGTAGGTGTCAAGGGGGGTACTTTGCTTGCGGCCTTGCTGCTCCTTTTGCGAGGAGTCACGGGCACTTCCGGAATCTTGAATTCCTTCTCTTGCACCTCCCCATTAGACTGATACCCGTCATCAAGCTCGGTTGACTTTGACTTTGACTTTGGCCTTTTGGGCTTGCTCTTCGCTGCTTCAGAGCTGGCCGCGCGCTTCTTGAGTGGCAGAGTGGGGGTATGAATATCATTTATCTGACTTCCTGGTAATGTTGCTGATGCAATCCTGTTGGATCTGCGAATCGACATTCTGTAGACTGATCGAGCTAGCATTCGGCGATTTAATCCTCTACAAACACTGTGAAGGGGATCTCCAAGCAATTGTACATGAACACCGAGACGATTCTTCAACTAAAACAATAGACAAAAGAAAACCAGAAACGTTTACTGGCTCGTCAAATTGGAGCAGACTCAAGTAAAGGGAGGTCAAGTCGAGTACAATATCACATTAGCTGGTCTCTCCGTGGGAGAATCGTTCTTGTTAAAGGCATAGCAGCACCTGGCGTCATATCTTTGCATTAGCGGGATCGATGGAGGCTGCTGCCTTGTTGCCAGACGCTGAAGTGCCTCTGATTGGCCACATTCACGTTGCTAAAAGCTGGCTGATATAAGCCATATCACGTGCAGATGCGGCGGACGCGTGCGGAGCGCGTTTCGCCAAAGGGGCAGAGGGATCCTGAAATTTATCATTGATGATAGTGCATCTCGAACACAACGAGAACGCGCTCCTGGATCATCAAATAAACATTTTGTGTATGCAAAAATATTGTAGACACTCAGAGCTTTACTCGAATTTCACGTATCAAGTTGTGCAAATATGCTGGGAGCCGCATCATCCGTCCATCCATCTAGGCGCGTATCCTCCCGGCGCCACGGTTGGTTGCTCGTAACTTGAGAAGACAATATTTGCAAGTTGCATCCCGTGGGTTGATCCAACGGTGTGGATGCCAGATATACTCAAGCGATGGAGATGTTACGCGGCCACAGTGATAGGTTCCGGAAGAACTTGGTCAAGAAAGGCCGCGAAGACCGTGCCTTGTTATTATTATGATGATCCTAATAATGACACTAAACAATCTTGGGCCATCAATACAATGACGAATATAGCGTAACTAATCAAGGATGCGAAAGTGATTGCATCATGCAAATCAAAGGAATCCAGGGCCCTGGTACAGTTTGCACGTGAACTATGCTTTGTATTGATATTGTGCTGATCTTCTGGAAATTTGAAGTCTTCATATCGAGAGTGGTTGTCCCAGAACAGGCCAAGTGCTATCTTTGGTGGATTGAAGGTCCGAGGGGTCCGGGGGCTCGTTCAATGCATACTTGTAAGGTATGGTAATCTTCAATACAGTCCAACACCACCAAAGCGCCTCTGGTGGAACAGGTATGGCAGCCATGACCTTGATTTGTACTCTGGGGCTTTTTCATGGGTTTTGGAGACATTATTAGCACCATTATTACTACACGATCATAATTGTTAAATCGATCTGTCTATGGAGGCATTAGAAGCAGCGTGCAAGATGGATGGACGCATATGTCAGGTGCGTCGTTTGGAGTCTTGGTGGCGATGTCGGAGGTCCCAAGGCCCCTCTATCACCCACACACGCCCAAGGAAAAAGATGCTAGTCTTTCTGCTGGTTTTTGGGATGACTCTGGGCAATCGTGCTATACCGCAGTTTGTGTAGTGTGATGGGAATTGATGCAAAATTGATATCCTGAACATTAAAATATACGTAGCGAGTAGCAGCTACAACTAACGCTAAGTCGCCTACAGAGCTCTAGAAATCACTTTTATACACTCTCTCCCGGGTCCAGGGCGCTCTCTCCAGGGCGCCCCCTCTAGGGCACTTCTCTCCAGAGCACCCTGGGCACCCTCTACCTAGCACTTCTCTCTAGGGCACGCTCTCGGGTACTCACGTGGTACTCCAAGAACATTCGGAAAAACTCAAGGAGAATATTCCGAAAACTCAGTCACGGGATCGCAGCTCGCGCATATCCAATCATTTCGTGCTAAGATTTGTTCTCAGCCAATTATACTACGTAAAAGTTTTTCCGGATGCCAGATTCTCCTATAGTAAGAAATTAGAAACTAAACCCAATGTAGAACCTACTCCGCTTCGCTTCGTAGGATTAGAAAACTGCAGAAATCGGAGTAGATGGTCCAAGCTCGAAACGGGTGGTTGAGAGTTGAAACCTGCCAAACGGCATGAAACACCAGAAAACGGCAGCGACATGTATGTACGTGTGCTGTAGTCAAGCTTACGTGTCTGTCCGATCCAGCAGACATGCATTGATATGAGCTTGCTAGGCATTGTAGACATGACACGATAGTGCTGATCTTCTCATGTTGACCATATTACTATTCTTGTCGCTACAGTAGTTGCAGACATCTGCACATGTAGTGCATTACTGTGTGCATGTCATTTGCCGGGTTTCTACTCCTTCGCTAAGCGTGCCACCAAACAAGAAATAATGCTTACTCGATCGGCAATTCGCAATAATGATCGGATTCAACACCCAGTTCCCAATTGATCAGATACGCCTACGAGATAAGAAAAATACAGGAAAATGAAAGATTTGTCTAGGAAAGGTTGGTGGCAAGCGCATGAGAGTGTCAATGTTTCAGATCTTGGAGCTTGTCGTAAGATTTCTAGAGTCGAGAGTGGTCTACGAGAGTTTGTGTGCGCGGCGACATGGAAGACGGAGCATGCTAAAGCGGGTGGGCTGCATTATGCCTGCAGGAAAGCTTGGTAGAAAGGCGATTACTGACAGAGAGGTGATCGAGGTGGATGTTTTTGGTGGAGATGGATGGCATTTCGTGAGGATGGGTATGGCAGGCTGGGTGGTTGACAGGTGAAGCCCCAGGCTCTCCAGGCCTGAGCTCCAGGCTACGGTTCCCTGGGTTGGGAGCTTCGGTGGCGGGTGCAGGTGGATGGTAAAGCTGTGACAGTACCTGAGCCAGACCTTCCAGTAATAATAGGCGTGAACAAGGCTTTCATGGGTGTCTCTAGCCCGAGGTTAGGCATGGTGGCATGTCAATCATGATCCACATGCTGCAAACACAGTGAAACCCAGCACACGCCCAGTGACCCAACCCTGCACAAAAGCCCCAGCTATCCCCTGTCAGGATCCACCTCGCAGGCTTCCCAGTGACACCCAGGCATGTCCAACTGCAAGTTTGCACTCTGGAGTCTGCAGGCTTTGCGGCACACAGGCGGGCGTGCCATGTTCCACGGTCCAAGTGGCTAGTGGCCGCTCGCAGAGAGTCGCCTCTTAGGAGCACTGGGAGGCCCGAGGGCGGCAGATCTCCTCCACTGTTGACCTCCAGCCTCGACCCAGGACCCAACGGCGGTACCATTACAGTATGCGTATTAGGAAACGGAGGACACGCACTTGCACCTGCATATGGCTTGATTCACTCCCACCAATCGGACCGGGGACAAGGGGCTTCGCGAAGTCCACCATCTCCAGAAGTTGACCATCAACAAGCCACCACACGCACCACACGCACTACACACGCACTACACACGGCCACGCACCCAGTCACTGCACGCTTCCCTCGCTGATGCTTTTGAGTTTCCCCTTCCCATCCGTTCCCGTTCCCAACTCTTCATATCCCAGGCTCACCAGCTTTTTTTTTCCCTTCCTGCCATCGACTTCTTCCTCCCAAGATAGACACGCTCTCGCTATTCGTGTCGTCTGGCCCTGTCGTTGTTGCACCATCTTCTTTTCTTCGAGCCAGCCACGTCTGTGTCGAATTCATTTCATTCAAGGAGCGTCCCTGCCGCGACTACCTCCTCTTAACGTCTCGAGCAACTCCCTTCAGCGACCCTTTCGTTGGTTCCTTTATCCCCCAGTTGCGTGTCTTCTGTTGACCCAACGCATTAATTCTCATCCAATTCGACAAAAGCCTTTGACGGATTGCCTCACGCCTGCTCCCTGGGCTTTCACTTGTACCATACTTTAATCTTGCATCCAAGGTACGTCGAGTGACCTCCCTGCCCCTGATTGTTCATCGTCAATCATTCACCATAACCCCCACCACTTCGTTTTCTGAACCCTCCCTCATCACCCTTTGTCTCGTTTGAGAGAACAAAAGAATCTCAACTGACTTGTTCCATTCTCAGTTCTCCATCCGAGTTATTCATCCACAATGGCCATCACACAAGTCCTCCTCCCTGCGCTCGCGTTCGCGAGCGTCGCCCTCGGTAAGCTCCCTCACACAGAACCCTGTCGTGTTGGACCTCTGGCAAGAGTGGCGGCCCCACAAGAGCTATTGTCGACACACATGGCGATGAGGAAGACCCAAGACTGACATCTGCTATAGCTCAATCCAGCACCAGTAGTATCTGCGCTGGTCCTTCCTTCACCATCACCAGCAATGCTGAAGCAACCCAGATTGCCGACTGCTCCACATACAGAGGAGACATCTATATTGATTCCTCTGCTTCTGGCCAGATCTCTCTAGACGGTATCGAGCAGATCACTGGCGATCTCACTGTGAACAATGCCACCCAGTTGACAGCCATCACCTCTGACAAGATTGGCACGATTGGAGGCGTCTTCAGCTTGACCGGCCTGACCATCATGTCAACATTACAATTCGATTCCCTCACTCGTGTAAACAGAATCAACTGGGTCGGCCTTCCAGCTCTCCAGAGCCTTAACTTTGCTCAGGGAGTCTCAGAGTCGAACGAAATCTACATCTCCAACACACAGTTGAACAACATCAATGGTATCGAGTTGACCGCAGTAGGGAGCCTTGATATCAATAACAACCCCTATCTCACCTCTGTCGACGTCAATGCCTTGAGGAACGTCACCACCGCCCTTGCATTCTCCGCCAACGGCAGGGAACTGGAAATCAGTTTTCCTAACTTGAGGGATGCAGCTAACCTCACCTTCCGAGACGTTAGCAAGATCGAAATGCCATCCCTTGCCAACGTCGGCGGTTCCATTGGTTTCTACACCGACAAGTTTGAGAGTTTCGCTGCTCCCAATTTGACCAGCACCGGCGGCACCTTGGCCTTTGTTGACTGCCCCGAATTGAACAACCTTTCATTCCCTAGCCTCGAGCTCATTGGCGGTGGTTTCTTGCTTGCCAACAATACCAAACTCACCGCCATCAGAGGTTTCCCCCAGCTGGCGACTGTTGTGGGCGCTCTCGACTTTGCCGGCACTTTTGAGAGGTGAGTCTGATTGACACGTTTGAACCAGCGCAATGCTAACATGAGCAGTGTGACCCTCAACTCATTGTCTGACGTCCGAGGTGGCTCCAACGTCCAGACGACCTCGACCAACTCCACCATCTGCGACCTTTTCGACACCGCCCACGAGCGCGGTGCGATTAAGGGTGTCAACACCTGCATCACTGGCACCGAAACCCCACAGAGCAACCAATCTACCACTGGTACCGGTTCCACGCCTACCGGCACCGGATCATCAGACCACAATGGTGCTGGTGCCTTGGCCCCCGTGTCCTTCACTGGTCTTGCTGGTCTGGTTGCTGCCCTTCTTTTCATCTAAGCAAATCATTGGTATCGGCGTTTGTCTTGGGTCTGTAGACTAGCTTAATATCCGACGGGTGATGTCCTTCTATGCTTGTCTTATCCGATCACTTGCACTCTCCAGATGCGAAGCAGCAGCGACGCAAAAAGTACAAACATGGTGCAGTGGGCTTTTGCTCTTGCGCACGCACCCCTCTCTCAGGCCGGGATGCGAGTCTTGTATTGGGCATGATCCCTCTACTGGCAGGTTGTTGAAGTCGAGCGACAGAGTGCCCTCGTGGGCTTGCGTGTGGATAGGCATACAAATGAATATGTTTCCTTGTTGACTCCAGGTGTGCTCGTCGTGGGACAATGTCATTTGCCCGACTTTTTCCTGTGAAGCTTGAATCTCTACGTACCGTGGGGTGTCGCAGCAATTTCGGCTGGTCATCATGTTGACCAACCATATGTAGTAGCTACAAGGGAGTAGTACAGAAACGCGCGGGTCGCAACATCTCGAACAACTGACCAGAGCAGTGTGTCCACCGCGCCGACTAGGCTGAGAATGCCTGCCTATGGCTATCAGGCAATTGTCGCCGTGGCCTGAAACAGAATGAGGTCGCAGTAGGCTGCACCAATCGCGATGGGTGATGAACCTGGCCACTTTCGGCCTCTGCAGGACAAGCCACCATCTTTGGTTCAACAAACCCTCTCAAACCGGTCACCAGTGGCGCACGCCGCTGCTCAGCCGTACTGGATCATTTCCCAAGGTCGCCAGGTCAGCCTTCTTATAACCTGGGACTTCAGTTAAACCTGTGCTGTTCTGTCCTCGCCATGAAATAACACTCGCACGGTGTCGAGACGGTGAGACGCTGTGCTGTACTGTCCACGTGATATACCTCCAATTATGGCAGGTGCCGACAAGTTCACCGTCTACACGAAAGGTACCAATCTCTCCTACACTTCAAGCCTGATATTGGACTGGGATAGGCATCACTGACGCCCAGCACAGCAGCGGGAGGATTCAACTTGAGCAGCGTCGAACCATATCACTTTCTTCAGGTTAGTCAAATCAGCCCCTGATGTGGGTAATGGTCTCAAGCCGAAGTTATGCTCATATTGGCCCAAAGTCTCAACCCCAAGAAGAGATCCAGATCGTGTGAGTCAATGACCCTCGCCACGGGTACGATACATTGGGACGTTCACTGAGACAATCCAGATTTGCGAGCTGGAAAATATTCAAGGAAAATGAGACGCTGAGAAAGCTGGTCACATCCCAATACCACTACCCAGCAACATTATGGGAGCCTATGTGCCATCTATCCAATGGATATGCTTCGTGTGCGAGTCGCAATTACAATGGAGCACAGGTCCACAGCATGTCGAACTCCAACCTCTCTGAAGTCTTCTTCGTTTGTACTAACCGGTACATGTGACAGCATCATGGTTTCATTTCCTGATCAAGCAACTCGACGAGCCCATCACCATTGTCGACCCAGCAAAATACCTCTGGCGCGAGATCAAGTATACATGGTATGAGATGAGTTTCTACGTCTACTCACGGCAAGGGCCTAAGCCCCTCACTGTTCTATTCTGCATCGATACGCCCCAGCACTTTGCGCCACAGCTCATCAAGGCTCTAGAGTCGAGCATACCAGACGTCACGCCGACTCCAGAGCCGTTGACCTTGCTGCAGAGCGCCGTGGTCAAGATATCTACAGAGCTATACGATTTTTCTGTCTGGACGATTCGGAACCACATCCGAGCCATCGAAAAGGTAGAGCACCCATAGTTCCTTTCAAGTCCGTCCGTTCAAGTTCAAGAAGCTGATCATCGACTATCCATGGTCCCCAGCGTGCCGACGGTGCAGCACAGGCGAACTTTTCATTCCGCGAACTACACGACCTTGCCCGTCACATCATCCACAAATGTGAAGTCCTCAAGGTCGCCGCCGACACGGTCCAGGAGTTGATCGAGGGATCTCGCCCGTCCGCAACAGGCAAGGCTTGCGTCTGTCATCCAGCAGACGCCACCTTCTGGACTGATTGTCCACACAATCAAATGCGTTTCTGGCAAAGGATGTTGAAGAATTTTGTTGGCCGGGCAGATTCACTGAACTTGAGACTACACAATGAAATCAACCTGGTGAGTGAGGACTTTTGTCAACTCTGGTCGAGAGACATATATATATGCACGGTTTACCAATGCACGGAAGTACGCTGACTGGTGTTTGTATCTAGGGCTTCCACAATGTCGTCCAGCGAGACAGCAGAGCCTCGATCGAAACGAGCATCCAGACTATGGAAATCAGCCAGGCAGCTAAGAGCGACAGCGCGTCCATGAAGTCCATCTCCTTTGTCACACTGGCTTTTCTCCCCGCCACATTTGTCTCGGTGAGCAGCTGTCCATTTATTCCCATACTACTCTTCAATCCCCAGCCAATATTTCCTTTTTAACTAACATTTCAACCCCTCTTCCTCTTCATCAGACCCTGTTCGGTATGGCATTCTTCGACTTCTCGCCCGACAGCGAAGACGAACGAACATGGGCCATGTCGCCTAAATTCTGGATTTATTGGGTCATTGCCGGACCCCTGACGTTGATTACACTGTGTGTCTGGGCATATATTCAACGAACAGACATCACCCGTTGGTTTAAAGTGAAAAGATCTCTTCGAGCAGACAAGAGAGCTGAAAAGGCCGCCAGAAAAGCCAAAGTTTTAGCTGAGGCGAAAGCCCGGTTGGGAATTCCCAATGGTGGGGTGGTTTGATTGAACAGAGATAAGAACCATGGGAGTGGATTATTGCGAAGGCGTATGAGGAATGAATATGGAAGATCTAATGAGTAATGACCAGTGTCGGATGACATGAAGTGATGACCTGAAGGGGTCTTTTTACCCCTGACTTTAGGCCAGGAGTCTGGAAGATGGATGATGTTTACTTGTCCAACTATGATACTCTCATTGGCATCATTTCGGGCTATTAAACTATCCAGATAGACCATTGATTGACCATCGCAGTTTCAGACAACCTAAAATGTGACCAAACTTGATTCGATCTCTGCACGTTTATCGTCACTTGATGATCAGCGTAGCTCAACCATAGCGAGCATTCTCAATCTCATCATCAAACCAAGTCGGCTGTACTCCATAGTTCATGACCGTACTCTTGACCTTGGTATAACTCTCATAAGCCTCGATGCCATTCTCCTTACCCATACCACTTTCCTTCCATCCTCCCCAAGGTGAAGACGGGTCGTTCAAATGATGGCCGTTGATCCATACAATTCCGGAATCAATCTTATCAGCCACACGGTGTGCTTGATTGAAATCGTTGGACCAAACTGAAGCACCGAGCGCAAAGGACGTCTCATTGGCGACCTCAATCATCTCCTCTTCCGAATCGCACTTGATCAACGCAATGACAGGGCCAAATACCTCGTTACACGATAGATTGGAACCCCTGGTCGTCTCGATGATAGTGGGTTCGAAGAAAAACCCTTGTCCATTGACGGATGTGGGCTTACCTCCGCAGAGGACGTTGCCGCCTTCTTTGGCAGCGCGCTCGACAAAGTCGGTGCATCGTGTCACTGAGGCTTGAGAAATGACTGCCCCGATCTGAGTCTTTGTGTCCTTAGGGTCGCCTACACGAAAGGCTTTGACTCTTTTGACTAGTAACTCGGTGAACGGCTCGTAGATGTCCTTGTGGACTAGGAGTCTTGAGCCTGTGACGCAGGTCTGGCCACTGGCAATGAAACTCGCAAATAAGGCTGCCTTAACGGCGTATGTCACATCCAGGCTGGGGAATAGACATACAGGAGCCTTGCCACCGAGTTCTGCCGTGATGGGGATCATGTTCTCCCCAGCCTTGCCGGCAATGGCCTGGTATGTCAGCAAACCTCCCGTCAAGTCGATCTTGGCAAGATGAGTGTTCTCGCAGATATACTTTCCAGTTTCTCTGCCGTAGCCACCGATGATTTGTAGAGTTCCGTCAGGCAACCCTGCTTCTTGAAACAGAGCACCCAGTTTCAAGACCGAAAGAGGCGCCATCTCTGAAGGCTTGAGGATGACCACGTTTCCAGCCGCCAGCGCAGCACCGAGTTTCTTGGTCGCTATCAATAAAGGATGATTCCAAGGTGTAATCTGAGCAACCACTCCCAACGGTAATCGAGTCAATGTATTGATGACAGGCCCCTTGAATGGAGTGACTCGTCCCTCGTGCGTTCGGGCGAGTGAGGCAAAATACTCCAACCATTCTGGAATCCGACCTAACTGTGCTCGCATCTCACGAATAGGTCGTCCGGTTTGTTCAGTCTCGAGTTCTGCAAATTCAGGTATCCTCGCTCGCAGGAGCACCGCTGCTTTTGACAGGACGGCATATCGCTCTGACGGATCGGCTTTGGACCATTTCCCGTTCTTGAAGGTGTCGAGCGATTTGAGAATGATGTCGTCGACTGTTTCCCGCGACGTGGCATCAATCGTGGCGATCTCAGCACCGGTGGCGGGATTGATGACTTTGAGATGATGGCTTGCAGAAGAAGCGTGGGCGCCATTGACCCAATTTGACACGTGCGGGAGTGTCATGGTGTCGGTATTTTGGATTTGGTAGCCCAAGATGGTGCTGTCGATTGAAGAACTGGTATTGTCAAGGATATAGAACAACCTTCAGGAGCAATTATCAGGGCTTATGGCTGATGTCTTCCTTTCAAGGTGACCTTGTACCAGCATCTCGTACATCGGACATGCCCGGACCCAATAAAGTGACAGAATCAAATTGAGAATCGTGGGTACATAAGAGATAAGCACGACTTTCGATCAGGCCCACCCATCAATCTGATCTCCCTTGGCAATTAGCACTCCTCTCTGAGGTATCTCAACGATAGAAAAGAACAACTTGTCAGTGCGTTGATGGCAATAGATGTCAGATGTCAGAAGAATGAATCTCAATGTTGAAACCACCAAGTCCAAGTGCGATAGAGGCGCCACTGCTTCGCCGTATGATATGTGTGATTCGCTGTAGTATTTTGCTCAATGAAAACTGCGGTTCAAGTACTCGACGTCCATGCTTCATCATGTCTCTTTTCCTCTCAATCTCTCTCCGCTTTCACGCTCAACCCAGATTCTATATCGTGGCGATGCCAAGGAGTATGGCAAGCACACTTTGGCGTGTCCAAGATACTGTATGATGCCCGTATGGAAAGACCCAGGAAGCGCATTCGGCAAGCTTGCGAGCCATGTCGGTACGTCCACCGTTGATGCTCGCTTTCGCCCTCCATACTGACAGACTATTCAGCCGCAAGAAGGCAAAATGTCTAGGCGAGCGACCATCCTGCTCTCTCTGCAGAAGACTTGATCAAGAATGCACATATGCACCACACCGAGGCCGAGCAGATCTTCCACCACGACCAAGTGCCATTTCAACACCATCTCGGCCTACCCTTGTCCAACGTGATGATGAAACCCTAGTGACAGTGAGTCTTGTCTATTTGGCACCTTTCCTAGGTTCAGCTGTTGGAGTTATTCTGATAGTTCCTTCCAGGAGGAAAGACTTGACGACCTCGAGCACCAAATTGCGCAGATGAGAAGTGCTTTGAGGTATGTCTGGCCTCGATTCTTGCTGATGATGGTTCACTGACTCAAGAAAAGGCGTCCTGCTCCCCCAAGTCAATCGTCGCCTTCCCTGTCCCCGACAGTGCCAGTTGAACATGACTCCCCATCATTGCGAGCTCCTGGGCGTGCGTCTTCCAATTAGTAAGTCTAACCCTCCTATGCTAACCAATTGATTGCAGCTAACCAAAACTGCCAGTCTACCTCCATGGCAGACGACAAATGCCATTATCGAACTCTACATCAAATACTGCAATTGTCAACCACTCCCACTCTTCTCCCCCCAGCATCTCAGGGACACCGTTTCCTCGAGAGACCCTGAATTGTTGTTGGCATTGATATCTCTTGCCGCGAGGTTCTCCTCTGACAGCGAAATTGCTTCATCCACCGCCATCGTGGAAGAATCGCAAAGGCTCGTTGCAACTCGAGTCTCCCAAGGACCTGTAGAACTTTCCACAATTCAGACTCTTTGCATTCTAAGCTTGAGAGAATTCAATCGTATGTCCATTCTGCTCGGCAAACTGAAACCTGCTGACTCAAGGAAGACGGCAACACTCCCAAGGCCAACGTTTACAGTTCTCTGGCAACCAGTCTATCACAAGGCGCTGGTCTTTCTTCCAAGGCTGACACGGCCATTCTCAGCGATGTTGGTGAGGAACGTCGAAGGTGCTATTGGAGTGTCGTGCTCCTTCAGCGCCTTTACGGCTATCCTTCTGGGTCGTTCTTGTTTGTGATCGATGACAAGATCCCCCAATATCCTCAGAGTGCTGCTCAGCCCTTTGGAACAAGCTCAGACATCACCGACGCTGCCCTCGCCCAGTCAGAAGTTCAGGGCAATCTTATCGAGCTCTCCGACCTAGGCATCACCTCTTATGCCATACAACTAAGCAAAGTCTGGCAACGAGCCGCACGTTATGCTCACCGACGATACGCGCCCTCGGCTTTACCTCCCTGGTCTGCACAGTCTGAATATTCCAAGATCACGGCTCAGCTTATGGAGCTCGAAACACGTCTACCATACAAGTACCGTTTTCGGCCTTCTCGATTTGCCGACCAGGATTCGGAACAATTATGGAATAATCGTGCCTTTTGGGCTCCTTGGGTTTTTGTGCAGATGATCTATCACTCGATTGTCTGTTTGCTAAACCACCCATTGCTCATGGCTCTACGCCTTCGAAGTTTCAGAGTTACCATGGTCCCCGAGATATTCCTACAGCACACCGCAGACATGACGATAACTCATACTGACTGGATTGTCTATCTACTGGATCTTTGTAACGACAAGCTGTTCACACTTTCCGATCCATTCTTGGCACATTTTGTAGCCATTGCCGCTACAATCTTTCTGCAGCAAAGTTACACCGATGATGCAGTGGTCAAAAGTGCAAGACAGCAAAGCTTCTCAAAATGTCTCACTTTCGTCCAAAAAATCGGTACGAAGTGGCCCAACATTCGTAAATTAGTAGGTCAAAGTCCCGTCCCCGTCTACATATTCTCCTTGACTGATTATGCCTACACGGGCCAACAGGCCGGGAAAATGGAAGCATTTGAACAGGAAGTGTCTACCTCGTTTCATAACTCGGCGGCAGCAGGAACTCCAAATTCGAGCATCTTCATCGATCTGAAACTGTTCTGGGACATCATTGAATCTTCATTTGTCAGCGAGCTTCCTCGAGCTGCCGACTCGTATTTTGGAACGTCCCTGATACTTCATCGGCACCAAGCCGAGTCTTCCGAGGTTCTCCGAAGTCATCTGTTGCCCGAGCCCATGCGTCTCAATCATGAAACAGTCACTCCTGCAACTGTTTATACTGGTCAGACCCCGGTCATGTCCAGAGCTATGGAGAACAATCCGTTCGATTCCCAGCTGCAATTCCCTGCCGCGGGCGGACTTCCAGAGGATGGCCTGTCAATCTTGGCACAAAGCTACTTTGCTCAAGGTCAAGATTTCGTGGGTACCCTGGATGACTGGTGGTTCTCTGTCCCTGGACCAGGAGTAACATGAAAAGGCCATGATAAGCAACCAAATTCTGCGGGCATCGCAGAGGTCAACGGCTAGCCTCGGCGTTGATAAGGGCGCTTGATCACAAAGACAATTTACAAGGCTCCACACATAAGGGATCCGCATCCGCATCCGTGTCCGTTCCCAACTTCGGTGCACCCTATGGCGATATTGATGCGCAACTTGATTGGAGATGATTCTGGAAGTATTCGAGCAAGACAAGTGCAGTGACGTGACTATGGATGGCATCAGTCCTCGACCCACTGACAAATAGCGGTGCAAAATACCTGCAATTTTGGTGGACTTACAGCTTGCTCAACTACAATCCCAGCACTTAGTCAAATGTTTACCTCTGTGCACCATTCATTGTGACCTACAGGATGAGAGCAAGAACAGAGGATATACTGCGAAACTATGGCGTGTCAGCAAGGAATGGCTTTCTCCCTGAACAGCCTCCTGTGGCAAGTCTGCCAGATATCTACTATGCCCCTTGGGAATCCATCCTACACTGCCTGCCGACTTTGATCACCACGTTGAGTATAAGGTCGGAAATTGATGCTTTACCTCTCCTCGATACGTCGAGATTACACACGGAAGCCGAATGGCAGAGAGCATACTCGATATTAGGGTTCTTGACGCACGCCTATATCTGGGGAGGAGACCGCCCAGCGGATGTTAGTGTCTGGTCGGTCCCGAATGTTGAGTCATAGTCAGCTAACAGTTCTCAGCGGCTACCTCCTCAAATCACCTGCCCTCTCCTCGAAGTATCTGAACATGTTGGTTTGCCGCCAACGGCGACGTATTCAGGGCTGAATCTGTGGAATTGGGAATTGAAACCTGACCAAGTCGACTTGACCAAGCCTGAGAACCTAAGGTCACTGCAAACGGCCACAGGAACTCGTGATGAAGAGTGGTTTTATCTGATATCAGTCTCCGTGGAAGCTAAGGGAGGTCCTTTGATACACGCCATGCTCCAATGTGTAGAGGCAGTCGAAAGAGGTGACGACGAGGCCATTGAGCACCATTTACGACACATGACCGTAGGGATTCAAGAACTTGGCACTCTTCTCAACAGGATGCACGAGCATTGCGACCCCCAGGTATTCTACCATGTCCTACGGCCACTCCTCGCAGGTTCGAAAGGGATGGCTGCAGCAGGCCTTCCCAACGGAGTCTTTTATGATGAGGGCAACGATCATGGGCAATGGCGACAGTACAGTGGTGGCAGCAATGCACAAAGCTCCCTGATACAGCTGTTTGATATTGTTCTTGGAGTCGACCATCACGCCACCGGATCCTCTGAGACTAAGAAGTTGGCGGACTCGTCCAAAACAGGCAGCTTCATTCAAGTGAGTCCACCTAGTGGCGAGCCTGATGGCAGTACTAACAACGATAGGAAATGAGAAACTATATGCCTCGGCGACATGGAGAATTTTTAAGCTACATGACCGAAAGAGGTCATGTGAGAGAATACGTAGACAAGCAGGACCTTGGATCTACGATTCGCTCGACCTACAATGCTGCAGTCGATGCATTGGTTGCATTTCGAAATGTCCACATCCAAATTGTGGCCCGGTACATTATCAACCCATCACGATGTCCCCCATCAGAGAGAATCCTTCAACGCAGAAGTCTCAATCTTGCAACGGCTTCTTCCAGAGCAGGGGAAGCGGGTGGGCTTGAGAAGCAGCAATTGGCGGGTACAGGTGGTACTATGCTGATTCCGTTCCTCAAGAAGACCCGGGATGAGACGGGAGAAGCTGTGATGTTGGAGTAACCATTTACATAGCATTTAGACTCGGCATCTGATAGTATAACGGGTGTACAGGCTATACATTTCATCACTGTACATATTTATGTGGTTCTTGTATGTAGGTCATTATCTGGAATCCTCGGTTCAGGACCTGGCCAAGGCACGCGACATGCAGCAATATATTCAAATCGAGTCAAACACTGTAGCATTTGACATGTTCTTGGTCCAGGGATACTTTTTGCAAGGTGGGAATGGAAAAATCAAGGTGACAGCGGGCGGAGTTGGGTCGGATGCGGATGCGGATACGGATATGACGTCGAGGGATGCGCAAATCGACCTTCTGGACGAGCAATGGAACATCGTCTCCACCAACAAATATTGTAATGATGACCACGTCAAAAGCTTAATCAGGGGTACTGATGTGACCTCGGAAGGAATGTTAGAAATAGCTGGACTCCCTTCAATCCTAGATTACTCTGCATCGCATAAAAACCATCAGGTGTTGTTCCTTGTTATTCTGGTAATTTGAGGATTTGAATTGAGACCTGACATCAATTGGATAACAAAACTGCTACTCGACTCGGACTATCCATACAATTCTTTACATCTACGACCAACACTACCACCTGCAAGAATGGCACCAGGAATTCTCGAAACCGAACAAACCAGGACGACCCAGCCGCCTCTGAACCCCTCCAGCATGTCCAAGACAACATTCCCTGAAAATGGCGACACAGCAGAATACGCACAAAGTCTAGACGCATCCGATCCTCTACGCGAATACCGCAACAAATTCCTCATCCCGACAAAATCATCACTGAAATCCACTGCTTTGTCCAAACCAGACCATGATTCGGACCACGACAAGGGTATTTATTTCTGTGGAAACTCACTAGGGTTGCAACCTCGGTGTATGGCCAAGTATATCCAGGCTCAACTTGACACATGGTCATCGATCAATGTACACGGCCATTTCCGTGAGTTGGAGAACTCGCCGATTGTGCCGTGGCAGTCGTTGGCGGAGCGGGCGGCTGAGAAGTCTAGTCGACTTGTGGGCGCTCTGAAGGAAGAGGTGGCGATTGAGAATACCTTGAGTGTTAATTTGCATCTCTTGATGGCTTCATTTTATCGTCCGTCTTCGACACGGAATAAGATTTTGCTTGAGTGGAAGGCGTTCCCTAGTGATCATGTAAGTTGACATCACCTATGCTTTTGCGTCAGATTTCTTTGACCTGACTGACATTGGGACCAGTATGCAATTGAGTCACATATCGGCTGGCATGGATATGATGCAAAGGAAGCCATGATTTTGGTAGAGCCTGACCAGGACCACATCATCTCGACGGAAAAGATCCTGGCCACGATTGATGAGCACGTTGATGAGATTGCCCTGGTTCTTCTTCCCGGTGTGCAATACTATACTGGCCAAGTCTTTGATATTGCGCGTATCACCGAATATGCACATTCGAAAGGTTTGACCATCGGATGGGATCTCGCTCACGCGGCAGGAAACATCCCACTCAAACTTCATGACTGGAATGTTGATTTCGCCGCTTGGTGCACGTATAAATACATGAATGCCGGTCCTGGAGCCATCGCCGGGCTCTTTGTGCATGAGAGGCATGGGAAGGTTGAGTATCCAGAGGGAAGTGACAAACCTGTCTTCCGACATCGATTGACTGGATGGTACGGTGGAGACAAAGCATCTCGATTTGAGATGAACAATAGTGAGTTATGTCCCCAAGTTTGCAGATCGTGCATGTTTGTTGACATGGTCATTCACAGGGTTCAGACCGATTCCAGGAGCAGGTGGCTTTCAGATTTCGAACCCATCAGCAATCGATCTTACCTCATTATGTGCAGCACTGTCAATATACGACGAGACAAGCATTGAAGCGCTCCGAGAAAAGTCGTTGAAGCTGACGGCATACTTGCAATATCTCCTTCTCAAGGACACATCACTCAATGACCAGGATCGTCCTTACCGTATCATCACTCCACTGGATCCAACAAAGCGTGGAGCACAACTGAGTGTGTTACTCAAACCGGGACTTCTCGAGAAAGTCAGCGGAGCATTGAACGAGGCGGGTATTGTGGCTGATCAACGGAAGCCAGATGTGATTCGAGTGGCACCTGTGCCATTGTACAACACATTCTATGAGGTCTGGACATTTGTGCAAGTGCTGAAGCAGGCGACTGAAGCATAGGAGATGATTTAGCGAGTTTAAAGTCAAGTTATTGATGAGAGATGAGCATGTCACTGAGGGATAGATACATGACAAGTAGTGACACATCATTTGGATGATATTAAACGCCAAGAACGCCAAGGCTATGCCGAGGCATGGCACCGGCATTTCCGGCTTCAACGTTCCACCGTCTTTCCTCTACGTAGGAGCTCAAAGACCCAATAGCATTTCCCCGCCACCAATCAATCGTGTTTTTAATGAGGATTGACCAAGAGGCACCAAGTGCGTTGATGTTTGATTCGTGTGTTGTTCGTTCGACCTTTCAATCGAGAATCATCCGGCCAGCAGCAAAGTATGGCGGTGCGGATCAATGGCGCACTTCAAGCCCATTCGCAGCGCCCTTCCCATGCCTGCGGGCGACAACTCCCAACCTGTAGCAGACTCCACCACATCGAGTGAGAAGCGACCAAAACGTATAGCGTGCGTCAGGTGCAGACAATCCAAGGTGAGTGAGCATGAGCATGAGCGCGAGCGCGAGCGCCTCTCTCCGTCTCGCCGGCCTCAGGAAGCGAATGGTCACCATTGATACTAACTGTCTTGCCATCTCCAGCTCAAATGCGAAGGACTCGACAAAGGCCCCAAATGTATCAGATGCGCCAAGAACTCACTGGTTTGCGAGATTGATTCTGACTTCAAGCGCATCAATAAAAGGGCGTGAGTGCTGCCTGCTCCGACTCTAGAAAGGCCTAGAGAACCCCGTCTCTTGTACTGACAAGAGGGTAGCAAACTCGAAGACCTGTCCGAAGAAGTCAAGCAACTTCGGTCCATCATCTCTCGCTCCCAAACCGAACCAGGCTCGTCGCACGATGAGAAACGCAGTGGTTCGCCGCCGCACGGTGCGACAACGCTGGCAGAGTCGACCGAGCATGCTGTAGTAGATTCTCCAGGTCCTCCCAATGGAGAGTTCACACCGTTCCCAAATGTCGCGCGCAAGGTCTCCAGCTCGCGCTCTCAGCACGCGCCAAACAATACCTTTACGCCGTCCTTTCAAGGCTCTTCCATCGAGTCGCCAACCATGTCTATTCCTCGAGGCCATTCTTTTCACATTCCGCAAGCCGCCACAACTTCGCACCAATTAGGTGATTTGCATATCACTCCACAGCAGACGTCTAGCCTGTTCAATGTGTAAGACGAGTTCATTTCTCCTCCATCAATTGACTGACACCGTAGAACCAGCTTCTTTGAAGACTTCCATCACTTCTTCCCCATCCTCAAACCTGACCTGTCACCTGAAGACTACTATGAACGTTCACCCCTCCTATTTTGGACCATCATCGCCATTGCCGCGAGAAGCTACGACGAGGAAGTCGGCGTCTACTCGAGCCTGAGAGCACCACTGGACAAACTCATGTGGGAGAAGATCTCAGTGACTCCTCATTCGCATCTCACCATTCAAGCCATCGTACTACTCTGTGTCTGGCCCTTTTCCTCACCTTCAATGATCACCAACCCTTCGTTCATGTTGATCTCCATCGCACGCACAGCGTGTATGCATCTCGGCTTACATCGGCCAGAGATCCTCCAGGATTTCAACCGAGTCAAGTTCCGTGTCTTGTCCGAACACGTCGAGGAAGCTGCTAAGGTGTGGGCGGGATGTTTTGTGGCAGCTGAAAGGTGGGCAGAATATGTTATTAGTTCATACTTGGATTAGATTCGAACTGGCTGACTTGAATTCTAGCATAACCTCCACCGAAGGCCAGGGTCCGCTGTTTGTATCGACAGATCCGACAATAAGTCTAGCATGTGGCGAGCAAAACATATATCATCTCCCACAAGGTCTTCGACATATCCTGGTAATCCAACGATTTCTCAATCGAGTCAATTGCAGTATGGCGGCCGACACCAGTACTCGTGGTGGTGGATCATCAGCCTACGAAGCCGGCACTCTGTTAGCATCTCTAGAAGATGATCTGCACGTATTACAGAAACAGCTCGAAGGCAGCATCACCGGTGAGTCCATCAATCATCTCCCTTTTCCCTCCCTTCCTCCACAAATCCCTCCGGATATATCACTCTCCCGACAGGACTAACCCCTGAATACTAGACATGTGCAGCATCTGGGTCTCCGGCGCCGCTCTACAATTGCAAGTGTACTATTTCCTCGAACCCGTCGACTCACCGGCGCGCAAACACGGATTATTGCGAGCGTACCACACGGCCATGGAATTCATTTCTCAAATCGAACGCGCCAACGAATACGACAAATTTAGCCGATCAGTACCACGCTATTTCGGCGCCATGGTCAAACTCGCGGCGCTTGTGGTCATGAAACTTTTATTTTCCAACTACTCACGGATCCTGGACATTGAAGCCGGGAAAAAAGCATTCAATACCGCCATGTCGATCCAACGCGCCATGTCCGTTGAAAACAACGATTTCCCATCTCGCGACAGCGTGGTCTTGACTCATTTATGGGCCATCAATCAATCTAACGGTACGATTCGCAACGAAGAACCGACTTTACGTCTCAATACCCGGCATAGCGCCAGCGTCTTGCATGATTCATTGTGGGTATGGCGAAATTACTATGCTGAACGAGAATTCAACACCGAACATCTCGGACGACCTCCGCGGGTTTTACCTTCGCTGATTCAACACTCGCCGGTGGCGACGATGGATACTCCGAATGTTAATATCCCCTTTGATCCGTATGCGTCGACGCCTCAGAACTCGAAACTCGATCATCAACAACAACAGCAGCAGCAGCAGCAGCAGCAGCAAATGGGGACCATGCATGGCATGCAATCTGGGAATATGTCGAATACGACGCCAGGGTTGATGTCGGATGGTATGGCTGCGCCGCCGGGTCAGGGAAATGGTATGATGGATAATACTTCGCCGGATCCGTTTGATTTGATGAGTTCGTATGGCTCATATATGATCCCAGAAGCGGATTCGAGTGGAATGTTTTATCCGAATTGGATGTGGGATGCGGCTTTTTCAATGCAGAATTGAGAGGGATCAAGGAAAGGGAGGTATTGATCCAGAAGAAGGACGACCTCAACCAGGGACGGGTTCTATGACACAGGTATATATGTCTCTTTGAATATCTCCTTGCCATCATTGGTGTCAGCGAGACCCAACAACATATCGAGCGTTTTTTGTACGTTGGGAAGTTGCATTTGGCTTGTACAGCATACTAGGCGAGTGACTTTCCTGGATACTTTAGCTGTCAACTGTCATAAAATGCACCGGTCAACCAGGCAAAATATCTGTTCATATATCTTCATAGGCAGGCTCAAACAGTCTTGGCCAATTAATCCAATCAATCATACATACAAAGATCTTCATGTCTTTCGTTCATGCCAGCTCAGCAGATCCTAGTCATAGGATCCAAATTCCTGATCAATCTCCTCCTCAGGCTTGGTATGGACAAAGGCTCTTTTGACGAAGACCTTCCACAGGTGATTTCGGGCCTTTTTAACTTTTGAGCTCCCCTTCTTCTTATTGTTCTGGGCCTTGTTCAGCGCATCGACGCCGTCTTCATCCTGGCCTTTTTCCAGTTCATGCCCCGAATCGTCTGACAATTTGGGATACTTGCTCCTTCCAATCTTCTCCGCCAGATCCAACCACGACTTGACCGTCAGATCCTTCATCTGGTAATCACTGTCATTGTTGGTGCGGTATTCAACCTTGAACTTGAAATGTTTGCGATAGTTATATTCGGCGTCGACGTTGTGTTGGGATTCACTTTCAATGTCATTATGGATTTCGGTCAGGTTGGCAAAAAGCTGTGTCCAGGAGATGAGAGAAAGGGGTTGAGGTGAGTATGCAGGTCCTGGGGGGTCTAATTTGGAAGGCGGCTTGGGGACGGGGAACTTGTGCTGTTTCTTCTTCTTTTTCTTCTTCTTCTTCTTCTTTTTCTTCAGGCTGTCGAGGTCTTCTGATTCGACATATTCATCGAGAAGAGCCTGTGGTACGTCATCAAAAGCCTGCATCGACAGATGACTTGTGCTTGCATCCACCGAGTCTTGATCGAGCATATCTTTACCATCCCGCGCGACCAACATTTCCGCTGGCGCTCCAGTGGGGTGATCTGCAGGACTCAGCTTCTCCAAGCCGGAGATGTTGTACTCGATAATGCGCAAAGTTGGGAAGAAATTCGGAACAACACTGGGCGACACCAAACTCATGCTAAAACGTTCTCCCCACGGTCCGCCAATGGCATGAAGGAATTTGTCCATGTCATCGCCTTTGTGCTTTTTCTTCTTCTTCTTCTTTTCAGCATCATACTGCGGTACTTCCAAGTTTGCGTAAGAGGAATGGGGTGGAGGCTTTGGCAGTGCCGACCAGCCTGCCCTCAACTCATTCAGGTACTGTGCCTTGGCGGCAATGTTAAAGGTCTCGTTGTTGGATATGGGCTCGAGGCTCTCGAGGCGGGAAAATTCGTCATCGACGCCGTCGATCTTGAATTTATATTTTAGCTCGGTCACGTCCTGGAACATGAAGTGGTCAATGTTCATATGGCCAAAGATGGAGGTAATGATGACATCTCTGTACTGGCGTAACCAGAGGGTGTACTTTTGGTAGCAGGACTCGTCCCAGTTTTGTTTACTGGCGGTCCGGGCAGGAGGGACATGACCAATCAAGATTGCCTTCATTCCTCGCTGGCGCAAGAAGTGAAGTTGGGTCCTGAGCCATTCAAAGTGTTCGTAGCCTGGTTCAGTGTCGGCATCGCAGCCATCAACGGCGGAATTGGAATCAAAGAAGTAGAGGCTGTTCAAGCTGAAGACTGCTAGCTTGTTTGGAATGACCTCGGAAAAGAACCACCCCCCTCTTGCAAACGAATGTTTTTGGTCTTGGGGAACAAACTTGGCCCATAATTCTTCGTATTCGCGGGTCCATTTGTTTGGACCGGGTTGGAAAATGTTGTGGGGAAGGATGTCATTGTTCCCAAACGTTGGAACGATAGGAACGACAAAGTCATTTGTCGGGTCAGGGTCGTCGAGATTGTCGGATTTGCCAAAGGTTTCGACGAACTTGTTGACGACGAAGCGGTTGAGTTTGATAACTTGTTTGTCGCTGCGGGGATAACGATCGTCGTTGTCGTGTCGAGCCGAGTCACCGGTCCAAATGACAAAGTCAACCTGATCTTTTATGTTTTGTTCGATCCATTTGAAGGTGGCATTAACGAGTGAGAAAGGGGTGTCGCAGTCGGTGACTTCAGCGCCAAAATGACCCGCTTGGCCTTTGCCAGAGTGACAAGACTGGCTTGGGTCCGAATGGACTTTATAGAAGGGATCGGGATGGATGTCTGAAGACGGTGTCAGGGATGTTGCGAGAGGACACGGCGACTGGGAATTATACCTGTGATGTGCAGAAATCTTCCTTGTAATCTTCTCTGCCCATTGTGGGAGATTATGGGATGTGAGGACAAAGTTTCTTGGGATTGAAGAGGGTGGAGGTGAGGATCAGGAGGAGCGGCAGCGGTCAACACCGTGAACAGGAGTAAGCCGCTTGTGAAGCGGACCATAGCTAGGGCGGGAGTGGCATTGGTAGGTCAGGCTTGTCTTGAGCGGCCGAGGAGAAGGACTGGGGGACTCGATAGGTCGATAGAGGAGGATAGGTGGTTGGAAGGTGAGAGGTTGACTGACGTGTTGGAATCGAGGCGTCGAGGCGTCGAGGCGTCGAGGAGGACGTGGTCGAGATTAAAGGGAGGAGTGAAGCTTTGGTCAAGAACTCGGAAGGCGCGGGAAACAGCACTGAGAGTTCAAGGCAGGTGCGATCAACTGGTGTCGAGTTGTCGTGTTGGTGTCAATTTGGTAGGAAGGAGCAAATGGTGACCAGAAGGCACGCAAAAGTGCAGGCGCAGGTCCCAAAATGACACGCCGAATCAGCTTCAGGCAGCGACGTCATTCACCCTCCTACTTACTTAGAACGGGGCTCCATTTCCGGAGTAATATGGAAGCTTATAGGACAGAATGGATTGGGCCGTGGGATGATTGAAGCCCAAGACAACTCGACTTTGGTGTTTGAGCAGTTGTCAGTTCGTCAAAGAGCATCTCGGATTGTCTTATTGCCAGACTGCGGATGGAATTTTAAATGTTCCAGGGGCCATCAAAATTCGCACCTGTTTGGAACCCGTGATCGTAATCGTGGGGTGGACAGGCGATCCTCCACTTTGCATGTGAGCACCTTAAAAGAAGGATTGGCGATTTCTCCACAGCACCAATCAAGGCAACCCGCATATACACGTGTGCTCTGCGCCTGACCTTTTCTCGACTGGAACATTTGAACGCTACACAGGTCTGAGATAGTGGCGCTATCATCTGTCAACCCTCGACCTATGCCTTGCATCCATTGCCCATCATCTGACTTTGGCTAATGACTGGTGGAGGGTGGGAAACTACCTCTTTGGCCCTCCGTAAAACTCGTACTTTCTTCTGGGTAACGATGTAGGCGGATAGTTATATCCTTGCGAATAATCTTCAGGTGGCATGTTCCCACTTCCAGACCCGCCAACACTGGTAGCAAAAGGTGGGCTAGGCACCTGCGCAAATGGGACCTCCTCAAATCCATACTGACCAGGACCTGGGTAATACTCCAGAGGCCCCGACCTTGCCCCTTGGTTGGACGCAGTGGGAGGGGAGACAGAGGCTGTGGCCTGCGCTGGAGCAAATTCCACCTGACGGCTCTTCAACCGAGAGAACAAGACGGCAGACTCCTTCTCGAATTGCTTTCGCATTTGTGGCAATCCCCATCGGACATTAGCAAAGTCAAGGATTCGGATGATCTTTCCCAGGCACTCGGTCGCTCGGTGTACATTGTCCAATGGGCCTGTTGAGGTCGACTGATCGCAGATTGCATGTGTCGTCTTGAGCAATCGATCAAAATCTGACCATAGCACCTCGAGAAACTTCTGGCCCACGTACTGCGCACGACAGATATCGGCGTACGTCAGGTATGCATGCCAGCTGACATCCTGAGTGACTGGTTCGAGCTGGTCTGCAAATTGGGCCGAGTACTCAAACACGAGCTCTCGATTTAGGTCGGTCATGCTACTGGCGGGCACTCGTTGATTGGGTGACACCACCAGAATCTGGCAATACAGTCGTTCTAGGTTGAACAAAACAATGTGCTTTGGTGACAGATCGGTCGGAATGGTGGCATACCATGCATGGATGTCGTTGGATACTGAGCTTGCGTACGTGGCTGCGGTGGCGAGCGGCCACTGCGATCGAGAGGACCACCTGGTCGTCTGATAGAAGGTAGACTGGACCCTACGAATGTCGAACAAATATAGCGAAGGCTTGGTGGAGCGGAGGAACAGCTGCGATGATGCCGAACCTGTCTCTGAGGCAGATTGAGGGAAATTCACCTCGGCAGCAGAATCATCAGAGAAAGAGAATGCCCTATCCAAAGCCATGCTGATCAATCGGTCGAATGCGTAAGCACAGTAAAATATCCTCCGCCGCAAGTCCGTCTCCAATCTGCTCATGCGCGTCTCAGGTGGTGGTTCACAATGAAGCCCAAGATCCACCACCAGTCGTGAGGCCATTCCAATCAAATACCAGCTGTCAAAATGGGCCGGGTCCACGAGAGAATATTGCACCAGCAACAAAAGTGCTTGCACACCAGCTATGGAGCCGGGGTGCAGAACATAGCTGGCAAGGCTGCGTGCAGCCGTCACGTGCTGGATGGCCATGCGATCATTGTCGTCGCCTTTGCGCTGGGAAGTCGAGGCATATGATATTGCCAAGATGAGACGAATATTCCAGACATCTATGGGTTCCGCCGAGACGGCAATTGACGGCTCCTGGTAGATGCGTGATAGGCTCGCCATGAGGTCGGTTTCGGAGAAGAAGGGGAAGAGCGGGTATATGTTTTCAAGATAGTGGTTGACCATAGGGGTAATGGCGTATCGTGGAGGAAGACCACCAGATTCCATTCGGGGCAGTTCTTGTTTGAGCGCCGCAGTCAGGAGCAGCTTTGCAAAAGACATGGTTGCAGTGAAGCCGTGGAAGTCTCTAGAGGTGGCGTTGACGGTCAGGAAGCCAAAATCACTAACCAACTCATCGACGTCTGTAGCCTCTCTCCGGCGAGCACCGCTGATCCTTCGAGGCTGAACAGGGCGTTGCAAAAGCTGCGACGGTTGACTGGGATGACCAGAAGCTGCTTGCATCTTCGCTTGGTCGACCTTCCTCTGCAGCCTCTGCGCAGCTGCTTCAAGGGCTGCGACATAACTGCGTTCTTTGCCCCGGGCGAACTCATCATTGGCACTTGAACAACTTGTACCCTTTCCAGACCTTTCACATGCAGAACAAGCTGGAAGTTTGCCGTCGCACTTGATCTTGGCGGAGCGACATCTTGCACATGCGGCCACTGGACGCGAGACACGCAATGATGGCGACAGCAACGACTCAATGGATTCGGGTTTCGTCATGAAGAGAATCGAGTTGAGCAGTATGTGTGTATGACGTTATCCCCGTAGCTCGAGGGGCTAAGTTCCAGACAAAGCTGAAAGTGCGAAGAACATGGAGTTGGACGGAGAGATGTTGTAAATGGCCAACAAGTTGAGTTGCTCGATGGTAGATGACTGTAGCCTGCTCTTGATCCAATTCCCTGGATCCGAATATAGACTCTTGATTCAAGTGAATCGTGCTTGAGTGTAAGCAGAGGTGAGTACGAGTTGGTGTTGGTGTTGGTGGGATGGTGGGATGGTGGGATGGTTCAACGTTATCTCGTATCTCGACTCAAGTGTCTCAACTTTCGGTGGTACGGTGCTGGGAGGGCACAGTGCTGATTGGAAGGACGAGTAAGTGTACTCCGTAATGCCTGCATGTCAATGGCCTGGCCCGGGGAACACAGTCTCGTAGGCGCATGTGTCGCTTGGATGCCAACAAAGCTTCTTCCTTTTTCCACAGGAGTCTGCTACCAATGTCAGTGCCTGGCGCTGGCGTAGGCCCGAAATTCGAGGGGCCTGAATGGGTGGCGTTAGGGTTTCTCGGGCCAAACGGTCTGCCGGGGGCGTTGAGGGGTAACTAACTGGATCACATCATTTTAGGGGCCATCAGTTGAAGGCTAGGCAAGTAGAGGAACCACTTACCCACTGTCGTTTTTCTTCCACCATGATTGACGACGTCTCTTAACATTTTTGGTCAAACATTTCTTGCACATCTATCGTCAGAGACGGATATTAGAACAGCTCTGGATCAGTAGGATTTGAAAGAGGTCGCCCAGGCCTCGTAATTCAATCGTCATTGGGCCACCTCAGTCGACGTTCTTCGAGTCGGTGAATCGAGGTGCCTTCTTAGTAAGGCATTCAGCTCTGGTGCCTTAGGCGCTTCAGGCTTCTGGTTGGGTGGTTCCAGGCGTGGGAGGGTCCTGCTTGTGAACCCTGGAACCCCTTTCCAAGCCCACGGGGCCCTTACTGGGTCCTTTGAGCTGGGCAAGGGCACACGGCCTCCCAGGCAAGGCTCTGTACTCAACCAATAGTCTGTCCAGCCTGTCATGCCCCTTGACTTCCGGATCTTCAGGCTAGGACACAATGACTCGTGGGGCAGACTTGCTGAAATTCGAGAACGACAGGTTGTTTATTTGGTTGGACAGCCATGACATCTTCTCCGAATCCTTACGCATACTCAGGAAATGTTTAAGATGCCACAATGCACCAATGCCTGCATGTCAGAGTCTCCCCTGCTGGGCTGACTATAGCTGCTAAGAAGATTCTTCGCTGTTATCCAGAAGTGTCAGAAGTCCCAGGTGCCGCCTGCCCAGCCTTAGCCGCCGCTCTTTCTCCAAACTCTCAAGTCAGTCTTGTGGACCAAACTATGGCAAGCGCTTTCCACCATTCTCCACTACCATCGCTCTTTCCCTCGTCAAATGTCATAGGCACCTAAGAAACCCATTCGTGTTCAAAAGTCCGTCCATCCGTCCACCACCACCACCACCACCACCACCACCGTGACTAGTGACCACCAGTCTCTCACTTTTATCAGGTCAAGCGTTGTCAATGACCATCTCGGCAACTCCATCCTTTGTCCATCGTCCATCGTCTACCTATCAACTATCGCTCTCCATCTACACTTGATACATAATGAGCCATGCCCCTCTTCGATCCTCTTCCTTGACTGAGCCTGGACTGAGGCTTCTCCCTCAGCCCCCGACTTAGACAATGCCACGATGGCTGACTCGCCTGACACCACACCCTCGCGCGACCGTGTTCACCACACTGTGACAGCCTGCGTTCGTTGTCGACAGGTACGTTCCCCAATTAACACTTGTCTGCGGTCCCAACTCAAAGACGTCTATTGACATGCTTGTTCTCAGAGGAAAACCCGATGCGACGCCGCTCTGCCCAGATGCGAACCATGTGACCGCAGCAATGCTCATTGCGAGTACTATGACTCTGCGAAGAATAGAACTATCCCCCGCACGTACATCACCTCTTTGCAGGATACCGTGCGACGCCTCCATAATGAGCTCAAGGCCCTACAACAAGAGGAGGATTTTCAGCCAGACCCGGAGTCCATGGCCAGGAGCGCTGGCCTAGTCAAGTTTCGCGAACATGACCAGCCTCGATTCCTCGGCCCGTCAAGTGGCATCGCCATCACTCGCTTCGTCATGGAGTTTGCAAAACAGAACTCTGCCCGGAGAACTATTAAAGATGTCGTTCCACACCACGCCGCCGAGGAGATCAAGCAAAAGTTCGACGCTGAGAGCGACAAGCCAACCTCAAAAGTGTACCCGCTTATCAGCTCAGTTGCCGCCCCGGATCTACCAAATCCCCAGCTTATGGACCGCCTGATTGAGATATACATGGTCAAGGCCCAGTACATGCTCCCTCTACTCCATGAACCTTCCTTCCGCCAAGATCTCCATGCCGTCTATGAGGGATCCGATGATCCCACCTTGAACTTCCAGCTTCGCATGGTCATTGCCATCAGTATGCAAAAACTCGACACCCAATATGCTGGCCTGGCCGATAGCTACTATCTCGCAGCCTTGCCATTCCTCACTGGTGCCGTTCAAAAGCACAACCTCTCGACTCTGCAGTGTTTTGCTCTGATTGCTCAGTACTCTCTGTTGACCCCGACTCGTACAGCCGCATATTGGGTCGTTGGCATCGCCTCCAAACTTTGCCAGGAACTGGGCCTTTGTGAAGAGAACACGATTTTGAACCCCCCGTCTGGTGTCCGTCCAAACCCACTCGAAATTGACATGAGACGCCGACTCTTCTGGTGCATCACTTCAATGGAATACGGTCTTGCTCACAGCCTCGGCAGACCCAGCGCCTTTGGTGTGACCGTTGACAACATCAATGTCCAGTTCTTTGAACTCTGCGATGACCGTTTCATCACCCCGGAAGGCCTGCTCCCAGGGCATCACCCCATCATGAAGAAATGTATCTCGATCCACTTCTTCAAGATGAGACTCTTGCAGGCGGAAATTCGAAGAACACTTTATCTCAAGAAGCGGGATACCCCCGTGCGTGATACTGATCCATGGTTTCACGATATGCTCCAGAAAATTGACGCCTGGGTGCGTGATTGCCCCAAGAATGACGAGGGAAGTGGGCTGAGCGAAACCTGGTTTATCGGCCGGAAAAATACCATGATTGTCTTCATGTACCGCCCATCGCCTCAAATTCCCACCCCTTCGATCGATGCTGCGCAAAAGTGCTATGCCGCTGCAGTCTTCAACATCCAGATGCAGAAGCGACAAGTGGAAGCCCGGTTGATCGACATCACCTGGATCTTCACCCAAGCCATTTTCATGGCCCTCAACACTGTTCTATGGTCTCTATCATATCCTGCCATTCGACAACAACATCCCCTGGACGAGGTTCACCTACACGTGCGAGACGCCTTGAAGGCGATTGACCTATGTGCGGATCGTTGGCCTGGAGTGAGGTCTGCTCAGCAGCTATACGACAATCTCGTCCGCGGATGTCTCAAGGCGTATGAGACGGATAAGCTCGCCGAGTCTCCCAAGTCCGACTATGTTTCAACCACCAATACACAAGATGCAAGCTCATCTGCCTCTCAGTTTGCCAGCAGTCCCGCAAGTACGGCCAATACCTCCATCTTTGGCCCTCAATCACCACAGTCGACGCAGTCAGTCCATAGCGCCTATGCGAATCACACATTCAAAAATGCTGCAAACATGTACGTGGAGCACGTCACCAGGCCATATGGCAATGATACTCTGAATCCATCACTCCAACATCAACCTGCTCCTCAAGCTGCTCCAGGTGCATACATGGAGACGTCAGTGACCACTTCAGTACCACAGCTCAACATCCAATCACAGGCCCTGCACTACAGCCTCCCGGTGTTCAACCCTGGCAACGCTAGTGGACTTCTGCCGACCACGACACAGGGGTCTGCCGCGTGGACAGCTGCCCCTTTGATGCCCGGCATCATCCCTGGGATCACCGGCTCACCTGATATGAACTATGATGACTTACCCTACCTGGCTCCTTTTGGCCATGAGTACTCACGCTATATGCAACAGACCTTTCCGACCCCGAACCAAATGCAGACTCTGAGTGAGCAGCAACAGATGGAGTTGATGGCGTCACTTGAGCAAAGCCAACTTCCTGATATTTCTGGCCTTGTCAGTGATGCGACCACCTTTTACACTGCAGGCTTGCCATGAGTACGAGCACCATGAGTACGAGGTAATCTCATCATGCTCGCAAAATCCTTCTTGCAATCATGACAGGGGATACGTCGCCATTAGCAAAGCCCGAGATAAACATTTGTGCCTGAATACCAACCCCTGGCAGGTATGTGATGTCGGATATAATAGGAGAGGTTTCGCGCAGGAAGTCTTCGAAGAGTTGCTAGATCCTAGCTCGAGGCGTATGAGTTTCTCGACCAACTAAAGTCCCAGTTCAACCTCGAGACCAAAAAGTCTGAGAAGTTGGACGTTCCATTACGCGAGCCCTCTCGTGACTTTAACCACACCTCAATCTACCAAGTCGCTCGTGCATCAGAAGCTTTCGGTCCATTGCTCTCTGCCGACCAATCAGTTAGGGCTGTGACGAGCATACCACATGCCCAGCCAGCACTCGGATTGAGACCCGAGTTGTGGCTGCCTCAAACCCCGAGAATAGAACCTTAGATGGTCAGCCACGCGTAACGGCTGTCCTGGAGGCTGGAATGCTCAAAGGCACCAGGGGTCAGGGGGTCACGGATGCCCGATTGTCGTCCTTTTGAGATGGCGGTGCGCCTGGTCGACAAGTGCATGACGCAAGATTGATACGTGATTTACGTCTCTATAGATGCTGGCTGCGTACACCATATGTGCATCAGCCAACAATCCTGCTGTATATCTTGGCGACAAGAGTCGAGAATCTGCCGACTTAGAGACTCGATCTCTCGATATTGCTCAGAGATCACTGATAATTCCAAAAGCCACAGAACCATCACAGTCCTGCTCGAAAATAGCACGGCCCCATCCTGATTTTGTCTTCGTGGCTCGTCAACGAAACAAGTCACATCATTCCTGACGAGTAGCTGTCCATTACTGGCTACACCATGGTTGAGATTTAATGAAGCTGAGGTTCGGATTTGGGTCCAACTCGGTTGTCTTTGTGATGCCTGAACCTGTCGTTTAGGCGAGGGTGTGAAAGATCGGTCCACCCGACCCCGCGGGCATTGAAGTACAAGGCACAGCCTCAAAGGGCCGAGGGGCTGGACATTGACCCTACCAATGTCGGCCTCTCCCTTTAGCTTCGGTACCTTAACGTGCTTACTTGATGGGGAATCAATGCCCCCGTTTGTGGGCTAAGGCCTGTGCAGAGGCAAGTATAGACGACCACGGCTCATCTCTACCTACGGAGTAGTTCATGGTAGCCGACAGTTATCGATAGGCGAGCTAGGCACTCGTGCTTTTGATGGCTTGAGACGACAAGTGTACCAGGGGATTGGCGCCTTCTTTTGAAAGATTGCTAGGTTCTCAAAGCTTACGCTTGCTTCAACCGACTACATCCTTCCTATCAAAGGGAGGCCAAATCTAGGTTGGACTTTCGTCTTAACGGTGAAGGTGGTGGTGATTATGAGTGGCTTTGTCCACCCTGAAACCAGATCCTTCACCTGTCCAGCCCTCCCGACCGCCATCAACTCTCCAAGGCTGGACCTGAGATCGATCTTAGAGACTGCAAGGCAGAATCTTCATGTTGTCAAGCAGCTGTTGTTTCAGCACTGAGACGATGATATTTGTACCCAGGTGCGACAAAATCGACCATGGCTAATAATAATGACTCGATCTCTTTCGACTATACTTCTTACCCAATGCCCCTTGTTTCTGTTCCTCTATCAAATTGATCATCGTCCCGTCCCATTCCATTTCATCATTCCCCGTCTCCATCTCGCCAGGTTGTCTTTCTGGGGCCGGTTCTCCTCTATCCTGACATTCACTCCATTTCCATTTCCATTTCCATTTCCATTTCCATTCTCTTTTTTCCTACCAAAGACAAAGCAGAATATTGATCCAGGCAAAGTTTTCTGCACGACATTCCTCGCACACTGGCGCTAGAGATCCATTTTTTTTATACACTTTCTTGTATATTGTCTTCCACCAGGCTGTCGTTTTGGCTACATTGGGGCTTCCATCAGGCATACAAACAGCCTGTTTTGATCAGGCCCCCTCGACTCATTCATTGGTTTATTGGGCTGTGGCCTACTTGGTTTTGGTCGCCTTTTGGACTAGCTGTGTCCTCTCTCGCAGCCTAACTGACTCACGGACGCGAACTGGTATTCAGGTCCTCACTCTCTCTCCCTTACCTTCACGCGTCCACCCCAGTCTGAACAACACACTATACAACCATTACACGCACAGTGGTTGAACTACGTCACCTACGACCTACAGATTACCCTGCACGGTTGTCAGCGGGGGAGGCGGGTGGATAATCATCTCTTCAAAACAGGCCTCTTCGTCATCAAGTGTGCTCGTTGTGATGGATCATCAGGATTGGATGGTTGAGCCTCAACTGGATTATAGAACGCCGGTCATGCTCAATGTCGTCACCGTCGATGGCACAGAGTTGAACGATAATGTCGACTGCATCAGCCCCATCAGCGGCAGCAACAACAACCGGCTGATAGACATTCTTCGTCCTATCTTGAGGTGTGAGGACCTGTCACGCTTCTGCTACGCCGTCTACGCTTACCTGCGACTCCCGGCCGAGCACTGGCGTGCAGTGCAGAAGCTGCGAGAGTCGCAAACGACGTACAACATCATGCGCTATCATTGGAATCTCTGGGACATTGTGCCGGATACTTTGTGGCACTCGGTCGTCCAGGTCCGCGAGGACGCGTACTTTGAACGCGTGCAAACCGACTTAGTCAGGGTATTTGACTCTCACATCTCGTTCCTGATGCCCATCAGGGAGATGCATTCGCGTTCGCAATCACTCACCTCCTCGAACGGCGGCCTCATCCCCACCTTTGGATTCGGAGATCAAGTCCTTTTGCAGAATTGTCGTCAATCGTGCCATGGAAGCGGTGTTCATCGACCCGCATTCGCGGCCGAACTCTCCCCCCAGACGCAGACTTCGACTCATTCGATGACACCATCCATCGTTGACAGGAGCAGCCCAAGTCATTCGCTCAGTCCATGGACACACAAGAAGGGCAAAGCGCCGCCGGGCCAAGTCTATGTCTGTCCCGTAGCCGGCTGCGCCAAGAAGGGATTCCGGAACGTAGGCAATTACATCAACCACATGCTCAAGCATCACAGAGATCACCCTCGCCATGACCCAGAGACATCTCTGCAGGACTCGGTGACCGAGGCGACCGAGGCCGTTGACAGTGTCGACGACCTGATCCTCCAGACTCATGACTTGAGCGCCTCGAGGGAAATGACATGGACCAAAGAGCAAGACGACGGGTATCAACCAGTGAACCGCGAACCTAGCTCAAGCGGGTGTTACGGTAGCAGCGGGACCGAAAACCACGAGAGCGCTTCTTCATTCTCCTGCGACGACATGTCAGGCAATGATCCGTGGCGGACAAAATCCGAGTCGTTGAGCGCGCAGGGTTTCGAGGTCGAAATGGAGATGGAGAAGGGAAAAGGAAAAGATTTCTCGCACACAAATGGTGGGAGCTGGAGCGAAAGCTGGACTTTCGGTATGTTTCAGGCATCTCTTCTTGGAGGGAAATGATGCATTTGCATAGAATCTGCGACTTGGGTATACGAGGAATGTGTAAGGTAATGTGTGGCTGACACTTGAGGGAACGGCCCCGAAGAGGTGTAGGAACGTATGCTCGCGTCAATCGTACTAAGTAGACACTTCAAGCATTAAGCGGACGAATTGCCGGTATAAACTATGACCAAGATATCAGTCTGCGGAAGGGGATCTGAGATTGCAATCAGTGAACAGAGGCTGGAGCTCTGTCGCTGACGACAGTGGAGGACAGTCATGCGCGTGGCTTATGTCGAAAGCGGTAGTGCGGTGTGTATCATTACATGCTCCAATTGACCTTGTCTCATATCGAGCAAGTTTTGCGCGAAAATGATAGTGTGAAATCAAGACTGCGGCTTTGGTGTTGCTCATTCGAGGATGCCGGCTCGTTGGGCTTCTGTTTGGGTAATATCCCGGCGAGGACTCGGTAATCCGAGGGACGAGCATGATAGAGGAACATGTAGATTAGGCATCGGCGGCCGGGAAAAGGGAGAGGGCGCAAATATCTGCCTCTGATGGTCGCAGGATGATTCCACATCACTTGTTCCGTGCGACTCTTTGATCATTGACATCAAGTGGCATCCATGAGTTGTATTTCGCAAGGTCAAACAGAGGTTGACAGTTGACATGAAATCTGGGCGACGTGCTCTCGTCATGATTGAGACTTGGAACTTTGTGAAAGAGTTGAAGGATATTGGAAAGTGCGACGAAAACAATGGGAGTATCGCTGGGTGACCAGGTGTCGAAGAAGCGGTGAGGGTAGGCGAAGGCCGCCTCATATTGATAACTGATCGCTTTGCAGGGCGTGAGAGCGTGGCGACGTTGTAGTCATCGGCATGGGCTGGACTGCGTGGGCATTGATGTGTTGTTGAACTTCCCTCTTGGGTTGTCTCTTGGGCTGTTCATGGGATGGGGGCGAGGACGAAGACCATCGCATCTTTGTATGTGTTGTTCTTCTTGAAGAGGGTGTGTCGAGAACCTTGGCAAAGGTCGTGAGACCCGTATCCCAATCATGGAAAGCCTCTAGAGCCTCGCGTACTCTGAAACACACAATACATGCGTCAAGCAATACATGAGTGTTTATTGTGAATGCATGATGATTGACAAGAAAATGGTCCAAACCTGACAACGGGGGGCGGGCGTAGACGCACTTTGCCCGGCAGTGTTTGGAGTGGGGGGGGTGTTCATGTCAGTGAGGACCGTGGGTGGCTGGTTTTCATTGTGAAGCAGCTCGCCCTTGGTCTGTTGGCGATTGTCCCCACGTCTTCTGGCCATGTCGACCTGCGAACTCGATAGTTAGGAGGTGCCAACTTTCTGGGTGCAGACTCGGTGGTTGAGAGGTACTTACTTGGTACCTGTGGACGAGTAGGAATTGTGGATTGCCAAACCGGATGATGAAATCGGAGGGGTCATCCAGGCGTGCATCTTTTGCGTTGCAGCATGCATCTAAGGAATCCCAGAAGAGTGGTGCGTTGATCTCAGAAGATGCATGGATTTCAGAGGTTCGCATGTACGACATGGGTCGAGGTATTGAGGCGCATGCCATGCGTCGAAGCCTCATCATTCTGGTTGGCCTTTGTACCCAACCGCGCCAACTTGGGTTGATACCCAACAACGAGGTCATGGTATGAGGTTGTGCCTGAGGTTGTGTGGCTAGGGGTGGGAGGTGTTTTTTGGCATGATTGGTAGATGCGAGGTTTGTAAAACTTGAAAGGATAGTACTAAGTAGGATGCGAACCAGGCAGCATGCATCGGTAGCAGCCTTATTTGTTCCTTCCCCCTTTCGGTAATTCCCGTTCCTTCCTCGTCTCTGCAACGCGTAACACGTACACAGATTTGTGGAAGGAAGGAAGGATACAATTCGCAAAGTCCAGTCGCAACTGCCAACGCAGTGCCGCAACTAGGCAGACATGCATATCGGCCACCGTGGCTAATCCATTTTTCTCTTCTGGCGTCCTCTGTTCACCACACCACGGTCCACACACCATTCAGAACCCCCCTCCATCCTCCATCCTTCCACGTTTGATTCCCAGATTCAGATGTCCAAACAACAAAGGCACAGTCTCCGCCTCCACACGACGCATAGGGATATTGTGACCTGGGCGTGTAAAAGGATCCGCCAAGAGGAAATTCCCAGGACAACCCTTGAATTGAAAAAAATGGCCCAGAAACCTCAAGCTATGCTTGTCGTGGTTTGCCACCACCGTTATCTAATCCATCCACACCTCGGTGTTTGACAGCCTATCTCGCACCTCAGCGGAGAATGTTTGTATTAACATACTACTACTGATGAGCGGCGTAGCGGTTGACATGCATGATGCACTGTTCATCGAGAACTCGCCGCTGTGCCGAGGTGATCTATTTTCCCACTAGCTGGGATGAAAGCCTCATCGGCCTAACTAACCTCAACAGCCTGACAAACCCCATGAATGCGGTTTGAGTCGCGTCTCACCGCCTCCCCTACGATGTCCTGCGCGCCAATCGCTACTTGGTGTCGTCAGTCCTGAGTCCTTACTCGATCCTGTGGCGAGGTTTACTGCAGACACCAGCCCCGTGACCCTCACCGCTCGGGCATGAGGCACCTTATCAACAATAAGGCTGAGATTCTCATAGAAATGATGCTACGACATGTTATGGCCGGTCCACACGGTCGTCGGATCTGGGGCTTGGGTGCTAGTCGTCCAGTTTCGACAATTTCTACACTGTGTTGATGTATGCTGGATACTTTTGAAAGCCATCTACACAAGTCCGATGCATCTCATATCGCTCATTTCTCCCGTTCATTTCTCATTCTCCCACCCCTTCTCCACGTATACATATCTTGACTTCCTGCTCTTGAACTTTCCATTCCTATTCTTCTGATCGATCTACCTAGGTTCCATATTCTCGACACTCCTTAGCTGCTCTGGTACACGGCTTTCCCTTGCGCGTCCAAGACTTCTCTGCCAGTCCCTTCTCGTTGTTTGAGACCACTTCACCTTCAGGGTCTCCCATATTCTGAGGCCCCGCAAAGCTGACAACCACTGTGCACTCACGCCTGCACATATCCAATCCCCATCTCATTCATCTCGCTAGCTTGGAGACTAGGCTAGTTGTCAGCCACTGACAGGGTCCATTACTGGAATCACAATGGCGTCCTACTGCCACATTCCCGCTGCCTATCCTAGCAGTCTTTCGGTTCCAGGCCCATTAGATCAAGGAACCGAGCAACTCCTCGCTAGGCTGTTTGAGAACGCCAATTTCAGCGCCAATGCAAACTTAATTCACGACAGTCTGAGCCTCGATAACAACACGTGGAATTCTTTCACCTTCATGCGTTCCAAACCATTCGCTTACACTTACTACACGAACATCACCCAAGTGCCACCACAGGACATCTTCCAAATCATCTCGGACCTTCGAAATAGCTCCATCTGGCAGCCCAGATCGCCCCATACTATCGAGGTTCTGCGCCGTGTGAGCAATAGGATAGCAAGCCAACATCTTGACCCTGGAGGATCCGGCTCATCCTCACAAGGAAGAGCATTCCCTTTGACTTCGTCCACCTCATCATCCTACCACCTCCACCCAAGAGACATCCAGTTGACTCATCGGACGGACTCAACTCACAACGACATAGACTCCTTTGCCGGCAATACTGCTCCGGACGGCTGGAGATTCTTGTGTGATGTCTGTGCATTGGCGGGTTATCGCAAAGGCTATGTCCGCCGAGGACAATTCCGCGCACATATGAGTCGGAAGCATGGCCGAAAGACTTCTTCTGAGGACAATTCTTCTTTGACAAGAGTATCAACAAGTGCCTCCCCTGGGGAGGCAGCATCCAGGGACAGCCTCGACATGGGCATACCCACTATCCAAGAGCCGCATGGAGCTTCATTTAGCCCCCGTCCAGAGACGGTTCTAGCAGATGTGGTCCAGTGTAGAGGCCCAGAGATTCACATCGAGTCGCACGACAATCATGATTTGGCCCCTCCGAACCATCCTTACTACGACAACTATTTTCACCCTGGCTATTTACATCAGTGACTGGAGTGCTACGGTGTTTTCCGCAAGTCATGTGGGCTACTGCAGCAATGCTTTGACTGGTCAGCACCAACAAAGCCGGTGTCCGTCCAAAGTCATGAACTTAACATCGATGTCGGCTTTTAACCTACTTCCTGATGATGCTAGTTCTCGACGATTGACACAGCATTGTGCGATTTCAAGTTCAATGATCTTCTTACATGTTTGTGCTGATCGCTATCCATCAGTGGAACCATAGTACACTGGGCATCTTGGGGCCTTATCTAGAACCAGCTCGTTTGACGTTTTATTCGGCTTTCTTGCCAACCTTGGCATGTCTTATACCTGACTTCGTGGGCATTCGAACGGGAGAAATATGGGCGGCCCACAGAAGGAGTTTGTTCAAGTTACCGGCACAGCAGGTTGTCTGTTTTTCGAATTTGGAGTTACAAAGGCGCCCCCCCTGTACTAACAGTCTTTGCAAGACCTGATATACCCTTGTATATATAACGATTCGTGAATGCTGGTTGGGACATGAGGTATAGATATAGCCACATATAGGATGCGATGCTTTAATACATCATTTTACTGCAGCTCACTGTATCACGTCATGACCCAGCTGCGGACATTGATGGTTATTGTAGAGCTAAAGGATAAGGATCAAGAGCCTCGTCCAGGGCAATCAAGTCTTCGGTCTCTGCATCGATGGGCGCGACGAGGGATTACACTTGACCCTAGCAAAAGCGGGGTCGGAGCATAGACACCATATTGTCAGTCACTTGTTATTCTCATGCAACTGAGCGCAGGCGACACGCCGTATACGACCACCATATCATTTGGTCAGGCATAAGTTGCGGTCGACTACTGCCACCATCGCCATCGACGCTGCCGTGTGTACTCTATTCACGATTCGGTGCCGGAGAAGACGGCAGACGGCTCCCATGTCCAAGACCTCGGAGTTGTGCATGGCCCGCGTACCCTCCTAGCCAATCAACAACGAGTCGATCTAACTGAGAGCGTGTCTGGGACAGCCGAGCAATTACATGGTAATCTAGGTCGGTGCCTCGGTGACTCGGCATCTGTTGTTTCTCCGCCTCACCCTGATCCTTGAGTGAGTGCGGGGAGTTGAGGTTGATGGTTGCTTATATTGCAGAGTGGTGCCATGGATGAACTTTTCTGACATTGTCTTCTGTGTGTAGTGCTGTCAGCCCACCTAAAATCTCTCTATCGACTGTTGATTCCTACTCAGGCTACGACGACTTTGAAGGAATCTGAACCTCGACAATACTTTACTCCCTTGCCACTCAACTCGAACATCTACCGCAGACATGGCACCCAAAAACCAGACCAACGCCTACGTGATTGGCGTGGGCATGACCAAGTTCATCAAGCCTCGCCGTCTTCGTCCATACACCGAACTCGGCTTCGAGGCCGGAGCAAAGGCCCTTCTTGATGCTGGCATTACCTATGATGATGTTGAGACCGGTGTTGCCTGCTACTGCTACGGCGACACTACTTCTGGACAGAGAATCTTCTATCAATTCGGTAATAGAAGGTGGCCCCCTGTGATGACAAGGCGGTTGACTAACATTATTCAACCTAGGCATGACCAACATCCCCATTTATAATACCAACAATGCCTGCGCCACAGGTTCAACAGGCCTCCAGCTCGCTCGCACCCTGGTCAGAGGTGGTGTCATCGACTGTGCGATGGTCATTGGCTTCGAGACAATGAACCCTGGTAGCATCAAGTCCGTCTGGAACGATCGGCCGAGCCCCATGGGCTTGAGCACCCAAATGATGGAGGAGACCTATGGAAAGCACGAGTCCCCCCGGAATGCCCAATTCTTTGCCAACGCAGGCAGAGAATATATGGAAAAGTAAGTCGCAATTGTCCATCCTCCTTGGATCCACTACACAAAAGTCCGCAAGCAAGCAGGCCAGAGAAAATCAGGACTTACTAACTTTCTATTCCTGCAGGTATGGAGCCGAGGCACGTGATTTCGCTGAGATTGGACGAATCTCTCACGAGCACTCCTCGCGAAATCCTTATGCGCAGTTCAACGATGTGTACACCCTGGAACAGATTGAAAAATCACCTATGATCCACTACCCAGTCACCAAGCTGCAGTGCAGCCCTACCTCGGACGGTGCCGGTTCTGCCATTATTGTCTCACAGGCGTTCCTCGATGCCCGACCTCATCTCAAGTCAAAAGCGGTCCTGATGGCAGGACAGAGCATTCAAACTGACTCGCCAGCTTTATACTCGAAGAGCGCCATGGACTTGGTCGGATATCAAATGGCTAAGTCGGCCGGGGCAGCCGCATTGGCCGAAGCCGGGGTTAGTCCCCGAGATATCAAGGTCTGCGAGATGCACGACTGCTTTAGTGCCAACGAGTTGATTACGCTAGAAGCTCTCGGCTTCTGTGACGTCGGCAAGGCCCATGAGATGGTCCGTAAGGGAGACATCACCTATGGTGGCCAGGTGGTCATCAACCCCTCTGGTGGACTCATTTCCAAGGGTCACCCCTTGGGCGCTACAGGCCTTGCCCAATGCTGTGAGTTGACATGGCAACTTCGAGGCTGGGCCAACAATGGACGTTTGGTCAAGAACGTCGACGCGGCGTTGCAGCACAACTTGGGCCTGGGTGGTGCCGTCGTCGTGACCGTATATAAACGTGCCGATGGCAAGAAGAATACCGACGTCTCCGTCAGTGATGCTGAGATTGCCAAGTCGAGTGGTCTGGGATATAATCCTGCAGTTGAGATTAGACCCTTGACCAGAGCGGATGCTGAGAAGGTCAGGAGTAAAGACCACAAGTCCGAGTATGCGCTGGGTGATACTCCGGACAGACTGCAGTCCCGACTATAAATGGTGGTGGTCTTGGTGCCGTCAGAAGATACCATGTTAATCAAATTGTAAAAGATTCCCTCACTGATTATCTTTTCCAAGCCTCTGTAACTCAAGGGAGTAAGATTTCCAAATCATGTGCAACCGCAGCCTCAATTCACGTGACAAAATTTCGTATCACGTGATACAAGCATACAAAGCTTCGACCCTGCACCTTCCCACAGTCCCAGTACTTGGTACATACTCCGAACTCCGTACTCCGTACTCCGCACTCCACACTCGCCACTTTAAGCCAACTTGGCTAATGCGTCGCCAATCTTTGACAAGACACAGCCGAGGTCATGGTCGTCCCTTGCCCCTCGCTCTTTCCCTATCAAATGCCAATCATGCTCCTGCCTCCCACCCCGCTGATCCAGATCACGAGATCACGAGATCGTCTCCCCCCATGTCACTTCTGCGCCCTCTACACCCTCCATTGAAACCTTGCACCATCCGTGCCACCACATCATATTTCTCCGGCAAAAGCTTCTGGTTGATGTCATTGCCAAACTCAACTAGCTCTACCAAACTCGGGCACATTATGGTCAACTTTTTCCGAAGCTTGGTTCACAGCTGTTGCTGGCCAGTGAGAAGCCGGTTTTTGTTAAATGCCTGCGGTACCACGCAGTTTCACATGTGAGTTACTCTCTTTTGCTGTATGTGCTTGTTGCATGATTCCCCAGCTTTGAAACGTCTGTTACTCATCATGTTGGCTCTTGTCGTTGCTCTCTGTGCACTATGGCTTCAAACTGTCTTTGTCGCTGCTCAAGACAGCTGTCCTGCGGTCACCCAGCATCTCAGCGACCCGCCCTACGAGAACTTCTTCTACTCGGATTGCAACAGTGACACCCAAGTCGTCGTCACCAGTCCTCTCCCGGAGTCCAATCTCTCCATAATTGGCCCAAGGCTGGTTGTCGCCTGGCCTGCGGGAAACAGTGGCATCTGTACCTTTTTTCAACCCTCCAATGGTCGAAATGGCTCATTGTCCATGACACTCGTCAACTCCACCCTCGGAAATCCCCTCTCCCCTGTGTTCCGAAATGCGTCGAATAGTTCAGATTACCCCGTGGTTGGTGTTGAAGGCGTGTTGCTCTTCAACAGCTCCGCCACTCTCACCATTCCAATTCTGGGGAGCATCAGAACAATTCGAGATTTCACAGAGGGGCCAAGCCTTCTACAAGATGTCATACAAGATGCCATTAACCTGACAAGATACGAGAGAACGGGCGCCTCGTATTCAAGACTCTGGCTTGACAATGTCACCACCTCCACCTTCACCATTGTCCCTTTCGGTAATACCCAAACAAATATCTCCATCGATGCGGAAAATAAAACCATCGATTTCGGGGCTGGTTTCTATTCCTTTTCCGCCAGCTTCAACTATCCCCAATTGACTCAGTTATCGCCAGACGAGGTCTTGAATGAAGCATCCGCAAGTCTTATTGACCAGCAACCTGACCAAACAACATCTTTGTCATTCTTATCATATTCTGAAAAACTTCTGGCCGGAGCATGGAGGTTCCTTACATACTTTGGTCGAGACAGCATGATCAGTGCCTTGCTTTTGGAGCCTGTTCTTAGCCAGGGAAATGGCTCTGCAACTGAAGCCGTCATTGGGGCTGTCCTTGAACGCATCAATCGCACCGACGGCTCCGTGTGCCATGAGGAAACTATTGGAGACTATGCTACATTTCTCAATCGAGAGGAAAACATTACCAGCACAGATCCTGGGTTCACGTATCCAATGATCGATACGGATTTCTTCCTTCCCATCTTGATGCAGCAATACTTCAATCACAGTCCTGACCGAATCGAGCCTCTCATGAGCCGGGATGCTGGAACCTTTGACCCTGATAACGACGGGCTGACATACGGCAACTTGACGCTGATAAATGCCGAGAAAATAATGAACATTACAGCCCCCTTTGCTCGCAACCAGACAGAAAATAATCTGATCCATCTCAAGCCTGACGAGATCGTTGGCCAGTGGCGAGACTCAACTTATGGTCTTGGAGGTGGTCGAATCCCCTTTGATGTCAACACGGCTTTGGTTCCTGCGGCATTACGTGCAATCGCCCTACTCGCCCGCACAGAAGGCGTTTATGCCAATGACACCCGAGTCAACACCAGCAACTGGGCAACACTGGCGGACACCAATGCTCAAATCTGGGAGGAAGAAACATTAAGGTTTTTTGAAGTAAACATCACGGCAGATGATGCTCGAGACCGTCTGGACAGCTTCGTCAACTCCTCAACCTTTTACAACGGACCTACTAACGACTCATCCTTACCGGAAGATGGCAATATCACCACCTACGCAATTGCTCTCCAAGGATATGACGATCTTGACTCGGTCGACGTTTTGCACAGTGACACAGCATTTCGACTGTTCTTCCTCAACGCATCATCATCGACGCCCGAGGCAGAAGCCCAAGAAACGCGGTTCATCAATGCCACTGCGGATAGTCTGGTGCGGCCATTCCCGGCAGGATTGTTGACCCCGCAGAGCATGGTGGTGGCCAATCCAGCACTTTCGGGTTCAGACGTATTAATGGAGAACTTCACTAACTCTGCTTACCACGGAACAGTAGTGTGGTCGTTCCAGCTAGCCATGATGGCCAAAGGTCTTGAACGGCAGCTCGCGCGGTGCAATACGACGAGATATGTGGTGCCTGACAATAGCACTCGTACACCCGCCTGGTGTGACGACGAGACCGTGGAGCCTAATGTCCGTCGAGCCTACAACGCACTGTGGGATTCAATTGACGCCAATGCCGCACAGTTACAAAGCGAAGTCTGGAGCTGGACGTATGACAATGACACAGCCACTTACACCACCACTCCGCTCGGCGCCTTACCACCTCCTCCAGGCGTCAGTTCCGGGACCGAAAGTAATGTTCGTCAACTTTGGAGCCTGACTTTTCTTGCCGTCACCAGAGATGCCAGTCTCGCGTGATTGGCGAGGGCAATTTTGGCTGGCTTTGGAATGATGACAGATAGATTGGTGGTGGTCTACTGTTTGCGACTCGAGGCCGTATGTGGCTGGTCACTCTATATCTGCAATCAGTGTATATGGGCAAAGTAATCCAATAATACAGTGTTCTCAATGACGTTATCAATCGTGTTGGTCCACTAATGATACCCGAGTAACGAGTACAAAGTGGATACATGTCTACAGGCGATGCTTGACTTGGAGCACAAAGATGATTTCACAAACAAAACTACACGTTTCAGCACGTATGAAGTTTGGATGGTTTCTCCCATTTGGGTCGATCCTATGTCTGTATGCATGCGTGGTTAGGACATTTGAGAACGACTGACTTTCCAACACCCCTTTTCAGTCTCAAGCTCCGTCTCTGTCTCTTTGGTATGCGGAGGCATGCCTTGCCCACCCTCTGATAATCCTCTGACTCAACTATTCCTTTGGATTCAATCCTTTCTTTCTCTTTTGCCTTTCCACTTTCTTGACTTCCAATCGATCCCAAACGAGGACAGGGTCACAGGCCTAATCCTCGTCTCGGTGTAGTATGACAACGTTGCGCTTTTGGTCCGCATGTCCCCTTTTCGAACCCCATTTCCTGCATTCATGTCCCCAAATCCATTTTCCAAGTCCTTGCCCCGTGGGTGTGTGTATTTGTCCACGAGCGAGCAAACTGCCTCTTTGAAATGACAGCTACTCCTCCCTCTCTTCTTGACCATGAACAAAACCCCCGCCTCACAAATCAATGACCTCCGTAGCCTCCGCACGAGTTTGTGTACCCAGCGACCCCTTCTCCTTCTCCTCTTCCTGTTCCTTGCCCAACCTTCTAGCCAAAGTCAAGACACAATCATGCGCCACTACTTTCCTGACACATTTGAGATCTCGACACCCGTAAATGGTCCGAGGTAACTGAGTTTCCAAATCCTTCGAGTGTGGAAATGGACCTTCGCCGTCGAATTCCTCCGGATCATCAAGGAATGCCATGTGGTGGATATATGCCCAGTCTCTCCCTTTGTATGACGTGGCGTCGATTTTCGGATCGGTTACCATGGGCCGGAACTGGCCTGCGTGTCTCTTTTGTGGCGATGCGTCCGATTGTGGTGACTCCGGAGAGTCGGAAGACGGAGAACTGGCTTGACATGTGCGTTTGTTGGAAACAGGAGATGATGCCTCGGAAGGAGCGGGTCTGGTCTTGCTGTGTTGTCGTTGATGACCATGAGCCTTCGAGTTCTTGCTGTTGTTCTTGTCGTTGCCAGTCTCAGTCTCAGTCTCGGGTTTGGTTTCGCTAGAGGAGGCCTCGTTCTTGGTGAGGTCGTGTGGACGCTCGGGAGAAATTGGCTCCAGGGACAACACCTCCGTGAGAGTGCTGGGAATGTTGTCGAGGCTGAGATCAATGTCTTCGAACACTGCATTATTGTCATCATCATTGTCATCATCGGAATTAGAACCTTCTTGGGAGGTCGCCGTGCTCGATGCTGGAGATACTCGCTTCGGTGGAGTTGTTGGGTTTTCAAACTCCGTATCCTGTTCCTGGGCGCTTGTTGTTGAGACCTGGTCGCTTTCATAATCGTCATCACTCTCCGACGGGGTTTCATCATCTGATTGCTAGTCAGACTCATCCCCAGAGTCATTTCCAATCATATCCGAAATGCGAACCTCGTTTGACAACCTTGAAGCAGGTCTTGGCTTTGAAGCTTGGGTGTTGATGACTTGAGCCAACGGCGACGGCTTCATCTTGAAAGCTCCCGGATGATATCTCGAAGAAGGGATCTGGGCCGATTGTAGCTGGGCGTATCCCGCAGAAGAAGAAGTCGAAGGTCTGTATGGTGGTGATGGCCTGTTTAGATTGATCGGAGTGTCTAGGGTGGCAGCGACACTCGGAGGCACCGGCTTTCTGTGTTTTGGCGAGGTCTTGAAAGAAGTGGCATTGGGGACGAACGCCGGGCTGATGACATTTCCGCTTTCATCTTTGAGGGTTGAAAGCGGAACTGATGTGGATGGTGTTTCGGTGGCCGTAGGAGCGCTCTGTGGTTTTGGGGGTTTTTGCAGTCCAGTTGAAGCAATCTTCGGGCTATGATCAGGTTGATCATAGCATGGTGAATGACTGGACGCCGTTTCGAGGTGCCCTTGACCTATGACTTGGTTAGTTGGAGTCTCTGGAGTGGGCATCACAACTAACCCAGTCTTTGGTGGAGGCAACGCTCGAACAGCCCTCCGCTCCAGATCAGCCGCGGAAGCCCGAGGAGCTTGCCTTCCTTCATCCCATGCCTTTTGCGTCTTTTCTTCAACAGCCCGGTCATTCACCGTACGGGCTGTATAGGCCTGGTACCAGGACATCGCGCCGGCCCGCCCATACCTCGGAGTGGCCGTGTCATCGACCACTGAAAAGCCTGTAACGGCTGGTGGGCTCATAAAGCTGGTGCCCGAAGACTGGGCATTGTTCTGGTTTGACCCAAAGCCTTCCAGGGTCAAGGTATGTTGAAACGGCTGCAGAGTGGCCGGTCTGAAGGCATCTTGGGTTGATGCCGGTTGTTTAGGAGGGCCTTGATTGTTTGACCCTCGGAACATGTCGAAGATTGAGGGAGCGGGCTGAGCCGCTGGAGCATCCTGATCCGTCATGTTATGGTCAGGAGAATGAACCTGACCTTGTTGCTGGCTCTGATCCAGCAAGGTGAGACCGGGAATGACCACCGCTCCGCTGTTTTGTTGGGCGTTGCCAAAGCCCACGTTCCCAAACCCTGAAGTCTGGTGGCTCTTTGGAATGCCACCAAACCCGGAATTTTCAAGGGCGGAAGGCTGGTTGCTGCCAAAACCAGTCCTTCCAAACGAAGAGACGCTCCCAAAGCCGTTGTTGCCGATAGCAGAGGGCTGGCTACCCTGCTGCTGGCTCCCGAAGCCTGTAAATGGGCTTGATTGGCTAGCCTGTTGTTGGCTGCCCTGCTGTTGGCTCCCAAAGCCCGAAAACTGGCTTTGTTGTTTGGTCTGAGGTTTGCTGTCAAAGACAGTAAACCCCGAGCCTGGTTGAAAGGGCTGAATCTTTGCCCCAAACAACCCAATCGGGGTCGCCCCGAATAGCCCAGCTGACTTTGTGTCAGCGTCTTCACCGTCGAGATCCATTTTGGTATCTCGTATCTGGTCAGCAGCGCTCTGGGGCGTTGCCCACCTGCTTGCCTCCAGGCCAGGAGCCTTCTTGGCCACCGTTGAGGCCAGCTGGGCGCGGGCTCTGTCCGCGGCCTTGAGGTTTTCGAGCTCAAGTTCCAGCTTCTTGAGCCTCTCTTCCCGCGCCTCCACCGCCGACCGGGCTTGGTCGCGCTCCTCCTGCACCTTTGTGCCCAAGGCCATCAGGCGGGCGACCTCTGCCTTCTCCTGGGCCAGGAGCGCAGTCAAATTTTGGTCCTTGGCCTTTTGCAAGGATTCCTCCAACTTGGCGATCTTGGCCTTTTGGAGAGTCACCACTTTGGCGGCTTTGGCCGTGGTTTCTTCGACCTCCTTTTTGCTGGCCAGGACTTCTTCTTGTGCCTGGCTCTTGACCTTTTCGATCTCCTTGGATTTGGCTGAGATCTCTTTCTGCGCCATCCTCTTGATAATTTCGATCTCCTCACCTCTGGCGGTGAGGGCTTGCTGGGAGGTGGTCGCTGTCGAAGCTAGAGCCTTGAGTTGCTCTAGCTCTGTGGATTTGGCAGCAAGCTCTTGCTGCATTGCGAAGGCGGCAGAAGAGACCTGCTCGGCTCTTGCGTTGGCCTCATCGAGCATGGCCTTGATGGCCTTCAGATCATCCTGGGGTTGCTGCTGTGCAGCCGAAAGGGAAAGACGGAATGACTCCTCCAACTCAGACTGCTTCTGTTGAGCGGCAGCATGCTTTTCTTCGGCAAGTTTTCTGCCGAGTCGTTCCTTTTTGGTGGCCTTTTCAGCTTCTGCTAGCTGAGAGCGCACCGAAACAACAGCAAGTCTTTCTGTTTCACCGTCTTGCATTTCACGGTGGAGTTGGTGGCGGAGCTCGTTGAGTTGGCCCTGGAGTCTGTCGATCTGTTTGCCTTTTGACTCCAGTTGGCAGGTGGACTCACGCAAAGACTCACGGGCTCTCTCATCGGCCAATTCGAGCTGTTGAACAAGTTCCAGCTCTCTGGAGGAAGGAGCACCGGCGGCAGTTCCCTGCACGCTGCTTTCAGGGGAGTAAGGGACCTCGAAGCGGTTTTGCTGGGAGCGGGTGTCGAGGAGATCGGACTGCGGATATTGTCTGCGCAGAACTGCAAGTGCCAGTCTGGTCTTTGGCCATTTGGATTCTTCAAACACTTGGCGCGGGTCGACTACCGTGCCAAACAAGATGTCTAGCAAGAGTTCGGCAGGGGGGGCGTTTGCATGAAACTGCTCGATATGAAGAATGGCGACGCCTGCGCTGAGTGCGATGGTCAGGTAAGAAACGTAGACGATCATAATGAAGAGCCGAAAGATGACAGAAAGCGGGAACCCGAAGAGCCAACAGATCCAAGTCACGCAAGTCGAAGACGAGGCGGTCCAGCTTGATCTGTCGAAAAATTGTCCGCACGTGATGAAGTACCTGTCAAGCCACAAACGACTCTCCTCAACAGGAGGCAAAGGAAGCGTGGGGAACCTGCAATTGACTGGAGCCGTAAACATCTCGGACTGTTGTTCTTCGAGCCCTTGTTGTCCTTGTCCTTGTTCCTGCTGTTGTTCTTGTGAGGACGACGGTGCGATGCGCTCGCGAAGATATAGGAGAACACGCAGCAGGGCCATGAACGACGCAACAATGATGAAGATTTCCAACTGAGAGAGTATGTGGCCATTGTATGCCAAACCAGGTTGAACTTGAAGACGAACTATCTCAGATGGAGGCATCCGCATGTTGTTTGAGTCGAAGAAACCGGGAGTCGACGAAGGACTGAACGTGGAGAAGCCTATGGTCGTGGTTGTAGTAACCGTTGACGTGGTTGTTGCCGTTACGGTTGTGACAAAGGGGCGAAGGACCGAAGACGCAGTTGGTACCAGAGATGTCGTTGAGCTGGAGAAGGCAGAGAGAACTGCCGTGGCAAAGGTTGTGGCGGAGGAGGATGTCGCTGGCAGCGACCTCTGGTAGGCAGGGGGCATGAGGCTCTGAATGAGCCACGAGGAGGCATCACGAACAGCCCAAGGGGCGTTGGTGATGAGGTGAGCAATGGCGCTCACCAAGGTGATGACGTGGTTGATTCCCCACGCCATTGTGATATCGGTTATGAGAGGTTAGGGAGAAAAAGGAAAAGGTTGAAGGTGGATTGGTAGAGATCTGTGAGACCTGTGAGATCCTCTGGAGAGCGAGAAGAATTTGATGAGGGAGAAGATGAAGATGAAGATGATAGGGATTGTGGGTATGATGATTGGAAGAAGAAGAAGAAGAAGAAGAAGAAGAAGACGATGATGATGATGAGTCTCTTTGACAGTCAGAGTCCTTGAGATCTTGTGGGTTGAAAGCTGTGTGTGAGTGGGAAGAAAATGGGAGGAAGAGTGGAAGGACGGGTAGAAGAATAAATAGGCAGGACGAGAGGCAGATCTGGGGTGTGGCAGTGAAGTAAAGAGAGACGTGTAATAAGTGAAGTGACTCGATTATTGAGACAGTGAATAGTAGTATTGTTTTCGTGACGCGACTGAAGCGTCTCGAAGTGAAGTGACAGAGTGGAATTATGACTGACCTCCATCCAGCAGGCTGGGATTCTCCCTTCACGTCACCCACCGAGGTCCTGGCATCCCATTCATGCTTCCCCCTTGTCGTAACGATCTGATTTATTTTTATATACCGAGTGAAGACTCCATGATGCTGGTGAGTCAACTCGAGTCTGAACAGTGAAGACGATTCCGAACCAGGGACACTTCACTTGCATCCAGGGACGGGGACACTGGCAGAATTGATTTCTCTTGCATTTTGCTTACATTGGCAGAAGCAGACTTTATGTCTGATCCAGTCTGTTTGCTTGATCCAGATCATCTCCCGAAACAAAGTCAATGCAAACCGGGGTCTGGAAACTCCGACAGTGCATTTTACCCAGAATTTGCGTGAGGTGTCTGCTCGACAGTAATGTGGTAACCTTCTCACCACTTCGCGCTCTCATTCATGTAGTGAAGGGACGATGTAAAGTAATCTCGAGGGCAAACAGCGTTGTTGTCGCCTGTAACGCGTGCCTGGACGCGTTCCTGGAATCCTCCATCTTGTCGCCTTGCACAGGTCGATGACCATCTCTGAGAGGGTCCTGCGACTGAGTATGGACTCATAATCGTGTCCAGAACATGGAATCATTCATGATGAAGTATAATAGGACTGAAAGAATGGAACAAGTTTCATCGTATTGCTGGGATTTGAAGGTATGTCGTTGGAATGGCCTTGGCGTATTAGTCACGTGTGATACGTCACGTGGGTCTTGTCTTTCCTGACTTCGCTTCGCTACTTGATTTGATGTCTCTTGATCTCTCTGCCGTCGACATCGTCGCTGATAGTCTCAAGGAGACAAAGCAGAGCACCAGACCTATCCAGTACGGGTATCTGAGACCAGATACACTATCATCCTCAAAGTGTTGTTCATCATACAACCGCTACTCTTGTTCCTTGCACTGCATGATTTCACAACTGCTCCTGATCCAGCAACCTCCATTCCCACCTCATCAAACTGCGAATTTATTGTTGATCGTCTGACTGATACAGCATGGATCACATTCCCTCTGATCTTCCTCCCCAGATCTCGGCCTACCTCCAAGCAGTCAACACCTCGACCATAGCTCCCGGGGATGACCTTGACGTCTTCTTCCACTGCTGGATTAAACCACATTGCCCAGCATGTCTCTCTCCGTCCAACAAGTACCCGTGCTCCTGGTGCGCAACATCCCAGGCATGCGTCCCCAATACCGTCTATGATTACCCTTTTGGCATCCTCTCTCCCCTGAAAACCGACAAGCTATGTCCGCTCGGTTGGCGGGAAAGGTGGGAGTTGAGAGCTCGCCCCTTTAGTTGTCGATGCTCGAGTATGACTTTTGTCAGTGTTGTTGTAACTGTTGTGGCGACATTGCTGAGTCTATTGTTGATCATTTTGGCTGTCATTGCCGGCAGATGGTTGGGCAGGAAATGGAGGGCGAGAAAGCCCGGTTGGTGGAGGGTTTCATCCTGGAAACCTCGTTGGCTGAAGTCCTCGACGGCGGACGCTGGGACTTCTACGGGTACAGAGCATGAAGGCAATTCCAACGACGAAACAAGACCTCTTCTTGCCTGAAATTTTGTTTGGGGTAACTGCACATTCCTACGGTGGTATACTAGTCGACTGGGCAGCCTCCTCGTCGGCCACCGTGTTGCCACTTCCTATGCCCTTGCAAACCTGACTGATTCGATACTCAGCACTCAACCCATTTCCATCCAGAATGAATCTGCCTGCACCAACAAATATCGCCTCCTCGAGTGGCTTGAACCGGGAGGCTCCCGTTTCGAATGTCACGTGCATGACTGCGGTGGGCGGACATAAGATCAGCCTCCCTCCACCAGCAAGTGGATATCGGAAAACCTACAAGAACTCCCGAAATCAGTCGAAGCCGCATTGGGACTCATTCCCAGGATCCGTCGCATCTCGTTGTTGATGTCGATGATGCCTGTATAGTGAATATGTATGGTCTCGAAGTACCAGTCAGGATCAGAAGGGGACATGTCTTGGATGCTTTGGCATTTGCATACCTCTCGAAGCCCATCTCTTCCTTCACTTGATGGCAGAACCAACTCGATATGTTAGTGGTCGATCTGGCCAATCTCGCCCACAGATGTATCGATGACAGACTCACCCAACGACCAAATCACTACTCAGCCGCATGCGCCGTCCGTCAGGGTCGTTGTGGACATAGTCGACACCCTGGCCACGCATGTGGGCGTTGATGAGGATGGGAAATCCGGGTTCGGATGTCAATGAGGCGTCCACCAGTGGAACCACGGTCAAAGGATTGCCGCGGGAGAGACTACCGACCTGCGTTGCCGGACCGATCAGGACACGCAGGTGCAGGGCTGGTTTGAGGGAAGGGTGGTCGGAAATGGTAGAGGGGCGCGAAGATCTGGCCCTGGAGATTTCTGTGGCCTCGGACGTAGGTGATGACATGATGTTGGCAGATGTCTAGACGTAGTGGTATATGTGGATGGTTGTTATTTTTGAATACTTTTGAGCGCCTCCGATAAACCAGTGGTCCAAGCATTAGGCTCTGCTGCATTCCAAGAGTTGCTTTCTTCTAGAAATCAGATCGATCGTCGCCTGTAACGAATGATGGCCTCGTTGGTCCTCGTTTGCATTACAACCTCATCACAGCCATAGCTTCCTCCGATCTGTGTGGTCAGGCTGTGCTGCTGTTCTTCTGATCGTTCGGAATCAAGGGGAGCGTTTCTTGAGAATAATCAATAGATCATGTCGTGGTCAACGAAGGACTGGAGTGAGCAAAGATCGAAGATGGTCCGCCGTGACCCCGCACGGGGCCGGGGCGGAGAAATATAGACGTTGGACAAGATATATCATGTAAGCCATGAGGATATATTTAAATCATGTTTGGGATAGGACAAGTACTCCCAGCAAAGGTAGCTGTTGGTACATTCTATTCGTCTGTGTTTATATACGTAGATGTCGTTAAAGTCGTAGCAGCAGCAGTACCATCATCATCATCGTTGCTGTCGCCACACAAACATTAGATCACGGCAGATCATCACCTCCAACCACCTACTCTGCCTTCATCCCAACGAGCCCTCATCTCTCTACGCCTCTCCAGTGTCGTAGCGCCCTCTCTGATCCTCCTGACCCACTCACTGACCTCCTTCTCACTGGCCTTATTACCACCTGGACCGGGTACACCCCCATAGTACCCCGCGGCTCCATCTGCCACATCGTCGCCGCCAGCACCATCCAAGAAACTCTCCTGGATGGCCTTGAGCAGATTCTCCTGCTCGCTGATACTTGACAGTAGTCTCTGATACATCTGCCGAGGACCCCACGGCGCCAGAGCATCATCCATCTCCGTCTGCTTGCGGCGCCATTGCGTCTGCAACGATGTGTGATTGAGCATCAGCTGTGCTGTCTCATCCCGTAGTTTCCGAACTTGTGCCTCGAGCTGGGAGACCTGCTGTGCCACTTGGATGTTGCCCTGGATTGCGTTTTGCAGCGGAACCATTGACGATGCGTATGAGGGGTGTGTTGAAGCCAGCGACGCAATCAACATAGGGTTATTGAGTAAAGATTGGAGTTCCGTGATCGGCTTATCCGTGACTTGTGAGGGGAGCCATCGATCCTGTAGGGTGGGCGGGGGGATGGGCGTGTATTGTGGCTGTTGCTGCTGGGTAGATGACGGCAAGGGTGTCGAGCTGGAGTTTGGACTGGAGACGGGGATTGGAGGTTGTGGTCGTGGAGAATGGGTCGCTGCTTGAGTAGGAAACGGTAAACCCCCGACTGTGGTTCCAGTCGGAGTAGATGAGAGTGCTGGTGTGCCACTTCGACTCGGGTGTTGGCTATGTGATGGTGGTTTTGGTGGAGGAGGAGGTGGTGTTGCCGTGACGGGTGACGGTGGGACAGATGTGGATGGGGGAAATCCAGCGGCTGGAGACGAGGTGTAGAAGGATTCCGACATGGCCTCAATAATGGAAGAGAGACACCTGAAACCGTGTGGATGCTAAGAAGAGGTCGAGGGTTTGTATCTAAAGGACTGGGTGTGATGTGATGCCTCGAGATGAATGCATGACCTCAACAAGGCTGGGCCGAGGGGCGAGGCTGGCTGCGCAAGGCTGAGGAATTATGCCGCTCCGATGTTTATCCGCTCCGCAGCGCAGTTTCTCTCTTTCCTCATTCTACAATTCTCCAGCGCCCGCAATCTCATCACACTCGCGTATATCCAGTCCATCTCTGTTCATTCTTCAATCATTTACCTTTATTTCCTCGGCCGCGTCATACAGAGGAGGACAACACCTGTCAGGACACTTAACCATCCACCTCCACAACCTCCAGGGCGACAGTGAAAAATGGACTACCAAAACCGGGCTGGATCGAAATTTGGCGGCGGCGGAGTGGCTTCACATTCAGCGACCAACGCCGACCGACGAGAACGACTACGAAAACTCGCTCTCGAGACGATCGATCTTGACAAAGACCCATATTTCTTCAAGAACCATGTCGGATCGTTTGAATGTCGGCTATGTCTGACAGTCCATCAGAACGATGGATCATACCTCGCCCACACTCAGGGTCGCAAACATCAGACCAACCTCGCTCGACGTGCCGCACGAGAACAGAAAGAGTTACAAAAGGATGGCCAGATGCTTGGGGCCGGAATGATGGGTGGAGTGCAGGTGCGCAAGAACGTAGTCAAGATCGGTCGACCAGGATACAAAATCACCAAGATCCGCGATCCCTTGACAAGACAAGTCGGCTTGTTATTTCAACTCCTCTACCCCGAAATCACGCCAGGCGTCGAACCAAAGGTCAGATTCATGAGTGCATTTGAGCAGAAAGTCGAAGATCCCCCAGACAGGGATTATCAGTACTTGTTGGTCGCCGCTGAACCCTACGAGACCTGTGGTTTCAAGCTGCAGAGTCGCGAAGTCGACAGGAGGGAGGGGAAATACTGGACTTGGTGGGACGCCGACGCAAAGGAGTTTTGGTGTCAGGTTCTCTTCAAGACTGAGCGTGACGAGAGGTATAGCAATGTCCCTGGCCTGGCTCCTGCTGGTAAGAGATAGGCAGACTTTGGAGACAAAATCACTGCCTCGACACACACAAACTGTACCAACATCTCAAAATCAGGAGCATTCAAAGCGGGATTCAGGCTAGTCTAGACGTTTTTACATATAATGATACCCAATGAGGATGATGTCAGCATCGACGGCTTCTATTCTCTTGTACTTATTTCTAAACCCCGTGATCTCCGTCCATGCCTCCCACCTTGTACCTTCGCAGCTCTTGGCCTTGTTCGAGGCTATTTTCACCAATGTCTATTCGAATCTTCACCATAATGGCCTATCTGAACAGTATTTGGAGAAGATGGCCTGGGCAATTGAAGAGCGGAAGGTTTATTTACTTGGTCTGGACGCAAACCCTGGTTTCAAACTCGCCCGCTGAGGCCCTGTGGCACAAAACACAACCCAAGCCGAGTAATTCAAGTATCTTACAGTTCTGCGGTCACCCAGGCAGGCATTTCTGCCACTAAATAGTCGAGAAGCAGGCCGACCACTATCCACTGGTTACACTGCAGATCTAGGGCGACAATTCGGCTCACGACGACTAGAGCCGACGTCGGTGTGTTTGTTGGCCAGAAGGGGGTTGCGTCTCCTCGAGGTTTGGGCAATCGGAACACCGCATGACAATGACAGCATTGTGCCAGTCGACGTAGGATGCCACTCTGGAATGCGATGGTAGCAAGACTGGCGAGAAGGTCGTCACGAGTCACAAAGGCTGGAGGAGGAGATCAGATCAGGGAGGAAGAGAAGATGAATGCTGAATATATATATGCTCGACTCTTCGATCCAGGCGCATGTTGTCTTGCATTCCGTCCCCAGTGATTAGCAATCATCATACCCATCAATTTGGGTGTCAATTCATGCGCCTTCGCTATGCAGTATCATGTACAGGTTGGAACAGACTCTTTACCGGCCCATTTCACTTCGTTTCGTTTCGTATCCTTGTGGTCCCAAGTCCAAGATGTTCATGTCCGGGTTGCCAAGGCATTCCGAAGTAGCACGACATCGCCGTATTCTGTGAGACTGAAATCTCGATCGACAATATTGTCCCAGGCTCGTTGCATTTCCTCCTGTGCCTTTTTGTTACTCCATCCCCAGCCTGGTCGTTCATCCCGCTCTCCTGAAGCACCTGGTTCCTCTCTTGGTTCCTGAGAAACCTGGTTGGTATTTTGGGGTCGAGCAGACTGGCGTGTGGCGGTCATGTTGGCCTGAGGATTGTTGCCGTTGGGTACGGTGACCTGAGGGATACTATCATCTGATTGAGGCTGCGAACGAGGAGGTGACAGTTCTCCGGGGGCGGCCGCATTTAGGTGGTTGTTTGCAGGAGTCTGTGGATCTTCGACGGGAAATAGGCTGTCATCCTCGTCGAGGTCTCCGACATCTCGAGATGGACCGGGGAGTGAAGGTGAGGATTCCGTGGAGGAAGTCATGGTCTCGTCAGGATCCATACTGTTTGACCGGCACAGTGAATAGTTGCCTATGCTATGAGTCTTGGATAGTGTGAAGTTAAACGTCTGGTCCCGATTCAATTCCTATGTCGTTCTTTGGAGGTTGTGAAGCGAGTGGAGGGACTGTCCCAGGTGCAGTCATTGTGATTCGCCGTAGTGTCTTAATGATCCGACCTATGATTTTGTGGGGAAGGTGCCACTCACATTGTGGTAATATGAGGCCCCCACCTGCCTGGACACTACGGAGTATATTCAGGCAACTAAAAGTAAACAGCGACTCACCATCGTCTTGTCCATATAACCATCTAAACATTCTGGGGCTCACCACAGTCTTGCTGCTGGACCACGGTCCTTGTGGTCAATCTAACGCGAAAGAATCGAGCAGCTAATCAATCAGAGACCAGCGGAATTACACGATGGCCGTTAATGTCCGAGGGACATAGAACTTCACGACGTACGCTGTCCTGGTAATATAGAAATAAGGTAATCGCCCCGGGGTAAATAGTAGTCACGTAGTAATATTATCAACAACTCTACCTAAGTAGGTATTGAAGGAATTCCATGCCTAGCTGCTTATTGCGGCACCAAATATACCGGCATATGCCTCACTAGACCTTAGGGAGTTCAATTCGCACCTTGTACTATCCGTTCCAATGCTATTTCACCGGGTATGTTGTTTAAATCTTCCCGCGCACCTCCTTGGAGGTCACTGACATGAGATTCGAGAGCGTAAGATCCTTGCCACATATCCTGTTTCTCCGTACAGTATCACCATCAAGATTCATCCTCCGCAGCAGACCAGAAACCAGCCCAGGCTCAACACCCGCACCAAGTAGGCGGGTTACACTGAGTGCCGCTGTACGAATCAATGTTGACACAATTCCAATAGTTCGTGCAAAGACTGTCGCAGTCGTCCGAGTCGTCGTCGCGTGGGAACACACCTTGGCTTGTAACCAGTGTTACACCCAAAAGTAGGAACAGCGACGATGTGAGGGCTTGAAGACGCATGGTGAGTTCTGGTGTGAGGTAAAGGAAAGTCTGAGGTTTTCGGTTGTTGTTATAGATGTCCAATGTGTTGTGTTATGAAATATAAAGCGGCTTGCCTCGTGAGCCCCAATAGGCTCGAGTTTTATTTTGTATGCTGACAATAGCGGTATCAAGTAGTATTGCACTGAGGGACAAGGAACAAACAAAGAACTCCGTGAAGAAGCCCCGGCTTAAGTATACTTGAACATGGAAGCTTCCCCCCACAGTCTCGCAGAGACAAGTTCAGACCGAGCTGGAAGACAACATCACTCCCGTCCTCTTGCAACACCCAAACCAGCATGGAATCAATCAAAGACCTGGAAGTCGATAGTGCGGCCTTGAAGTCGGCCGGCTAAATACCAAGCCCCCAGAATAGTAGATCTAGATCGTGCATCAGCCACCATGATGGCCGTGCGCGCCACGCTCGCATCAGATTGCATGGCACGAGAACACCCAAAATAAGGACATGACACAAGCTATATGCGGTTCTTGGCCAAGGAAGGTATACGTTTATCCAAAAGAAGTGATCGTGGGAAAAGACTGTCGATAGAATTATCAAGACTAATACTATCATTGAAAGGAGCTTTCAAGGGACAACACGCAAAAAAATAGGCCAACAATGACGACAGCAGGCAGGACTTCCCGCGTGCATGGACCCCTTAGGACGAATCAATAAGTATCTAAGCCGAAGAGTCATACCCAGCGACTGTCAAGTTATGCCTCTGAGCAGGCCGCCAGGTTTAGAGCCAATAGAAGGCTTACTAGTACTGCAACCCTTCTGTGTAGCTTGAGATTATGTATCAGACATTGGAGCCTATCCAAAAACACTGCTACAAGACAACAGAACCCTGCCATCGTCGGAGATTATCTCTTCTCTCGTTTTGTACCAGGAAATCTCGATAATTGTCGACAAATTCGACCAGAGCACGCATGAATTGCTCAACATGGCGGTCCTTTGTCTCAATACTCAGGGTTATGAAACCTCTCCTGGCGATGAAAATCCCCTGATCAAGCATGTGGTGATAGAATAAAGCTTTCAGAATTTCATAGTGTCGACCCCCAAAGTGAACTGCGAGAAGACTTCCAACGCCCTGGACGAACATTTTCGGTTCCACCCCTTCTTGCCTCGGTATACAGGTTTCGATCTCGAGGGCGATTATTTCCCTCAGGATGTCCCCTAAGCTGTTCAACTGGTTCAGTGTTTCCCGATTCAAGATCGCGGCTATATCGACTCCGGCAGCCATCAACTCGCTCAATACTACAAGTAAGGCTAACCCGGAAAGATGGATAAAGGGTATACCTAGTGACACGTGGCTCATTGTAAAGAAGTCTTTATCAAATCGAATATCTGGCGCATTGGGATTCTACAGCTGCTGAAACATCGACTGGCAAACCCATCGACGCCCTTTTCTGTCCGCCAATGGCCTCAGCATCTTTTCCACATGACTATCTCCCGTAAGTTGCAGTCGAGCGTCTGCAGAACTCCGTCCATTCAGACTAGGTACCTTGCTGACGCAGTCGCCCTGTTAGCTGGTGGGGTTATCTCGTACAGTAGAACCTTCTTGGCTATCCTGCATTCATGATTCTTTCGACATATGTTCAGGCCGACTTGAAAGACACCACCTACAAACCAGTCAACGAAATCGATCAAGAGACCTACGATCTTTACGACCCGGTCCTTTTTGACGGCGCCCCTGTTTGCTTACAGCTTGTTGGGCGAACAATGCAAGAAGAACAGCTATTAGCAGTAACTGCGGCATTGGATAAAGCACTCAGGCACAGCGGTGTACGCGAGGCCACACCAGATGAACCATCGGAAATTCATTGCGACATCGCTTAAGTCTGTCTGACTAGGGCAAGTATCAGCGCCTCCTCCAGTATGTGACCCAGATGAACCAATCAAGAGCCGTGGCCAAGTCAGATCTTACCACAACGACGCCAGGGTGTTACCAATGAGCTCAACGAGATACCGCTCGTCTCACACGCTGTCGTTCACCAAATTGGACCCATAAAGTCTAGACTGAACTCGTCTCCAGGAACGAGAGAACCCCGCAATATCATTGCAAGTGAAATGGGGATACGCACTGAGATTCAATTTGACTCGGCCTTTCGCTCTATAGCTTCCTCTATACTGAGATTAGATCCAATTATCATCACATCTAACACGATAGTTTCTAGCTTTTTAACGTTCTGGCCCATCAGCTTACTCTGACACAGAAGAGATTCTCTCCGCCAAAAGAAGGTGTGGGGAGGTAATCGTTGATCCCGGTCCAGAAGAAGAGGCTTGACATTTAGCTATAGTCGGCATACAAGGCTACCAACTCTTCCATTAGAACCTCATTCTCCTAATATCAAACTTTTACGTCTTCATCTATCAACTTTGTAGCATCCATCAAACGCTGAAAATGAAATTTGTCACCATATCAACGATCGCTCTAGCCCTCCTATCAACCAGTGCTGACGCCACCGTCTTTCTCGGCACCCAGGGTAACTGGATCATCGCCTGGATTAACGGCGACAACTCCTGCACACAATCTGTGGCCATCTCGAAGAAGAGCGAGAACCCGTGCGGCCGGCGCTTCAAGCTGAGCAATGGATACACCTACTCCGTGAGACCCATTTCAATTTTACCCCTGCCTGGCTTGGTGTGAGAGACTAATTGGTGCTTTAGCTCACCGGCTGCGGTGGTAGCAACTTCGCCGTCCTCAACGGCGATGGCTCTTTCAACGCTCTGTGCAAGCCACAGAAAGAGTGGTATGTTTCCTGCCTCGGTTATAACCTGGGAAGAGCCTACGGAAACTGGGCCTGCTGAGAGGACTCTACACGTTGTGTCAACGAGACGTTGGGGGCTCTGGAGTTGGTTCGGACGACGTGGAAATCCGGAGATAATTGAACGTGAAGGGTTCGACAGTCGGCATCTGTCTCAGCAGGATTAAGGATTAATCGCATCCACATTCTTTTGCTACTCCAGGCGAATATTCGAGGGGCTTACATGTCGAGGTCACGTACAAGTAGTTTGGTCTTTTGGATGTCAGCCAACCTGGAGAAATCCCTTGTCTTCGCTGGTGCGGTCGCCTTCCTTGTCCGCGATGGGGACAGCGCGAGTAATCGGATATTCGAGTCAACCCGCAGGCTGAAGACGGTGGCACATATTTAGCATCGTATCGGCTGCGTACCTGTACTTATATAGCGTACGGGGAAAAATAAGAAAGTCAGATTCAGAGCGATCGTATAATTAGCGACGGCCTTAAGGGACCATGGCTTGGCATCAAAGAAAGAAAATCGCCCAAAAGCGGCGGTAGTGGTCGCCAGATTCGGCGGAAGATTTCCCTGTAACCTGCGTCGAATTGTGATGTCTTGGTCACAAACAATCACCAACGACAGGATCAAATACGATATGGGCGGTGGTGAGTGATTTCACTCAACGTCGCTCCACAGAGTTGTGAGTAAATGCAAGTCATATTCTCACTCCTGACCGGTCCAGGTCACTCTTCGATCTCTCTGCATCTTCTCGTAGGTCTGGCCTACTCTCTCAACTGGAGACCTTAGGGTTCTCCATCTTTCAACTCCCCCAACGCCGAGTCTGGACGCACCAAGTGTTCATACCGATCTTACAATTGATCATTATTTCCCAGTCATATCCTTGCCATGGCAAGCCAAGGTTCTGGAGAGCCCCATCATACGTCCAGAAGACCATCCTCGAAGGCACCGCTTCAATCCCTTCTCAGCTTTCGTTCTGATGGACAGTTGAGCACTCGCCGGCCCACCGAGCCAAACCCTCGGGATCGAGATGAACTTGTCCGTGTCTCCAAAGAGACATTGTCAGTTCTGCCAGGCTTGTTGCTGACACGACCCGATGCATCACCAGACGGCCACCTCTGCAAAGATGAACGAGTGGGCCCGCTCGACCAGAACTTCTGTCCCAACCTCCCCCAAACAAGAATCCGCGTCATAAATGCAGATTCAATCGATGCCGCGGTCGACCTTGCTGCTCGAACCTCTCTGACCAAACCAGTATGTGTGCTCAACATGGCAAACGAGATCCGAGCTGGTGGCGGTTTTCGCACCGGTGCTCTAGCGCAGGAAGAAGCCTTGTGCTACCGCTCTTCACTCTACATGACGCTCAAATCCCGTCACTACCCCATTCCACCGGAGGCATGCATTTATTCGCCCACCGTCCTCGTCATCCGGGAAAATCTGGAGTTAGGCCATCGTCTTCTCGATTGCCGAGATCCACGTCAACTCCCTGTCATTGCTGTGGTAAGTGCTGCGGCAGTATTTCGGCCCGAGACGAAACAGGTGGTCGCTCAACCCGGACAACCTCCAGTTCATGTGTATGCCAATAGGGCAGATCGACGACTCATGAGAACAAAGATGCGAATTGTATTGAGAACCACCATCAGAAATCGACACCGACAAGTCGTCTTAGGTGCCCTTGGATGTGGTGCATTTCAAAACCCACCCCAAGAAGTTGCAGAATTATGGGCCGAGGTATTGCAGGAGCCCGAATTCTCTGGTGGATGGTGGGAAGATGTCGTCTTTGCTGTGCTTAGCGACCAGAAAAACAAGAACTTCTGGTGGTTTGAAAAGACCCTGGAAGGCTTGCAGGTGTGAGCACCTTTTATGTGCTGCTTCGGCAGTTCTTCTCTGCTCTTTCCACTTCAAATGCCCTCAGCATAGGTATATCTCGGTCTGGACCTGGATTGGGTGGCCACTGCTCTGCAGCTTCAGTGGTTTGTTGGTGTTGCTGAGCAAACTTGGGCTCTTGAATCCGGGTCCAACCAGGGCCTAAGAATGACATTGGGACAATCACGAGCACTGACAAGACTGTGGCGTCCCGGACAACTTCTCTTGCAAATTTCTTCATGATGCTGGGTCATATACCTACTAGGTAACTATGCAAAAAGGCCAGTCTCTATCAGTCCGCCGTCCAACCGTTGACAACAGATTGGCACACATCTCGAGGGTAGGGAGACTATCCAATAATTAATGAATCCATTACATCATCACATGTTGACTTCTTTCTTGATGCTTTCTAGATTTCATCCATCCAATAGAAAGAAGAAGCCTCACGATGCAGTTCCTCCTGGCAGGTCACGTGCTTTCAAGGTCGGCGCAATTGGAGAGATGAAATTGCGGGGTCGGGGCAAAGTTGCTCCGTCAGGCCGGCGACGGTAAATCATAATTCCTCCGATCAGGGCCAACCAGGAAAGCAGAAGCATCTGCTGCTTCCATCCCGACGGCTTGCGATACAACAACGCAAATGAGAGTGCATCGCTTGATCATCGATGAGCTATGTTGTCCCGAATGGAGGCTTTTTTCTGAGGTAGGTGAATCAATCCTATGAGGCTCGAGTATACGATGCACAATATATAAGGTACTAGTATCGACGGGTATAGTCTCTGCTCTACTTGTATCGTCACCACTGAACTCAAGCATACACCCGACCTCAACTAGTCTCTCACAGAATCAAAGACTGCCTAATACTGACCTACTAAGGTATTCAATTTACTTAAACAGCAGCAAATTCATCATGCCAACCGAAATCAAAAAGGTGGTTGTTACCAAATTTGGAGGTCCAGAGGTTCTCGAGATCGTCAACGCCACACTCCCAGATCCGCCACCAGATCATGTTCAAGTCAAAATCCTTTACAGTGGCTTCGCGGGCGCCGACTTGAATATGCGATTGGGACGATACCCCATGCAAAAGAAGGCCCCTCTGACCCCTGGTTATTGTTTCGTCGGCACAGTCTACACCAATGGCGCCAATTGCTCGAGATTCAAGGTCGGAGATCGCGTCGCTTGTTTGACAGTCTATGATTCTGAAGCCACTTATATCAACCAGCCTGAAAAGTTCCTGGTTCCCATACCAGACGGTGTGGACGCCAAGGTCGCGACTGCACTGGTTCTTGACTGGAACACTGCCTACGGCATGGTCCAAGGACGGGATTGGAATGGCAAAAGAGTCTTCATCCATGGCATGAGCGGTGCTGTGGGCTATGCGCTTACGACACTGTGCAAGTTGCAAGGTGCTGAGGTTTATGGTACGGCATCCGCCAGAAACCACGAGGCTTTGAAAAAGCTGGGCGTGACTCCCTTTGTCTACACTGACAAGAATTGGATCACGGCCATGAAGGCTCTCGGCGGCGTTCACGGCGTCTTTGATGCTCTCGGCTTTGAAATCTGGGATGAATCCTATTCGATCCTGAGCGAGGAGAAAAGCATCCTCTTTGCTTACGGCATGAACCAAGACACCCTCAACAACGGTGAAACTCGCGGCACCCTATGGCCCATCTTGAAATTGCTGTCCCAGAATCTCAAATTCTGGTCTAACAAATCAACCACCTTTTACTACATTTCCCGAACACGATCCAGTTTTCGACCGAGTCTGGAGAAGCTCTTCTCCATGGTCTTGGACGGCACAGTCACTATACCGATCAAGCAAGAGTTTGCGTTGGATGATATCAGAAGCGTTCACGAGAACTGGACTCGCCTTACGGGCATGGGTTCGGTGGTTATCAAAGTTGCTTAAGGCTCGGAGATACCTAACCATAGTCGGGTATTTGTATGCACAGTTAATCGATATAGAGCGGGTATGGCGTCTATTTAGGTACAGGGCTAAGGTTTCTAAGATAGAATTACAAGTCCTAGATCTTTTATTCATTAAGTCGGTACTAAGTACCTAGCATCTACTACTAATATTACTAGAAGGACTGACTTCTTCAATGCTTACTACTTATATAAAGTAAGTCTAAGGACCTTACTAGTACTTAGTATTTAGTACTAACTTACTTACCTTAAGTACCTACCTAGTATCCTAAGGTGCCTTGTAGTAAAGTTAGCCAGCCTACTTACCTACTTTATATACTATGATATTAAGTAGGAACCTTGTACTACTTAGTTAGTAGTTATAGCTACTTAGCTACTTAGCTACTAAAGTCATATTTAAAAAGAACTAAGGTCGAGCTCTTTCTTTATACTTATCAAGTGCCTAGTAAGTAAATACTAAGTAGGTACCTAGGTAGTACTAGGTGCTTAGTACTACCTTAGTAGTAGTAGTAGTACACTATAGAGTGCGTAGAGGGTATGTAAGTTAAGTACTAGTAGTACTTACTTAGGTACTTAGGTACCTAATACTAGTGCTACCTAGTACTTCTAGTACCTATTCTTTAGTATAATCACTTACTAAAACACTGACTACTTAAGTTAGGTACCTAGTAGCCCACTAGGTACTAGCTAAATGCTCATCCTAGGCTGGCTTAATCCAGCTCAATCTCTAGCCTAGCTACCCCGGGCTGCGTACTTCGTCGAGCTGATACTAGGTTAAGCCCGGGTTAGCACTCTATATAAGGGTTAGATACCTAGTATTAAGTTACTAGGAGTACCTACTATTATTACGGGCTTGACCTACGCTGAACCACTCACTCGAAACCTAGCTGAACTACTAAGTACCTAACCTAGGTAGGTACCTACTTACCTTTGAATCATATTGACCTTGATGAAGGCCGGGCTGACCTATGACCTATCTAGTACTTACCTAGTCCTTTCTGACTTACTCTACTAGGTACTACTAGTAGAATTACGATATAGTACCTACTTATGGACTGAGTACTTAGTATATACATACTAGGGGTGTAATAGTAGGTAGTAGGTCGCACCTTCCTATTTAGGCGAGAAAAAAAGATCACGTTCTTAGGCCTATATTTACTAATGTACCACGAAATTAGTCCAGAATGGCTTAGCTTTCTTAATTAGCGACCGTGATTGGCTAATAATGACACTCCATCACTTCATCGCACCTTCCTCCACCATCAATTCTCCATCGCACCTTCCTCTACCATCAATTCTCCATCGCACCTCCCCTGCCATCAATTCTCCATCGCACCTTCCTCTACCGTCAATT